ACCACCCCCCCCCACCCCCCCGCCCCCCCCCCCCCCCCCCCCCCCCCCCCGCCCCCCCCCCCCCCCCCCCCCCCCCCCCCCCCCCCCCCCCCGGATCCTCGAAATGTAGCTGGTTAAATCCTGGCGGTGCCAGACTAAGGGTTCGACCACTTGTCCCGTGGAGCCAACACTCGTGACTTCAGTGACCTAAAAGAGTGGCATCTTGAAGCAATTCGTCTTGTAAATGTTGATCAGTTGTAATCACAATAAACGCTATCTTGTCTGCAAGAAGGTTTACTGCAACGTCCTGGCAGACAAATCTTAGAGTACATACCCCTGGGGGTGTCAAGGCTGGCGTAGGCTTGAGACATCTACGACTTTGAGTTAGCAGTCGCTTAGAATTAATGCAGTTGCAAGTGTTTACTTACCTTGCTGTAGACGCCTTCTTCCTTGATTATAGGAACGAAGATATCAGCCTTCTTGGCCGACATGAGGCTCACCTCCCTAATGATTCTCATCGAAATGCCTTCCTAGGAATAGGTGACGCAGGAAGGCCCTGATGGACAGATCAAACTTAGGTCAAAAGTCCCATGAGGCGCTGCGGCCTCCTCGATATTATCGGGCATTTTGCACCAAGTCCCAAAGCATGGAAGGTGAAAAGGGGTAAATTAAAGGTCTGGGATCAAGTCTTGAAGGCACAGGAAGGGGTTGTTTTGCTGGATGCTCCTGCGATGGAGGACGCCGACGTACGATTCACCTTCATGAGCCAGCTTGGGACTGCCTAGGCACACGCAGCAGCACTCTTTATATCCGGCTGATACATGGGATGAGCCTATAGAATCTCGTCTCCTTCATCGGCGCATCGTATCTTCACATCCGACGGCACGCCTTGAGGTATAGTGGATTATATATCACAAAGACACTCGCCCGTCGTCCTCCCTAGTCCGACATTGCTGTCTCATTCTTCAGAGTGACGTCCTCGCCGAAAGTCCTCCGATGGCCTGAGCTGGTGCATTCCAGCGGTTGTCCCCTACCATCCTTTGGTAGATAGTAGATGCCAGATTCGTACATCGGATTCCTCCCGGAGTCCCCGTAGGGAGCCATTCACCCCTCAGACCCATGCAGACTGTTTCCCCATCTTCAACAGACCCGCCAGCCCCGCCTTGTCCGTCTTGCTTATAGGTAGGAGACATAACATCCTTGGATCAAGCCGTCGTCGACCCAGTGGGTCAATAAGCCCAAGCCCCTTCCAGGGATACTTCTTTGCCTCCGAGTTTCTTCTTCCCCTGTCCGTCGACCTTTTTTAGCCTCCGCGGGCCGTTGGAGGCTTATGGAGACGGGGGAATTGGAGTTGGCGGGTTCGGCTGCGGTTTGGGGCGGGGCTTCCCTTTGCACATGGGCGGGCTTCTTCCCCGGGCCATTCCTAAACGGGCTGTCTGAACCGGTTGTTAGTAAAGCTACAAAGAACCCATGGGGACAGGGTCACCGGAAGCCCCCATGGTATGTGACTTACGTTTTCGAGAACAGAGGTGGAGATCGCCGGGGTTTGCCTTCAGGACAGGCAGGGACAAAACCGGGGTTGTCAGGGTGGTCGGAGAGTTGGTCTGATTGTGGGTTGCTGGCGACATCTGGATTGCTTATATCCAGAAGCACACACACCCCCCAGCCAAGCTCAGAGGGCGCAGTTGCCCAGGCACGGCGGTTGTCATATTCCCCGTAAAAGGGAACATCCAGTTGGGTTCGACCCCCACAGCCTGAGAGTGCTGTGAAGGACACGCGCATTCTCGGTCGCCACCTGACATGCTTTACATAGGAGTTCCCGAGCTTTTTGCGCTACACGTGGCGTGCCCCCATTCTACCAGATTGATCACCGCGGCGGCGGTGGTGGGTACGGGCGGGATTTGCACCTTCTGAGAGGCCACCCCCGTGCAACAGATAATACCACCGGCCTGATATTACGCAGGCGTTTCCTTATTACCCTTTGTATGGGCATCTGCTCGGTGCTAAGCTGTGGTTTTCAGCTCAATCGGGGCGCGTTGAGTCATGGACAGGGGTCTAAAACCTGCTTCTGGGTTTCAGGTGACAGGTGACCGGAGAGAGGAGGTCGTGGGATTCCATAACGGAGAGGAATTATAAGCCCACCTCGGGCTCTCTTCCCATGGCGACGAAATGGCGTGAGCCTGCATTTCGCCCGCTCTAGGCCGCTTGTGCTTCCTAGCTGCAATGGAACGCGGTCGGGCACTAGAGAGACTCTAGGCCGGTGATGCCCTCCCGCCATAGTCTTGCCAGTTTGGGTGCCCAGACACTGGCACCTTATCTTAAACGGTGGATGTGACCGCAGGGAAGAACAGTCCCACACTTGCGGGAAGTTGCGCGAGATGAACAAGGGACGGGCCACAAGGGTGCCGGATTCCAGAAGATCTGCCAGGCAGCCGCCCTTCCATGCTTGTTGGAACTAGGCAGTGGGGACGGGAGGCTAGCCCGGTACCACGATCGCACATCGATTTCATGTGTCAAGGCCAGTTCTGTGGCTGCCTTGTGTGGCTATTTTGCGTGGCTCCTTGCGTGGGGAATTTTTGAGAAACTTGATGGGTGATATGCATGCAGGTTGATGACAAGTTCGCGCTGACGTTTGGGCCGTCTCAAAATGCCCATGCATGGCAATGGACGGATTTCTGAGCTGATGATCGCACCTTGCGCACGATCCATATCAGACTCGTTCGACGGCGAAGGGATACAAAGTTAAAGGGTCTGGGTAAGGCTCTGTGCCGCTCCCCATGTCACCTTACGGCGGTACCTACGTCTGTATGGCGTGCAGAAATCCAGCATTTTCCCCCTGTCGTGGTGCTTGCAGATTGCAGATTTGCAGGGGAAGGGTTTGCCCACTTTGGTAATTGACGGGGATTCTGATAGGTCGTCTCATCTCGCCTTTGCCGGCGGCCGACATCCCATTTCCAGTCTCTGTCCCCGGGGCCGAGGCACCGCACCGGAACCCCGCGAGCAAGGCGTAAGCGGGCAGGTATCCCGCCATAAAAGCCCTGAGGGTATCATGGACGTTGATTCACTGCCACATGCCATCGACAACTCCGCCGTAGCTGACTGGAAGTCACCTAGATTCCATGCCGTACCTGTTGTGGGCTGGGGATTCCGGAAGTAGGCAGTAGTAGGATGCTAAAACTCTAAATACCGCAGGCGAGCCGCTACAAGCGCCTCCGTCATATGTCATTGCTCCTCCCAAGAGCCGAGTTAAAATACGATTGAGATTTCCCGACAACCGAACAACATGTCCATACAGCCCACCTGCCTGTGGAGACATTGTGCGGTCGCGCGAGGGGCATCCGCTCTCATCCGCTCTCATCCGTTCTTAAATATACCAGGCAGCGTCCATTCTCGTCATTGTATTCGCTACACAATCTTGTAAGTGACTCGAGCAATTTTCCACCAAATATTCCCACTTGCTATACCTACTTCTACTCCAGAGAATCGCACATATGGCGCCACTTACTCCCCACTGGGCTCGGCCTTCGCATCCTGACATCCAGAATGTCATCATCAACGATGCCGAGTTCACCTCGAAAAGCCTGTCCAAGGTCACGCTTGCTCCGTTTGCCGTCTTTGCCAAGATGGCATTCCCTCCTTGCACCCTTGCCGAACAGCCCACTTACGCCACAGTCCAAATTGGCCGGAACAAGCACCTGAACCTCAACAGCGACCTTCTGTACATTAACCACTCCTGCGACCCGTCTCTTGTTAGTCGAGGCCCACTGCGCATCTTCCTTCTTCTCCACTTTCTCCTTTACCCCCCCACCCCCTCCCCCGCAATAAATTGTATCGTTTAGACAAGAATCAGACTGCTAAGCCAATGTGATAACTCTTCAAGATCTTCGACACTTCCAGTCTCAACATCCTCGTCGGTCAGAAGGGACTTCAGCCAGGTGATGAACTGACAGCATGTTATGCCCGCACCCCGCCCCCGGCCTTGTTTCGGCACAGCCGGATGCGTAACCCAAGCTAGCTTCTAATCCACGAGACCAGTTCTTCTACCCGTCCACCGAATGGGACATGGCCCAGCCATTCGACTGCCTCTGCGGAGCCCCGACCTGCCGCGGCCAGATCGCCGGGGCGGGCCACATGGCCGAAGCCCAGCTCGAGGGGCTCTGGCTCAACGGGCACATCCACGAGCTCCTCGCGGAGCGCAAGGCGGCCCGCCGCACCGACGACGTGTCTGGGAACGGCACCGTCGGACACGTCGACGCGGACCCCACCGCTCAGGCGCTGAGAGATGCCCTGCAGCAGGCCGAGAAGGTCGTCGTCGCCACGAGGGCCGCGCTGACCTCGTACGTCCAGGGGGCGTTCCAGAAGCCCGGCCGCGGCGTCAAGGCGGTGGGGGCGTCTGGATTGCAGCACGGCGGCCACGGGGCCAACGGACTCTCTTCCAACGGGTCTGCCCGGGGCTCCCAGAGGCGTGGGCTGACATCACGGGAGCTGAGCGGCGAGATGGGCGGAGATACAAACTAGGAACAAGTACCAGGATAAAGGGGAGTGGTTCATATCTACACTAGGTACCGAATTGCACCCTGTATCCGTAAACCTTTTTACAAAAAAAAGACCAAGAACAAGCTGCCGTGAACTCCGTGTGCCCCGCTGTCTGCCGTTGACCAGAATTCCATTCGTACATGCTGGTTGCCCAGGGGAATCGTAGTATTTCCGTATTTCCGCAGTAGAGTGAGTGGCCACCACAGCTCACCTCTCCTTCCTTGCAAACGCCGGACACGGGGTATCTGATCCCTCCCTGCTGCCCTTCATTCCTCCCAGCAGCCAGTCAGTCAGGCCGACGACCTTGGCGCCCACCCCTTGCTCCCATTGGCCGCCCTCCTCGACGTGCTCGATCGTGTGGCTGAGTATCTTCCCTTCCCTGTCGAACTCGAAGATGAACAGGCCCGTAAACTCCTTATCTTCGCCTGGGCGCTGGGAAGAGCCCACCACCCCTCCCCTTCCTTCGACCATACCACCACCACCGCCGCCATCACCATCACCTCCAGCACTCCGAGCACCAGCTCCAGCCCCAGCCCCGCGGCCGCCCCCGTTCAGGAACGACAGGCCCCAATTGCTCCTCCCCTTCCCGCCGATGGTGCGCCACCGGACGATGAGCTGCTCGGCGAGGGCGCCGTGGCGGCGGGCGGCGCGGCCGCGCACCATGCGCTCCGACAGGATCTCGAGGCGGACGTTGCCGACGACGGGGACGCGGTTCCACGCGATCGGCGACGTCCACAGGGCGGCCTTGTAGGCGACGCGGCCCGACACGGCGGGGAGGTGCGGGTGCGTCGAGGGGAAGAGGTGCAGCGAGATGTTGGGCGAGAGGACCTCCTGCGGGAGCGGGGACTGGAGGAGGGTTGGGAGGCGGTCTTGGAGGATTCGGAGGGCTGTGGGTTTAGGGGGAGAACCGGGTTAGCTGACTAGGTAGGTTTTTTGGATGGTGATGTGGGGGGAGGGAGAGCGGGAGTTACTGCTGGCGCAAGGGTGCGGGAAACTGGGAAATAAAATGCAATCATGACTTACTCTGTCCAAGCTTCACCTTGGTATCTTCGGGCGGTTTGGGTTGACCTGGTGGCGGTTGTGGAAGGGGGTTATTGGATAGGTTGAATGTTGAGTTGAACCAGGCCTCGGGCAAGTTGTGTGGATTTGCATCTTGCAATGTTGTGGCAGGTTTCGACACGGGCCTTGGTGGTGTGGTCCATGGCTCAGCATTGCTTTGGCGTAGCTGGTCGGAGAAGAGAGATCGTATTCGGCCAACCGTAGAGGGCCTCACAACTTGTGATGGCGACCGCAGCAGCCTGTTTGGTGCGGGCATTTGTCCGTGTGTTTTCTGGGGGACATGCGCCTTTTGCCCAGGTTGAGGCTGAAAGTGGTACTCTTTTTTTGTGATTCGGATGATGTCAGTGTCGGTTACTTGGGTCTCGGGAGGTTTTCCTTATGCTGTGCTATATGCGGCGAAAGGGATAATTATAGGTGCATGTTTTACACTAGTGTGCCTGGCTACGCAATAATACAAAAACCTGTAAAATACGGAAGCTTTGCCTAATAAGGTATCTGGTTTACGCAGGCGGAATGGAGATTCTCCTCCCAGGGTGGGCTGCATGGAAGCCTCCAACAGAATCCTGGATATCTTTGACTTCGCCACTATCCAGAGGTTCCAAATACCTAACAGGGTCCAAGATGGCAAGAAACCCGAATATCGAAATTAAGGTTGATATAGTGAAACTTTCCTGGGGAAGTTCCTGCATCAACCAGAGCTTTCACTGTTGGTGACACAAGGGTATGATATAATGGCAATGTTGGGGACGTCTATCACCTGGCACAGTTGAGACTTGGCCACCGAGAAGTGCCTAGGCCCAAAGGCGTAATGAATCCCACGCCAAAGGCATGTGGTTCCATCAACTGCGTAGTTGACTGATCACCTGCCACCAGTCGGCAGTATCTGGTTGTAATATCAAAATATGCTATTGCAAAACTGGAGACTTGGTCCAGCAGTCCATGCAATCTACCAAAAAGTAAATTCCCTAATTTCGCTATCTTTGATCCCCTACTTGGAGATCATTCATGTCAAAGTACCTAACTTTGCAACCATCAATTTGAGTCCACCGAAGAAGTTAGGCTTCCAGACTCTAGAGAACGTCACGTGAAATATCAACTGTTCCACTAATCAAAGGCCTACGCACGGCCCAGGTTTGACTGGCTGCTGGGCTGTCTCTTTGGATCAACGCCCTGACGCAGGCTACCTCTTTGACTTGCTCTCCACATCATCACCAAACCGCCTTTAAATCCATCCTTCTCTTCCCACCCCCAACCCATTCTTCCACCCAACCACTCTCATACCTATTCGACATCAGAATTCTTGATCAACTCCCCGTCTATCCGCCACCATGAATCCCGAGTGGTAAGTCCCTGCAACCCCCGGTTCCCCCCATTCGTGGTGACCAAGGCTGACCTCCTCCATCTCCAGAGTTTCACCATCGCTCCAGACCCTTCTTCCTCGTCCAAAAGCCATAAATGAAGGCTTCACGTTATTCTGCCTGCCTGCTAACCCTTCCCTAGATACGACTACCTTTTCAAGCTCCTCCTCATCGGCGATTCCGGTGTTGGAAAGTCTTGTCTCCTTTTGCGATTCGCCGACGATACCTACACAGAGTCCTACATTTCCACCATCGGTGTCGACTTCGTATGCCTTCTCCGACCAGGTCTTGCAGGTTGTGATACTTATACTGACATACCCTGAAGAAAATCCGGACTATTGAGCTGGACGGCAAGACGGTGAAGCTTCAGATCGTAAGCAGCCCCAGGAATCAGGCATTCTAGTCGAGCGGGAGCAAATACTGACGATCGACCCGTCTACAGTGGGATACTGCCGGACAAGAACGGTTCCGGACCATTACATCATCTTACTACCGAGGCGCTCACGGCATCTGCGTTGTTTACGATGTCACCGACATGGAGTCCTTCAACAACGTCAAGCAATGGCTACAGGAGATCGATAGATACGCCACCGAGGGTGTCAACAAGCTCCTGGTAGGCAACAAGAGCGATATGGCGGACAAGAAAGTGGTCGAGTACACAGTCGCAAAGGTAAGGAATCCTCCTCACAGCCACCAGGATGCGGTCTGTCGCAACCGTACGCCCTATGGTGTGCCTTGGGCCTACCCCGTCCTCAAATACCCCTCACCCCTTCTCGGTTCCTCTCGATAACTGACTCACATGCCCTCAGGAATTCGCCGACAGCCTGGGAATCCCCTTCTTGGAAACCTCGGCCAAGAACGCGAGCAACGTCGAGCAGGCCTTCCTGACCATGGCCCGCCAAATCAAGGAGCGGATGGGCACCACAGCGACCAACAACACGAAGCCGAACGTCCAAGTCGGGCCGGGACACGGCGTTTCGTCGTCGAGCACCAACCCCTGCTGCTAAAGCAGGCGAACCTTCCTTTCGTGTTGTCGGGCGCTTTTCTCTCTCAGGAACCTGGGCCGATAGAGGAAATGACGATTAGATGATGGGAGACGAAGCAAGGCCCGCCCGTCCTGCTAACCGGGGGTTTGGATGGCTACCTTTTGAGAGGCTGGGCTGTGACTCTAGGCGTGCATCACGGAACAGACTGGCGAAGCCCGGGGATTGCGTGTCTTGCTGTGCTCAGGTTTTTTCTTTTTTTTTTTGGTTTGAGTGTACTCTGCTCTTTTCCCCCTCCGATCTTGGGCATAGTTGAGGAGGGTATGCGGCAAAGGAGGGGTGGTTTCCCAGTCTCGACCACGCAACTGTCGGTCAGAACTTTCCGCGTTTGTTCTCTTGCGCAAATCCATCGGGGGAGGGTGTTAATTAATTACCTAGGGAATCGTCATGTTCTGTTTCCTTGACAGCAACCTCTTTTCTCTCTCCCGCCCACTTGACTGCTTCTTCTGCATGGTCTTTAGAGTCCAATGACACGTCTCCCGGTATCCAAATCTACAATAGAGCACCTGTACTTCACCTCCCGTGGTCTATTCGCAGATCTCTCGCTGTTGACATATAGATTCAGACTCGCAATACCGAACTGACTCTACTTTAGGGCGTTGTGTGAATACCTCGAATCGCTGACTGCACATAAGGATATTAAACAAGAAAAAGCGAAATCCTAGGTCGAAGAATGCGGCCTGATAAACAGCATATACAAACACCGCAGCTGTATAAACCCCCCAAAACCGCCAATAATTACCCTAAGCCAGACCCAACCACTTAAGCGCCTTCCTACTCCCCCCCCTATTCACATTCTGCTGCAGCAGCATAGGCACCAACCTCCTCTCATCGAGATCAAACTCCTCCTCATCCTCCTCCCTCTCCCCCCCGCCATAATGATAACCGTCCCCCCTTCCTCCTCCTCCTCCCCTGCCGCACGACGCGTGCGTCGTACCCTCCCGGGTCACTAAACCGGGCGGCGGGCGCAGAACCCGCAGTCTCGCCCTACCAACGTTGCGGATGGTCCGGAACGACCGCGTCGCCGTCTCCGCCACCGAGGAGCTACCACCACCACCACCGCCGCCGCCGCCCATCACCAGGGACCCGGCCGACTCCCTCGAGGGGGTTGGCGACGCCGGCCGGTGCGGGATGGGCGGGAATGTCGGGAAGGGCGTCGGTATTATCCCCGGCAGCTGTTGCTGCCGTTGCTGCTGCTGCTGCTGCTGCTGCTGCTGCTGCTGCTGCTGTGGAGGCAGTCTCGGCGGCCACGTCGGAGGGGGTACGGTCCCTGGCGGCGTCGAGGGCCGAGGGTCTGGCCGGGGGTGGTGGTAGGTGTCTCGCCGCGGGGGGCTGGTTTGGGTGCCTCCGAGGGCGGTGGCGCATGCGTTCTGGTCGGCGAACTGCTGGAGGTCCGGTTTTGAGGTGGCTCTTCGCGGGTTGTGGTCGGGGACGTAGTATTCCGAGACGTTGATGAGGATCTTCCAGATTGTCGTAATGAAGGTGGCAACTTCGGAATCGCCCGCCGACGAGGTGATGATGAAGTTGGCTTGGGACAATGTTGCGGCAGGGCTCGACCCTGCCCCAGCGGCCGATCGCTTGTTTGCTCCGGGGCTGTTATTATCCACACCATGCATGAGGGGGGGCTCGAGATGGTCTCCTTTTATTATGGCCGAGACCTTGAAGATGTCATCGCCGATGATTTTCTGCAACGCCAGGACGGTGGATAAATGCTCGGCTGGGTACTCGAGCAACAGAAAACGAACATTAACATGCGCAGCCAAGTATGTTTCCAGGCAGGGAACCATGAGGGTTGCCAGCAAAGTAGGATTGGTGGCGAGATCACCACAAATATCGAGGGTAACGGGTTTGGCCTTGGATGCTTGGGTTGTAAGACCAATCAGATATCTATTTGGAGGGGGGGGCTGTTAACAGTTTGCGCGCAGCATATATTTCATGGTGGAATTCAAACCTCATATCGACGCGACCGCCCCGCGAGGCCCCTTTAGGCTTGACCGCAAGTCTCTCGATCTGACCTGCAACCCTTGACAGGTAGTCTTTTCTCACTCCAGCCTGGGTGCCAATGGCAAGAACCAGGTCCACTTTTCCTCGTCCCGGCGTTGGGTCGCTCGTCCGCGGATCGTAGAAGACCGGGTTCCACAGACTATATGGATCTGTTTGGAGCAACGGCGGTGACTGGTCATCCGCCTGGTTGTCCGAAGGGAAGTGGATAGCGAGTACCGCTCTCACGGCGTTCTGGACGGAAAGGGGCGACTGGCGGCGAGTAGTAAGAACATTGTGGAACTTGTGAATAGCAGACTTATCGAAAGTCCTTTCAAAAGACCTGGTAAAAGACTTGGGTATAGACTTGTCAGTAGACACTCTTGGGGTAGGTGGCCGTGGTGGCTCTTGCGGAGGGGTGGGCTGCCGAGGAGGCTGCACCTTCTCCCACAAGTTGGGATTATATGCGTGACACGCATAGGGATCATATTCTTCTTGGTACTGTGGCAGCTGTAGGGCCTCCTGAGAGATTCTGATCTGAACAGGTGCACGGTCGGTGTCCTTGAGGGCTGCTGGTTCTGGGCTAGTCGGGGTTGCCGGGCTCACAGGATTCTCGTCAGCTTCTAATGAACTCAGGGACTCGGAAAACTGGACCGGGTAGAAGCCTTCCTTGAACATTTCAATGACGAAGTCAAGCGTGGGCTTTGGATTTTCGTCGGTGATCCGAATAACGAGGTCTTCTTTTAGTGGCAGGACAGGTTGGAACGGAATGTCGCCCTCGAACGTCTTTCCAGCCGCCGCAGCGATACTGGCCTCCTGCGCTGCATCCGTGTTTCTGTCGACATGCGATCCGTCTGGCGATGGATAAGCCCGGCTAGCCGCCATAGGTAGTTGCCTTGTGACTGCTCGACCCGCCCTTGTCAACATTGCCTCTGGCACCTCTAAATGTCGATACCTGGGCTGTGCACAGGTCGAGTGCGACGTGCCCTCGCCAGGGATAGACCGCGAACCCCTGCGACCATTGGCCTCGGTGCCTAACCTTCTCGCGTCAGGGTTGCCTTTCGACTGATTTCGAGGGCCCGGGAACCGCATCTGAACAAGACGTGCCTCGCCGTAGACCACGGGTTCCGGAGTTGGAGGACGCGAGCCATATGCTTCAGATAAGATGGAGGGCGAGTGACGTATCGTACGGTATGCATCACCAATATCAGGCTGTGAATGACGCGGAGTCTGGATCGACAGGTCGTATCCATTCGTCCCATTTGATGTCCGGCCGAGTCCTGTCCTTGGAGCCGCATGACCTCGCGAATACGCACCGTTCTGCGGCCCGGAGGAGGCGTCATCGTCCTCGGGATCCGCTCCGAGCAGGTAGAAAGGAGCTGAGTCCGCTGAGCTGCCCGTCATTTCCAGCATTGTGGGACTGGTACTCCTCTGTCTCTCATTGCCCGCCAGATCAGCGTCGTTGTTTGTGAGTTGGAGGGCGGAAGTCTCCTCGTCGAGCGCATCAGCCGCCCTCATCGCACAGGAAATAGGGTCCTGTAATTCTCCCCCCTCCTCGTGGGACTGATCCCCATCCGTATCACCGCCGCTCTGGCCGGTCAGAGTGCGTTGCCAGTTTATCGGTATACCATCCTTCCAGAGACCAACAACACCATGCTTGACTAGACTTCCGAAGATCGAGTCGGCCTTCGATATATCGCCGCCAGTTTCGTTTTTGCTGATCCCGGATAGGCACAGAGCCTGGGCACCCGCCGTCCCGCCGCACAGAAACACCTGCCTTCTCCTCTCGGGGGTCGCCTCTTTGAGGAACTGTAAAGCGGCCTCATACCGACTCGCGGCTGCGATATGGATATTGCGAACGTATGAACGGGCACTGAACGAGCGCTCGGGGTTCTCCTTCGTCGGCATATAGTGGTCGATGCTTGGCAATACTAATATCTGGGGGGATGCGGGAAGAAGGCGCAGTTGGGTCGCGACGGTATCCTCGGGCCCCTCGAATGCCACCAGGCTGCCGTGATACGGCGGTGGCGTCGAGTCGCCCAGCATGTCCTCCGACATTTCCCCCATGAACCCAGGGCGCAAAATCAATACAACTCGATCGTTTCGAGGAGAAAACGATAACTCTAGAACTCAACCGAAGTAGTGGCCCTAATGGGCGGGGCCCAGACAGTAGGTTCTGAGATTGGCTCGGAGGGCAAAAGTACCTTATGCCACATAAGAAGAAAAAAGGGATGAAGACTAGGTAGGTACCTAGGGGGAAGCCGTCAAGTGGGATCTCGTGCATGAGACTTCAAGGTGACGACACGAGGAAAGTAAGAGGCAGGAGAGAAGCAGCAGCTGCAGCAGCACCCGCACCTAGCAGCAGCAGGAAGGAAAGGGGGAGCCGCTCGGCTACCCACACACTCCGCAACTCTGTTCTTGTCTTGCTTTCTTTCTTACCTGTCTAGAGGTAATAAGTGACCCGAAAAAAACCAAAGGGTCAAGATTTTGCCACGGATAACAACATAGTAACGCCGTAATTGGCAGAAGTGCGGGAAGCCGTGCTGGCTCGCAGCCATTGACGTTTAACTCGTGGTCCATGCCGAGAAACAGTGGCTTGAGGGCAAACTTGGTGGTCGATCGACTCAAATTCTGCGCGAACGCATCAGAATCCATGTAGATGCTGACGGCCGAGAGATGGCAATGCAGTTTGTTCCGTTTGTTCCAGAAAACTGCCAGAGCGCTTGCTTCATCCGTCGTGTAGTCTATTCCAATGGTTCTTCAGTGGAGGCGTTTTGGCGCTTGCGCAGCTCGCCGTTCAGGGGAAGTTAGGTTGATCAGGGATGGTGCCTCGGATGTGCACGGTGTGGGCCACACTGAATGCCGCGCGAGCTTAAAAGCTACCTAACTTCGACCCATTACATCAGGCAAGTATGACCAAACTCGAGGCATCAGCTGGCCGAGGACAGGTATTCGGGTAGGTAGCTGGGACCGCCCGCGACACGAAGGCAGTAGCAGTTGGCTCTCTCTCCTTCCTACGGCAAGACATTTCGAGCTGCATGCCTCCACCACGGATGCCATGAGGGGCTACATTGTATAAGTTTGTTTTGATGTACGTTGGATCTGCTGTCAGATGGAAACTTTGGCTAGGCTGAAACTTCTCTTCTGCAGACGAAGCTTTATGAGGTTGGAATATAGTTTCTTCCCTGTCTAGTCGGTGCGACGATGATATTGTTCCCGGCCACATCGATGAACGTCGGCTTCGATTTTAAGACCAGGCCGTTGGAGATTATGAGGTTCTGACCGAGCCTCCAGGACCGCAGGAGAGTAAATTATGGCTCGGCTGGAGGTCGTCGAGTGAGGCCTGTGGTCGGAAACCAAACCAAAGTAGAGGACTACCACGTTAAGCTTTCATGTCCGTCCTAGAGTTAGCTGTTCCTTAAACCTTCAACATATCCCTGTCGAATAGATGGGTACCGTATTTCTTCTTCTTTACTTTGTTTCCAAAGGACTGGACACTGGACCAAGTGTGGAGCAGGCACTAACTACTCCTCGATAACTGCCTACGAAGAGACGGGGTTGCCGACACGAACATCTAGACCGCTGTGCTTTTCCGGCCTCGTCGTAATAGTTGCCCTGGGGCCCCACTACTGACCGGCTTCGGTCCCCTGCATCTCGCTTTTTTATCAGAGTGGGAAACGCGTTCGTGTCACTCCATCTAGACCCGCTCGTCTGTTCAAGATCAAGTTAGACGAAGCCTTCTCAGGTATGTGCTGCTGCAGGCTGCAGGCCAGCGAGCAGCTTCCGCGCGATGCCCCTCGAAGAAGAAATATCAGCGTCTAATTGGCCGTGTCTGTTGCGCCCGCAGCAAACTCCCGCCACCTGAACGGATGATCGCATCTACATCACAGCTCGGCCCCTGGCAAAAGCTGTCGAGGGCCATGCACCCGTTCGGCAGAGCTAGCAGGGATGTTTCTTCCATCGTAGTCCCAGTGATCTCTTTCAGTCTAATCATCATCGTCCATCAATGCCGCAAGCTCTGCTTCTTCATCTGCAGTCAGCAGGTCATCCGCCTTCCCGTCCTGCTCGATCCCCACACCTATTATGGCTGCATCCTTCTGTTCCTGAACAAGAGCGTCTAGAGAAGCCGCTGCCAGGGGCCAAGTTCTTATGGTGCCGTCAATGCTCACACTGACGAGTCGCTCGGGCGAGCCCTTTACGATCGCAATGTCGGTAATTTCGTCATAGTGGCCTTCGAGTGAGCAATGTAGCTTCCCCGACGACCGGTCCCAAAACTTCAGGTCTTCGTCCCTCCCAGCCGTGATAACCCACCTTTCTGTTACGGCAACAGCTCGCACATGGTCTCCGTGATTAAAACTCTCCTCGGCCGTAAATCCTTTAATACGAGAGAGGCACTTGGCTGTGCCGTCTCCACTTGATGTCCAAAGATCGACTTCCTCGCCGTCATGATCGAAGACCAGCTTGTAGACGCTCGTCTCATGTTCCAGTATCGTCCGCCGATCCGCGTCAGGGGTATCAGGATTGACTTCCTCCAACTGCTCCCACGACTCCAGACTTATCCTCCAGCGCCGGATGTGGGGGTCACTGCTGGCACTGACGAGGAAGATCTCGTTCGTATCCGACTGAACCGGGTCGACGGCGAGGTCTTGCATGGCAAGCATGTTGACTGCGCTGTCCTGAAGAGTGTGCAGGCGGGCTCCAGTGCCTATGTCCCACACGATAATCTTCTTGTCTGCCCCACCACTGATGAGGATGTCTTTGCCCCCGATCCTCGTGCAGGTAACAGCCTTAACAAAGTCCGAATGGCCGATGAACTTGCGGCCCGGAGCCCTCGTCTCCGAGTCCCAGGACCACACGGCCTTGTCCCATGAGCCGGCAAAGACCGTCTTGCTGTCCTGCCCACCTATAGCAACACAAGTCAGGGGAGCCGTTGGGCCACGGTACACTGCCTTGGTGTCGTTATCCTAGATGCAGGTCACATTTTAAGGTTAGTCGAGCTGTTGCCCTACCTTCTGTGTGCAAGTCAAGAATACATACATCGAGGTTGACTTTGCGGATGGAGCCCGCTGATTCAGCGACATATATGGTTGACGAGGGGGAGCGAGGATCAGGCGTCACCGCTAGGATCTTCGACTTCAGTATGATTGGGTTGCCATACTTATTGTCAGCCTTGGCTGCTCGTCTTTCCCTCTTCGCCTGGTCCGCACTGGAGAGTCAACGTTTAGACTTCCATCTCATGTGTGAACAGTCAAGTGTGATATTTTCTTACTCTGTCTCAAAGAAGTTTTGGGGGTCTGAGGATTTGAACATGATGCAATTCCAAATTCTACCCTTGGGTAGATAGCTAGGCTGTTGCCGAAGTCAGTCAGACACACTTCATGTAATTCCTGTGTTGCTGACGTTTTCTGAGTGGTCGCTTTTGCCATGCGGCTTTGTTCTTCGACTGGGCGCCACGGGAAGGAGCCGAACCAGAGATTGTGAAGAACCGCTAAGCCCGATCGAGATTAGCGCCGATACCAGGCCTGTTTCCTAGATCCTAGGCACCAGGCCCTCTACCTGGAATAGCTTCATTCTACAGATCGATAATACTACTGAATTCCTTTTACTAAGGGGGAAAAGAGAAAGGAGGAAAAAAAATCCCGAACCCAGGACTCGAATCCGGATCTTCCGCCCTTTCGGGCCAGTTCCGCGCTGTAGACTTCCCTGGTGACCTTGACGTGATAACCATTACACCAGCTCGGGTTTGGTTGGAATGGGGCCAGTCAAAAGAAAATTATAAGGCATAAGCTCCAGTAGGAGCCTAACCAGGCAAAGCATAACCTGTTCCCGGCTGCCAGCATGCTCGGGCTTGGTGGCTCGTCTTTCCGAGTCTGGAGATGAGACCGTCAAGTAGAAAGGGATAAGTGGGATGACTTTAGGACAAATCCATCGCATCAGATGTGCCTCGAGGCTGGATCGAGGACGTCTCCTCAACCCTGCCTGTCCCAAGAACATGCCTGTTCAGAAATTCTACCGCATCATCCGTCCCGGTCGGCGAGTTCAACCAATGTCCTCCGTTCGGATACTCTTTCCACGTAATGTGCGCACCGAATCCACGCAGTATCTCCCTCAAGCCCCGGCCACTCTGAACCAAAACCAGCGGATCATCGATGCAGTGCTCAAGTAGCATAGGTGTATTGCGAAGGACGTCATCATGGCCCGGGACACCCTCCAACCCGAGAACATTCCTCATCTCGGCGAGCGTTCTGCCGGCAAATGGACACCGGCATGAAAATCCTAGAAAAGCAGCGAGCCTCCCCCCGCCCGCAGCTAGCACATCTAGATTGAATAGTGTGTGCACGCTCGTCGCGGCGCCCATGCTGATTCCCGCCAGCACGACACGATCCCATCGCCCTCCGAGCAGCGCCGCTTCATTTGCTAGGATGCAGCGGATAGCAGGGACGACCTCCTTGAGCCCAGCGACCTGCAGTTCCTCGCGTTCAGCAAAGTCGCGAATGTTCCAGACATCGAACCACTGCGGCCACTTGTCAGGGGAGCTGGCGCACTGGCGGGTCGGGGCCTGGGGGAACACCCAGCGGAAGGAGGGGAAGGCGTCAACGAGGGTGCGGTGGCGCGAGTCGTGCAAGTGGGCCAGGGAGGCCGCGAAGTTGTGCGCGCTGTCGCCGCGGCCGTGCAGGAAGACGACGGTGTGCGTATGCGGCGCCGATGGGGCGATGGTAATGAAGGGGATGTCCATGGTTGACATGACGAGAATCAGGAGACGGTGCGTTGGCACCCAACGCGATTGTTGGCGGTGAACATCTATATTGGCGCTTGTCTGTGTCTACTGCATAGTAAGAAAACGGATGTAGAGGGCTACGGAGGATTCGACAACTTGACCTGCCTGTCTGTCTCGGTATATACCTGAGGATATTTATCCTCCTAATAGCTAGGTACCTAGCTAGTTAGGTAGTTATATTATGTTCATGAAAAACTTGGGTCATACTCGACACACTTCATGGAATTCGTGTTCTGATTGCTCCAAATCGACCCTACCGACCCCTCCAATCACCCGTGCGCTAGCTGGATTAAAACCCCCGTGCTCCCTTTCGGTGTCGCTGCGTTTCCGCGGCCTTTTTTCTGCGCTAGCACCTCTACCCAGGTCGGGGCCGCGCCGGCGCCGGGGCCCGGCCCTGGTGTGGGGCGTGTGGGTCAGGTCCGTTTCCTTTGTTTCCCCAGCGCCCGCCTCCGGATCCGTTGTCCTGTGGTGCGCCGCGGTAGCGCATCGTTGCTCCCATTGCTCCTTTATTCAGAATCGCCCCACTTTCACCGAGATAGCCCGAGCCGGCCAAGGATGACCCGCTGTCGTACGGTGTAGCGGCGCGCTCCATCTGCCTGCCCTTGATCTTCATTCTGAGCATCAGACCCATGCGGGAGTTGTCCGAGATTACCGTCTCCACCACTTTCGGATCCAGGAGAACCTCGAAGTGGCGGTTTCTCATGGGCCAGCTAGCTCAGCGTGACATTCTCCGAGATGCCGCGACAGTCGTCGAGCTCACCTATGGCTGCAACCGCTGGTGAGGTTGTGCAAACCAGCGTTGTAGCGTAATAGGAATGAAGACCGACTGGTCCTGGACCACGGGAGAGACTCCGTTGATTCAGGCAAAAGAGGTCCGCGTGTAGAGAGCAGAACCATGCCAAGGCCCTCGCCGCTATTGACGAGCGTTTCAATGTCACCGAGCAGAACGAGGGTTTCCGACGAACGCTTTCCTGCCGCGCCCCTTGGCCTAGCAGGATGTTGCCCCTGAATACGGCTTGGGCAAAAAGGAAGAAACAAGGTGGCACCTGACGGCCAGCCGGCAGGCCCCGACATATGCAGTTGATGGTGGGGTCGTTTCCAGTGGACCCCTGAGTCCAATTAACACGCTTGGTTTAATGGCGACGCGCTCCACGCGTCTGCCCGCTTGCCAAAACTACCTAGCAACTCCGCGTATTCTGGATGGACGGATCCTCGAAAACATTGGTGTACGTGCATTCGCGATCACCTCCTCCATACCATTACCACATGGTCATTATTCTCTGAGGCCCCCGTGAACTCAATCGACGACAATGGCCTCCGCCGCGATATCTCGACCCCGGCCACGGCCTGCACATTACGAAGGCCCAACTCACTGCGTCTACACACCGGACGGAACTAAACTGGTGACAGTGGGGTCCAACAACACGATCAGACTATACAAGACCGGTTCCGACGGTGAACCTGCCAATATTGACGAGTGCCAAGAGCAGAATCTTGCTGTTTCTACGAACAATGACTACTTCGTCGCGGGCTCGGAGGACGGCACCGTCAGTCTGTATTCTCTCCAGTCGAAAAGCTTCGAAAAGTTCTTGTTGCGGTCGTCCCTTCCAGTTCGCGATGTTGCTCTCTCTCCAGACAGCAAGTGGTGCGCCGTTGCCAGCGACGAGCTGTCTGTGAAGCTCGTTGGCACCGAAGACAACACCCTCATGCGCACTTTGAGGGAGCATGGCAAGCCGACCAAGCATCTGGCCTTCGACCCCAAGGGCAGCATGCTCGCGCTGTCCTGTACTGACGGCGTCATATATGTATACTCTCTGACAGCAGATCAGCCCGAACTGATCCGCAAGGTCGAGGGAGTGATTGGAAGACTGGAGACCGATTCCGAAGCCTCCTCGAGGGTGATCTGGCATCCGGATGGTCGCGCGTTCGCCGTACCGACCCCCACCAGAGATATCCAAGTCGTGTCTAAGGATGACTGGGAAAAGCAACGCACCTTCTCTGACGGCCACGAGGGAGACATTACCGCCCTGGCTTGGTCGCCGAATGGGTCGATGCTGGCCACGGCCGGGAAAGACAAGAAGGTCCTGATCTGGTCCACCAAGGACCAGACCGTCGTGGCTCGCCACGAGCATGCGAATGTTCTCGACGTCGCCTGGCACCCCACTGATAACCTTGTCTCGTTTACCACGTCCGACGGCGAGGTGTACATCTGCCCTGGCTTTGTTCCGGAACATTATGCTCCGCTGTTGAAGCTCCCCAAGCAGCCCGCACCGTTCATCCACGACCCGCTAGGCGAGATATCTGCCAACGTCAGGCGACCCGATGTCAACGGTCTCAAGCCACGGCCCGTGGTAGCGAGGAGAGGCACCCCTGACAGTCTTGATGACCTGCTTGACGATGATGGTCCAGCGTACGATGACGACTTCGTGGTCGACGACGACGGTGCCGGATATGCGCTGAATGGCGGACACAAGCGACCAGCCGAGGACGACGAACTGTTCGGTGCTCCTGCGAGCAAGCGTGCAAACCTGGCTTGGACACAGTATCACGAATCCTTCCAACCGGGCTCAACCCCGTGGCGTGGCAATCGCAAGTATCTCTGCCTGAACCTGATAGGTTTCGTCTGGACCGTCGATCAGGATTCGCATAACACCGTCACCGTGGAGTTTTATGACCACGAGTTCCACAGGGACTTTCACTTCACCGACACATTCCTCTACGACAAAGCTTGTCTCAACGAGCATGGCGCGCTGTTTTCGTCCCCGCCCAAGGACGATGCGGCCGCAGTCATCTTCTACCGACCACATGAGACGTGGACACAACGTGCCGATTGGAGAACCCAGTTGCCGAAGGGGGAAGCGGTGCTAGCCATGTCACTGAGCGATTCGTTCGTGACCGTCACGACGTCAGCAAACTATGTGCGTGTCTACACCTTGTTTGGCATCCCTTACCGGGTGTATCGACCGAAGAGCAGTCCCATCGTGACGTGTGCCAGTTGGCGGGACTATGTTCTCACCATGGGTAACGGGCCAGTCGGCGGCGACGGCAACACCAAGCTCCTGTACACGATCCAGAACATAAAGCGGGACGAGATCTGCCAAAACGAGGACACCGTGGCACTCCCGGAAGGGGCCACGGTCAAGAGCGTCTTCTTCTCAGACAACGGGGTAAGCAGCCTACAACCTCCCCCGAGCATGGCGTGCGTGATATAACTAACCGACGTCGACTCTAGGACCCTTGCATCTACGATTCTACAGGAACCCTACTTACCCTACTCCACTGGCGCAGGCCGTCAAGAGCATACTGGATCCCACTCCTAGACACCAAGCTCCTCCCGCGCCTGGCGTCGGGGAGGAAGAAGGAGAACTACTTCCCCGTTGCCGTGGCCGACCAGAAGTTTCATTGCATCATCCTCAAGGGCGGCGACCAATACCCCTACTTCCCGCGGCCGCTGCTCTCCGAGTTCGACTTCTCCATCCCGCTCACGTCGGCACCAAAGGGCGGCAAGAAGAAGAAGAAGAACAAGTTCCGCGCCCATGACGACGATGACGACGACCACGGCATCGACGAGGACATGGCCGACGCCGACGCCGACGCCGACGGCTCTTCGTCCGAGGGCGAAGGGTCCGACGCCGAGGGCGGCGCGGACGGAACCCTGGGCCTGACGCAGGCGTTCCTGCTGAAGACGCTGCAGGCATCGCAGATGGCCGACGCCCTGGGGGGCCCCGGGTCGGCGGGTGCGCGGGCGGCGCTGGCGCGGCTGGAGCTCGACATCGACAAGACGCTGCTGCAGCTGCTGGCGGTCGAGTGCCGCGAGGGCGAGGAGCGGGGGATGCGGGCGCTCGAGGTGGTGGGCCTGATGCGCGACCGGACGGGCCGGATGGTGGAGGCGGCTGGGAAGGTGGCGGAGCGGTACGGCAGGGGCATCCTGGGCGAGAAGATCAGGGAGGTGGGCGAGCGGAGGGTCGCCGGGCAGTTCGCGGACGGGGACGGGGACGAGGAGAGCGATGGGGACTTTGCTTGACAGGAGTTGTCATTTTTATTAAACTGTTTGAACTCTTATTTCCTGACTCTTCTCTTTTTTTTTTTTTTTTCGTCTCCTTCCCCTGTCCTTGACGAGGATGGGGATGGGCACCTTTCCCGGCGAGGGCTCCGCTCCCACTCCACACTCCCACCCGGACGGAGATGTTGGATTATGCCCCCAATGCCCGGTTCTGGGGAAGGGCGGGGGATGGTCGATGGGGCCAATTGAAACGGGAGACTCGCGCGCAGCATACTTTGGTTTCTCGGTTCCGGCTGCGGTGCCGTCGTTGGGCCACCCAGGGGGGAATGAACGTGTCAGTGCGCTTGGGGCGATCTTTAATGGGTTTCAGTAGGGATTGGTTTTTGTTTGATACGTACATGTACATTAACGTGCCGCATGTTTGGCAATGGCATTAATGCATCAAGTGTTATGAACCCCTCCGGCGGCTCGCCCGCCGAACATCAGGGGGGAACGGCCTCTTTGTGCGTATAACTTCCAGTTGCATTAGGGCGCTTCTAGATTGCGGCGGAAGGCTTTTCGGGCGAATACCTCCTTGCTGCTTTCAATTCCAGGGCGGCAACTTGATCCTGGTAGGAATATTCTCCGTCTCCGTCTAAACTGCCTCCGCCTCGCAGATCATTGAGCCTCCTGAGATTGGCGTATGCCGCTCTCCCACACCAGGCGTCGGGATGTCTGTCCACTACACAGTACGGGCTCACCCTTGCTCGTCAATCATCGATGGGTTCTGAACACCGTGTTCCAAGCTTGGGAGTCTTAGAAAGGGAAGTCGACACGTAGGAAACCTTCTAAGGAAATTATAAGACTCAATGAAGCTCAACCCGGAATATATATTGGCTGAAGGCACAGTGGTAGTACTTAATTTCCGTCGTCGACGTAAGCACTTTAACCAAATCTTTAACCACATTTGACTTAGCCTGTCGGTTGGTTTCCAGCTCCAATGATCTCCCTTTTATCTAAGGTTGTTTATATAGAGACCTCAACCAGCAACGATACTTCGTTTATTCCTCGTCCAGGTGCCTCCTAGAGGGGGACCCAAGGTATTCCCAAAACAAGAGCACTCACTTGAGACTGGACAAGACAGGGAACCTGCCGGAGCTAAGATAATATATAGGGATTAGGGAGGCAATAACCGGATAACCCCGCTCGGCCCCCTTCTTGTGCCACAGGAACACCTTTCTGGGTGTATTATTTTGTATGGGAGCTATGGGAGGTCGTACAACGTACACAATCATTGCCGCGCAATGGGCGTGGGATTATCCTTGTCGACATGAATGCAGCCTTAGCACAATCTTCTTCGCATCATCTTTGCTTTTGCTTCATGCCAGTGGGGACTACCTATATAGCATGGGCCACCGACATGCAGGGTGATGAACAGCGGGCATCTTTTTAAGTATACCTTGTTTTTTAATAGTATATAGTAGCTACCAGAACTCCACGTAAGGCGAAGCAGTGGGTAGATCACGCAGCAAGAGCTCCCATGGCGTGTCGAGAACGAGAGGGGGTGAAACATGGGCGCTTGGAGGCCTTCTGAGGCAATCCCAGCCCGTTACCCAATTCTCTCGTTTCTGGATCGTCATGTTCACACTGCTCAGTTCTGGGTTCCCATCCACGCAAGTGTGGCCCCACTCTCCAGGCTGGGCTGGCTGGGATGGCGTATGCCGGTTCAGGGGTTTGCACCAATCGCAACGAGAGAAGGGCATGTCGATACCATGTCGTCTACCCGGCTTCAGCTGAGGAGGTTTACGGGGAAATGGAATGACGACATGGCCGGCCCGTAAGAGGGAAGAGATCAGAGGCTTACATGATCTATCTCGTGCGTTGAGCAGCTGAAAGGCGACGAAGGCTCAGTCTAAGTGCCGTGTCTGAATCCTGCCGGTCGAATTGCTATTCAGTCGGGCACGAGTACGAGATAGGGGCTGTGGTGGAATAATTTCAGGAGTTCCGCGTCCAACAAGATGGCGATCGTGGGTCATAGCATCGTGACATCGGCGACATCGTAACCCAGATGATACGCTTTTGGGAATGGACCAGCAAGGGTGCGAGTTCGGTACAAGTGGGCCGGCAACACCCCGCCATTACGGCCTAGCAAAGACGGGGGCGGCGGACCGGGTGGTCTGAGCAGCGAGATCGATCTTTGGGGCGGAGCTACCCGGCGGAGAGAACAGATGGTCCGTATTTTGTCTGTTCTGGGACCTTATACAGTGGGTACCTACTTAATTTCATCTGATAGTTTCAGACGCACGGGGCGGCGACACAGAGCTGTTGGTCGCCGAGTGGGAGTGATTGAAGGTGAAAGTCAATGGCGAGACTGGGCCAGGTTCTGTTACGTTTTAGGCAGTAATGGCAGGTGCTACCTATCTCCAACATCGGGCAATAAAGGAAAGGGTGCCATGTGCCGCCAACTTGCTTCTAAGCTCCAAACGAGGTGTCCCATGGGTTGGATTCCCCTATTCCTCATTTCGCAAGGCGCGTTGAGCTTTCCCAGCTTTCCCCGTCAATAATGCCCGGAATATTACATAGGTACAGTAAATAATCATCCGCCCCCGCCATCTGTTGTACGTACTTCCACTACACCGTACACTAGGGTACCTAGTCTATGGATATAATAGTAAATTAATCCCTGGAGACTGCCGAGATTCTATGCGTAATACTCGATTTTGCACAGCTGCGTTGCCTCGCCATGCCGTTGGCCACCTTGTTAAATCAATTACCTACCTTAGGGGGAAGCCTAAAACCACAGGTCCCCAATAGCCGCCCTGTCAGCCGTGGGCTCTGGACCTGCCGAGACGGGTTGGTCAACCCGCAACACCAAGCTCGGGCCTCCCAGCAGCTCTTCAGACTTCTAGAGCTTCCACAGCGCTTGTCCAAGCTGTCCGTCTGCTACCCGAGCAGGTACTCGCACAGCGCTTTGACATGTGTGGTGTGTGACTGAGATTCAGATCTTATCTGCGAGCCTACCTAGTGTAATGTCTGGAAGTACTGTACACAACCAGCCGTCAATCTCGGACGAGGTTGGGAATGAGAGACGGCAGAGGACAGAAAGAAGAGAAAAAGAAGGGAGAGAAGAAAAGCAAGACAATCCCGATCCCCCCTTTCCGTCCGTCTCATTTCTAGTTTCCCGACCGGATTTCTATATGCCACATACTATTGCGTACTATGTATGTAGGTATGTATATTCTACATAGACGCCTGGGTCAAGATTCAAGATCTGTCTGCGTCATTGTCTCAGGCCAGTACTGATCCACTCGTTCGTTGGAATCTTCGAACACTCACCTCCTCTTGCTTCCATTGGCTTCTTCAGCTGCGCGACATTATTGTCAATCCAGTAGCTATCTGCAGGTGGAATTGTGGGTAATATTGCATCGGCCATTGACTCTCCTTCCCATTTAGCCCGTCAGTGCCCGTCTAGGGCGTCCAAAGGGGAAAAGGGGGAAGAAAAAAAGAAAATTCATATCAGATCCCGAGAGTCATTTGCTAAGCATTTACAGGACTGTACTGCTTGGTAGCCGGTAAGCTTATTCCCTCCGCATCTAAAATTTATTACCTTCCGTCCCGTGGGGCCTGGTAAAAGCAGGAAACAATTCTATTTGCTGTTTGCCTTCTCCCGGCGCCTTCCCCGTCGCTAGTCCCGTCTACATGTAAAAGGGACAAAGTCATTGTCGGGGTTGTATTGGCAGTTCTGGAAGGCAGCTACAATGTACATACGGTACTATGTGAGGTAGAGATCCAAGATCTGTCACAGATTGAAGAATATTACCACTTGCCGCTCCTGGGGAGAAAAAACCTTAACGAAGCCTGGGCCAACCCTGTCACTTCAGATCGCTTCTGCTCAACAAGTTGCTTCCCACACTAGCGTATGCTACCCTATGCCTACCCTGTTCCCTCCCCCCTCACAGGCGCATTGCGTCTTGACGCACAAGCAACTCAAGACCAGAATCAGAAACAAGGGACTGCATTCCGGCACGGATAGGTACAACTCCCATCTGCTTTTCTCATCCGCTTCTCGTTATTATTGCGCCAACACCCCAGCAACCTGAACAAAAGTCACACCCCCTTCCCCCTTCCCCCTTCTTCGGATCTTCCTTCTCCAATCATCCACTTCCTGGAAGACTATGGTCGCTTTAACCCCGGGGTCTTGCGCCACTAGCCGGAACATTGAAAAGTACGAATAGAGTACAACAGTACAAGCATCCACCAGCTCCACCATATCCTGACCCACGATCACCTCGTCTCTTCTCCTCGCCGAGACCCAGAAACGGCCGAACACAACGCATTCCAGCAGCACCTCAACCAGCAACAGGGTCCCCCTCCCGACTACGATCGATTGCTGGGTATATCTCCCTGTATGTGCCCTTGACCCCGTCGCAACCGAACGGCTCCACCGCGGCTTCATGCCAGGACAACCCGGGAAGCAGCAGGCGAGCAACTTCTGGTCCCGAACAAAGGAATACGCGCATCCCGCCCGTCGTGAGCCGAGCAGCAGCAGCCGTTTGACTCCCCGTTACGAGCAATGAGGTTGGTTGTCTCGTCTCTTTCACTGCTATTACAGTCTGGCTGCGCGCATCCATTCCGTCAACCCCTCCCGCCCGAGCCCTGTCGGCTCGTCGTGTCTCATTGCCAGCCATTCCGATGCTGACTCTTGTCACTCGATTTAGGGCAGATGTCCACTGCTACTGAGAGCGCGCCGAGGGATCGATATTTGAACGCCCGGCTAGAAGAATCAATGGGCGCCAGAACGGTGCCAATTCTTACCCCTACCATCCAGATGTCCGCTCCGTCGCCAGGAGACCCGATGGAGATCACGACCCCGACGAACTCGTCCGCCCCGCCGTCCGCCACCAAGAGCCCAGGCAGCGACGCCAATGGCATGAGCGAGCATTCGGGAACCACCTCGCAGAACGAGCAGTCGCCCGCCGACACCATCATCATGCCGGCCCCTGCCGCCGCCGCACCGGCAGTCCACCAGCCCAAGATCGTCCAGACTGCTTTCATACATAAACTCTACAAGTAAGAGCGATTTCTCTGTGACGGAGGTGTGAGCCTTTTGGGTTTTGAGGCTAAACGTGGAACAGCATGTTGGAAGACAAGAGCATATCGCACCTCATCTCGTGGACCACCTCCTCGGAGAGCTTCGTGATGCAGCCCTCACATGAGTTCTCCAAAGTGTTAGCGTATGTTGCCTGGCACAGTCCTGTTCGCCACCGGGGCACCCATCGCTGACCTGAGCAGCCAATATTTCAAGCATACCAATATCTCTTCCTTCGTGCGACAGCTGAACATGTATGGTTTTCACAAAGGTTCGTCTGCCCCCGCACCCGGCGCTCTGTCAGGACTGACTCCGAGGAGTAGTGAGTGACGTCTTCCATCATGGAGGGCCTGACACGGCCATGTGGGAGTTCAAGCACGGGAACGGGAATTTTAAGCGCGGGGATCTGGTGGGATTGCGCGAGATCAAGCGAAGGGCCTCGCGCCATGCCCTGGTTCACCGGGAATACAACCACCAGAAACCGCCATCCTCCCAGCCCGGCACGCCGGCCGAGTCCATGCCGCCAATGCAGGAAGGAAGCGACCCAAGGCTCGGCAACATTGAACACACGCTCTACGACCTGAGTGCTCGACTGCAGCGCAGCGAGGAAAACTCGCATTTCATGCACGTAAAGCAACAAGCCATGATGGACACCGTCGCACGCCTCTTGCGCTTCAACCAAGAGCTCTCGCGCGCTGTCCTCTCCCTTGCCCCGAGCCCAGATAATCCGATACATCGAGACAGTAAGTGGCGTTCCCAACTCTTATCCTCCCCTCCCCCCCCTTGGCAGCATTATATTCTAATATCTATCCCTTGTAGTTGTCGCGTTGCAGGGGGATATCCAGCGCCAGGCGGAGACGATCCGCTCATTAGACGATTCCCACGAGCCGCTCTTCTCGAATAACCGCCAATTCTTCTCCAACCTCGAAAACCCCCCCGTCTCACCGCGGCAATTAGCCCAAGATGATCCCCGACGGAACAGCCTCGCTGTTCCACAGGTTCGGCCTCCAAACTACTACCGGCCCTCCGTTCCCTCAAACCTATCCATTAGCACGCGTCGGCCGTATGGATCAATCGGCGCAAGCACAACCCAGTGTTCACCTTCGGCACTCCGGCCCCAAATACCACCGCCCCCTCCAGGGCCCCACCCCTTGGCCAACGTCGAGCTACCTCCCAGCAGCCTAGCTCGACGACATACATCAGCCGATATCCGGGCTCACGGCTGGCAGCCAACCCCCCCGCCCTTTGTCTCCTCAGGCCCACCCTCGACACATTGGCCGTCCTCGCCTAGCCGTGTTGCCCCTGAGGAACAGCGGATACGGGAGTCCTTGTCGACTTACTCTCTTCAGAGTAACTCGCAACCCCATTCGAGGCCAGCCTCGCCTCCTCCACCATTTGCCAACGGCGGCGGCAGCGGGGGAATTGACAGCTTCGGGAGCTGGTCATGGAACGCTGCCAACCGTGGAGATAATAAGAACCTCTCGATCAGGGACAGCTCAGCTCCACCGACTAGAAGAGGAAGTATGGCTCATATTCTTAACCCGACCGACACTGCGGAGAGGGAAGACGAAGACGAGATCGATCCTAGGGGCGAAGACGATCGGAAGCGGAAGCGCTTGCAATGATAGGGGCATGAATAGAGGAAGCAATAGGCAATATCCCGGCCTGCTCCCCCTCTCGCATCCACCTCCCAGAGCTGACATTTACCGACACTGCACATAATTCCTGCCATTAAGGCACATCCTGTACAGAAATTCCTGGATAACGGCCGCTGCTCTTTTGTTTCTCGGGCAAAGGAGCCTATGGACATTTGTAACGGCCGATACGTTCATGACACTTCGGAGAATTATCGCTTACCTTGTTCTCTTAATCCCACTCTCTACCACTGTCTATATTTCATATCATCGGACATTGTCTATCTACTTCTAATCCTGGATGGCCCATTGTTTGGGTTTTTCTCTTATTGGGTGGCCGAGAGTTTAGAGCGAGACAGACAGTCCTGCTCTGCCACACTTCGCCGGCGGTTGGGCTGTTTCCTTTGTCGTTTCTAAGGGCCGATGGGTGGTGGGTTACGCATCTGGAGGCGGGAAACGTGTTGCATTTTGGGAGGCTCTAATGACAGACGACGACGACGGCACTCTGACAGAAATAAAACAAATCCACCTGTAATTAGTGTTTTGATAATTCTGTACTTCTTTCTGCTGTTGCTGCGGCGTGGAGGTCGACGCTGTGAGATGAGGACGAGGTTTATGTGTATGAGATGATATGGAGCATTGACTTATGGCCTGCGAAAGACGGTCAACGTGTTGTAACCCCCTTTCTGTCTGGACAGGGTGGACATGGTTGGATTCGAAGTGTCCTTGCTGCATATACTTGCTGCACGAAGGGATCTGGATGAACTAGGTGGATAGGTAACATGCTCTAAGCCGCTTATTCCAAGATCAACACCGACAGCCGCTCTCAAGTCCGTCAAAAATCCCCATATGAACGTTGCGTAAAGCCCGCCTCAGCCCGACTCCGCAGGGGCTTTCCTCTTCTTCTTGTTCTTCTTGTTGGTCCTCTTCCGTTTCTTCTTCTCCTTGGCGGTGTCGCTCGGCTCTGCCGACACGGCTTGCGAATCCGACGACGGTACACTTCCCGACCCGACGATCCCCGCGCCGGCCCCGTCCGCGACCGCGTCCTCGTCCCGCATCCTATCAGGCTCGCCCCCAGCATCGGCACCCCGGGTTATCCCACCCTCGGCCGTCCCCACTGCCGAACCAAGAGCCCCAACAACCCCCTCGGCCTCGCCCTCGCTCACGCCCACGCCCACGCCCACGCCCACGCCCACGCCACCAACTCGCCTCCTCTTCCCCCTCCCAACCCCACTCCTCCCCTCCTCCTCCTCGCTCTCGCTGCCCCCGCGCTCCAACCCCCTCTTCCCCCCGGCCTTGTCATCACGACCGCCGCCGCCGCCGCCGCCGCCCCTCCCCAGCAGCCGCGTCCGCAGCGCCCGATCCATGCCGCCGCGCCCCGTCGCCGAGCCCGCGCCCGCGCCGGGGCCCGTGCTCGCGGGGAGGTAGCCGATGCCCGCGTTCGGGGGCAGGGCTTCGATGCGCTCTGCGGCTGCTGCTGAGCTCCGGTGTTGTTGTGGTGGGTGGTTGCTGTTGTTGTCGGTGGGGCGCGGCGGGGCCTGCTGCTGCTGCTGCTGCTGTGGCCCGGCCGCCGCCGCCGCGAGGGAGGAGAAGCCAGAGGAGGAGGAGGAGGGCTTGTTCGGTGTCGAGGCGGTCGGGCGGATGAGGGTCTTGAGGACGCGCTCGTGCTTGGCCAGGCCGAGGGAGATGCGGTTGAGGATCTGGTCCATGTTTGGGGCGAGGGGGAGCTTGGTGCTCTGGGGGGGGTCGGTTGGGGACATTTTTTGGGGGTGGGGTTGTTGGGCGGGTTTCCAACGGCAAAGTTTGGGGATTTCAAGATTGGGGGATCAGAGTATTGGGCCGGGAATTGGCAGTCAAGGCATCTCAAATTTAGTCCTGTATGAGACCTACTTTTTCTTTGCGCAGGTTGGTTATCGAAGTAGATCTCTGGAAGAGAAGAAGTTGGGGCATGTTGCATGTAAATTTGAAGATAACCAAACCCGTGGATAAATGCTTATCATCCTCGCTTATTTGCATATAATCCATTGAGAGAGCGACTGCCCCTGAGCTAACTTTAAACAGGGGAATAGGTAGGTAGCGGCAGATTACAATGACGACCTATCCAAAGGGGTATACAAGGAAAACAGAATAACTGGTTTTGACTGCCCATCATTCATACTGAATCAAGCAAGCTCGCCGTGTTGAGCTTCATATAGGGCCACAGGCACGCCATGTCCTGGCGCTCCGACAATCTCGGCCTTGTGATATTGAGCATGCCAATCTCCCCGGTATTCCAATCGCTCATATTTTTGCAAGAGACGGACAACTGTTTCGCACCGAGGTCAGTCGCGCATTAGCCATAGATTTAAACAGACAGAGAGGGGCCAGAAGACTCGACGTACGGAAGAAGGCCATCTCAGTCATGGCAAAGTTCTGTCCAACACAGATCCGCGGACCGCCGTTGAAGGGCACGTATGTCCAGGGCTTCGGTGTCCAGTGATCCCATCGATCCGGGCTGAAGATGGCCGGATCGGCAAACTTCTCCGACGGCGGGTAGAGATCCTTTCGGCGCTGCATCGCCAGCGCGCTGTAGACGACCATGTCTCCCTCGAGCACAACAATGTCAGGCTGACCCGGTTGACCGGGGAGCGTCGATGTCTCCAGGGCCGCACGGAGGTTGTAGGGCACGGCAGGGTATAGTCGCAGCGTCTCGTTGAGAGTGTGGGTTAGGTATTTCATGTCCTTGAGGTCCTCATACGTCGGCATCCTTGTTGACCCAACCGTGGCCAGTATCTCGTTGCGCAACCTTTGCATTACGCTCGGGTAGTTAGAGAGCTCATAAATAGTCCAGGAAAGAGTGGCTGCCGTCGTATCTCTTCCGGCAATGAGGACAGCCATAATCTGATCCCGGAGGACTTTGCGATCCCTGGTGGATCGAGCGATACTGTGGAGGAAGGTGAAGTGCTTGTCCGATTTGGAGAGCTTCTCCAATTCCTCCACGGGAAGCGCGAGGGCCTGCTCAATATATGGGTATATGAACTTCTCAATCACCCGGATGCCTCGTCTATATCGGTACTTGGGGATCAGATGCCGGAATGGACTATTTGTGTCATGTGTGAGCAAGCCTGTGCTTCCCTCAGAGCACTGGAGTTAGACCGTTGGACTGACGCTAAGATTGTCAACATCATCTGGATCCTCTGAACCTCATTGAAAGCATGGGCGAACTCGTGCTTTGGGCTGAGATAGGTCAGCGCCCCTGTTCAAGCGTCAATGCTCGGGCTGCCTACTTATCCAAGCTATTCACGCTAGCTCCAAGGAGGAAGTCGGTCGTGACATCGAGCGTCATTCGGTAGAACAAGTCCATGATATCTACGGTCTCGCCGGCTGGCGGGAGTTTTGAGATAAGGGCGCTGGCCCATTTGTCGAATATCTCCAAGTCCCGGACTTTTTCCTTTATGAACATGGGCCGGATCAAGCTCCTGCTGCTCTGCCACTGTCGGCCATCGGTGGTGAAGATGCTGTCCCCGAGAAAGGGGCTCCAGACTTCGTGAAACCGTGGCCCTTTTCCGAAGTCGGCAAACTTGCTTGTCAGAACCGTCTTTATATGTTCTGGTTCCCTGGTGATCAAGAACCTGGTACTGCCAGTAAAGGATATCTCGACGCAGTTGGGGCAATCCGGCGTTGCCTGGTTGAATAGTGACTCGTAGAAGTCCAGGAACTTGTTATTCATCTGTTTCCGCCCAGCAGAGATGAAGAATGGAAAGCCTGTTGAAGAAGGTTAAGCGCTTATCGCGAGGGCATCCAGTATGGCATCAACATCATTCTTACCAAACAGCGGGTTAGTTGCAAGAACGGGGGCTCTTACGCCCCCGGCATTGCGAACCCGATAGTTTGCAATCGCCCGTCGAAAAGCGTAGAAGAGAGTCAGAAGCACTAACAGGCCACTACAGATATTTGCAAGGCCCAGAGACATCACAGAAGTAAACATTGTGCATGACAAGGTGATAAACTACTGGAAGCAGGGGATATGGGTTGGACCTGGACAACTGAGAGCAAGATGGATTATCGAATTCTGATGTAAAAGCCTTGTATACTGCAAGGAGGAATGGTGGAGCATCTTGAGCAACATGTACTCAGCATTCAGCTTATTATACACATCACTTAAGAGATGGAAGAGGCACATGAAAGTCCCCCGCAGCACGGGACCGCGGTAGCGACTCAATTTCTCCGCATCATTGAAGGAGCTCAGTGGACCAATCAAAGAAACGGAAAGAGAACAATCCAACGTCTCGCAGTCGGAGTTCATGTCATCTGAAGCAGGCTCGATCTACGCCGAGTCTGACACTGCAAGATGATGCTTTGCCTGAAGGAGCTCTGCAAGATCTAAGCCTAATATACCATGCAGTATTTCCCAGTCGGGTGGGAACTCGCACAATTTTGTTTTGTTGGCCAATGGGTGCGCAGGGCGATTGAATGATTAAGCAAATACAAGGAGAGCTTCGAGAACGTTTACTTTCGGATGTCGAGACTTGCCGGCTGGGTGTTGGGCAGCTGACGGGGGTTCCCGGGAAGCAAATACCGGTCTCAGGGACCGACCTAACAATCTAACTGGACGGCCATTGGCTCGGAAAAATCCGCGGGAGCTCCTGAGAGCGTCATGTCTTGATTTGGAGCAACATCACTTTTTTCTGCCCTCCTAACGAATTGCAGCCATCATCCCTCTCGATCCAGCAATTGAGAGCAATCTCCCCTCAACATGTTCAAGCTCGGTCGCAACCGCGTGCTGGCTTCGGCCTTTGCCGCTCCCAAGGTATGGCTCTTGGCCCGCCTGGAAATCGATTTCGACGCGGTCCTGGTCTGTTAATTTCCGAAACTAACGTATTGAACTTCAGCTGTCCCCTTCTGCCAGACTGCCCGGCATCGCACAACAACGACGAGCTCTGAGCATCCACGAGTATCGGTCCGCCGATCTCCTTCGCAAGGTTAGCTCGCCAGCCTTCGGCTCGAGAGAGATATGCTAATCCCGACGTGCTCAGTATGGCATCGACGTGCCAAAGGGTGCTGTCGCCAAGACCCCCGAGGAAGCTGAGGCTGTCGCAAAACAGATCGGCACCGATGATATGGTTATTAAGGCACAGGTTCTCGCTGGCGGTCGAGGAAAAGGCAGCTTCGACAATGGCCTGAAGGGCGGCGTACGCGTTATCTACTCATCGACCGAGGCCAAGATGTTCGCCGACCAGATGATCGGCCACAAGCTCATCACCAAGCAGACCGGTGCTTCCGGCCGTCTGTGCAACTCGGTCTACATCTGCGAGCGCAAGTTCGCGCGTCGCGAGTTCTACCTGGCTGTCTTGATGGACCGTGCCTCCCAGGGCCCCGTCATTGTCTCCTCTTCGCAAGGAGGCATGGACATCGAGGCTGTTGCCAAGGAGAACCCCGAGGCCATCACCACCACCTACATTGATATCAACGTTGGCGTCACTGACGAGATCGCACGCGGTATTGCCACCAAGCTTGGCTTCAGCGAGCAGTGCGTCGAGGATGCCAAGGATACCATCCAGAAGCTCTACAAGATCTTCCTCGAGAAGGACGCCACCCAGATCGAGATCAACCCCCTTTCCGAGACGTCAGACCACAAGGTGATGTGCATGGATGCCAAGTTCGGCTTCGACGACAACGCGGAATTCCGCCAGAAGGAGGCCTTCTCATGGCGCGACCCGACACAGGAGGATCCTGATGAGGTGCGGGCCGCCCTGTCAAACCTGAACTTCATCAAGCTCGATGGTGACATTGGCTGCCTCGTCAATGGTGCCGGTCTCGCCATGGCGACCATGGACATCATCAAGTTGAACGGCGGCACGCCCGCCAACTTCCTCGACGTTGGCGGTGGTGCGACTCCCCAGGCCATCAAGGAGGCCTTTGAGCTCATCACCAGCGACCAGAAGGTCACCGCCATCTTCGTCAACATCTTCGGCGGCATCGTCCGCTGCGACGCCATCGCCCATGGCCTCATCCAGACCGTTCAGACCCTGAACCTGAAGATCCCCATCATCGCTCGCTTGCAAGGTACGAACACGGAGAAGGCTCACCAGATCATCAACGACTCCGGCATGAAGATCTTCTCGATCGACGATCTCCAGAGCGCCGCCGAGAAGGCCGTACAACTCTCCAAGGTCGTAAAGATGGGTAAGTTCGACGCCAACAATTTTCCCCCTTCCCCTGGTCGTGCCTAACTCAGCCGCTAGCTCGTGACATTGATGTTGGCGTCGAATTTACTCTGGGAATTTAAGGTACGGTATAGACTGGACGGACGGACGGCTTCCCCTTGTACTACATACAACTACAACAACACACCCCCGGAGGCGGTTTCATGCGCGTGTAAATAAATACCTATGCGGATTAGAAACGCGGAATGGGATTAATCGTGCCTGAGGCAGTTTTGGCCTCTTCTCACCATTCTCGTCTGTTCCCCTGGCCGTGCAAGGCCATGTTCGAGTGTTATCTTTGAAATGGGAGGCGACTGTTCGAATTGTCGGACCCGGTGGTTGTTCCTTGTCCGGTCATGCATTCCTGAATGACTGACTGACGAGCGGCGGTAGCGTTCGTTGGAGTCAGGAATACCATGGTGGGAGGGAGGCAGCAATCGGGATACGCATCTACAGTCTGAGGAAAGTAGGATGTTGGTTGGGTGGTGGGATTACTGATGATAGGTAAATCTGACGGCTATTGAGAGTAGCTGGAGGAATAGGTACGTTTCCAAACCGGCATTGGAAGGAAAAGAAGGGGCGAAAAGCGAGACGAAATGAGATGATTCAATCGGGATGAGGGCGGAAACTTATACCGACACACCCGGAATTCCGGAATTCGAAGAAGGCGGGGGATCGGCATCGTGAACCCGGAAGGAGCCACGGCATGTTGAGGCGCCAAAGACCTGTAGTGGCACGGGCCAACTTGCCCCATGTTTGTTTTACAAGGCTTAGCGCCTTTGGCAATAACAGAGACCACAACTACCTATACATGCGTACCTCGAGAAGATGATCTCGTTCGGATTCTTAGGGCTGACTTGGCTCAGCCGCTTGCTCCTGGCCACGCCACGGTACACAGCACATCGACTTTCTTACGGATTTTTGCCCGATCTATCTCGTCGGTTCTGTTTGTTCTAGACCCTCCTCGACAGCTCCCGAGCGGGGCAGGGCAGGACCAAGGATCTCGTTATCCGCAACTTCCAACCGCGGTGCCAATGCCCGTAAACGGGCGGCTCAGACTAGGTATTTATGAGGATCCGCCGCTTATTCATTAGACTGTTCTGAGACGGGGTAAGAAGCATCGCGTCGCTGTCGAGGCTCACCTCCATGTCGATCGTTCGCCTTCAGCCCTCTGTGAAAGGCAAACCACCATTGTGCTACCAGATAACTTGGTCTGGTCCGGGAGAGACCTTGTTCGATCGTAACCCCTACGGAGAAAACTCGCGCGGTCCGCGCGCACCGCGCACTGCGCAACGAGTAGTCGCAAACATTGACTATTAGTACGATTGGCGCATAGCATATCTCACACTCTCCCACCCTAAAAGATCGAATGTCTATGCGCAGACAAGGTTCGACTTTGGAACTAGTGAGGCCGAGGCAGCTGAGCCACCCGCAAGTTCGATTCCGTCTTAGTTCGGGGACCTACTACCGCGGGATGACCCAGTCTTGGCCTTGCATCCTGCGTCCCTTGTCTAACAGGAAAAGGTCTATATAAGAGGGCAACGTCCCCCAACTTGGACTCCAATACTCAGTCTAATTGAAACATTTTCCCAGTGAGCCTACTTCCTACCTACCTACTTTTGACTTTAAGTAGAGCCATATCTCAGGTTTCCCTGTCCCAGCCTCACCTTGATCACATATCCCATTCGCAGTCACTACTCTCCTTGAAGGCCCCTCTTCCACTCTAGGACCTTCACCACTTCCCACTTCCTACCTCCCACCTCCCACAAAGCACCATGCCCAGCTCAGCCATGTGCCCCTGCACAACCTGCTTCAACGCTCCTCCCGGGCCCCGTCCAGCCAACGCCAACACCCTCCCCCGGCCGGTCGCGAAGCAGTCAACGAAAGCGTACAAGACGACGCGGACGACCGGCTTCTTCGCCGGCCGGCTGAAGAGGACCCCCAGCGTCGACAGCACCAGCTCCGACCTCGTCAGGCTGCGCTCGTCCGCCCAGCCGCCCGCCTACACAGATACCGAGGAGTTCCGAGTTTAGGCCGTTTACCTGCATAATGGCTGTCTCGCAACCAAAACCCAAAGGAAGGTCGATGCCGAACGACGTCCGGACTAGAGCAAAACTTGGGCAGGGCAGTGGATGTTGTGACGGGTGGCGACACATGAACGAGCGTATCAAGCAATCATGGACTCGCGGGCCTGTGAACGTCGAAAAGACTCCCTTGTCGGGTTGAGTCATAGGACCTTTTTTTTTTTTTTTTTTTTTTTGGTCAACGTCGCCACTGGAGTTATGGTCCGGGATACCCAATCAATGGAATTACATGCACCCGATGCATCCCCCGGAACGACGTTTTTCTTCTTTTTTTCGCTATGGATCCGCACAGCCAGCAAACACCCAAGGGATCCCACCTCATACCTCATATCAGGTGCTTTTGATGTCAAGAAAGCTGCCTCCCGGCTTGGCAAGCACTTCTTGCCGCCAGAAGCCGCCTGCTCCGCCTACTCCGCCTGCCCCGCTTGCTCTGAGCCGTCCCGTCGGCTTCCCAACCCCGATAGGAAAACCGGCAAACGAGGTTCGAGAGAGGGTTTTTCTTTTTCATTTTTCGCCCTCTTTTTTAGGTGGGCAATCCTACAGATCCCCTAGATGATTCACCAAAAAATATAACAAAAACTTAACCAACCCACTCAGTCCAGCAGGAGCAAGAGATACATACATACAGCCACTTTATTAGGCTTGATGTGCCAGCAGAGAATTGTGTAAGTCCGTTCCTTCCGCCATCACAGTCACATGCCCCCAACAATATACACACCCTCCGCGGAAATGCCTTGCCTGGGGATAGTTATCCATGAAACCCTTCCCGCCGCCTCTGGCGGTTGCGCTGGGCCCGCGGGCTACACGTAAAGTGACAAAACTCTTTCAACCCATGTAGAAGCAAGCTCGCTCATTAAGGAGCGTTGGAGGGCCTGGTCGGAGATGCCGTTGACATTCGATCAAAGCGTCCCCAGCTGGCATTGACTTCCGCAACCAAGCACGCTTCAACTGGGTCAGCCGATATTAGATGGCTGGTTAACCACTTATTAGGGCTCATAGAAGAACCAGGTTAGTAAATATGGTAGCACAAGAACACCGTAAACGTCAACGAGGAACATATATCGGCTAGGCGAGCAACAATAAGAAGTCTTTGTAATGCCGTTACAGGTACCCCCTATCCTTTACCCAAACACGCAGCATCCCTTTTTTAGTATCAAATTACACAAGTGTCCCTTATAAACCCCCCAACCCACCTTCTTCTCTGTCTATGTCGGTTTGTCTTTGGTTCAAATTCTGATTATGAAAAGAAAGAAAAAAAAAGAAAACCAAAAAACGGCGCCCATCAACATGCCAAGCCGTGATGATTAAGTAGAAGACCCCCAAAAAAGCCAATGTTCGAAGTCCATCCCCCCAATCGAAGTGTATAAGACCCGCCCCGAAGAAAAGCAGACCATGTAATGCCAAAGCAGAAGGCAAGTCTTTTTCCCTAGGTGCCGAAGCACATTCTCCGGCCAACGCCCAGAACGGAAGCGGCCACCGCCAAGTGAAGAAAGGTTAAATAAACGAATAAATAAAAGAAGAAAAGCAAGGGGGGAAATATAATCAGACATTTCCCGTAGCCTCATGGTGTGGGAAGTATCGACCGTTGAAAGGGTGAGTTTTCCCGTTATGTGGTCTTGTTTCGTAATCGCATCTGCAAAAAGAGGGTGTCCCGGGACATCATCATGATCCGTAGATAGAAGAACCAGTGTGCATGAAAGCAAATACGTCGCTATAAACAGTGGCAGGTATTATGGGATCCGACTTTAGCGGGAATTCAACGAGAGACCCTGAAAGGCGCCCATCCATTCAGCCTGCTGTGCCAATGGAGACACGGGTTGGTCGTGTTGAGCCCCTCCTGCCTGTGGAGTCGGGAACCGCCCGCGGCCAAGGTGATATTCGCCCGACTGTGGGAAACCAGACTGGAATTGGTCCAAGCCTTGCATCATGCCGGGTGCATAGGCCAAATTGCCTTGCCGGGAAGTGCCTCCGAAAGCGCTACCGTAGGGGTTGTACGAGTAGTTTGCAGGTGTGAAATTTGCTCCAGGTATGCCAGCCGAGTCGTGGAAAGACGGGTGGCTGTTAGAGGGCCGCACAACGCGGCCACCCTGGTTCGTCATGGAGGGAAAGCCCGAAGGTTGTTGTTGTTGTTGCTGTTGTTGTTGCTCCGCCGCCGAGGGGTTCTGACGGCGGTCCGTGGGGCCCGAGCCCCGGCCGACGCCGACGGCTCCCGGGCCAATTCCACTGGGTGCCTGTAAGCCAAGGGTCGGGCTTGCAAAGGAAGCCGGGTTGATGGCCGACATCCAGATACGCGTCTTGTATATCTTGAACAGGTCCGTAACAAGTGAGTTGAAGTTGATGTACGAGTCGGCAAAGTAGTAGAATGTCAGTTTCTTCCAGTCCCTGTTCACTAGTTAGTGAAGGAGTCGTCAACTGACTTCTTTGACGGCCTTCCAACTCACATTTGGAATTCAGCATCGAGGATCTCCATGTTGAGACCATGCTCCTTGACTTTCTGCATGCACACACGCTTCGCCTTCGCCTCATTACCCTCCTTGTCCCGCAAGGCGTGTATCTCGTGGCTTTGCGCCAGACGCTTGATCAGCTTCGGCTTCAGCTCGCCAGAACTTGGCTCCTGCATATGGTGCGGGTTTGGCGGGCCCATGCCGCCCACGGCGCTGCCCTGCATACCGTTGGATACGACCATGAGGCCGGCGCCGGAACCACCCTGGGCGGCCGCCGCATTCTGAGAGTACATCATCAACCACTTGTATTGTTCTTCGGCATAATGCTCCTTCAGCTCCTTCGCCGTCTGCCAGTCGACATTGTCTCGAGCCACGGTTCCAAGGTCAGTGCCGCGATCTGCTTCGACGATGACAAGATCGCCCGGCTTGACGGTCAGGCCCGTCCCTTCTTGGATGTAGAACACGTCCGCTCGCGCGCACTTGAAGAGGACGACGTGCAGCAGCTGGTTGTGCCTTGGCTGCGTCAGGCCATACATGTTGCGGTGAGGAGAGGGAGGCCTGTTCGAATACGGCGCGTGCATCGCGGCATAGGGGGACGGGAATTGGCCACCATAGCTGGCCTGGGCAATGGCCTGTTGCGACCCCGCGAGGTTGGGACCTCCGGCGAAATAGGACGAGACTGAATCTGTGGTCAGCTCCAAGCGGCGGGACAAAGGGGGGTTACGGTCTTCTCACCTTGGTTACTGGTAGGGTAATTAGGCATCTCGGAATACGGGGAAGGGAAGTCTTGCGGATGCTGCGAGTCCTGAGCGCTATGCTCGTGAGGGGCCACGGATTCGCCAATCGAGGCGATCGAGCCTTGACGTGGCGCCACGTCGGCGAACGAGTGTCGTCTACTCTGCGAAATGTCACCAAGCCCACCAAACCCCAGCGAGCTCTGCCAGATCGCCTTTTTAACCGTCTCCAGCTTCCGATTCTCAAGGGAGTACGGCGAACGGAAGGGACCGGCGCCGAACTCGCTCATTCTCCGTCCAAGGCCACGCCTCGCCGCCAAGTCGGATGGATCATTGGACTCGTCAAGTTCGTCGATAGCATAGTCTGACTCCTCCGGAAGGGGTTCCTGGAGGTAGCCATTTCCTAGCGCGTAGGCTGCGGAACTCGCGGCTCTGGGCCTCATGCGGGAGGCCTGATAGTGCTGCTGCTGCTGCTGCTGTTGTTGCTGTTGTTGCTGTTGTTGCTGTTGTTGCTGCTGCTGCTGCTGTTGTTGCTGCCTCAACATGGCGTTCTCTCGAGCAAGATATTCGATCGCCTTGGCCGCCTCTACCGATTGAAGTTGGCTTCCTTGCATCGAACCCGTGCTGTCATCGTCGTCATCCTCGTTCACCTTTCCCAACATAGACCCGTCGTTCGCCATCTCGCTGAGCATACTAGGCCTTGATGGTCGGTGTTGAAGTCCGGAATGGGGTGTTGGTCTGCATCGAGAGCCGATCATCGTCGATGGGCCCATAGACGTCGAGGTTGCATCTGGCTCCAACTGACCTACCGAGTAGGACTGCGAGCGGTAGGTTTTCGGAGTTGGGTGGAGGGGGATTGCAAACGGGATTTGCGAGTTCGAGGCTTGCTCTCGAGGAGGAGCGGGGGAAGTCTGTGTCCGTCCAATCTCGGCGTACATGGGGTTGTTTGGAGCGCCAGACGAGTTGACGGAAGAGGGCGATGGTAGGACTTCGGACAATCTCGATGGGGGCTCCTTCCTCTCGCTATTCCAGATGCCAGTTCCCCAGGGGAACGAGGCCGGACCGGCGTGGCCACGATTCAGAACGCCCGAGGAGGTCGGATGAGAACCCCACGTAGGATCGGCGGAGGGGGTGGTGGGATGGGAAGTTGTTGGCGACATGGAGCTGCTGGCAAATGAACCCTTTCTTGGGCGGCTAACCGCCTGGGAGGTATCGTTCAACCAAGAGGCCCGCCGAACAGGCTTCGGCGGGTGCACCGTGGGCGGTTGGGAATCCTGGCGATGAGGATCTACCTCGTCGTCCGAGCTAGCCAGCGCCTCGGAATCGGGGGTCGAACGCCGGGCGTTCAGCTTGTCAAGCAGGATCGTCTGGCTGTTCGGCGCAACAGCGGGGAGAGCCGTTTGGCCTGGCTTAGACGGCGCGCCAGGCTTGGCAGTTCCGGAGATCATCGTCTGGGTCACCGGCGAGTCCACAAAGGCAGGATAACTCAGGGCTCCTGCAGAGGCGGACGGATCGGAGAACGGTGAGGTGGTTGTGCAAAGTAATAACCATCAGGTCAGACGAGCGACCTGATCGATAATGGCAATGGCGAGCCTGAAATATCCCAGTTAGTCTCACAGCAGTGTCGAGAGCAGTGTGGAGACACGAGGCTAGGCAGTTCCTACCTCAGCGAGCGCCGTGGGAATGTATGGCTGGAATGGACGAATGGGGCAGAATAAGGGTCCAACTTGGATGGAACGACAACCAACACAGGGTCCAGTCCACAGTATAGAATGCAGCTTCTTGATGTGGCTCGCGGCCCGGTCTGTATGAAAAATCGAGATTGTGCGCGTACCGGACGGGAAATGGGTATTAATTCTATAATGTGGGTATCAGAATCAAGCGTCTAGGTTTGCTTAAAGGCAGGTCGAAAGGTGGTTGGAAAGAAGGTAGTCGATCAAAGGGGTCGAGGTCGGTCGCTCAAGAAGACACAGTCGTCGGTCCCTAGGCCGGGGATGCGCAACACGCGAGAACAAGGCCCTCGCGGCGAAACAATTGAACGCGAAGGTTGCGATGAGATGCGGGGTGCTCCGTTGAGTCAGGTTCAACGGACGAAGAGTCTTCCAGCGAGGCTCCGCTGAATGGTAAACCCCTTCGAGTACCGTCGCTTTCGCGCCGTGGCCTCTTCCTGGCGACGAATGCACGTTGCTGACCTAGGCGCGCCGGCCCATTGCACTTGTCGACCACAGACAGGCGGAGGCGAAGAAAAATAGATGGCGGTCAAAGACGGCGCGATGCGGGAATGGCGACGTGCTTCAGGCTTGCGGAAGCTGGGTGGAAAGTGCGAGTGGACGGGGGAAATGAGAATTGTAATAGTGGAGGAGTGGTGGCGGACAGGCAGCGGTGGTCGTGGTGGTGGTGGTTGTAGGAGGTGGTCGTGGTGGTGGTCTTGTTTAAGCTGGGCGCGCCGAAGTGGACATGGGGACATGGGGAGGTGGTGGTAGTTGTACTATGTGGAGTGTACGCAGTAGGTTGGATTGGAAGCATTGGCAGGCTCGAAGCGGGAGCGGGGAAAGGTTGAAAGCACGTTACTCGTTAGTCGTTGCTTGTTAGTGGCTGCCCGGATCCTGGCTCCTAGTCGGAGGGCGGATGTATGGTGGGTAGCCTGTACCTACATCACCGACCTACTATGCAACAGGTACTTTACGTAGTTGATGGAAGCTAAAATGAGAACTAAAAGTTGGCAAGAGAGTGCGGCCAACACCATCCACCGTGGCAAACCCAAAATCTGGCGAATGAGTTGAAGTTTCTTTGATTTTCCGTCCCCCTTTCACTCCGGGACAACCCCACCACAGACTGACGGTCACTTGAGTGTGGCAAGATTTAGCTGGTGAGGTTGGAAGTTGGATCGGCCTGTCTAGATTGAAACCACCAAGCGACCGGCGATATGGGCTCAGGCCTCAGGGGAGCGGGAATGGATCAACTAGATCCAGGTGGGGAGGTGGATATTGAGTGAATGGGAAAAGGGAGGGGCAAGTAACTAACTGGAAGGTAGGGAGGTAGGAACGGTAGTGGGAGGCAATTTGATGGTGCCTCTTGCAGCATGCAGCCCTCTCTCCCCAGGTGGTGTTTAAAGGGAGAGAGCCCGTTAGCGAGCTACACAATCTTGGATTTGACAGATTAACTGCCCACAGGAAGCCTCTAGCACACTACAGGAGCTTAGGAACATCCATTCTCTGTTTGTTCCAGGTTCTTTTTATCCAGGACGCACCTATTTCTGAATACCAGCACAGAGGATCCATGATGCTCCTAGTTCTCCTCTATTGGTACCCTGGCATCTACCAGGTAGTATCGGCATGTATGCATGTAGCCAGTTAACCTGGATGCTCGAGGGGAAAAGGGGGTGGGTCTCGGCAGCCTTCGTACCTGACTAACGGGGACATCACCTCCTACCTACCTTACCCAGGTACTTGGAGAGAGCGCATCGCGTCCTCTTCATGAAGTCTGTTATTCAAGACCTATTATCCTCAAACCAGCCTTGGCCTCCATTCTACGCTATAGTAGTGGTCCGTTCACAGGGAGCGGTGCATTGACCGTTCGTTGATACTTCGGCTCGATCATCATCTAGACAGCCAGTCGCGGCGTCGCTGTGTCGCCATCTTGGGAAGATTTGCAGGGTTCCTCCCCGTCCATCGATGGTCATGAAGCTTGAGCAATGCCTGAAACGATAAATACTGCGCAGTAATCCATCCGTATTCCGTACCTTCTTCTTGGTGCCCAAGCCAGCTGCTGGAGCTCAACCAGAAGTGCTTCTAGTCTGGAGAGTTAAGCAGGGGGCGTGCCGGGGGGCGGGGGGCTGGGGAGCGGGGGTGATGCGGGAACCCTTCACGGGTGGTATACACAGTAACCATGGGCAGCGATACAGTGGTAGAATGAAGGTGTGTTTGAACTTCCATTGAACAATCAATGATTTCCCGTACAGCATACATATGCAGGCTGGAGTATGTATCGGCACGCAGTTGATGATACAGGCCTAATGTTTTAAACGACCTGCGCGAGCATGCACCACGCCCAAAAGGGCTCTCTCTAGATGCAACCCCATGGCCGGATAGCCAATTGGGAACGGCGCGACCTGCGCTGTAGAATTCCGCCCCTATCCCGGACCCGCCCCTTTTCTTTTTCCTCCGCAATCACCTCCAACTTCATTGGCCAGTTGCTCACCTTTGTCCTCGTCTCTTCACCTCGAAGGCTGGTGACATCAGGTCGCCGAAGACACAAATGATTGGAATGCCGGCCTCCGCACGTTCTTCCTGGGCCGTCAAGATCACTCACTATCCAGCAGATGCAAGGCAAGGATCATGACGGGTAGGCGCCCAAAGAACGAAAAGCAAAACCATGCCCTGCCCTTGGGGTTTAAGGGGTTGTTTCTTCGCCTTTCCTCAACACTAGAATCTTCCAGACAAACCAAAAACTCTGGTGGAGGGCAGGAATGGGAGGGTGGCAGCCTTCCTGTTGCTCCACAAGTAGCCGCGCTACAACACACCCCCATTCCGTGGCTCTTGAGGAGGTTAATCTCGCCAGTTCCACCACCCCCAGCAAGACAAGTAGCGAGTATCAAGTATCAGGTATCAAGGAATAAAATCCCAGGATGGCCCACGATAACGCCCTTCAGCCTAAATCAACAGGGGCGAGGCCGGTGAGGCAACTGAATCCATGGATCGGCGTTCAAAGGAAAAGAAGGGACCCCAGTTGAACCCCAGAATCATATGTGCAAGCTATTTGTGGGCCGTGTCCCCCATCTCATCTCATCAATCGGTGTGGATCGTAAATAATAATGTAGCTAACGGGGCAGGGGGGTGGACACGGATTCTCCCATGTCAGATTAGGGTTCCCCACTACATTTATTATGGACCTACCCCGCCTGTGGACGGACCTGGCCCTCCTCACTTTGCCGCCTGTTTGCATTTCAAGGTTGATGGGCCTCTCTACCCCGGATTCTCCGCCCGTCAACCAGCCCAACGGCGCCGCGGAGTTGCACAGGTCAAACACGCCCCCCTGTATCCGTATTCGCCATCTTTTTGATCCGTACACTGCAATCTCTTCCTCTCCTCGTTGCGATAGAGCTATGTGTACTAGGTATGTACAACGACGGAACTGCCCGGCGGTGGTTGGTTGCTTGCCCTGTCACGCGAAAGACGATACCTTCGTACCAAACGCCACCGCACATGAGTGGCTGTCCTTCCCTAGGATTTGTCAATTTCGGTTTCGAGTGGCCAATTGCTGTGGCACGGGACCCTAAGAAAGTGAGACAGGTCGTTCCAGCCAGCCGTAGGTAGGTAGCTTGGTAGACTTCTACGTTCTACGAGAATAAGAACCTCGTTACCTGGAATCACTAAATGGCATGCCGTTTTCATAACATCCAGTCCCTAACGGCGGATTTATGTAAGTTGAGGTGATGATGATGATGCACCAACTGACACACGCGTTTAAGCTCGAAAAAACAGCCCATTAAGTCTATTATAGTTTAGCAAGCCAAGAAGGCCAGATCGAGAATGCTTCTACATATGACGATCGATCATCCCATTCTGTACCTTGGCCAGTGGGCAGGGCATTGCACTTGTGTGACTAACCCGGGACTGTATCTAGACTGCCCTTCCCGACAGTCGTCGGCGGGACTGCATCAGCACCTTTCTGGGCCTTGAGTTTCTCCTCAAACTTTGCAAACTCCTGGAGGGAAATCTCTTCCTCCTGGTCCATGACCTGATGGACACCCTTTACTTCCTCAATCTACAAATTCGTCAGTGGGAAACCCGAACCTCCCCTTGCGCAATAAACATGGAGCGGGTGGGGCGTGAGAATTAGATAGTCAGCGACTTACGTAGTGCATGAGCATGCCCTCGATGCCGTTCTTCAGAGTCACCGTGCTGCTGTCGCAAGTCCGGCAGGCCCCCCTCAACTTCAACAGGACATTCCCGTTCTCGAACCCACGGAACTCGATATCGCCGCCGTCCTCCTGGATGGCCGGCCGTATCCTCGTCTCGAGCAGCTCCTTGATCATGCCGACGACCTCGCTGTCGTTCTCGTCGTAGGCAAGGCTGTCCTCGGCACCGCCCGACTCTTGGCCGTCCTCGGCCCCCTCCTTCCGCTCCGCCACGTTGACGATGGTCTGCCCGGACGTGATCGCCTCCGTGATCAGCGAGAACACCTCGGGCCGTATGTGTGCCCAGTTGGCGTCGGCGGCCTTGGTCACGGTGATGAAGTCGGCCCCGTAGAAGACGGCCGTGACACCGTCGATGTTCATCAGCTGCGCCGCCAGCGGCGACGGGTAGGGCGGCGCGATCGTCGACCGCGGGTTGAGGTACTCGATGAAGGGCGTCGACATGGCCTCCGGCAGGACTCGGTGGTTCGGCAGGAACTTGAGCGCGTCCGCGTTAGGCGTCGTCTCCGTCTGGATGAATATTGTGCGCCGGCCCCGACCCGTGGTGCCCCCGGGGAGCGTCGACCACGGCTCCTGCGCTCGCTGTAGACGGGGCCGCACGCCTGCTGCTATGGCGGGAAGGCGGGAGCTGTGATGGGACTGTCTGGCGACAGCTGCTTGGACGAGGCTCAGAGAGCCTACAACTGGCTTTGTCGGCCTTCCCTTGCAGAGAAGGGTGGCCGAAGTTCGAAGCAACCTGGTGGGTGCCATGGCTACCGTATCGTCATTGAATACGCCGATTAAACGAGGTAGATCTTGTTCTAAAGGTCGAACTTGTAAGGCGATGTAGTGAAGTTTTTGAACAGCTCAAGTTAGGTACCGACGTACTGTATAATGAGATGCCGAGTTTTGCCGCAACAGTGGTGGCGTACTTCGCTGACCAAGCCTCCGCGGAAATAATTTCTTGGGTATGCGTCATAGCTAGGTCCATTAGCCTTGCAAACAGCGGACTCCAAAATCTGGACCCAATCATCAACTAGATGTTTCAGCATTCACCATCAGGGATTTTTTACTGGGCCCAGTTGTCTGAGATCTCCGATTGGTGATAAGCTGACTTCAGCTGCGGCATCCAAACGCAATTCCAACTTCACCTCGTCCCCAATTCCTATTGTCTTCGAGCTCAAGGACCATGGATCCCTCGCCGGACGAGAGCGAAACATCTTCAGCGACCGCCGATAAGCTGAAGCCTGTCCAAGATGCCGAACCCCAGGTCGGAAACACACCAGATCCTGCGAGTATCAATACCGAAACCACTGCAGCGTCCCAGGCAACCAGAGGTCCTCGTATTTGCGGGGTGTGTAACAAGGACGTCGGAAAGTATAAATGCCCAAGATGCACCATCACATAGTAAGGAAACCCCGAGTCTCCCCATCGTGGTGGCATCAATTGGCTAATTTAGTCCCATCCCCAGCTGCTCTGTCGCCTGCAACCGCATCCACAATGTGAACCACCCTCCCCCCACCCAACCCGTCACGAAACAATCCCCGCCGCCCGGGACAGAACGCGACACCCAGAAGGACGACCCCTACCGGGTCCTTCTGGAGCACAGTTCCGAGTTCAAGCGCCTTTTCCAGAAATACCCCAGCCTCGAGACCGAACTAACACGAATACACGAGGTGACCCTCCCGCCGCGGGACGACGGCACCACCGGCGGCGCGCTGCCGTGGAAGGTCAGGGTTCCCGGGCAGGCGCACAAGGAGCCCTGGTCGCGGGACGTGGGGCTCCGGACGGGCGCTGCGGCTCTGCGGAGGGCGCGCACCGACCCCGGCGACACGGGCGACGCCGTGCGCGAGTACTGCGACCTCGTCCTGCACCTGCTGGCGGCCTCGGGCCGCGACGACGCCACCGCCGTCGTCCGCCGGGAGGTCGCTGCCGAGGAGGCCAGGACCGTGGAGCGCCTGCTTGCCGAGGAGGGGGACCGGCCCTGAAGATATGAGCGGGTCCCTCTCTCTGTATATCATTGTGGAAAGAGTGGTGGGGATCCAACCCTAGTACGCTCTTACTCGGAGAGTATCTGCTTGCCGGTGATACCCAGCTGGTTATGGAGTCGGTGTTTTGATTCGGGTTCACCGAAATCTGGCATAAAAGCTGCGTTCCAAGGCACACAAGCCGGTTGTTGACTTTACATCCTGAACATTAAGTATATTATCATTACGTTGCTTGGGAGGTAAGCAAATCCCAACCCAGCGAAAAGATCATTAGCTAACGCTTAAACTTAGCAAAGAAGCCTGGTTTGGGGGACTTTGGTGCCTCTGGTATATGTGGGGGGTCGGCTTTCTCCTGTGACGATCCCCTACTCCCGAGCCTCCCCTTTAATGTCCAAATGGAATCTGCCTTCCGCAACAGCGGTGACCGGAGCCCTTTATGCCGCTGCGCAACTTCGTCGCTCTGGGTCCAGTCAACCCGGGGTTTGAGTGCCAGGGGGGTTTGTTCTGGCTCCTCTTGCGGTATTGTATCGTCCATGATGTCTGCCACCGGCTCCATCGGGGCAGAGGAGCCACCCCTGTCCTCCAGCTTCCCAAGCACATCCCCGGTGCTATTCCTCCTTGGATTAGGCTGCTGGTTCTGCTCGGGAGGCTTGGTCCGGGCCAGCTCCCCCTGGAAAGTATGCCGTTGCTGGAGTTCCGTGTCTCGCTCCCGCTCCTCGTCCATCTCCGCCGCCGTCTCCAGGATCCGAGTGCGCTGGAACTGGTTACGGTCGTAAATTCTTTCCCTCTGGCTCTGACCCCGCTGCAAAGACCTCGTCAGTTGGAAAGGTCCGAGGCTCGCATCGCCCTCTACGTTCCGGTTCGAGTGCAAGCCGCCAAGGTGGAACTTGAGTGCTGTCTCCGAAAGCTTGTGGATCAAGCCGGATTCTCGCATCCCCCCAACCGTGGTCGTTCGCGCGAATTGCTTTGCGGCTTCCCGAGGGACGTGGTGGTACTGCGAAGGCTCGCTCGAGGTCGTCGAAGCCGGAGGGGCCATGGCTAGCTTGGACGGCTTTCGTTGTGTGTTCGAATGGGTGGATTTTTGCTTCCGCAGCTCCGAGATTAGGTCAGTCGATATATCCGCCGACCTGGATCTGTGGGGTGCCGCTGATGGATCTTTGGATTGCCCCGCTGCCGGGGCGGTCTCTCCATCTCTGGGCGGTGCGCTGGCCGAGGTCGAGGCCTCCGCCTCCGCCTCCGCCTCCTTTGATTTCGCCGCCTCCGCCCTCGCTCGTCGCTTTCTCTCCGAATGCGCTCTCTGGTCGGCCATGACGAGATATAGCCGCCGCGATAGCTCGTCTGGGTCGAAGTGGCCTTGGGGTGTCATCGCCGTCGGCCGGATCTTGGGCTTCACGGGCCTTGCTGGCGGCTTGGCCACGGCCTGCTCGCGCGTGTAACTCATTTTGTATTGGATTCCCAGGCCCGACAACGCGCCTGACGGCGGAAGTGGTCCTCCGAATGCGGCAGCGGCTGCAGTCATGCCAGTGTCGGGGGCAGAGGAAAAGGTCATATGAGCCGAGGCAGCAAAGTCATCGAGTCCGTTCTGACGAGATTAGATATCACAGTCAACAATCAACGAATATCCGAATAAACACTGTCATCAAGGGCCAATAGCCGGGCTGGTGTTCTTGGGAGAATGTATAGCCGGAAAAAAAGGACTGAGAGGCAATCGGTATTGCGGGGGAAAATGAATGGTCATGGGTCTCTCTACCTATTTGAGGTCGGCAGTGGGGAGTGCTGCTGCCCCCTGTTCTGGCTGTTCTGGGCCCCTGGGGTGTTCCGTTTAGTGACAATACAATGCTACACTAACCCGTACCTTGGTTTGCTAACAAGGGACGTTTAAAGTTAGTGTACGCAGTGAAAAAGCAGATCGGCCTTGGCGACACATCGGTTCTTCCATTATTGTCCTCTCGGTTCCTATCTTGGCGACGCAAGGCCGGCAACCCTAACCCGGGGGTTGGCCGGGAGTTTCTGTATAGCACGTGCCCACTGTTCTTCAGCTCCTTCCTCAATCGAAGGAGTTCAGCTGAAACGGTGAATAGGTAGTGTCCAGCTGTGGAGGACGCTATTGCCATGGCTGTACGTATATCTCTGCCCAAGGATGTGGTGGCACGCAGAAAAACACGTTCTCTTACCAACTAAATGAAACTTTGGCCGGGGGTTCCTGTCTGTTTTTGGTCGTGGCCCGAGCTTCCGAGTGTCGGCGGGCCTCCCCTGCCGCTAGAGCAATGTACCGCTTTGCTACCCTGAATCTCGGACCCTGCTATGCTACGAATAGCATCACCGTTCTGTGTCGTCTGAATGCTTGCATCTATCAATGATCAAGCTCGCTCATTCCCTTGTTTTTCAATGAGGGCCCCCAATCTCTCTGCCATCGTTCCTGAGAGAAAGCGCTAACTGTCACAGGGAATCCCTAGTCAAGCTTAGCTGCATTTAACTCGCAAGGTCACCTGCTCGCCGTCACGAGTAGTGATTGTCTCGGGGTTTCGTTGGGGCCACCCAATGCCGACCTTTCCTCGCCCTTCCCACCCTTCCCACGAAGGGTGGATGTGAGTGGACAGATTCGGTGGTCCAGAATGCAAGCCCATATTGTCGAGCGCACACGCCGCCAACCAAGAAGATGATCTAAGTGTTTCGCTGCCGATCCCTCTGGATCATCTCCCAGCTCCTACCACTGGGGTCAAAAGTTTCAAAAGCTTTGCACGAGCCAGCTTCAAATTAGGATCGTGCAAGTCGAAGCCGCTTCCCATATGGGTTTCGCCATGGGTGTACAATGTAACTTCGGTGCCTTAAAGGTACCTACACAGTAGGTATCGAAATTTATCACGTTCCAACTCCCGGCTTCCATTGCTCTCCTGCACTGTCTGCTCCCGCCGATAGCTGCTCGCCTGAAATGCTTTCGCAGTTGTATTTGCATGGGAACACGTGTCTGGGGACGGGATCACCCAGTGGGCAGCTCGCAGTGCCTTACTCCGTGCTCCGGTATGGACGGAACCTACCTACTGCGTAATGCGTATACACTAGACCGATTGTCTGCTGGCCCGCGCTCCAAAACCCCTAAACCCCTCCTTTCGGTCTGCAAGATTCCTGCAATCCGGGATTCCTGGACTCCTGCAGTCACCGACGTACATGCGCTGTACATAGTAGAAGCCGCATCCCACGGCCCCCTCGCTTCGCATGGCACTTTCATGCCACATGTGGTGACGAGGGATTTTTGTCTATTCTCATCACGCCAAGGCTGTGTGTATGCAGCAATACCTAGTCTTCGCCCATTCCACCTCGCATTTCCCTTCCGTATTCGTTCGCTGTGTATCCCGCCCGCCGTTTCCTCTGCCAGCCACAGCAGCAGCACCGCTCAGGACTCGGGAGCAAACCCCCTGGACAAGCCGTAAGTCTGCGCGAGCCGAGCAGAGAAACGGGAGTGGCCGCCACCGCAAAGACGGCCATGTATGACTGAGACGACGTTACCTATTCGCATCCACGCACCCTGACGAGTCGCCGTTCCACCTCCGGCCCCGTGCGTTACTTATTCGAAGCGGCTCCTCCTATTTCTCCTGACCACCCGCACCACCCGCCAACACCCACCGGGGCTCTCTATATACGTTTGTCCTCCTTTTCTAGGCCTCGCTGGGGACCAAAGCGGTATGCCGTCATGTCATAACAATGTGGGTACAAACTCAAAGCGTCCCAGGCCGCTCACAGCTGCAATTGTCCGCCTCCCCGCGCAGGACCGAGTCCTCAAAGAGCTCCTCATCCCCGGCCCTGTCCCGCTCACAGGGCACCTTCCTCGATACCGACGACGAGACTAGTGCCAACGTCCGGGACTCCCTAGTCTCCATCCTCGACGATCCCTTCCTCATCGGCTACACCACCGCAAGCGAAGAGCCCCAACCGCCAACAACAGCGACCACAGCCACAGCCACAACAGCGACAACGACAACGACAGCGACAAGCACAACAAGTCCAGGCAAACTCGACAACCGCAATGCTGCACGCCAGGCCTGGCCTCCCCCGCGCAAAGAGTCCTTGACCAACCAAAGCCCAACCCCCTGGGTATGCTACGCCTGCTCTACACACCTCCCAGTCCATAAGCATTGAACCTCGCGGTAGGCTGACAGCTTCTGGCCTGGCTAGGCCGCCCTGATCTCCGACACAATGGATACAATCAATCTGGCTGTCATTGGCGCCCTCGGAGTGGGGAAGTCTTCCTTCATACAACGAGCACTAAGACAGTCTCGGCCCCCAGCTTCGAATGTCGCGACCGTACGTGCCGATGTCGAGGGCATCCCCCACCTCGTCACCCTGATCGAGCTCGACCTCGAGTATTTCGACATAGAAGATGTGACTGCACCTGGCCAACAGATCCAATGGCCGAAGCAGGTCAACGGGCAGGTTGTTCCGCGCGTGGACGGCGCCTTGATACTATACGACGTTACGAGTGAGGACAGCATCCGGGACCTCCCTCCCACACTGAGTATGTTTCCCACTGAGCAGGAACGCTTGCCACGTCCAGCATTCTAATTGTGCAGCTGCCCTAGGGAGCGCGTCTCTTCCATTCCTCCTAGTGGCGACCAAATGCGACGCGCCCGAGAACCTACGGCAAGTAGATCCAGCAAAGATGGCAGGCATAGCCGCCTCCTACCCTACTTGTATGGGTAACTACCGGACCTCACCCCATTCGCCCGGGAGCCAGAGAGACTGTCTGCAGGTCATGCTGAAAGCTCTCGTGGCCAATGCAAGAGGTAAGGAACTACTCCCACAAGTATTCCGCCTTACCCACCACCCTTGCCTTTAGCTATGCATTCGTATTATCCCTTCGCCCGTGCGACTACCGGCAGTTCCTTCTCGTGCTTTTCGGTCTTTCTTTCTTTTTCATGGGACTGACGAGGGATAGGGGCCGTTGAGAAGTCCGAGGCAGCTGGGCCTCGCCGCCGAGCAGCCTCCACTGCAAACCTTGATGCTCCACCCGACACTATCAATGGCCGGCCCATAAGTCAAAGCAGCAAGCATAGTAGAGCAAGCTCTGATTTGTCCCTTGTTCGAGCATTCCAGGCGACAAATGATGGCTATTACCGTGGCCAGCTCTCGCGGTCGCCCAGACTGGACTCTCAGGGTCAAGGGCCTTTTCCCGGCCCAGACACTCCGGGGGATAACACAACCCAGACAGTCTCGAGCATGCTGCGAACTCCGGGCATCCGGCTCGACGCCGGCGGAGATACCTTCCTCGACGTCGAAGAATCCGATGCAGAGTCGTACCGATACTCGGATGATATCCCCATTCTACAACGAAACGACGACTTCCTGGATAGGCAAGCAAAGATGGCAGGCGTATCGTTTGATGAACTTGTAGAAAGGCTCCTTGCTCCGAGGATGTCAAGGGCTGATAATAACTTTGCCGACGTCTTCCTCTGTCTTTATCGCAAGTTTGCCGCTCCTGGGGAACTCTTGGCAGCGATCCGGGCACGGCTGGATCGTGTGAAGGAGGACAAGAACACCCATTACCTCGTGAGGGCAGAAACCCAGCTGCGGATGATAGAGGTCGTGGCAAAATGGCTGTCACTGTATCCCGGAGACTTCGCCCGGCCCGTGACAAGGGAGAATTTGGAGCAGCTGATACGCTACCTCTCTGCCGATCCGATATTCTCGGCAGCCGCCCAACAAATGCGGGCACACCTGGACCAAAAGGTTGCGGAGGATGACGACACGGACTGGGCACAATCCGACGAGATGGAACAGGGCACCGAGCCGGGAAGTGACACTGGACAGGGGGCCAGTGACCTTTCTGAGGGAGTGGGCTCGCTGCACCTGGACGACCCGAGTACCTCGGGTCAAAGGAGGCCATCCCAGAGCTCGGAGCTATCAGCCTCGGAAAGGTTGGGGGGGAGAGCACCGGCACGTTTCCAGTTCCACTCGTTTGAGGACTACGAACGGGAGGCTGCCACCATGGTACCTTTGGCGGTCTTGCCGCTCACCAAAATCCGATACCGGTTTTTCATGGCGATCGACCCAGACGATATCGCAGACGAGATCACACGCATCGACTGGGTTATGTTCTCGTCGATCCGCATTCGCGATCTCGTGCGCCACGTCAGCCTGCCGGCCGACCAGAAGGAGAAGTGCAAGAGCCTGAAGAACGTCAACCGCATGATCAGTCACTTCAACCACGTCGCCAAGTGGGTCGCCAACGTGATTCTAATCCGCGACAAGGCCAAGCACCGAGCGCCCTGCCTCGAGAAGTTCATGGTTATCGCGTCGAGGCTACGGCAGCTGAACAACTACAACGGGCTGGCAGCGGTGTTGGCAGGCATCAACGGCACTGCCGTCCACCGGCTGTCCCAGACTCGGGCCTTGGTCAACCCTGACGTCCAAAAGCGCTTTGCCAGGCTCGTCCTGCTCATGGGGACGCAGAAGAGCCATTTCGCCTATCGGCTCGCCTGGGAGAACTCGCCGATGCCTCGCATCCCCTTCATGCCGCTCCACCGGCGCGATCTTGTTTCGGCCGAGGAAGGCAGCAGGACATTTGTGGGTCCGCAGGGTGATAGGATCAACTGGAAGAAGTTCGAGGTGTTGGGAGAGGTGCTGTTGCCGATCATGAAGAGCCAGGGGACGCCATACCAGAACCTCAACAGACACGAGGGGAGTCGAGAGCTGATATTGGATTGCCGCATGTTTACGGATGACGAGGTTTGTCCAACCCTCCGTCGATATCGATACGCTACTTGATACTGACTTGTTTTCAATTAGGACATATATCAGCGCAGTGTGCAGGTCGAGACCGGGTCAGGCGGTGCAGCCGAGTCTTCCAAGAAGAAGTTCCCATGGCTGCCGAAGTAAGATGACTGCCATCCCCTTTTTTTCTATTGCCTTTTGAGGAGGGAATTTTGGATACAGCGGCGATATATATATACATGGACATGTTCGGTTCATCTTTGGGCGATGGCAGACAGCAGCGGTTATTTATTGCGGCGGGTAGTTTTGGGCCTACAATATCAGCTTATACCTATATAGACCAAGAGCAATCGATGATGGGGATTGGAATTAGATTTCCCTGGGACCTTGCATCTCAAGTCTGAAGGAACTACCTTACCTTATAGTTAGTAGGTTCCTATGTTTACAGGTGAACAGGACATCACAAGCAGCTTCAAGGGTTACCAAAGCTCTCAAGTCTCCAGCAGCCATGGCAGTGCCCCATAGGTACAGTACAAGGGTACCTACACAAGAGTATAAACAAACTGAGTTTCTGAACACCTGGGTGAAATGCGAATTCCAAAAATCAGGAACCGCGACAACAAATACCCACGAACGCGCCCCAACCCCAGGAGAAAATATCTGTGTCGTTGCACGATTCAGAACTAACCTGGCCACAGTCCAAGACAATTTAACAAGTCAGGCAGACTATTGAGGGTTTCATGGCAGAGCTTCCTGACTCGCCACCCACTCGCGGCCAGGCACATCAGGGTCACATTTCGGCCGCCCCGCATCCCCGCCGTCGATCCTTAGTGGAGTTTGACATCACCACCCATTCCAGAAAAAATAGGGGACAAGGAAAAAGGGGGAGCACCCATCGGGAAGGGGGGCTTTTATAAGTTTTAAAAAACCGAGGAAAGACAGGAGGGGGAAAAAGGTGATGTTGATCGCCAACATTGTCTCGGGCCTCGTACACATCCTCGTCTTCTTCCGAGGCGTGGCCAGCCTCCATTTCATCCTGGACAACCTCCGGGAGCTCGAGCCCGACAGCCTGGCCGCCGCGTACTTCGCCTCCAGACTGCTACTCCCCCCCCCCGTGGCAGGCCACCCAGACGCCACTATGGGAGCCGGAGCCGGAGCCGGAGCCGGAGCCCAAGACGGAGCACCTGTTGTATCGGCCCCGCCGGCCGTGACCCCGATCGCCCGGCTGCGAGGTCAGCACCACCACCTGCTGCAGCAGGAGAAGCGGCAACAAGAGGTAGGAGGAGGAGGAGGAGGAGGAGCCAGCTGCGGCTACGAGTCGCCCGAGGATGATCGCCCGCCCCCGGGGATGTCGTCCGCCCTGGGGCCCCGCCGCGTGCAGTCCAACCCCGGCCCCGGCCCGGCACCTCGCAGCAATAACAGGACCGGGCTCCGGGGTAATAGCCTCAATGGTGTGCTCTCGAGGACTAAGAATATGCGCGATCCGGGACGGAAGGTCGGGATCCGGGACCGGATTAAATGCTTTCAGTGGACGTGGTTCACCATGACCATGGTATGTGATTGCCTGGTTGTTCTATTTTCTTCGTTTCGTTTTCTGTTTCGGAGTTCATCTTCTGTTTTGGAGTTCATTTTCTTTATACTCGGCTCTGGGTGGTTTTCCCCTTTTCGTCCACCAGTTATTTTCCATTCTTAGTGAGATCGGAGCCTCAAGTACCGTGTCGTTGTTCATCCAATTTGCGCCTATCATCGACTCGGCAGACGTTCAATTAACAGGAAACTACAGGCAACAGGCGGAGTCGCGAATGTCCTCCACAGCAGTACGTCTCTCACACCCGGCGCACCCCCCCCCCCCCCCCCGATGGTCTCCCGTCTCGCAAGCTGACTCACCCGAACCAGTTCCGTTTCGGTCGAGATGGTTGACCATCCTTGGCCTCATTTTCTTCCTCCTTAACATATGCCTGTTCCTGACGAACTGCGTCCTAATCACGCTTCGCTTCTGTTGGCAGTCGGGAAGTTTCATCACCTCTTTCACTGACCAAGTCGAATCTCTCTTCGTGCCTGCATTTGTAAGTTTGACAGGTCCTCCTCGTGGCGCCTAGGTGTATGGTATTGACAATTGGGTCTAGTTTGTCTCGTAAGTCACGGTGTTGTCTGGTCGCGCCTGTATCGGAAAGGGTAGGGTAGGGAGTAGAGCTTTCTAACGAGGTGTACCACACAGCGTCGCAACGATACTTCTAACCATATGCGAATACGGAGTTCCTCATACAGGGCCGTGGCTCTTGAGTGCCATGGAAGTAATGTTCTGGGTGTATGTCGGTGTCAGTATGCTTGCCAGTGCCGGAATATACCTAGTCCTATGGTCTACCCTGTAAGTGAACCTACCGCATCAACTCTTGAGAACCCCCGGCTGAGAAACGAGAAAGGGTCTTTCCGATACACACCATGACACCTATATGGGTTTTCCCGGCATACCCTCTGCTTCTGACGGCCCCTTTCGGCAGTACTCTCATCGCCTCAGCCATCAGCTCACAGCAGCTGGAACATGTCAACGCCCTCGCCATCAGCCTCGCTTCCATGACTGTCCAGGGGACCGGTTTTTCAATAGCGTTCATGATTTGCGCTGCGTTCTTGTACCGGCTTATGACGCAAAAACTGCCACGAGACCATCAACGGCCTGGTGTTGTAAGATAACCCCCTCCCTGCTCTGTGGGTACAGGATGCAGACTAATTATGTGTATAGTTCATATCCATCGGCCCACCTGCCTTCACTGTTTCTGGCCTTCGTAAGTCCTTCTCAGACGGCCATCAAGTATCCATACATCGGGCAACATCTCTAACTCCTCATGCACACAGTCCTGCTAGGCAACGAAGCCCAGTACATCTTCCCCAACGGTTTCATGGGCGTCACGGGTGCCGCCCCCATCCTCAAGTTACTTTCAGCGATGGTTGGTTTGTGGCTTTATGGCCTCAGCATATGGTTCTTCCTCGTCTCTGTTGGATCTCTCTGGAAGTACGTCATGCCGGATCGCAAAATGCCGTTCCAGATGACATGGTTCTCATTCGTCTTCCCGAACACGGCGCTGGTTTGTCTTCCTCTTGTCTCATTTCGGAACACCATTCCCGTGACTAATGAAGCCCTTCTTCGCAGGTGACCGCCACGATACAGCTGGGGAGAGTGTTTGACAGCCGAGCGTTACAGATCATCGGCTGCGTCGTGGCTGCTTGCCTAATTGTGGTTTGGCTTATTGTTTTCACGTACATGCTCCGTTGTCTGTGGAGGAGGGAGCTTCTTTGGCCCAAGGAGGTCGAATAGGTTTCGCATCTTGTCTGGCGTCTTGGAGCTTCGAGAGAGTAGGTTGGGCTATCAGTTTGGTTGATATCACGTACTCTGGGAGGCATTTTGCGATGAAGGCGGCATTGTTCTGGCGTTTCCGGAGAAAGGGCATTCTGAGCATATAGTAGATTCCGGTAATGTCAATATTGAGTGAGAATGGTGCTACACATACGGGGTTACTAAATCGATCCTTTTTGCATCTCTACCCTTACTGTTAATTCTCATACTTTCCAAATTAGGTACCTATCAGGAGATGTGTCCTAGAGTAGGGGGGTTGGGCAGGCTGAGTGATCAACTCAGGGGCTCCTTCCTTTTTCGATTTTGGCCAAGGAATGGCCCCTTCCCCAATGCATAGCTGTGCCAAACGCCTGGCTCTTGCCCCTTGGGGACCTGGCTTAGGTAGGTAGGCACCTAGGGATGTCCTGTCGTCAATGGATATCATTTTGTTTCGTCCATGGGCCTCCCTATTATTGCTGGCTTTCGGTTTCCCCTTTCTACATGCCTGCTTACAGGTGGCGGCGTCCTCAAGTTCGGTTGGGCACCTATTGCTGAGTTGCCATGACGGACAAACATTTTGAGCATGGCAAACTCCAAGTCTCTTGCAGAAATTCGAGATTGGCTCTTTCCCTGTCGAGCTCCTTCACCATGGCGCTGCCGCCTTTGTCGATCGAGCCCGTCACGGCTGCCGATATAAGTCAACTGTCAAGAACGGGCCAGCTGTGGATTGCCAAAGCAAACCATTGCCGTCTTGAGGTTATCTCCTCCGTAGAGGGAGAGGATCTAGATGGGAATGCCATTCGGGCTTGTATCAACTCCATAGCTGATTGCCCAGTACGTGTCTCACAGGATTGACCATTGACCGGTTCTAACTTACGCAGCTCTGGACCGAACTGGGTCTAAATCTACGGCCAGAATTCGACGAAGCTATTCGCACCACACAGTCGTCAACCCGGATATGTCTGGTGATCAGCCACCGCGATCTGTCCTCGGAATTACTGGTGCCGTCGGATACCCCCAGTGCGAGATTCCAGAAACTCTCTTGTACTTTCAAATTCCGCACAAGGACTCCCCGAAGAGCCGCCACGATACCCATTGAACGACAGCGGCAAAGTGACCGATACAATTTGCGGAACGGCGTCAGGTCCAGCAATACGGATATCGCCTCGCGTTCAGGGCATTGGAGAAGTCTAGTTGAAGGGGATGGAGTCATTCCACGCACCGACCAGACCTACAACGGGCTGAAGTCAGGGCAGTCTACAGGCCCCCATCTCGAACACGGAACCGGTACGAGGTTTGACAACCAGCTGCCGGGCGACACTATGCTAGAATATCCTGGGGTCCCAACACCTCCGTCGATGGACTGCAGGCAACCCACCAATCCAAACAGAACCCAAGACACCGAGGATTGGAGTGCGGACATCTCGCTACTGGTCTCCGTGGCGTTGCATAGGTTGATAGGAGTCAAGAAGATTATACAAGGAGCGCGGACAACGAGGAACCTAAGCCCTTCTCTGATAGATATAGCCCCGGCTGTTTGGAACCTACGCCATCTCCGGGTAAGGATCTCCCCTTCAGCATGGAAGGGAAATCACTGACATTCCTCAGTCATTCACAAGTCACATGGAGCTCATCCCCTCCATCGCATCAACTCTGGCAGGCTTGGCCCAGGCACAGTCGCCTGCTATCCGACGGAAGATCCAAGGCCTTCTAGTAGGTGGTGGCGTTGATGATGAACAAGATCGTGTTTACGCTTCGATTTACAAAAGTCTGTCCTTGCTGGTTCACATGGGACTTGACGTTGAGCCAGTTCTTAAAACCAGGAATAAGAGATGCGCTGCGTTGATTCACTCAGGAGAGGAGTTTGAGGCCAGCCAGATGATTCCCGGGCCAGAACTTTTTGAGCAGTTGACTCAAGGAACTGGCGTGGACAGCGAGGACCCTGCTATCTCGAGTGAGCCATTTGGAGATAGCATGCTCAGAACATCAACCGAGAGTTCCGAATCACTATTTACTACCGTTGCACATGGGAATCTAGGGGGATTCGACGGGCTCATTCCCACAAATCCCTATGACAGAGAGGTTGCGATAGGAATGCCGTCGCAGAATGGGATGGTTGTTAATGAGTACGGTCATCCAGTGCCCCTGGAGGAGGCAGACGACGATTACGAGTACGTTTACGCAATTGTCCCCGTGCAAGAAGCGGTAGAGGACGGATCAAGTGGAAGGGAGGAGAGTCAGTTTTCCACACAGACATACGACGAGCCTGGGTACTCCAGAGAGAGGCCCAGAGATTGGGGAGCTTGGAGTTCAAACCCACTTCCGGGCCACGGGAACACAGGAGACGAAATATACCCCGGGCCAGAATTGTACGGCGTCAACGCAGATTACGCAAAACGGTAACCTTCGAAATGCGAATTTTGCAGATGAACATATCAGTCTCTGTTGAGGTCTATATGAAGGCTTGTCTATGTATGTAAGTCTGCTAAGGGCGAATTCGAAGAAATATATAAAGTATTCACAATGATAGCTGGAACAGCATTTGTTGTAGATGTTGTAGATCGATGGCTTTCGACAGAAGCGAGATTTAACGTTTGGTATCAGCACAAGGAAGCCACGAGAAAAGGGGATGATGAGGACCCATTTTCCATAGAAGTGAATTGGATTTATTAGAACAACTTGGAGCAGCCTGCAGTCATCCAAGCATCCAAGCGCAATAGATCAACAGAATTTCCCCCTTTATCAAGTGCTCTCCTCCTCCTTCCGAGCACCTAACCTGCCCCATTCAACCGTCGACCCTCGGGTTGGTCACGCTTCGGCAACAGGGAATTGCGAGAACGCAATGCTGCCGGTCAAGTATCCTCCTAGGCAGACGCTGCTGCATAACCGAAAGGGAAGTCCGCGGGCCAGTCGCTGGCCTTTGTTCGATGGTTGCGCAAACGCGATAACGCTCTTCCCCCAACATACGCCCGACCATCCCCAGCCACACACACACCTCCTCCCCCAAACCTCCCAAGCTCAAAATGCGCCACCCCGTCGGAGACACAGCCTAGAACACCAGAGCAACAGGGCCTATTTCCTAGCGGGCGGCTTCTTCTTGTCGTCGACCTTCTTCTTCTTCTGTTCGGGCTTCATTGTGGCGTAGTGGATGAACCATATGAGGACGACCTCGCCGATCAGGGTGACGAGGACGGCGAGGAGGATGTAGACCAGGATGGGCTGGTCGTTGAGGACGGCAACGGCCTGGGGCGTCGCGCCGATGGATCGAAACCAGTCGAATTGGCCCATCTTCGTTTTTCTTCTTGACTTTTCGGGACTGTGCGTGGGAACGAGATCGAAGAGAGAGATGCTAGTAAGCTCGCGGGATTGAGCGACCACGAGCTCCTACTTAGAGGGACGATCAACCGGAGTTTTCGCGGGCGGTCTTCGAGGACGCAGGGTGCGACAAGAGAACAGCGATGGGTATGAGAGAATGTGGGTGGATTTGCCTGCACTGCAAGGCGATAGCCAAGAAAGAAAAAAAAGACAAATTAAACGTCTATTGAACACGCTTCAATACGCAAAACAGCATCAAGGGAAATGGGGGAGACGGAGGAGAGGAACAGAAACAAGGAGAGAGATATCGCTACGGTGTGATGCACGAGGAGCCGCCGTGGGTGGAGACGGCCATCCATGGGTGTCGAAACCACAGACGTCTGAATGGCTTGGATTCAGGCGCACCATCTGGTCCAGGTACCGTCACACTAGACCCGGTTTGGAGCTTGAGACATGGGCGTCTCTTGGTGAAAGATTTGCTGAGGAAGGCCAGGTCGAGAAAGGGGCTTGGTGTTTCAAAGCTGCAGCAGAGTCGCCTGATTCCTTAAGTAAGCGGCTGCCCGGCCGAGATTTACAGCACCCGCCTATGGAAGATCATGTGGAATGCTGGATGACAGATCACGTGATTTTACACAATTACAACCAAAGAGCCTGTGCGTGACAGAGGACCATCCAAAAAATTGAGGTGCATCGCCAGCAAGCTCATGTAAATTCTTGATCGGCCCCTGGATCCCAATCACCACGCCATTGGGACTTGGTAAAGCCACCGGTCACCTGAAGTGATGAGTGTAGCACGCCCAGCTGCTGGGAGGTTGTTCTCCCGGTGCCTGGCAGCTTCACCAGTCACTCCTGCTGCATCGCGAGCAGCCCCGGTGACATGCCGTCACCTCCACAGCTCGGCGCCGCTCGAGGCACGGCGGCGGCCACGCTTCAAGAGCATCCCCGCCGCGAAGATGGGCCTGCAGTCCCCCGAGCAAATCGAAAATTTCGCCAAAGACAAGTTCCCCGAGTACACACCCGAGGAAAAAGAAGAGCTGCGGAAGGTGTACTCGCCCGAGCACATGGCGGCCCTCGAAGCCGGTGAGGCGGCGATCAATCCGAAGGACCTGACTATTCAGGGGCGACTGCGAGACGACCCCTACCGGCTGTCGTACATCGACGACTTCAAGAATATCCAGCCCATCATCGACAAGAGACCAAAGACGAAGCCGGCGCCGAACCCGAGGGCGCGATTCATGGGCATGGAGGAGTTCACCGATGACTTGGTGAAATGGGCTGAAAGGTTCTTCCCAGCCGGGATGGAGACGAAGACAATAAAGGACTTCGTGACGGACAACCTCAAGGACGTCCCGGAAGAGGATTGGCCCTCGAGTGCGAGGAAAAAGGCCGAGAAGCAGCTCCAAGAATATCTATTGGCCACAGACGGAGAGATGGGGATCGACCTGGGGGAGAACGGACCTAGTTCTATTGACGTGCTGAATTATCTTCTCGAGCGGTCCACCATGACCGACAATGGACAGGGCTCGAACTCGGCCGTGGCACCGGCGCTGCCCAACCAGGTACCTGGTGTCGCCGGCCGCTACAAGAACGCCATCGACCCCGCCGACGAAGGCCTGGACGACGCTGGTGAATACCAGGACCTGAAGAAGCAGACCGACTTGGGCGTGAAGGCGCTCAAGAGCTTCACCGTCAAGACCCTGCTGCTTCGGTTCGTCAGCAATCAGACGCGTCTAGGCAAGATCAGGAGCGCCTCTGTGATGGCTATTGCGGGTAACAAGGACGGATGGTTGGGTCTAGGCAGTGCCAAATCGGTGGAAATCGCCATCGCCGTGCAAAAGGCGAAGCTCGCGGCAATCCGCAACATGCAGCCCATTTCGCGGTACGAGAGGCGCACCATCTACGGGAATGTGGAGGCGAAGATCTCCGGCTCTGTCGTGCGACTCTCTGCTCGCCCACCGGGTAAGAACAGCCCCTCTCCCCTTCTTCCCTCTCGCAGGCTTGAATGCCCCTAACTCTGGTCTAGGTTTCGGTCTCCGCGTGCCCTCTAGGATATTTGAGATGTGCCGTGCGGCCGGCATCCGGGATCTTGCAGCCAAGATCCCGCGGTCGCGGAACCCCATGAACACCGTCAAGGCGACTTTCAAGGCCCTCGTCAACCAGCCGGACCCTGAAGAGATCGCGATTGGGCGAGGCAAGAAGCTTGTGGATGTGCGGAAGGTGTACTATGGCGGAGCTGTATATTAATCCATTGTATCATCGTGTATCATTTCGATAGAGACCTCTGACAGGCCTATGCAACCTTTTTCCGTCATCAGACATTCTTGTCAATTCCTCTAAGTTACTGCATGGGTATCATCATCTTGCCGCCTGGGGTCTTGCCCAGCCCGCCCCTATAGGCTCTGGACATAGTTCTCATCCTATCTTAAGACTGTCTCCCAGCTCGGTTGGTGGCGCCAATTGTCCATCGCAAATGGGCCTCCCTTCCTCCTCACTCCCAGAGGAGGCACTCAACGTCGAGGATCCTTCCTCCCCCCCATCCCCATCTTCCCAACCGAGCCGTCCAGAAGTTCGCAGACACGCCAATCCAACGCCGAGGAGGGCGGCCATAAACCCGCCCGCCTCCACCAAGCCCACCCACACACCCACACACGCACACGCAAACGCAGCACCACGGTCCGGCGCAACACCCGCCAGCCCGCACACACCTCACTGCCCGTACCCGTGCCCCTGTCCGCCCGCCTGGTCGCCCCAGTCGATCTCCTGCTGGAGCACGATGCTGTAGACGCTCGCCTTGAGCAGCGTGAAGACGAGGCTGGTCTTGCGCTCCAGCTCGCGCAGCCCGTCCAAGATCTCGGTCGTCGGCGCGCTGGCCAGGTTGTCGAGCATGGATGCGAGCTGGGAAACCGAAGGTTAGTAGTCGTTTTGGGTGGGGGTTTTTGACAAGTTGGGGGGGGGGGGGGGGGGAAGGAGAGGAGGCGGCGGAAAAGCAAACCTTCTTCATGTTCTCTGCCAGTCGCTCATATTCGTCCAGGACGTCCTGCTCCAGAGGCGAGAGCTCTGGTTGGGAGAGCAGTGCGCTCGATGTGCTTTGGTCCATCTTTCCTGCCGATGTTGATTTGGTTGCGCGGGACAGACGCGACGGTTCGCGGGGTCGGTTTTGCACGGATCGCTGCGGGTACCTGCTTGGCGGGGCCTAACATGAACTCGGAATAGCGGTTTTAATTGAACCTTTTGGCTGCTCTTGGTAGCTTTCATGGATAGCTAGCTAATGGCTAACGGTCAAATGCCTGCTCAATACCTTGCCTACCGCTGCCGCAACTGAATCCCTCAAAAGCGCTATATATAACGAGCTAGAGGACGAAAGAGACTCTTCAGTATCGAATTCGCCTCCCCGGTTTAGAGAACGCTGTGATGATCGACAGCCGCCCAGTGTAACGTCATGGGCCAGAAGCTCGTAACTGTTCTAATTCTGGAGATGCAGACGACTATGTAACGCTGCTGGTATTAAGACCACAGTCGCGGAAATTGCGTGTTTGTCGAAGGCCGAGTCCTATTTCACCGGCTTCGATAGCACACCCACACCGATCTCCTTGCCAGTTAAGAGACCTGTTTTCAAGTTATCGGGGCATTTATTTCTCAAGAATGCCAGACCGCCTGCCGCAAGGCGAATGCAAAACCCACTTGCTTCACGGATGACCGACATTTAAGGTACAGAATAATGTTGCCCGAGTAGCTTCCCCCGTCTTTGCCCTGAACGCCTTGCCCTTAACTCCAATATATGGGAGTAGCATGAGGCTACTAAAACATACGAGCTTAGGCCGAGAACCTCGGTCGTTCCTCTCGATTGCCATAACCACACCGTTTGCTAAATGAGCGAAGGGATATCGCCGAGTGTGTCGTGAATAATGCCCTGAGGAAGAGTTGCAGTGAGTAGCTTTAGGAATCATAGCCATTCCTATACTGGTCCTCGCCCTCGTGATGGAGGGTAACACTGTTGAACTCCTCAAATGGATCTACCACCTCACCGCCCGGCGTTGCCAAACCGCTGTCGAGAGGTACACCCTTGAGAGCCATTGGCCTCGAGCGGCTGAAGTCGACGCTTTCGCTCTCCTTAACGTTGCGGAAGTTTATCGTGTCGATGCCTCGTCCTTGGTTGGGGACAATCGGGGGCTTCATATGGCGGATCAATGCCCATTGTGTCGTCCGGAAGAAGGGGTGGCATTTAATATCCGATGCACCAGCCCGAGCCCCGAGGCGGCGGTTCTCATCCTTGATGAGCAGCTTCCGGATAAGAGACTTGCAGAGGCTTTCCCACCAGTTAGCCACGTTCTTGAGCAGGCCAACAGGTCAGAAGACTGAGAGTGAGGAGTAAACATACTTTGAGATCTGCGGAGCCCCAGCGTGGTCCGGGAATGGGATATCCTCCCTGAGAATGTTGGCAAAAGTCGCATTACGGTTCTTGCCCTTGAACGGCGTTGTGCCGTACAGCATCTCATATATCAAGATGCCCAGGGTCCACCAATCCACAGCACTAGTGTGTCCACTGCCCTTGATCACTTCAGGGGCGATGTATTCTTCCGTGCCCACAAACGAGTTTGTCCTGAAGTTGGCGATGCACGATTTCGTATCAATGGTGGGTAGCGAAGATGTGCTGGCACCGTTCTTGCCAACGATCATGGTCGGTTTACCGCCGGGATCGGACTGCTTAGACAGGTCGAAATCTGACAACATGATGTGACCTGACTGGTGCAGGAGGATATCTAGCATCTCGTTAGTTGAGGAGCGCGGGTGGTCGCGTCTCTCGAGGTGGCCTACTTTCTGGCTTCAGATCCCTGTAAATGAAGCCCATCAGGTGTAGATATTCCAATGCAGCAGTCACTTCTGCCGCGTAGAATCTCGCGTCATCCTCCGGGATACACTTTCCCGGACGTGTCTGCAGCGCTCTGAAGAACTCGCCCCCACTGCAGTACTCCATGCAAAGATAGAGATAATCCTCGGACTGGAACGAGTGGTATAGGGTGACAATAAACGGATGGTTGCTCGTGGCAAGGATCTCCTGTTCGGCCAGGGCTCTCTTGATCTTGTTCCGCTTGATCATCTCCTTCTTGCTCAAGACTGAGATTTGTCAGCGTTGTGACCCATTAACGCCCCGGTCTGGTGGCTTATGGCCCACGAACCTTTCATGGCATATAGCCTGGCGCTCTTCTTTTCTCTAACCAAATACACCTTGCCGACGTCCCCCTTTCCAATGAGCTTGATCTTGTCGAAGCTCTGCGGCCCAACTTCAACGTTGCGGACCTTGATAGAATTTGAGCTGTAGGTTCTCCTGAACGCGAGCGAGTTTATGCTTGGCGGAGGGAGCGCAGCAAGGCCATCCGCATCAGGGACTGCCAAGCTGCTGGAAGGAGATCCATCCGACTTGGACTCGACCAGGCCAAGTGTATTTGCGTCCTTGTTCTCGACCAACGGCTCTTTGCTGAGCTCGGCGGTGGCCGGCCGCTCACCACTGGCCTTTGATGACTTGGAGAACAGACCTTGTGCATTGGGAGCACTGGCTACTCGCCTCAGTTTCCTGGCCAACTCCTCCTTTGTGGCAGCGGTGGGCTGTCCAGCGATGGCTATGGGACCCTTGATCTTGAGATTCGGTGTATCGGGAGGACTCGGCGGGACGGAGCCTTCGTTGTGATGCCGTAAGCCGGGCTGACCCTGGTGAGCGAAGTAGGGATTGGCGTGGGCGGTCGGGCTCATGGCCTCATCGAGAGGGTTTCCTTCGCTGGCGACAGTCGCACTACGAAGTCGGCCCACGCTGAAGAACTTGGTCTGCCGGAAGGGAATCTTGGTATCGGTCTTGAGAGGGGAAGCATGGTCCTTCTCTCGGTCCTTGGGCCCGGAGTTGATGCGGAAGAAATTCTTCAACCGCTGCGGGAAATGGCTGTCGCCATTGGCATTCTGTGTCTTCGGCATTCTGAAGGCGGCACGATCATGAGGTCGAGGCCATGTTGGGAATTGACGTCGTGCTGGAGAATGGCTGGCGCTTGGAAGAGGTGATGGTGACCAAGCAGGTAACACCTCACTCTCCGAATAAAGTGGCGGCCTTAGGCACTTATGCGCGCTGCGGGTCCTATCATTGGTCAAAGGGGCAGGGGATCGCTCTTGACCACTGCCAAGTTCCAGCAAAAGCACTAACAGCCTCAGCGGATATCCGACTCCCAACTAGGTAGTGACGAGGACAAGAGGGGGTCAACGGCCATTCAGTGGTCTAATTATGGAGTTTCCCTCATTGTGGCAAAGAAATTCCAGGCCCGGAATCTGGGACCTGGGACTTTACAGCCCCCTTCGTCGGGGGCCTCCTGGAATCGGCTCAACGAGGTGGCTGTGGGGAGGGAGGGGTGGCGCAGATCTAGAACCACTAGTTCAGGACTAGCGCACACAGTAAAGTCAGTTCGTGCTGTAGTGGCTAGTGTGCTTCTCCGTTGTAGGTATTATGTTCATGTACCTGGACAGTTGACCTGTGCCTCCGGATGCTTTGTAGGGCTACCGACAGAGCGTTCCACATCCTCTAGCGGCTTGGTGTTAGCAGGACCTTCCAATTGGAGATCTGCATGTCACTTTAAATGCCCGTTTCCTCCGGTCTTCCTCAGAAACATGGATTAAGTGCCCTTGCTTTGGGCGGTTGGTGCCTAGTCCAAATAACTAAAGGTACCCGACGTTGAATTGCGCGCTATTCCGTCGGCTACCCACCCTACCTGGCTCCTCCTCTGTCTCCCGCCTCTCCCCGGCATATTCCTACAGTGATATCCGAACCTACTCCGCACATCCCATCAGTATCGGCTGCTCATCTGTGCGGAATACGGATGGATGCAAGGTTGTTATCGCTTTAACTCGTGCACATGTCCGCTGTGGAACTTGTGCCTGCTCCGGGTCACACTCTTCTAAAGATGCTAGTATGCTCCTCGACTGGAGACCCTGGCTCCTCTTCCGGGGCGTTTCGATCCCGCTGAAGCAAAAGTCTGTGTAGTCGCCGCCGGCGGAATTTTCGCTCATCCTCGCTCTCAAACTCCTGGTGAATAATGGACGGGGTGACCTGATGTCCTGCATCGTCAAAGAGATACTCTGGTAAATGTTTTCGGTTGCCCATGGACCGTGTTACGTCGGCGTCCGGGTTGGTGTTCAGCGGTCCATCGCCCACATGCCATGCAAGAGGCACAAAATGGGCGGCCTCGACGTGCCTTTGAAGCTCCTCACGGGATGGGAAGTTCTGTGGCCGTAAGTTGTGGCCGCATTTGCCCCATCGGCAGGCGTCACTTCGCCCGTGGACAGCAAGGACGTGTTTGCGCAGAGTCTGGAGGTTCTGCAGCTCCGCCGGGCAGCCCTCCCACTCGCAGAGGAAGGGCATGTACTCAGGCCGGAGCTGGTCGTAAATGGCTCGAGGAGCCCGCCGCTGCTTGGGTGGCCGGCCCTTGCGCTTGGGTGTTGCTGCTGGACCTGCTTGAACCGGTTTCTTTCGGGGCGGGATGGAAGAGTTGCCAGCGACACTCGTCTTGGCCGAGTATGGCCCCGCGCCGAGTCTCCAGCCCACAGGGCGGCCACGCTTTCGAGGCTGGTCAGTTGCCGGCGGTCGCGGCGGGTGAGTTGCTGACGGCCGTGCGCGAGAGCCAGTAGGCGTTACGTCCTGAGTGACTGAGGCTAACGTTCCATGAGAGGGCGTGTGAAGGTTCCAAAGTGCATCTGGCCTCGAACTAAGTCGTGGTGGGTAGATATCTGAGGTTACCAGGTTCGGCAGCTCTTCGCGTTCTGAGTGAGATACCGGCTCGGTCATTGGCAGTTGCAGTCCTGAGGACGTGCCCAGTATGACTGCGATGCGTGATGGTGTTTGCGTTGACATTGTGAGGACATCTCTCAACACAGCCAATAATGTTGGGTAAGATATTACTGTATAGACAATTTGATAGCGATGCAGTAGCACGTTATTTCTAATAAAGGCGCGACCGGTCCTTTTCTAAACTGACTCTGTGAAGAGGAATATGGAACCTTGTAAGTCCCCGCCGCAATCAATGTAAATACCTACCTATTGCCTCCCGGTTACGTGTAATGTCACGTGTTGTCGCGCGTCTCTGATAACGGACCACCGAGTAGCTACTATGGTATAATGGGTAAGTTTGCCCAGCGGGTCAGGTATCCCCAGTCGATTTAGTGCGTCTTTCGATACCTGACAGGGGGTAAAACTTTTTCACGCAACCACAGTACATAGACGGGCAGAATACCTGCCTTCATAACCTACTAGGCTACAATAGCCTAGTAGTCGTAGGTATTTCGCAGACAATAACGGCCTATGATTATTCCACAGGCAAAACTACAGTTGAACGCATCATGCAGTGTAATTATTGCGAAATCTGTCGTCTCTTAACCAGTCCCTGCAGTGGCCCTCTAGGGATCCAGAGCTCGAAGTTGCGTGCTGAGGGTGTTTGTCATCAAGGTACTTCGCGGATGCGTATTATTAATCGCCAGGACAAACACACTTCCTCAAGACTCCGGGGCTGCCGTTAAAGACGACCGTCCATCCCCATGGGCTAGCATAAGAAGTTTCATTCCTCGCCATCTAAATCGATCCATAGAGAAAAGAATTAGTAGTTATCCCCCGTCTCTCCAAGTGCCTCCAACAAACACACCCTCTCCGGGGCCCAAGAAGTTACAGCCATGGCATCAAAGTTCTTTGCGGTAGTGGCAGGCGTTGGTGCAGGAACAGGTCGATCTGTGGCCCTGAGATTTGCCAAGGCGTACCCAGTGGTTCTCCTGGCCCGCAAGCCGGAAAGTTACAACGACATTGTTGCCGAGATCAAGCAAGGGGGCGGCCAGGCCATCGGCATTAGCACCGACACGGCCGATCCAAAGTCTGTTGCTTCGGCCTTCGAGACAATCAAGAAGGAACTGCCGGATAAGAAGCTCGCCGCTGCCGTCTTCAACGTCGGCGCTGGCCTGTCTCGCAAAGGCTTCCTCGATCTCACGTTGGATGACTTGCGTGCCAGTCTCGAGGGGAATGCGTGAGTCGCTTCTCCCCACCACCTGGGGGACATAAAAGGTTTGGTCAAAGCTAACGTCAAGCTCAGCCATGGACTCTTTAATTTCGCCAAACGCGTCGTACCGCTACTTCTAGAGTCGGTCGATGATTCTCCGCACCCTCCAACCCTCATCATCACTGGCGCCACAGCCTCGCTGAGGGGCTCCGTCAGGTTCGGCGACATGGCAGCAGGCAAGTTTGCCGTGCGAGCTCTGGGCCAATCGCTCGCTCGGGAATTCGCACCCCAAGGCATCCATGTTGCCCACACAATTGTCGATGGTGTTATCGACATTCCTCGGACGAAGCACTATGAGGTTAACGGAGGAAAGCCAGATGGCAAGATTGACCCCGACGCGGCAAGTAGAACCAAACCAACTTGTCCATTATGTTGCTGACAGAATCTACACAGATTGCTGAGAGTTACTGGTATTTGCACACGCAGCCCAGATCTCATTTTACCCAGGAACTAGACATTCGACCTTACGTCGAGAAGTTTTAAGGCAGTGAAAGCCATGGGGCGTATCAGACTGTTGCAAAGTTAGTATAATGACCGCCTGCTCCATTGGCAGCCCTGGGATTCGAGGATAAATCGGTTTCAATTCATTTGCGCTGAAGAATTCGGGGTATTGAAAGAACACGGTGTGAGTAGTATGGAGGCTTACATTTTGCACTGTATCGGTTCGATTCTATCGGGTCTCTCATTGGATAACGGTCGGTCTGCGTTTTCCCGCCCATTGCATTTTCAAGTCAATCTTTGAATGCCTTGAGCAATACATTCATTTTCGCTAGAGTATCGTCACTCATCTTGTGAATTCTATTGGGGCTATTTGGAACTAGCATTTATAACACTTATCATTGGTCATCAATCTTTTCGATCGTCTGGTTCACCTTGCCAAACTCAGGGGAAAATGAAAATACTCGAGGCACAGAACAGTGTGTTGTCGAACCACGAAGTGTACGAACACCTGGCTAATCACCAGTCACGTCACAAGGCGAGGAATCGGCGCGCGCCGGGAAATCTCGGCACCATTGTCACAGAGGTGGGTTTGGAGATGAGATTGTATGGCGCAACCGAAGTGTTGAAACTCATTCGCCTTGCAGGTGCTCAAGTACCTACGGACAGCCCCGAGCCCCTTTCATAACCAGGGCCAGAGTAAAAATTATGACCAGTCCGTGGTCTCGCGGCTTCTCGAGAGGCTGAGCGACGCCAACCTCAACCAAGACCTTGCCAAGGGCGAAGTCCTCATGATCCTCAACCTGCGCCCTTCCTCCACCGCGGTCCTGAGCACGATCATCGATGACATGCCGGAGCGGTTTTCAGAGGATGAGCAGGAGGCAATTATCGACATCATCGCCGAGGTCCTTGGCCGAGACGACCCTGGACCCATTGGGGAAGCCGGTCCCGACGAGAGTGCTATGCCATCCATCGAAAATGGCGCTTGAGCCCCGGTGTTTCCCCTTACTCACATCAACGAGCAGTTGCCACCGCTCTGGCCGCCTTCTAGGGTCGTTGTCTGCATGGCCGTGACACAGATGTCCTCGAAAACCATATTTAGCAGCTCCCCTGTCACGGCAGAGCATTCCATGTACTTGTCAGCTCTCATTTCCTGGGCAACCTGATGGGCCTCCTGTGGATATATGACCCCGTTCGGATCGTCCTCTGACCTCAAATCTCTCTTGAGACCTAGGACAAGGATCGGCACGACAGATTCGCTTAAGAAGGTCGTTCGGACTTCTTTGATCCACTGGTGTACAGTCAGGATGTAAGAACTTTAGATGAGTGCCGTTGATACGCACCGTCCTCTGGAGATTTAGGAGGCTCAGCCGTTGACTTATGTCATAGCAGATGACGATAAGATCCGGTTGCAGGGTCCTCCAGTTGTCCGGGCTCGAGGTGTCATAGACCTCGAGCCGGTATTCTGCCTTCCTGGAGCGGATCTCGAAGATAAATGGCTGGTCTATGTCGCGAAGAAGGGTGATAGGGACTCTGCCGGAGAGCTGCTGTCGACCCTTGCTGATCCTCCTATCTCGAGGGCTTTATCAGTGGGGCTCGTGTGAGCAGGAGTTGGGCCTTTGGGAGACTAACGACAGGAGGGTAGTCTTTCCCACTTTGGCATCACCTAATAATAGTACTGTAACTTTGTGAGCCTCCATCGTATTATAATTATCAGCTGGGTATTCTATGTGTGACCAGTGTTAACTTGAGGTATGAAATGGCGCAAGCCACCTTCTGGACATAGGGACCAAAAGTACGGATACATGGTGGGGCTTATCGATAAAGAAAGGCGATCGCAAAAAAGGGTTCCGAGTACCAAACGTACAGTCATGAATTGAAGCACTCGGGCGAAGGACCGAAGAAACGCATGTCTAACCTTAGCCACGCCGCGCAGTATATTCGACGAGCATATGAAGTGACGACGAAACACTGTGCGCGGTCATTGGCCTCCCGGAACCCTCATCGACAGACCCTTAGAACCTTCAGCATCAACCCGAGAGCAATGGCAGACCAAGCGCGAGACTACAAGAGGTGGACCAAGGAGAGTCTGGTCAAGCGAGTCAAGTGCCTCGAAGAAGAACTCAAGCGCGTGGAGCCCAGCAACCCGGCGCTCGGCGGCCCGTCGCCAGCTCCGCCGGCTGATGCGATTGCCGATGCTGCAGCCCCAGATGGAAAGAAGCAGAAGAAGAAACGGAAGCTAGACCCCAGCAAATACTCGACGAGACTCATTGCGCTGAAGATCGCCTACCTCGGAAAGAACTACAATGGCTTCGAATATCAGACCTCGGCCTCTGTGCCCACCATCGAGGAGGAATTGTGGAAGGCACTGACCAAGAGCTGCCTCATCTCGCCAGACAAGCCGGACGAGGTGGATTTCGGGCCGTGGGAATACTCCAAATGCGGGCGGACGGATCGAGGTGTCAGCGCCTTCGGCCAGGTCATCGGGATCAGGGTCAGGAGTAACCGGCCACTGCCTAGAGACGACGGGGACGCGGCAGACGACGATAAGCCAGCATGGGATCCCGTCGCCGACGAGATTGCCTACTGCAGAATACTTAACAGGCTATTGCCCGCAGACATAAGAGCAGTGGCTTGGTGTCCAAACCTACCGCCGGGCTTTTCCGCGCGGTTCTCCTGCAGGGAGCGGCAGTACAGATACTTCTTCACCCAGCCGGCCTTTGCGCCCATGCCCTCGAATATGGAGACTGCCAGGGCCGGGGCGACGGTCAAAGAGGGATGGCTGGACATCCAAGCGATGCGGGAAGCAGCCAAGAGCTTCGAGGGGCTCCACGACTTTAGGAACTTCTGCAAGGTCGATCCGGGGAAACAGATGACGAATTTTATGCGGAGAATGTTCGAAGCGGACATTGTCGAGGTGGAAGATGTCCAGTCTGCTGTCCCCTTTCTGAACGGACCGGACTTCAGGCCCGACGGGGTTCCCGGTGCGCCGTACCCTAAGGTGTACTATTTCCATGTCAGGGGGTCTGCCTTCCTCTGGCACCAGATCAGACACATGGTCGGCATCCTGTTCGCCGTTGGCCAGGGCCTCGAGCCGCCATCAATCGTATCGGAGCTCCTGGATGTGGAGAAGCACCCGAGGAAACCAAACTACGTCATGGCGGATGAGGTCCCCTTGGTCCTATGGGACTGCATATTCCCAGACTTGGATGACCCACTGCTGAAGGGAAACCACGATACCGATTTCTTCGAAGGTGAAATCAAGGATTCCATGGACTGGTTGTGGCTGGGGGAAGACAGCCCCCTGAACCTATACGGATCGTCGGGTGTCATAGACCACCTGTGGGGGCACTGGCGAGAAAAGAAGATGGACGAGCTCCTAGCAAACAGGCTACTCGACTGGGCCTCGACGCGGGTGAGCCCGGTCCGCGCGACCCCGATCTCGGTTCCGGGGCCGGGGAAACGGCCGGGGAGCCAGAGGGTGTTTGAGGGCGGCAACGGGGCCAAGTACGTGGGGAAATACATACCGGTTCTCAAGAGGCAGCTGCTGCAGTCGCCTGAGGAGATGAACGACAAGTGGGCCCAGACCAAGGGCTTCGCGAACGCCGAGGAGCTGTCCAAGACGAAAAACTGGCGGACTGCGCTCAAGGAGGCCAAGAATGATGCTCGCACCGGTGCCGAGGCAGGGGAGGAGGGATCCGTGGAGATGGCAGATGCTTCATCTTGATTCGCCTGGTAGGGGCGATACTGCACAACCTCTTTGCAGTGTATATACATCTATAGCTGTACATAAACGAGAAGACCACACAAGAACAAAAACACGGGGCCATCTGGTAGTTCACCCCTTCTCATCCAACCTCCTGACGCCCCCATCCGACTCATACAAGCAACCCCTAACCCCCCTCCAGACCGTCTCAACGATCCTCCTCCCAGGCAACAGCCCAGGGAAAACAACAACAACATCCTCCTCCCCCTCCACCACAACAACAAGGTAGTACCTAACCTCAAACCCCCGAAACGCCTCGTTGATAAGCACGTCCCGAATTTTCTCCGTGGGGATGAACCGCGCGCTCCCCGCCCCGCCCCCCAGGTACGTCGCCCCCGTCGAGGCGGTCTGCACGCCCAGGCCGCGCAGCACCAGCAGCGACTCGGTGGCGTGCGCGCGGACCACCGACGCGTACAGCGCCGCCAGGCACGCGGGCCCCAGCGCCCAGGCCGGCGTCGCAGCCGCGAGCCGGGCCAGCGGGCGGCCTGCCGCGGAGGCGTGGGCCAGGTGGAGGAGGTGGTGGAGCGTGGAGGCGGAGAGGAGGTCGAGTGGGGAGGAGGAGGAGGTTGGGGGGGGGGCCGTGGTGGTGGAGGAGGCGGTGGAGGCGAAGGGGGAGAGCTCCCATTTGGAGTGGAGGAGGAGGAGGACGCTGGTTGCGAGGAGGAGGCGGCCGAGGAAGACGGCGAGAAGGAGGAGGCGGAGGGCGAGAGTCATGGGCGGGCAGGTTGTTACGATGAATTCTGCTGTTGTGGGCGAGGGCCGCCTTATGTGGAGGTGCGGCGCTGTGGTGAGCATCGTGGAGGATGTCGAGGATATATAGCGTCCCGTTGCGCTGTGGTTCGGTTTGTAGGTGTCGTTTAGAGCGGATTCTTAGGCAGACCTAGCATGTGCAGGTGCTTCGGGGTGTTTGCGTGTGTTCAACATTCCATTGTGTCCCTCTGCCAGGTTGTTGTACCAGCTACCCATCGCCTAGCTATGGTGATCCGAGAACAGATGTGTTGCGATTGTTCGAGATGCTGGCTTGCTATCGGAGCTTGGAGCTCAAAATGACCGTGTCACGTGCCTTTGAGGGGCGGATTCTGTCTGGGTCATATCAGATCAAATACGAGGGTAAATTTTCGGCTGTCATGGTCAGTTTGGTTAGAAGGCACTTGATTTTCTCTCCACCCTATTCCATCTCCGTCAGATCCCCTTAGCAGCGCCCAGGGCGAATGCCGCGGTGGTCACCCACTCCCATGGGTAACCTGGGATGCTGCGCGTGGCCCTAAGCAATGAAGATGACACTTGAGGGAGGCTCCACTCTGCAGAGGCATCTTCACCGTCGCATGGCGTCCTGGATTACGATTGCTAGGGGCTTGGAATAGAATGTTGAGATGGAGATGTCAACTCCAATTTTTTATTTTTATTTTTATTTTTTATCCTTCTTTTTCTGCCTTCTATTTGAATCTCTCTATCATCCGTTTACCTGAGATGGGTTGTTCCTTTTTTCCATCTTTTTCCTCTAACTTTGTGTGCAGATGCTGTTGGGTAGAAGCTCTCTTACTCTTGCGTTTCTACATCACAGTTGCGGGCAAGCATTGCTGCAAGGGGCATTCATTTAGGACCGACTTTTGGATTGCTTGATTAGCTACCAGCAAATAGAACAAGTTCATCGCCTTGCAAATAAATCATTGGCAATAGAAGTTGCAGTGATAAACAGCGACACCTCCAAAACATAAACATGGATGCCGCGAGGCAGCGTTGTATCTTCCTTAGACGACCGCCTCTCTAGGCTCTGTCCTTCAGGGATTTTGTTTCCGTCCTTTGCAAGACTAGGGTTTTCCATCATCACAAACTTCACCGACACTCCGTTGCCATTGCACATTGCCAATCTTGTCCTCTCTCACATGTCACCATGTGTCATTTCCATCGAGTACATTTTCTGGGTATCCCACCCGATAGATAATAGCTCGAAAATAGGTATATAGATAGATAGGTATGGAGACGTCCAAAAATGAAAACCCCAAATGCCACCAGTGAATAAAGTTGTCTAATGAGAGACTTGAATAATACAAATATCTAGGTTGTGGTGCTATCCCTATGGTTCTCTCGTTGCCTGGAGTCCATGCTGCTATAATAACCTGTCGAGTTTGACGGGGAAGAAGATACGGGAGTGGAAAGATGTGTGAATAGAAAGACCAAGTCAGAGCACTTGATTGTGGATCGATCAAGCCCAAGGAAGTGGTTGGAATGGTATCAAATTGTTGAACGCCAAGTGCCATGCAAGAATCGAATAGATGAATGCAATTGATGAATAGATGTGCTGATAGATCGAATCGAAACGGTTTGAAAGGAGCGGGAACCATCCAGGACGGGCGTGTATTGCAGGGATGGAGGTGTGTGTGCACGCGAGCTTCCCAGCTTAGATCATCTCGCTCTGGTGCAGGCCGGTGCGGTTGAAGTTCATGGCCGGGACGCTCTCATACGGCGCGGGCGGGCTGATCTCGGGGGACTTGGTGCGGCTCAGGGCCGGTGTATTGGTGCGGCTGCGGCTCGCCGACCGCATCCGCTCCGTGGCCCTGGAGATGCGGCCTGCGATGCTGTTGTCAACGCTGCTCCGACCCCGGTGATGAGCGTTGCGCGAGGATGGCGGCGCAGGGGGGGCTATGATGGGCACGATCGCCTCGCTAACGGGGATTGCCACAGGAACCGACGGCGATGACGGTTGCTGGTCGTCGTCCATCACAATCTCGATCGCACCCGGCGTCTGGCCACCATAGACCACAGGCTTGCCACCATAGACCACGGGCTTGCCACCGGCACGGTATGGCAGAGGAGCTGGAGGAGGCGGCGGCGGCGAGACAAGATGCTGGAGCTCCGGAAGAATCGGCGGAGGTGGAGAGGTTGGAGGTGGGATCTGGTCATCGTAGGAAGGCCTTCGCCCACTTCGATTGTTGTTCTCCGGAGCCGGAGACGCGTTCGAATCCGTGCTACCCTTCCTCATCAAGTTCACGCGAGGGAGTCCGCGGCTATACTGTCCACCTTGGAGGGCCATGTGAGCAACATCTTCTTCGAGAGGGCAAGACAGAGAACGGGCAATTGGCTGCCGGGCAGGCGGGCTATAAACTGTCGAGGGCAGCAGGGTCAGAGAAGGCCGGGGCTCCGCTTCGGGTTCAAGTTTCTTCGGAGAAAACCGCGAGGGGGAAGGGTGGTTCGGCAGAGGCGGAGATGCCTGAGCGAACGTTGCAGGGATCGGAGGAACGGGCACGTTGGATTCCTTGCTGGAGTTGGATTCGAGCACTAATCGCATGGCTTTCGGGGTGGCAGGAAGTCCAATTTGAGGTCCCCGGCTTCCGTACGTGCCCCGAGTCGCGACCGGCTCAACCGTCTCACTCTTCGTGGGGAGGTCCCTCGGGGACGGGACTGTGGTGCTTGGAAGCTCAACCAAGGCCTCAAGAGGAGGCGTCCGACCTGTGGTGGGAAGCAGCTCGTCGGGGTGGAGGATAGGGGGAGCTGACGGACGGCGGGCAAGAGACTTCCGCCGCTCTTCAAGCTCACGGGCAGCGTCCTTCTTGGCCTGTCTCTCGTCCTTCATCGCCTTCAGGTCGCCCGCGTGGCCGCTTATAGGCTGCATCGGCGTTGTTGTGCGTCTTCTGCCATCGAGCCCACGCTGTCGACTCTCCGATCTTTCGCGAGCTCTATCCGCCACGGAGCCGGGCGATGTAGGATCATCATGGACACCCCGACTTGTGCTCCGGCCATTCCTGCGACGGAACTTCTCCTTCGCCTCAATCGCTTTTCTGAGATCTTCCTCGTCTTCGGATCCAGCATAATGCAGCGGGTTCGCGGAAAGAGGCAGTGGCGATGATGGCGACCTTAGCATAGAGCCCTCACGACCCTTGCTTCGCCCACGAAGATCCGAGGTTAGGACTGGCCTGTCCGGGCTCCGGTGCCGGCCTTCTCGGCTCTGCGCCCGACTCGAAACCCGAGGTCTCGATGACTCGCGCTGGGGTTGCCTGTTCACCTTCTTTACGGTGCTCGGCTGGGCCTCGTCGTGCGAGATATCGATCAACAGGCCAGGCGCTTCTTCGCCGCTCGTGTCCACCTTCGGCGTAGAAAGGTTGATCAGATCCTCGGGAGACATGGGGATGGGGGACGTCGGGGATCGTTTCGGGCCCTTTGGAGTAAAGGCGCTACGCGATGAAGTGCGTCCCCGGTCATAGGATCTCGCGCCGGAACTTGCCTTCCGCGGTCGACTAGACTCGCGCTGACGTCCACGACTCGTCGCACGGGTATGATGCGTATGCTGAGCGGCGTCTAGGCTATGAATGTAATCGTCGAGGCTTTTCCCGGTGGTTTGATGATATACACGATGGCCTCGAGCAACGCTCGAGGCAGCCGAGGCCGAGGTCGCCGAACTACTCACAGATGCGGGGCCTCGTCGTCTCGAGGGCCAGTGATGGCGCGTGGAGGACACTTCCGACTGTTCAGGGGACGTAAGATCGGCGGCACCTGCATCGAATTGCGGGAGGTGCAAATCGAGGCCTGTGGGCATACGAGTCCTAGATCCGTTCCTTTTCTCAGGACCTTCCATCAAGGCCACGAGAGACTGCGGGGATGGAGCTGGCAGTGGCGGATCCTTCTTCGTATGCGAGCCCATCATCATCCCAGGGCTAGCAGTGGAGGCCCTCCCTGGCACCCCGAGCGAAAGGGAACTAGCACCGTCAATAGATGGCTGTCTGCTGTGGTTCGACCTGTTCACGGATCGGTCACGGGGTTGCTTTGCACCGGTTAGAAAGTCGCGCGGGGTCGAGTCAGTCGGGGTCTCGCCGATGGAAGGAAGCAGACTGCGACCAGGACGAGCAGAGGCTGGGGTGTTGAACGCGCTTCGCTTGGAAGGGCGAACGAGTGCCGTTGAAGGATCCTCAAATCCGCCAGGAGACATTGCAGACTCGGCGATAGGTGTCACGCCAGCCGCAATAGGGGTCTGGCCGTCATCGGGTCGGGGGAACGATTTAGCGTTGTCGCCAGAGAAGGAAGTGATGAGCTTGAGGGATGCATTCTTCGCCATGCTGCGTTGAGGGCCACGATTCAGATCTGGAGGCGACAGTGGAGGGCTGAGCATCTTGGGTATCGATGCGTTCAGACTCTGGAATATAAGCTGGGCAGCCGAGGGCGACGTCCAAGGTTCGGTAGACTCCTGGCTGGTACAAGCCACGCTATGAGAAGGGGCAGGTTGGTTAATCAGTAGCTCATAACGAGACCGGTGATCCGCTCAGATACGTACCATCTCATCGCCAACTGTCGCTGGCCATGCTGGATAGCCCATTCACCCCATTTCCTGATGATGGACTCTTGACGCTCCCATACCGCGGGAAAGAAGAGGCACGCCAGGATCAGGGCCTCCATGAAATACTTATGGGTGGCGTAAATCTCGATGGCGTCGATGTGGTCTCCGAGGCCGATCATGATGGTCACGGCAGTATGAACGTCGCCGGACTTGAGAAGTCGTTGGACATAGCCGCGTCCAACCTGCTGTTGAGACGCCTCCCCCATGCCGCTGAGCGCCAGGATCATCCAATCCACCATAGTCATGTTCTGTGAGCCGGCTGCCAAGGAATCGGCATCCATGTCACCGAGCCATTTGGAAAGCAGGATCCTGCTTGTCGATCCAACGGGATGGCGAGACATCTCGTCTCGAATCAGATCTTCAACCTCCCTGTTCCACCCGAAGATGGTGCTGAGCATCTGCCGCCGAAGATCACCGTTGGTCAGGCGGCTATTGTCACTACTCATGTAGAGTTGCCTGTAGGGCACGTCGGTCAGACGGCTCCGCGTAAACCTGAATAAGTCTTTGACTGCCCTCTCCTCAGGACTCGGGACTACCTCGTTGCGCAGGCGCGAGGGCTGATGGCGGTGCGACGGGTTTGGGGAGGATGTCATAGAAATGGAGCTACTCGTCGAATGGGAGTCTCGATCCCGCCGGTCTTGGGAGGGTGTCCCAGATGATAGCATTGATGAGCCAGAAGAGATGTGCGTAATCTCCGTCATACCCCGAGACACTGCCGATGGAGGATAGCGGTGCGCGGGAGTTCTGGAGCTCTTCGATCTGGAGCTCTTCGAGGACATGGAGATGCTTGAACGGCTCGACATGTCGCTGGTTGCCCGATGGCCCGTCTTAGACTCGGGCTTCACGCCGCCTTGGACAAGCCTTGCGAGCGGTGACATACCGACCTGCTTTCCCGCTGAAACATCGGCATTCAAGTGGATCGCGATTGACTCCGACTCGGACGTGTTAGCACTCGCCCCCTTTTCTTGCTCCTCGAGTGAGATGGGTGGTGAAGGGGGGAGAAGGTTCGCGGGGTGCTGAACGTTAATAACCATCATAGCTGGGGAATTCAAGTCGAACTGCTGGACTGTGTTGTTTGCTCCCAGCGTGAACAGACTGGCCGCAGGGCCGTAAACTGCCAGGCCCCGGATGTGCTCCAACGTCGGAATAGTGTCCAGGGTGACATGCTTTGTCCGAACATCCCACGAGACAGTTTCGCTATCACGCCAAACCAGGTTAACACATAACCTCACTGACAATTTCCATCCCAGTGACCTGGGGCAGGGAGGATAGGCGCGAACTTACCTTTCTGAGAACTGAATGATTCTGCCGTTCTTCGACCAGCCCATCCAGTTCGGTCCGTCCTGATAATTATTCCCCGGCCTCCTCAGTATCCTCACCACTTTTGCCTGGTCGTCGCTTCTGTAGCTCTTGGACACACTCCAGACTCGGAGGTCGCCGTCGTGCGTCTGTACTGCCAGCATATCCGACTTCCCCCGAGACGAAGAGGCATGCCATGCCAGGTTCACGATCGCAGAAGGACCTCTCGCTGTGCTCAGGCTATACAGAATCGTAAATCTTGGTTGTATCGTCGCGATCAGCAACGATCCATTCTGGTATCTAGACGTCATTTAGCAGGGGGACCGAGAGCTATACAGCCACAGAAACACACACCCCATGGCAAATACACGACTGTCTGCCGCTGGAGCAAGAGCAGTCACTGCTATTTGGTCAAGAGTTCTCGCCGAAATGTGCTCCGCCGTAGTGGGCTCAAAAAGAATAACTGATCCTTGGGCGGTTCCTAGGTGCTTGTTAGCTAATCTATCCCACGCGAGAGTGATGCGGTATATGTATATATCTCACCAAAGGCGACATTGCCGTTCCGCATCCAAGCAGCGCACGTGAGATGGTCGTAGGGCGTGAACCGGGAGATCTCTTCTCCCGTCATCAGGTCCCACACTATGGCGTTCTGCCCAGCATCGTAGCTGACAATCAGCCGGCCGCGGCCAGACTCGCTCAGGTTATCCACGGCCAGCAATTGGATTTCGCCCGAGTGCCTAGAGAACCTCCTCTCAATCGTCAGGGCATCATGATGGCAGCAAACGACCGAGTTCCCCTGCACATAAATAAACATGGAGGCTGTCGCGGCGCATGGCTCCAAATACCGAGCAATCCCATTCTCTTCCATGGTGAAGTCCTGCACTTTCTCCGGCCTTCCCCTCGAAGAGACAACCGACTTGTTCGAGGGGGCGCGATTCCTCGCGGACGAGGACATGTCCACAGTAATATCTCCGGCCTCGGGGGCGCGTCCCTTCGACTTTCGTGTGTAAGTCGGCTAGCTGCATGTAAGAATCAAGGGCTATGAGCGGCAGAACCTTGAGGTGATACAGGGGCTCCTCTAGCCCCTGCGCACAGAGAGAACGGGATACGAAGATAGAACATACCGAGTAGCAGAGTTATCAATGTGTTTCCCGTCCGACGTCATCCGGCGGACCAAATTGGGAATTAAGGCAGCGCGGTTTAGACCCCGACCATCACATGAGCCACCCGTTCCGGGGCAAGAAGATATCTTCAAGCTAAGCTTCCCCGCCGACAGTTCGGAGTTCGAGCAGCTAGCTCTTGACAGTCCAAAGTGTAGGCGGCAGTCGTGTATATCTGGAATGCTTGAGTGGGCGAGAAGCAGTGCTGGATCGCCTTGGGCTGTTTCTTCGAACAATTGGAAGCAGGAAACAGAATCGGGGAGCCGAGAGAACGGGGGAGAGTTGGATCCAAGTCTACACGGTCGCACAGAAGATCTCCCCTGGGAGAGTCTGTAGGCGCAGGGGTGGAGAGCGAGGTATTGGGTGGGTGGGGGGCGGCAGGCGGTCTGGTCGCTGCAAACAAGTTCACCTAGTCTACCCACCTCGTCGTGGGCGGCGCGCGCGGAAGAATGGGTGTGCCCGGCGCTTGCCTCACAGCTAAAGATAGGTGCTTTCTGCAGACAGACTCTTTATTCCACAAGCTTTAGCCGCTGGAAAATGAAGTGGCGGGGAGCAGAAGAAGCAGGAGAGAGGGGGGCAGACTGAGGGGAGACTCTTCATGGGCGGCGGGTGTGCTGGCAAATAAGTCGAACTGGCCGGCGCCTAGAGACAAGAGCACGGCCTGTCACTGGATGGGACCGACTGACGATATAAAATTAGAGCTTTCTAACTCGAAGCAAATGGTGCGGAAAAGGGACGGGGCGCATGGCGACGATGAGCATTAGCGGGACGCCGGGACCTGGCAAGTTGCAAGGGTTCAAGAAGCGATCTGTCGAGCATCAAGGCCACAGGGATCTCTACCTTGTCGCATTGGAATTCGAGTGGTCGGCGGTGGGAGGCAGGCCCAGGATGCGCAGGAAAGTGCACGCTGCACCCGCTCCACTGCCCGCCAGTGCTCGCAGCAGCTCGCGATGTCTGGTTGGCAAGGATGTATGGTTGGCAGGGACTTACATGGTATCAGTACGGTACATTCAATATTTGCCATAATTAGCCTTCCGGGTTGTGTGGTCTGGCTTGCTTCGCTTGTTGCTCCTACCATTGGTCGACAGCCCAATGACAACTCAATGGCAGTCCTCTGCTCACCAGAAGATGAAGCAGGTACCATGTTTAGCGTCGAGGCGTGGCTGCCCGTTTAAGACCCCCTCATCTTCCATGACCATCTCTGGCGTGATCTTTCCTCATTTGAGCTACTCTCTTGACCGCCGCTGACTCTTGCGGCCGAAGGGGGACTGGATGGACGATGGATGGAAGTCCATGTCTGTCCCGCGTTGTCCAGACGCCAGCACTGAGCACTTGCTGTCCCCTGTCGGGGACAAGGTCACTACTGGTGTATCCCCATGTAGCTCTAGTTAACCGCCGACCCTTGCGATGAGCCCGTTGAGGCTGATTATTGGCTTACGGGAGAGGAGCCACCCATGCATCCCAGAGTGTGCGGATCACAGCCACGGGCCAATCACAACGGCTAATCACAGTTCTCAAGCGCCCAGTCGCCAGTTTGCCAGTCGACTGATCTGTGAGAATCTTAAAGGAGCGACGATATTATCCTGTCGTTTCCGCCCCTCGTCTTGTCATGCCCGCTTCACAGAGCAAAGTACTACGAAGTAGACCGCACCATGGCATTGTGCATTCCGAGTCCACACACTAGTTTGGTTATTTCAACCATCAGTAACAGCTTAATAGATGAAGTGGATTGAATGCACAGGGCAAACGCTGCACTATCGAGTAGCTACGGATAAGGATCCCATGGTAATGGCCATGCATGGTGGATATCGAGATCTGCAAGGGAGAGAGAGGAAGAGGTAAAGTCCACTACCTAGCTACCTAGGTATGTCGGTGAGAATGTAAACGGCCCTCCCGTCTGCACGCAAAAAGCCTAGTGTACCGTAGTGTGAGGTAGGAAGCTATTCCGTGCTGGCCATGAAAAATATTTCCAACCCGGCATTGTAGCTTGCAGATTTTGGGTTTAAGTGAGGCTAATATACGACCTTTATTTTTTCTTTCCTTTTTTTATTCGAAAAATCTGACCTCGAACTCACCTTAAACTGACCTCGCCTTGCTGACCAGCTGGAGGCAATTCGTTTTTATGGAATCATCGGAGTTTCAGAGTCTTCAGTTCAAGAAAGGCTCACTCTCGTGTGTCTCTTTTACATATGTACGATATGCTCAAGGGTCGGGGCTCAACCCCATGTAGTAGCACCTGCTTAAATACGTGAGCCACATCGCGAATACATGCCTTTCCGGGTATTTATTTACTACCTTGCCTTACTTACCAAGTACGAGGCGAGGAAAAGGCGATGCATTGCTACCTTACTCCGCGGCCTGTCTCAACCGGGCGGCCGCGTGGTCGGACCCAATTGCACACGGACTACCATTTCAGATTGATGAAAGCTCCTCCCCCTCCTCAACCTACAGCCCCGTACCTGGGCCCTGGCATCTCGTATGCTGTCCTACCTTATCGAACAAATAATCGGCCGACAACTCGTCGAGGTGATGAAATAGGACACGCCCGCAGCTCGAGGGGCCACAAGGATCGAGAGGACCGATTGTTTTCCTCTGTGACCAAGGTAGGTTTGTAGGAGAGCTGTGATGTGATGAACGAGTTGGGGTTAGCTCGCAAGCATGTCAACCCCCAATCTCAGATATGTGTAGAAAGAGGTAAGTCGGTGTGGGTCTCGGGATCAAGGTGTAGTGGATCCCTCCGCTATGTCCCGCTATCATCCCCGCCAACATCCCCCCCACAATGCCAGCTTGCCGGCTAGCGGCCGGCCCCCGCTCACCTTGTTGATCCTGTTGATCTCCATATATGTATGCCTTATGATTGACAGTTTCAACATTTAAGGCAGGCAAGACACTCAAGTTATTCCGTAGGCCATCTGTAACCAAGCCAGTTTCCATCTAGTGTAGCCTTGATCCCACATGTTGAATTGAGAAATGCCGAGTCGCACAACATGCGACTCTCCGAGTCTGGATGGAGGCTAGAGTCTGGACGCCATGCAGGGCATCTAAGTCACATCTCATTTCACGTCACAATCACACCTGAACGTGCATGCCTGCCTACCAGGGTGACGGGGTCTTTACCCCACGTTGGAGGCTGTCTTACTCTCATCGAGTCGACACTTACATGCCTAGAGCGGAGGCTGATTTGATGAGGAGACGAATTGACAATCACTTGATATCCACTTGATTGCCGCTGCAATACCTACTTTGTCCCAACTGGATCTTTCCTCGATGGTAGAAGCAGCAACGGTAGGTTGATGGTAGATATTACGATAGAGTTGCCTCCAACCGAGCCTACAAATCGGACAGCCAGGGCTGGCCCAGACTCCTTCTAATAACCCCAGACTCGACCAGTCTGTGGCAATAATCCGTATACGAAGTAGGGTCAGATCTGAGCTAGCTGATCCCATCCTGACATCGACGAATGGGAGAAAACCGAGCGCCTCCCCCGCTCGAGAGTCGCGATTTCATTTGTGGCTCAGCTTTTGTGTTGGGCCAGGGTTCACAACGCCATTGTCGCGTCGCCTGCCCTTTTCGCGGCGCGAATCCCTGTGGCGATCTCCGCAAAGCGAGAGTGACATTTTCCACTGTGTCTGCCCACCTTCCTTGGCCTGCTCACCTCCTCCAATGTGGGAGATCTAGCTTCGCAGTACGGCCGTTTACTTTGACCTAAAAGTTGAAGGGAAGTCTCATCACACGCTAGCTAGCACCTCGATCACACCAAACATCTTAAAATACCAAAATCCCGTCAACATCACCGCTCCTACATATGAACAGTTTACGGCCGTCAGCCCCACGAACAGGCGACAGGATCTGCGTAAGCACGAATGGTAGAGGTAGAGAGGCAGAGGCAAAGAACACTGGCCATCTCGTGGTAGTGTAACTAGAATTTAACCATTAAGTTCCATTGTTCCATTGAAAATGCTAGATCCATGGGTAATCCATCCATGCTTGGGGTATCGATGCTGTGTAAACTTCACGCTATCCGCTCTCAAAAAAAACTCTCCATCCCCAGATGCTCCAGTGCCCGAGTTCCATGCGTGTTCCATGCAACCCTCATATTCTCCTAGCGGGAGCCCCACCCATAGGGTTAGGGTGCGTGAGTAGACGGCAACCACAGGCGCACATGTCTTTCTAGGTTCCCTTATGCGCGTCACGGGCCCTTCTTTTCCTGCCATGATCGCCCCAACCAGGCCCCCAACGCGTCGTCATCTTTGCCTCGCCCTCCAACGCCCCAACTCGGGGTTCTCTCAGGGGCCCATTATCCACCCGCCGGCTCGGCAAGCCCCAACTCCTTTCCATTAGCCGATAGCCGACGTCACGGTCCCGTAGGCAGTGCGGCGGCAAATAGTGACGTTCCCGACCACATCCGAGGTGCCCTGATTCCAAGCCCATATCCTCCCGAACCTCCTTCTTCCGCACGCTGCGCATGCATGCATCCTGCACGTTTCGCGTGTTCGCGCCTTACTTAGCCTCGGGTAAGGCTCGTCGGGAAAGTCTCGTCCGAGTGGGAGAGCGAAGCAGGGGTGCTCCCCTGACCACATGGGATGCGACGCGCATGCGCAGGCCACTGGGCAGAAAAACGTCTACGCAAGACGGCGGGTCTTGGGTAGTGATCGCCATAATGGCGATGTGTTCCCGGACAAGATCCGAGGCTAATAATGATGATCGTCGGTAACATGTCCCATCGTTTGGAATCTTTCGACTATTGTTAGCCGTGTCGCTGGACAGACGTGGCCAAAGGGAAGTAAAGCTCACTCATATCAGCAATGTTGTCAAACAGGTACCGCTTCTAGCGGGACAGCCCCGATCACTCCGCCTCGGCTATCGGCGTCATGGCGCTGAGCTTGCTCTTGGGACTCTTCTTAGCGGAGCTGGAGCTGGAGCCGCTGCTGCTGCTGCTGGACGACCGGCGCTGCTTCTTGGCGGCCTGGCGGCGGCGCTCCTTCTCGCCCATGAGGAAGCGCATGACCTCGCGCTGGTGGGCAGCATGCTCGCGCTGCCTGTCGAGCAGCTCGGCCTCGGTGATCTGCTGCGGCGGCGACTGGAGAAACTGCGGCGACGCGCTGCCGGCGCTAGAGACGCTGTGCGCGTCGTCCTCGAAGGGGTCCGAGGGGAACAGGTCCTCGTCCGACAGGTAGGATGTCGGCCGCTCCTCGTTCTCCGACTCGGAGAGCGACGACCGTCGTGGCCATGAGGGGAAGGCGCAGTTGGCGTGCTGGGCGCGTACGGACAAGGTGCTTGGGTTGATGTCCAAAGGTGCGGACATGCCGCTGTAGGAGCCGTACGAGCTGTACATGGCTTGTTCGGATGGTCTTCTGTAAGTCTTGGGTCTTGGCCGTATGATATTGTGCACGTCAAGTTATCTTTGTTGTTGTGAAGTGTTGCAGGACTAACTACGTTCGTATAGCTGGTATCATGAACGCGTTCGACTCCTCTGTAGGCGGCGGTGGTAGGGTAGCGGAATCGCAGAGGCAGAGAGAGTGTGGGAGTGAGGTGGTAGCGTTCTTATATTTGAGTGAGCACTGAGGATACGGGCGTAGGTTACGGTTGGTTTGCAAGTTCGGTGTCACAGGGCCGCAATAATATTAAATTTAAGGTTCGGGGAAGCCAAAAGGGCAAGTCTGACAGGATCCGATGTATATTTGGAAGTCGATGCGAGAAAGTAGAAGGAGGGCGACCAACATGAAGGGGGGCGCGTTGTGGCACAAGCAGATATATAAAAAAGTTGGTCACCCACGGATAACGCACGGGATTGGGGGGATAACGGGGGGCTGCCTGTTTTGGGGGGTGAATCATCGACCAAGCACGGGATGAACGGGGATGATGGGTAGTGTACATCGGTACAGTCCAAACGGCAAGCCAACCGCGTTCCGTGGCAGTGGGCATTGACATTTCTCCCTCCCTAGTAACCTTGGGAAGCCCCCACGGCCCGCCAGTCGGAGCGTAGGGCGCGACACACAAACACACCCAGCTGCGCTTTGGTGTTTGGGGCGACGCTGAGTCGCTGACTAGGGAAGGGGCGGTGATCCGAGTCTCCCTGACCGCCTTTGCGAAAAGCAATCCATCCCGTGGGTTGGCTGGATCGGCTGGGGTGAGACCGTGGGAAGAGTGTGGGCGATTGGTGGGTGGTGGCCGTTAGAGCGGCATCCATTGGTTGGCATGGGCCGGGGAAGCGAGCCTAGGCTGGGACCGGCTGACGGTAGGCCAGCCGACGGCCCCAGACCTCCCGCCAGATTCCTTCTGTGCGTCGAAATTCGAAGTCGAGGCATCCACCTGGCGCGTTCTCGGCCCAGAGAGGAAAGACAAAAAGAAGGAAAAGAGAACCAAAAAATAAGATTAAAAAGCAAGCAAACAGCGAGCAACAGGGAAATGAGCTGAAACCCAGCCACCCGGCGGCACCCGTGTCTCAGATCCAGCAACCATGACTTTCCAAGAGATGATATGCCAGGATTTTTGCGGCATCACAACCTGTTTATCTCGCAGCGCGTGCTTGCTTCTGCTGCTGCTGCTATCATTTATGGTCCTCATCCGGCCAAGGTCAGATGGGACATATGGGACGTACGAAGCAATCAATCATCCACCCACATTCCACCTCATAAATAATCCCGTGTCATTTTCCTTCTCTTCCAAGTATGAAGAGGTACTGTACATACATAACATTACCAAGTGACAAGTATACGTACTGCAGAGTAATTTTTGCTGCATCGAGCATGCGCCTGTAATCCGGCAAACGCATACTTCCTTGGCGCCAACTTTCAAATTTCAGCCCTGCTGGCTCCCAGAAAACCGGTCATCGGTTGCCACGAATGATAGATCAAGCACCTAAAACCAAATGTGAGTCAGACTGGGGAAGCACGATGGGCAACCCCAGATTCGCCCGTCTGTCTTCTGGGGTGACTTGCGCCGTCCCATTCCAAACGAGTGGACAATTTGATTACTTTGCTTATCTCACATTTGATGAGGTGGTGTGCTGTGCTGCTGCCTTGCCTCCGGAGTAATTACGAATTCGTAATTCGTTCGTTCTGCAGTGTTGGGTGGCAAGCCTCACCGTCTCTCCTCGTCAGAGCAAAGCAAACCTGTCCATGGATGGACCATGACTCTATGCTTCATGCTGCTTGCCGGCCCAACGGTGAATGGACAACACAGCAAGGGAGGCAAGAGGGCCAGACGGTGCTGTGCTGGATGCCAGGTTGTTTCGTGTTGGTTGGCTGTTGGTTGGCAAGGGGTTTGTTTCTTTCTCCCTTATTTTGTTCTGTTTCTGACCGCCTTTCAACCCGCCACCAACAGGCGGCGGCATCGATACCCGACCCGCATCCCGGGGCAGATCCCGCCCCCGACATTCGGTCTAGCAGCTCTAGCTCTGTCTTGAAGCCCCAGTGGGTCCCATGAAATTCTAGATCATTGACATCTGGATCCTATGTTGGACGGAGGGCAGAGGACCAACGGAGGTTTGCTCGACTACCTACAGAGGCTCTAACTCACTTTTCTTTCCGCTTTTCTTTCATTTTCCTAAATGTATTTCCGCGTTATGTCTCATCTTCGACCGTTGCGATTCCTAACTCTGGGTGTGCCTACACTATGTACGCGTACGGAGTAGGGGGAGTGCGACAGGGTAGCCATGTTCCCCCACTTGCCGGAATGGAGCAGCTCTTTCCGGTAGCACAGACCTTGAATAGACCCCCGCGCACGTTCCCGGCGCTCGGAAGCTGATCCAGAACCCGCCTAGCCCGCCCTAGATCCATGATTGACCGTTAAAATTTCTTCATTCATAACAAATGAAGCTAACGGTTCGAACTACCGGCCAGGAAGGAATTGGGACTCGGCAAACGAAGAAGCGCAAGCGAAGCGGACCGAGATTCGGTCGAGCAAACTCGAAAATAGCGGTTCTCCTAATCCATCCCGATCTGACAAATGATCCCGGCACTCGAGATCAAATCCACGCTCCCCGCTGTTCCAGTTTTCGAGGCTGATCGTCTCCTCACATGTGAAAACTGACCAATGACTTGCCAATCAGGGGGCGCCTTGGGACGGTCACATATCCAAAAAATTCATCCTTCTCTTTTTCACGAGCTTGCTTTTATATAGCAGGTGAAAGGGACGAATGATTCGGGATTCGCCATCCGCCTCGCACCTCGCTCTCACCCGCGGGTAAGACATGATTTGCAACCAGCTGCAAATTGTAGGCCGTCGTCCCACTCCTTTTCTTTTGCCTCTCTTTTGCCCAGATCCCCACTCCCCGCCTGGTCGACAGGATCAGATGTCATCATCTCACCCAGCTCAGTCAAGGCTGGAGGGCTGTGATGGCATTCTATGGATCATGTGCAACCAGATCGCTCTCCTCTCGCAAGCAAGGTCGACAGGTCCCATATATTGGATCAAATGGCGATCCATGCCGCCTCTTGGTGCCTCGCCATTCAGTGCTACGTTGTGTAGAAGGACATTGATCCAGTCAGTTGGATAAGTGCGTACACCGTGCCTCCGGCTGAAACCCCAACATTTTACTCGATCCCAGATCCTCCTAGGCAAGCATATCGGGCGAAAATGTGACAAAAATGCCCCCCCTATGTGATTCTGGAGTTTAGATGGGGTCCACTGGCTGTAAATGGCAGGTCGGTGAATTAAGTGGGATGCTGGACGTGGGGGTATTTCCCAAGTCATCCCGCCATCAACCTGTCCAGTTCCGCGATGCTTTTTGTTTCTTGGCCTTTTTCCTGGTCCAAGGTTTGACGAAAGTCGCGCTCAGAACACTTGTACCCTACGTTGTAATAGGCTGGTATGAGCCACTTCGAGGATGAGTCTCTTTGTTTATGGTCCGTCACATCGCCCTTATCGAGTCATCCACACACATATCCTCCTCCATCAAAATCAGCCTTCCCAGTCCACCAACAAACGACTTCGCCTTCCAAAAACAACACAAGGCAAGCATATTGAGGCGATAGAGCACTTCTCTGCACTGTCAGCTTGTCAGATGCGATAGCCTAGAATGGACCCCCACTGCCTCCCTGAATGACGCCTTATGCATATGTTTCATTTCACAGTTGCCTCCGATCTCGCCTCACCTATCAAACCCCCGCACAAAGGTTCTCGTTTAAGCCGCCACCAATAACCTCCGAGTTGGCCGAGTTCAACGACAAGAACTCATATATCTGTTGTATCGCTAACTAAGGGTTGACCTGAGGGATTCACCGTTTTCGCTCAACTCGTGGCTCAGGTTGGCTCCATGATTGGGCTCAACATTTCATCACTTCCACCCCTGTTCCAAACCATCCACCTTTTCCCACCGTCCCCCTCGTCCTGTTGCTGTCGAACACTTGGCTTATTTGTCATGTCGCATTTTGAAGCATTATATAATCTAAAGCGTTACCGCCCCGTTCTCATATCATCTTGATCCGTCTTGCATGACAGGCACCACCATAAAGGCTGGAAATGTCTGGCCAAGGATGAGTGGACAGTGGGCAGTGCCACTCCCACATCATGCCTAAAGATAGTATCACAGAGAGGCCCCGAGTGGGTAGTTATGCAACCCTTAGTTTCTCCTTATCCTCCTACCCGGAAACAGCTGTGAAAGTGTGCAGCAGCAGGATCCTAGGCACATCCTCAACTTATATCTATCTGCCTGTAACATTATGCGCATTATCATCACAGTCGTGTTCCTCCAGTCAGCCACCCTTGAGAGCTCCAGGTGAGGCACCATCAGAATATCATCACATTGAAAGCGCCCAGACCGCAAACCAAGGACGCTACGTTGCATGATGCGCGGGTAGCATCACTTGATGGGCGTTTAAAGGTCGAAAGATCACGAGACCTGGGACCATGTTTTATCTCCACTCGCTCGTTTCGGGGAGCCAGTGATTTGATGCCCGATACCAGTGTGATTCGTCGTGCGTACGCCAATGAGGGTTCGCACGCTGCTAGCACTTAGAGCAACCCAACCGCCTCTCGTCACACAATACGAGACCCTTGGTGTCTTGACTGCTGCCTGTTGCGCCTTCCCTTGATCCCAGTGACTGGATTCAGGGGTTTATCGTTAACTTTGTCAGGTAAAGCTGGCAGGGGCACGCCTCAGTATCTGAAGTCACTTTGAGGACAAACGGTCTCCTGAACAGGGCAGACTGGGGAGCGGCAGACCCATCTGCCTTCTTCTGGTATATTGAGTCCAGTCATGCATGGCTCAAGATCCTCGTCGAGGTTTCGTTTGTGATACTCCAGGTTTTACATCGGTTCTAGGAGGATCCAATACATTTATTTCCCAACGTTCTGGGTGAGACTCATGGTCTTCCCCGACCTGTAAGTTGCGTTGTTTCTTTTCAGGTTCCACGACCTAACATGTCACGACAATGCAGTAAGCCTTACTCGACAACCCCGGACCCTATGATGTGTGCGAAGTATGCTTGATATTATCATCGCGTGGTCCCGTAGGCCATGGTCTAGAGCCATGCACCCTGAGCTCCATGCCTGGGTTTCTTATTCCCACCGATGTCACTCTCCTTACACTTCGAGAGATCGGGGGTACGAGAGGAAACCGAGTTATGTAGTGGCCAGAGTTTCTCTCCCCCTTGATGGAAGATTTGCCTACCGAAAACCATACAACACCGTCCTGCACATCCCTCTAGCAGGTCTAGTGTCTAAGTCCCAGTTAGCCAGGCGGCCTATGATGGGTTTTCGAAAGCTGTGGTCGCGCCCGACTTCGACGACAGGTAGGCAGATTCACGACATGCGGAAACACTGGTTGCTTGTCTGCCAAAGCCTCGACAGACCCGGGAAAGCCCTGGTTGCTTGTCTGCCAAAGCCTCGACAGACCCGGGAAAGCCCCTGGATAGCAAACCATGCCCCCGGAAGGGCATATGAGATATTGGCCCCTTGCGATGTTGTCTTGTTCCCATCCAGGCCAACGTCTTGGGCGTAATCAGCTGGCGCAGCTGCCCTCTCCAGCCCCCTTTTGTATATTTGGATCGGATCGGCCTATCTTGACCAGGAACAATGTGGTGGCTCGTTTTCGGGTGTTAAGCACACAGAACACCCAATAGTTCATCCTCACCCGGTCCAGAGTGACAGAAGCAATGCTAGAGGCCTCGGTGTGCGTCTGAAGTGAGAAGGTGGGCAGGGGGGTCAGTTCGATTGGAACGCCAATGTGGTTCGTTTTCCTTGTGCGAGCGTCAACAATATGATTCAGCTATCCTTGCTGCAAGCTCGTGTCCATCTTGAAGAGTATTACTGCAGGTTGATACAGAGTAATAGCAACGGTCTATAAGGCGTTATTTCATGGACTTTGAAAGGCTTAGACCTTGGCGATGAGGCTTGATAGGCAAAAGGCCTGACAACGATGTTGCTGTGTTAGTGGCCCTGAGAGTGCTCAGCTTCATAGAAACGGTTGCTCTCGCGTGGAGCGTCAATTCACGGGGATCAAATCTAGTACAATTTGATTTTGTGTTCTCTAATGCACCAGGACAGAGCTCTTCTTGATCATAGATAGGCAGGCCTAACTAGATGCAATTGATAGACCGACAAGGAGGGAAAGCAGAAAGCGCCATGTACCCAATGATTTGCCACCCAAGGAAGACGCTGGGAGCGATTTTCTGTCTTGCCTGCCCAAAGGTCGGTCGGCATAGCTATGTCACACCCGAATGTGCAAGGGCCGGTCGTGACTGCATCGACATCGTGGACTTGTATGACATAGTCGAAGGAAACCGGAAGAAGAGACCGGAACGCCAAACTCCGCCCGGCCAAAAGCCCGTTGCTTGGGCACTACATTCTCTAGAGCGTGCTAGGTCCAGCTAGCTCCTCAGAGCCTCCAAACGATTCCGCATCTGGTCCATCATGGCCTCGGTATCCTCCTCCTCCTCCTGTGGCTGTGCGGGCACCTCTTGCTGCGGTGGGGGCACGCTAGGTAGGGCGCCCGTCTTCTCCATGCGGTCCTTGAGGATCTCGCCCAGGACCTTGTCGACCTCACCCTCGGCCTCCTCCTCGTCCTCGCCCAGTACGTCCGTCTCGGGCAGGACGTCGCCGACCATCTCCTCGATGATACCGGCCTTCATGAGCTCGACGCTCAGCTCCTGCATGGTGTGGGCCAGCTGGGGCAGGCGGACCAGGGAGTTGACGTCCTTCATGACGCCGACGCTGGCGCGGATGCTGCCCTCGATCTTGCGCAGGGCAAAGGCCTCGTTGACCTGCATCTGCACGCTGTTGAGCTGCGCCTTGGAGGTGACGAGCCGGGCCGACGTGCGGCGCGCCCGGATCAGCTCGCGCGCCAAGCCCCGCACCTCCTTGAGCGCCTGCTTCTGCCGGCTCGGGTCCCTCTGCGCCCGCCGGTCCGCCTGCACGATCAGGTTGCGCGCCCGGGCCTCGCCCTGCTTGACCTGGGAGATGTCACGGTCGAGCTTACGGATGTTGGATCGGATCAACGCGTTGCATTTTCGGATCTAACAGGGCACACTTGTGTCAGAAAAAGGGGTCTGTCTGTCTTCCAACGTGCGTGTATATGTGGCTGGCTACGAAGAGACTGATGGCAGGAGAAGAGGGAGCTTGGCGTTTGTTGCGGACGCTGGCTTACCTGCGTTTGCGGGTCTGGTTTGACAAACATAGCTTTTATGGTCTCCATGATGGCCCAGAGGAGAGGCTACTGAGCCTCTGCGAATGCCCGATTTGGTGTGTTCAATGCTTCTGTGCTAGCAGTGGGATGTGGTTTGGGAATGGTTGGAATGGGCGGCACTGACGTCGGCCAGGTCACGGGCGCCCAGGCAGCCAAGGTACCTAGACAGTCCAAGAAGGTTCTCAGGCTAGTAATCAATTTATAGTGCACCACGTTATGCGATGAGGCTGCTACTGTAATATTCCCCGCATGGACGCATGGCCCCACCATGAAATGGCCTGCAGGCTCTGCAGCTGGGACACTGGGTTGACAAAGCTTGTCAAAGGCAAGTGCAAGTTGGAAGCCTTCCGTGTTGGAGTTGCCTGCGGTTGCTGGCTCTACACAATACGTTGCAAGGCAAGCAAACGATAAATCAACTTCAGGGCACTATCCTGGCGTAGAAACCAGCTACATGATGTTTATATGGGAGTCTAGAAGAAGCGGACACATCAAAAAGATAACTACATTTACCTACGTCAGATATCCAAGGCAGCAAGTAGATCCGGATTAGTAGGTACCTGCTCCAAGCATTAAGAGAACCGAGCTACACTATACAGTTTCTAGACTCAACTTATTTGGTATCGCATACCAAAGAAGTCGAGTGTAGAGGATGTTCAACATCAAGCTCAACCCACTGCTGTGGTGAGGGGCGGTGAGGGGCGACGGGGGGCGGCGAAACTTTTAAACTTTGCACCTTCCAGGTTGTGTTGTATACCTACATACCCCAATTGCGGTACTTAACCGGACCGACCTCTCAGCCCTGCCAGGGTCTGTCGAATCTTCGGGCTTCTCACACATTCCATTGACCCCAGCGCTACAAGGCAACGCATATCAGTGCAGCCTCAAACCTCCACCCGACGCCTCTTTCAATCTGACATTTTTTCTACCTACACTGACGACCTCAATCCATTCGTAAGTCTCCTATGCCACCAACTTCTACATCAATCTCTAACGCAAGGTTTCCTGCACCAGCAACGAATTGCGTACCCCTCCAGGCAAGCAACCAAACGCCAAAAACACTAAGCCTCGTTTTCGCCATGTCGACAGCAACCCCCGAGGGTAAGCAAATATTGTCCTCCCCAACCCCAATGACCATCGAGTATTTTTGCGGCACCTTGACCTTTTGGCCTTTTGGCCTTGCTGCTCCCCTCACTAGCTCAAACATCCCAATTGGGTTGGGACGCGCGGAAAGGAAAACCATGGCGACAGCTTCGGACAGAGTAGCTGACGGTGCTTCATCTTCACAGTCCTCTGGGCCCAGCGCTCTTCCAACACCGATGCCGCTAAGAACTTCATCTACCTGACTATCAGCGTGCCTGACGTCCCGGCATCGAATCTCAAGTTGGATCTCAAGCCTCAATCGCTGACTTTCACCGGCCACTCCGACTCTCTGAAGAAGACTTACCACCTCGAGCTCGAGTTTTACGCCGAGATCGACGCCGAGGAGAGCAAGATTAACCACACAGGCAAAAATGTCGAGATCCACCTGCGCAAGAAGGAGCTCGACGACGCCTACTGGCCTCGTCTCCTGAAGGATTCGAAGAAGGTCCACTTCCTGAAGACCGACTTCGACAAATGGGTCGATGAGGATGAGCAGAACGAGGTCGCAGAACAGGAGGACATGTCCAACTTTGGTGGTATGGGTATGTAATGCCGTTTGATTTTCAACCCTCCTCCCCCCCCCCCCCCCAAATATTACCCGGGTTTGCTCCTCCCTACTCGCTCGCCAGCTAAACCCGCTACGTACAACAGGAGGAATGCCTGGCATGGGTGGTATGGGTGGTATGGGAGGTACGTAAAATGCGTATCCTGTTGCACTGAACGAAATACGTCGGCCTACGAAGCAGGCTGCGGAGCTGCAAACAGACCTCCCCACACACCGTTCAGGCCATGGTACTGACATTGGGCTTCTTTAGGCGGTGGCGACTTTGGCGGCATCGACTTCTCCAAGCTCGGCGGTGGAGCTGGCTTGGGTGGCATGCCGGAAGACGGCGACGAGGAAGACTCCGACGATGATGAGATGCCCGCCTTGGAGGACGCTGAGGAGGAAGCTGCATCTGCGGCAAAGCCAGCCGAGGGCGAGGCTGAGGCTGAGGGCGAGTCCAAGACCAAGGCTTAAATGAATCGTCGAGGATGGCGAGACAATGCGACAGCATGCTAAGATGCTCAACCCGGACAACTTTGGTCTAGGACGGCAATGGAAAGATAAAGAATAATCCAACCCATACAGAAAGCTAAGCTCTCTATTACAAGGGTAGCTAGGCAACTGGCTGGGAATACATAGCACAGACTATTGCTCTGACGAGAACCGAAGACCACTGGGGAGTTGGATCCTATACTTACAATACAAACTGCTTAAGGCTTGGGAGTTTTTGGAGCCTATTTACACACTGTGGTGGCACCGTCCAACCTTGCCGTAATCATGATGGATGGATGAGTTGTTCTCTGCTCTCCTGGTTGCTTAGTCCTCTTCCTACACACACCTCTTGAGGAGAGAGGCTCTCTGTTTTGTGAGTCCGGGCCGCACCCTCTCCCAGAGTGACTGAACTGGTCGCATAGCAGGAGCTGGTCTCCTCCCACAACTCCCAGCAAGACCAGACAATCGCGTCTTGGCCCTTCCCTGGCCCTTCCCACCATTTTACTTTCGCATGGCTACCGCCTTCAACTTAAACTCTCGTCCCCTAGCGCGTGTGGGGGATAGTCTAGTAATGGATGTGTCTGTTGGTTCCGTCCAACAACAAGCCCACGCGCCACTCGTACCAACCGAGTGATTGCTCCGTCTCACAAGCCAGCTCCCCCTTCCTCCCTCCTTCCTCCTCCTCCCTCCCTCTCACGATCCTCTCCTCAACATGCCATCCGGAACCACTCCCCCGACAAAATGAAGACCGAGCCCGCATCTCAGCACGGGCCGGGCCAGGGCCAGCTTATATCCCCCTCCATCTCTTCCCCCACCACCACCACCCACCACGCCCTCCCGACCCATCAAGCAGCAGCCACTACCCCCCGATCCTGCCCCTGCTCCTGCTCCAGCTCCTCCTCGCCCCAGCCACTCCCGCCCCCCCATCTCGGGACAACAGCAGAGGTCCCGCAGACGGTATATTCCTCTCTCGATGCCGCCACAGACGCCGCCAGGGGCGCCAGCCTGCTCGCCTGGCCGGGCGACGAGCCGTACCGGTCGCCGGTGCTGAATCACGGGGGCCAGGCGCCGCGTTAAGCGAGCGCCCAGGGGTGGGAAGGAAGAAGTGGGTGGCGGAGCGAGCGAGTGAGGGAGGGTATGGCGCGGTGTGCCGTGATGTTCGTAGAAGGGGGGAGGAAGGGGATTGCTGTTCCGCGGTACTGGGATGATGGTAATGGGGACACTGGTGAGGCTGCGTAACATAGTGGAAGTCCTTGTTTGAGGGACTGGGGAGGGTCCCCCGCCGGAGAAAACAGTCACAATACAACACATAATAAACTTCAAACTGGGCGCGACATATTGGCCTGTCCACATTCGTCTCTTAGGCTGTCGGTGGAATTATACAGTACATAGTGATGTGACAGGGCTAGCTATTGTCAACGCAGCCGTTATGGGGGTCACCAGTATGATCCCCCGGTTCTGTAAGACCAATCTGATGATGAATGTTCCCACCGACCGACCATTCCGGGAAAGAAGACGCGCAAAAGAAATCAACCTTCCAGTTTCGAAATTGCACCTCTCAGCCACAGCCTGTGATATGCAAGGGTCCACCTGAAGACAAAAATATGAAAAAGAGCAACCGGTTGCCTGTCACTGCCCGCACCGCCATCCCGTGTATCCGGCTCACATCACCGGGGATGGTTCCTGACATGAAGAAACTGCTTTACAAGATCTCATCCTCCATCTGGGCATCGCCGTTAGTGGCGGGAGCGGCGCCCTCAGCATTCCCGGTGTTAGCGGCGGAGCCGTCAAAATAGTCGGCCATCTCAGAGTCCAGTTCCTCAGCCGTCTTTTTGGAGGGACGGGCGTTACGTGCGCGACGGGGAGCTCCCTTCTTGGCAGTCTTGGTGGCAGGACCGGCCTTTGCGCCGTTTGCGCCGTGCTTGCTGGCGGCCGATTTGGGCTGCACCTTCGGTTGGCTGATTTGGTGTTAGTGTCATAGCGAGGCGAGAAGATTGGACAAGGAACCACTTACGAGATCCGCTGACCGAGGGTCTTGGGCTGGGGGATAAGGTCGGCGGAGGCGACAACGACCTCGACCTGGAAAATGTCAACAACACAGTCCTAACACTGTACCAGGAGAAACCAACCTTCACAGGTCTATTGTCGATGAGGAGACCGTTCAAAGTCGAAAAGGCTTTGCTCGCGCCATCTGCATGGATGAAGGTGACGTGGGCATTGCCTCGACTGACACCGCCCGGCCCGTAGGAGAGCTCGACTTTCTTCACCTGGCCGACTGACTTCTGGAAGTATTCCTATTGGCGGGGGAGAATCGTGGTTAGCAAGGTTTGCGAGACTTCGAACAGTAGCTTCTTCGGCGACGACCCGACATCGACAATCCACGGACGGTATTCGGTAGACGAAATCCAAGGCGGCAGCGCGGGAAAAGTCAAAAGCAGCAAGCAGAGCAGTGAGCACAGTAACATCGCCAGCATCACCCGCGACTAGCAGGAGACTTGCAGCCCTTCATCCCTCAAGCGGTTCCGTTTTATCTCCCATACCCACGCACCCCCATATCGAACGGGATAAGATGGAGCTGGGAGCCAACCATCCAAACGACGTTTCCGCAATCTGGGACACAGCGCTGAAGCCACCTTCCTTCAGCGACCTTGGAAGCCATTCAAAGTCATCCGCCAACTTCATTGGGTTACTGAACCCATGCCTCGCCCAACCCTCGTGCCGCCATTGTCAAAATCCAAGCGGAGCTGGCTGCTGATACGCGATCAAAGGCGGAATGCTGCTGCTCACTGCTAAGCTCGCCAAAATTGCGGGTTCATCAATCTGGTGACCAGCCAGGTGGATGCCCTCAGAAGTTCCGGTAGGGGTTTGTTCGTCACAGACTACCACCAGCCTACTTGTCGCATGCGTTACAGTAGGTATCAAGACATGGGTGCTTGCCAGGCGACCCTAATGTCGATTTGCTCTGCGTGCGACTAGGGGTGGGCTCGACCTCACTGCGCTGATGCTAGACTTTGCATGCTGTGCATCTGTGAGGGAGACAGGTGTCTGGACGTTCCCGTACCGGAAAAACGGATGCAGCCCCAATCGTTCAATGGGGACGTGTCGATAGGTTCACCATGGGGAGAGACGTCGACAAAATTTCGAAGGCTGGAATGGCCTCATCGGTAACATACCTTGATCTGGCCTTCGGAGACATCCTTGGGCTTATGAGTGGGTTAGCATGGATCCTGCCGATTCCGCGGTGTTGGACATGAGCGAGGACTTACCAGGTTGCTGACCATGATCTTGCTCTCGCCAGTTGCACGGGCGTTCTTGGTAGGCGCGGGCTTTGAAGCATTGCGCGCAGGCTTGGTGCTCTTCTGGATGCCGCCAACAGGGGCGGTTGTGGGTCGGCCGGAAGAGCGGCGCACAGAGCGGCGACGCCGCTGGGTGGAGAGGATCTCATCGAGAGACTGGTTGAGCTTGCTAGACATGGTGGCGGATGTGTAGACGGCGATAAAGTGAATAAGGTTGGCGGGTTGATGAATGTGGTTATGAGAGACGGTGTGGTTTCGAATCGGTACAAAAGATTCGATTAAATGAGAGCAACCGAAGACAATGATGAGAGGTCGTCTGGTGGACGGTTGTTGATTAAATCGCGTGGCTTGAGCGCGATCAGTCAGGCAGCAAGCGAGCGCGATGGGCGAGGCAAAGCGTGAAGGGAAGATAAGGTCGCGATATTGGCGGAGAAGTCGAGGGGGGAAATGGATGGGCTGTCGAATTTGGCTGCAGTCCCGAAGATGCGAAGTGAAATTTGGGTTGTTGTGGGCAAAAGTCGCGGATGGCGGTGGGCGTTGGTGAAGAAGGAGAAATGGTGAGTGGGAGGTGACGAGGAAGGTTTTCCAAGGGGAAGGAGGAATGGGGGACAGGAGGCAAGGTGGCAGGCAGTCGCTTCGCCCGAGAAGGTACCTCCGTACCTGTGGCGATTGCAGGGCCAAAATAAGGTGCCGCACATACAAGCGGATTGGACCCACTCGTGAGTCACTCAGCCTCGCGTCGCCAGCCACGCTCTCGGCATGAGTTCCCTAGCGCAGGTCCGACATTTGGTGCCTAGAGGTAGGTATGTATGCGTAATTAGGTAGAGCTGGGCCTGGCAGAGGAAGCAAACACGATAATTATACTGTCGTCACCTCCAAAACACCTTCTATTTCAACGACTTTGGAACCGGAACGATGCTCTTAACCTCAACGTCCCGAGCAGCGTGTAAACGACTTGCCTGACTGGCCTTCCATCGCAGCGCAAACAAGTAACAAGCAGTTCATACAGCATCCTTGGCAACAGTGAATTTATGCGCCGGCTCTAGAAGGGCGCAGGATATGACGTTTAAGCGCCATACTTGTGTGCCTTATCCTCCCTGATTGCCCTGGCCATTACAGTTCTTGGGCCGTCCTGTATCTGTTTCCCTAGTTACTTCGGCGAGGGGGCTTTGCAGATTCCCTTGCTGGCCTCGAATAACCAATGGTACCGCGCGTTCAACCACTCTCAACATTAAGCCCTCGGGCAGCGATAGCTAGGCCCAGCTTCGCGGCTCCCACGCGACCACACAGGCTCATTCCACGGGCTCCCTATTTTGTTGCCGTTCCTTGCTTGCCAACCGGTGTTGATTGGCCCCTTGTCTTTGCTGTGGCCTTCGCGTTCGCAACCTCGGTGTCTTCTGTGTTGACTTCGATGTAATGGTATAGCACAATGAGAATCATTGCTGCTGAGCCAAGGAAGATGGCAAGGCGGTAGAGATCGTCATCGGAGATCATCTTGTCGACAAGATGTATTCACTCCTCCTGGGAAATGCCGATCGATGTGCCTGTTGCTTCTATCCCAAGTTAACAATTGCTTGCTCGATAATGATGCTCGGGGTTTGTGGTCAATTGACAACTTACCGATTTCTACTGCGCGACAGCAAGGCCTAATCACTTGCAGAAAAGATTGACTTCAGCAAGTTCTGAAGGTAACATGGGAGGTGGTGATTCCTTTGTGGTGGTGAGCGACGAGAGAGGCCACCTTAGCTTCGGCCTGCAACCAATACCCCTGTAATTAGGTGCATGGATGGTAAGATGGAAAAGCTAGAAGACGTCCCGCTCACGTGCTGTCAGCCTTGCCAGCTGTAATGGTCTGTGCGGGCGCTGTCTACAACTTCTTGCCTCTCCCATTTGAGAAGAGCCACTATTAATACTATTCGATTTCGAGTTTTGAAGCCCCTCACGAATTTATGTTCTGAGCGCCTTGAAAAGAGCCACCCGCCCTCCCCCGTCCTAGAAGCAAACGTAGAATTTCCACACCACCGAGAACCCTCAATAATGCCTCCCAAGAAGAACGAGAAGGTGCCGGCTGGCAAGAAGCCGTCGGCCACCAAGCTTGTCGAGGATCGAACCTTCGGCATGAAGAACAAGAAGGGCTCGGCGGCGCAGAGGCAAATCGCCCAGATGGCGTCCTCCCTGAAATCCGGCAACGCGGAACAGAAGAGAAAAGAGGCCGAGAAGGCGGCGAGGGAGCGCGAGAAGAAGGCCGCCGAAGATGCCAAGCGCGAAGCCGACATGCTCCTCAACAAGCCCGCCCAGATCCAGAAGGTTCCGTTCGGAGTCGACCCCAAGACCGTTGTCTGCATATTCTTCAAGAAGGGCAACTGCGAGAAGGGGAAGAAATGCAAGTTCTCCCACGACCTGGAAATGGAGCGGAAGACGGAGAAGAAGAGTCTGTACCAGGACACTCGGGAGGATGTGGAGGAGAAGAAGAAGCAAGAGACGTCTGCAGACTGGGACGAGGCCAAGTTACGAACGGTTGTCCTGTCAAAGAAGGGAAACCAGAAGACAACGACGGACAAGGTCTGCAAGTTCTTCATCGAGGCGATCGAGGACGGCAAGTACGGGTGGTTCTGGGTCTGTCCGAATGGAGCCGACAAGTGCATGTATAAGCATGCCCTCCCCCCTGGGTAAGTTGATCCGAAGGATTCACACTTGTGCCATGTGTTGCCCCTTGCTAACAACCGCAGATTCGTCCTGAAAACGAGGGAACAGAGGGCGGCGGAGAAGGCTCTGATGGACAAGTCTCCACTGAAGACCCTCACCCTGGAGGATTTCTTGGAGTCCGAAAGGCACAAGCTCACCGGTACCCTGACCCCGGTGACTCCGGAGTCTTTCGCCAAGTGGAAGAAGGATCGTATGGACAAGAAGGCTGCGGAGGAGCAAGCACGGAAAGCCAAGGAAGCAACTGGACGTGCGCTGTTCGAGAGCGGCAACTGGAAAGTGGCCGGTGACGATTCGGATGATGAGGACGACGATGCCTGGAACCTGGAAAACCTGCGGCTGGAGACTGAAAATTTGCGGCAGCAGAAAGAAGAGGAACGATTGGCCAACCTCCATGGTACTCCTGTTCCTGTCTCCAATGGCAGCAGCGATCCTGAGCCGGCACCTGATACGTAAAGCAATATCAACGCTTTCGCGCTTCAGTCACAAAACGAAAATCAGGACTCGGAAGCCGCGCCATCCAGGGCACTTCGTCCAAGAGGCGAAGGCTTTCCTGCCATTACCTGGACTGCCGGGGGGGGTGGGGGGGGGCCATCGGGCCTAGTCGGAGCTGACCCGAGATTGTCATGCCGCTTTGGCTACCGACAGGAAAGGCGCTCATTCCGGAGGGTTAAGCCTAACCTTAACCTGTAGTTAGTGCTGAGATCTAGTTATGCGTAACTTGGTTAGCATTACGGGAGTCAACCCCTTTCGCACGTCGCCCAGGCCGGCGACCAACCCACCAACTACATTCTGTGCCCATATAAATTGACTCTTGGTTGATTTGCATCGTGTACTACTAGAGTCGTTGGAGGTTGGAAGGGGGGGAGTTAAGGCGGGAGTGGAAGGGCAGCGAAGGAGTGGCCATTTTCCCAGAAAGCAAGTCTCTCTGATATTAATGGTCCTGTCTCTCTATGAGGGGCAAGTAAACAAAACTGGTATTCATCTCAAAAGGCAACTAGCATGCAGAAAAGACGCCCAGAGAGATATATCTATTCAACAGCGAGGTCAAGTCTCCTCAAGTAGAATTTTCAGACCCGCCACTGTGACCTCAACGACCTCGGAGCGATGGCTCTTCTTCGCGCACTGCGTCAAGATGTCCACGCCTTTGAGATCTCTGATCCTGGCCCGCGCCAGCTTCCCCGTCTCCCCCACGGTGGCTATCATGTTGTGGACGACAAACACGCCACGGTGCCGCAACTCCTCGTTCTCCTCGGCGCAAAGACCCAACACAACCTCCACACCCCGCTCGCGGGCCAAAATACCCTTGACGACGCCCTCATAGCTAGATAGGGCAGCCAATGCGCCCCCTGCTCCACTGCGTGTGCCTTCGTCTTCGGCGTCGGCAAGCGCGAGGAGGATGTGGAGCCGGTTCTTGACTTGGGGGTTCATGCTGTCCACATACAGAGCGGCAGCATCAGCGCCCTGTACCAGATTGCACACCAGCTCGACAGCAGTCCCAGAGACCATAGCATTGGAGCTCAGGAGGTGCTCCTCGATGTCGGCCCAGGCAGCCCGGACAATGGTCCGCCGCGTATCGTCGTCCGTCGACGCAAGGTTGGTCAGGGCCATCAGCGCTTCGAAAGTTGGAAGCAGGTCGCGAGTCTCGGCTGTGGGGTCGGGTGCGAGGATAGAGGCAAGAGGGCGGATGGCAGCGCTCTGTGGGATAGGCCTTGTACCGCCGAAGACAAGGGCCGGGTTGGTGCTGATGAGGATGCGGGCAAGAGCTTGGGCGGCTGTTCTGCGGGGCAGATGCTCCGTAGGGGGCAGAGATGTCCACGCAGCGATAAGGAGACGAACAGCCCCTTGTTGGGCGAGTTGGCCACGGATGGCGGGGGTCATGGACAGGGAGTAGATAATCGAGATAATGAGAGACAGGGAGGCTAGGGAGCCGTTCTTGCTGTGAGAGACGAGGACCGGGGTGACGCCCGCTTCGAAGACCTTCTTACACCGCTCTGATACGTGCTTGTTGTCGTTGAGAGTGTCAGGTTGCAATTTTCCAGCCGCGTTGGCATATGCCTTGAGTTGGCTCATCTTCTTCTGCTCCTCAGACTGAACAGGTTGGTAGCGCGTGAGGTTCACAAGTATGCTCAGAGCTCCATAAGTTAAAGGAGATTTAGGTGGTGCGTCCTGGAGGGTTTTAACGAGATTCTTGAGGAACTCGCTATTCCTCGACAAGTCTTCCTTGACTTTGGGCTGGAGTGATGCATAAGCCAATCCCTCAATGGAGTTCTGTCTTCCATCTTCCGGATTCTTCAGGAGCAGGTTGGTGAGCATTGTTGATAGATCCTCAATACTCGTCGTTGCTTGCTGCACTCTTGGTTCTGCAGCTGGATTGGGAGCTGATTGCACTGCCTTCAAACCTGATGTCAGTCAGACACTATTAGCATGACCAAGGGAGGGATGGGTGTTGTGGGATAGGTAGTTTGCTCTCACTCACCCTAAGCTTCGCCAAAACCACGATGGCAAGGTTCCGCACCTGCTCCGAGTGCCTGCGCATTGAAATGGAGCCGCCTTCAGCGAGCGATGCATCTGGATTGGCAGAGTGCATGGCCCTCACAGCATCCTCTGGATCCTGGTCAACTATCTCCTCCAACCACTCGGTGCAGTACTTCTGTACGGCTTCGCGACAGGCTGCGTTCATGCAAGCCGCGTTGAGCATGTCCAGACACGCCGTCTCAACCTTGCGGCTCTTCCACTTCCGTCGCATCAAGGGTCCAAGGCTAGGAAGGAAACCTTCGCCCAGGAACAGGTCCGAAGTGAGGTCGGGAACAACGGGGAATATGGCAGCGGCCACACAGAAAGCCACGATGTAGTCGTCGTAGGTGCCCCTCTGGATTCTCTGGTGGAAAAACTCGTGCAGTTTATTGCTCCCATCGTCCCCCGCAGCTTTGAGGTAGGCAGACGTGGCGAGGGTGGCGTGGCCGCGAACAACCTCAGGCTGTCTCATGTCAAGGTAACAGACAATGGTGTCGACACAGTCCGCATCGATGATCTTGCAGATCGACTCCTCGCCCTTCTTGACAGCCTCCACATCATCGTTCAGCAGCTTGGTAAGCCGGTTCAGGTCCTTAACAGTATCCTCGTCTTCTTTCCCGCCTTCCATAAGTTGCGCGAAAAGTAGGAGGGTCTGGTCTTCCCTCCCGATGGCCTCGGAGCTGGGCAGACCAGCGTCGGTTGAACGAGACATTGACGCTATCAAATGTGCTTATCTATAAGTCCCAACGTGTAGATGGGAGGGAGGACGAGCAAGGTGACGGTGATGGATCGCCGCGTACGCGGGAAGAAGGGAGGAAAGAGGAATACACTAGGCTGTGTTCCGTCCTTGAATTTGGGATAATGGGGCTTGAGTATTCGAGGCGCTTTGCACACGTCTCTTATCATCAGAAGGAAGGGAACAAAAATGCTGACGTTAACACATGTTGAAGTTAATGACCTAGATGCCCCACCATAGCTCCCATCTGAATTCCAGGTTCCTTGCCTTATTAAGGTGGGGGCACCCTATCCCCGTATCGCTATCTCACGTGGGTTGGCGTTCGTTCCAAAAACTCCCAAGGGAATTTTTAACGACGCGCCTTTCGTCTAAGCAGAATTAAACTCACGGCTGGCTCCGCTTCAACTTGGTCTCCCATTTCTGGTAGATGCAACCTACGGCGACCGGCATACCTGAGTACTGGCCTATGCCGATGGTTGGATTCCGTGAGGTGGTCCGGGTTCGCCTTTCATCCCTTCCTTCGGGATCGCGAGTGCAAGCACGGACCGGCGTTGGACCTTAGGAATCGTTGGGAAGCCCAATAACAGGAGCTCTGAGCTCCCGCCAAGCACTCGCAATGAGTGTCCAGGATGCCGTTGACGCCTCGGAGCACTACGAGGTCTATAATACGGGGACTATCCCATCTCTGTGCACCATTATCATTGATACCAATCCCCGTGCCTGGGCTGCTCTTGCCCAAGTGCTACCTATATCGAAGGCCATCGCGAGCGTCCTCGTCTATGTCAACGCCCATTTGGCATTCAATAATGCGAACCAAGTCGCCATCATAGCCTCGCACAGCAACAGGGCCGTCTGGCTCTACCCGTCACCACCCAAACCCCAGCCGCCAACCGCATCAGAAGAAGACGTCGATATGACCGATGTCGATGCCAACAATCCCGGGCAGAGCGGTATTCCAGCCACGACCTCGACCGCTTATCACTCCGCCAACAAATACCCCCAATTCGCCGCCATCGAGAGCTCCCTCCTCACCTCCCTCCGCTTCCTCGTCGACGGTACCACGGTCACAGACCTCACCCCAGCAACCACCCAAATCTCGGGAGCCTTAACCCTCGCCCTCGCCCACATTAACAAGACCTCCCTCTCCCTCTCCGCAGCCAACACAACCGCCACCGGCGCCGCCTCCACGGGGCCGAAATCCTCGACGGCCGGCGGCCTGTCGGGCCTGCACGCGCGCATCCTCATCCTGTCCGTGTCCGACAGCGCACCGGCGCAGTACATCCCGACCATGAACGCCGTCTTCGCGGCCGCCCACGCCCACATCGCCATCGACACCCTCGCCCTGCGCGGCACCGCCACCTTCCTGCACCAGGCCAGCTTCATTACCCGCGGCACCTTCATCCGTGCCGAGAACCCCCAGGGCCTGCTGACCTACCTCATGTTCGGCTTCGGCAGCGGTAGCGCCGCGCCCGCGGGCCCCGACCCGGCGACGGGGAGGCCGGACGGCGGCGGCGGGGAGACCGGGAAGTCCAAGACCGGGAAGGGCGACGACGGCGGTGGCGGCGGCGGTGGCGGGTCGAAGAAGCGGGCGGGCCGGCTGGGCCCGAACGCGAGCGTGGCGGACCTGCTGGTGGCGCCGAGCGCCGACCTGGTGGACTTCCGGGCGGCGTGCTTCTGCCACCGCCGCGTCGTCGACACGGGGTTCGTGTGCAGCATCTGCCTCAGCATCTTCTGCGAGGTGCCCGAGGGGGCCGAGTGCCTCACCTGCGGCACCAAGCTCGCGCTCGGCAGCTACGGCGCCAAGCCCGCTGTCGTGCCGAGGGTCAGGCGCAAGAAGAAGAGGAAGATGGGCGCCAACGGCGAGGTCAGGGAGGAGACGGGGAGCGCCGCGGCGACGCCCATGGGGTGACTGGGCTGGGTCCAGGAGAGGCCAAATAAAAGTTGGACGGGATATACGGAGTCTGGCATTGCGTCGGCGTCGCTGTGTGCCTCGCTGTATATTGTTGGGGCGGAGTTCCCAAGACCTGGCAAAGTGTTCCAGGATCATGGATGGCGTTTGATAAGTACGACTGGATAGTGGGGCGTATTCCCCCCAAGTTAACTCAAAAAGTTCATAATCGCGAATAGACGCGTTGCTTAAAGGTCTCTTTCATTGGTAATTGTATTGGTGATTGATTAGGTCTGTCCCTTGAAGGAATCAGGGTAATACTAGGTACCTAGTCTAGGACTCGAGGTGGGTAGGTATTAGAGGATGGATGAATCTCGCAACGACTTCCAACCCCCCCGGTCTGCTACTCGAGGAAGCGGCCAACTCTGCTGCCCCCGTCGTCCATCTCCCAGTGCCCAGCCTCTCGTCACCCAACGCCGGCTGTCCCAAATACGGCACCGAGTCAAAATGAAAGCCAAGATAACCTTCCACAGCCCCTGCCTCAACCGCGGACTCTGCATAGGTCAGGGGTTTCCATCCATGTTCAAGCCGACCGTTTGTTTCTCTCAGTCTATCCGGATCTTCCGACCACCCCGGATCACGCCGCCGCTCCTCCCCGTTCGCGACATGGTGCACAAAGGCTCGGGCTCTGTGGAGGCCATCGACGCGAGAGCGAACGAGTCGGTGTTGTGCGCGAAGTAGAAGTAGTATCCGGACTTGGTCTGCTTGACGGCCATGACTCCGATGGCTCCCGGCGTGGGCTGGTTCTTGACGCCAGGATGGCCCATGAAGTCCATCGTGATGAAGGATTCAATTACAGCGTCGTCGTCGAACTCTTCGACGTCCTGACCGCAAGGTCCTCGGCGGCTGGAGTGGTACAGTCTCTCTGCGCATCTGAGCGAGGCAAACGATGTGGCCATATGTTCGCCCGTTCCGCTGGTCACCGCAGCGACGGAGACCCCGTCTTCATCGTCAGGATCTGCGGGGATGACGGCCGTCCCGATGCCCACCAAGGCCGCTGGACCGATTCGACCTGCGTGTTTCATGCCGATGCCACCAGAAGAAGACCCCGCAGCAATCCGTCCCATTAGATCAATGGCAATGACACCGACAGTGTCGCTGATCATATCAACGTCATCTCCCTCATCTTTGTCTTCGTTGAGACCGGTGGAGCCATCTTTCCGATCATGGCCCGCGTCAAAATCATGACGCTCTTCGAGGGCCTCCGGCGCCCCTGGCCGATCATCCCCGCTGTCTGGCAAATAATCGAAGCTTGTCGAACCGCCAGGAACAATTGTCCCGGCAGAGGGGAGTTCGTTCGTCGCCAAGATAGACGGTGCGAGAGAGGAACCATCGCTGAGATATGCCAGAGCTTGCGGCCGCATTGGAGAAAGCGGATTCTTCAGGGCTTGGGGCTTTCCACCTGTTGGAGTCGTCCCTGGCGAAGAAGTATTTGAATAACTCGGCGTGTCTAGTGCGTTGCGCCCCAAGAATGCATTCTCTGGCTTGGGACAATCATTGCGACTGGGAGAGTTAGGCTGTCCCTCATTCCATGTTGCACTTAGGAGGGCGTTCAGATGATCTTGCCGCATCGCTGCATGAGGTTGGCTGGACGGATTGCCATATTCGCCCGATGCTGGCACGCCGGCATTCTCGTCTTGGTATGGCGTGCTTCCCATGTCTGCCTCGGCGTCCTCGAGATCCTGATGCCATCGGATGAAACGCTCTTTCGCATTTCTAGAGACGAGGCACTCATTGACAACAGTGGGCATGCCATGCTCTTGGGCAAATTTCGTCGCTCCTATTCCTACCAGAATGTTCGGTGGGACCCGGGAGAGTGACAAAGGCTGGATGCTTGCGTCTCGTATTATTTTCGCGAGGGATATGGGGTTTTTGATACCTTCAGACGGACGGTTAGAATTCAAATTTGTCTCACTTTGCGGGTTGGCTACCTCGATTACTTACCAGGGACAGCACCGCAGGCACCACTTCGCCCCAAGTGGTCGACGATGGTTGCGTCGCCCTCGACAACGCCGTCGATGTTCAGATTGCTCCCATAGCCTGCATTTGTTATTTCCCTGTCCTCAAGGCACTTGATGGCTGCTTCGACAGCGACCGTGGAGTCGGCCCCGTTTTGCAAAAATCGCATTGCCACGCGAGCAGCCCTGGTCTGGTCAGATCCCCTGCATTTAGCTGTCGGACGGATGACCTACTCGTTGCAAGCATCTAGGTGAGTCAGCTCATTTGCAGTGCTGTGGTATCCTGCACCCGCGTGGACGAAAATCGCAGCCAGAGGTGCCCTGTTTCCTGGCCTGTACATGTCCATAGCCTCGTCTATGTCGACCGAGCCGGGTGTGGTGCAGAATCTGCTTCCCACGGACGATTCAGGAAGGCAAGACGTAGCCCTCCACGGATCCAGAGGGGTTTCCTCAGGTGCGGCTTGCTGAGGGTGGATGGGCAAGATGGGGAAGATGGGACGGTTGACTTTAAAAATGTGACGGAACCATGGCAAGCAGTCACTTGGAAGGCAACGGGGGAAATATTGGGCTCGTTGGTGAAGCCGGATCGCATGGGGAAAGGCACTTGAATCGAGGTGCACTGTAGACCCGAACCACCGCCCGATGAAAGGCGGACAAACAAGAATGTCGGTCCTCTTTTAATGGATTGGTGAGCTCGTCAAGGAAGCCATGCGCTGCCGTGGTTGTCTGAATGAGCAGGCCTTGATGGTTTGTTGCCTGCAAGCGGCGGACCGGTGGGGCGGGAAACGAAGCACTCTAAAAAAATTCCCAATAATTCTAAGTAGAAACCATGCGTGGTATTTGCGTTGAAGTTGGTTTGGGAGTTGTGGGGAGGATGAGCAACTATCGCGAAGACTGGGAGGGCAAGCTCCCGTCTGTTTGCGACAGGAAAGTTCAGGGAGAGGCCGGCTGCCCGTGCCGAGTGAGGGACCCGAGAATTGGAGACAATGCAAGGCTTCTCCGTTTATCCCGGGCCTGAAAGCACCTGCCGTGAGGACCTGGAGTGTGAGGACAGGAGGCTTCCTTCCATTCTCTCCCTCGGCCTTGACTTAGATCGGCGGTGAGATTTAGAGACGCCCATCCTTTAGTTTAGCTCAGCCTCATAACCCGCAATCCATCACGAGGGGTTAGAATAACCATGATGGGCTCTATGACGGATGGCGCAGTTTGAACCTAACCTCAATCCCAAGGAGACGAGGGACGGTGAAAGTTGCTCTCACAAATAATCCGTTTGAAGGCATGGAGTAGAAGAGCGGTAGCCCCCTGTCGAGCAACCCACCCTCGTCACGGCAACCCATTGGTCAGAATCAGGCACCAGCCATACCAGGTAAATTAGGTAATTGGCGGGGCTAGTTGGCGCACAGCCGCAAGTGAGCTTGGCAATTGGGTAGGCACGTAATGTCGACTTGTCAACGTCCGTCTTCCCCGATCTCAATCTGCTATTGTACCTTGCTCTTGTCAGAGCTCCCTAGCAATCACTGCGAAACTTGCGCCCTGCATTAATAAAGCGGCGCGCAGCCTCAGCTTCGCAAAGATGGCCAACCAAACCCCCGCCGTTGTCATGGACAAGTATGCTCCCTCCCATATCGGCTCAGCCAGCCCCGCACTGCCGGCTCGCCCAGCATATCTCCGGGTTGGCCTCGATGCATTGCTAACTTCTCCTCCTTAGCGGCACGGGCTTCTCCAAGTTAGGTACGGGCTTTACAGACAATCCTATGAGGCCAGCTCTGTTCGGCTGCTAACTCCTGACACTCCCTTTGCACAGGCTTCGCGGGCAATGATTCCCCCTCGTTCGTCTTCCCGACAGCGATCGCGACAAAAGGCCCAGCTGGAGGCGCCGGTGGTTCTGGGTCGGGGCGACCTGGTGTTGCAAACAAGCCCTCCTTCCTCACTGGTGGCGCCGGCCCGTCAGGCCACCTGTCGTCGAAACGGGGCACCGAGGATCTGGACTTCTTCATCGGTGATGAAGCTCTAGCAGCTGCGGCAGGACCTGGTGCGTGGATAACAGGCGTTTCAATGCGAGGAGCCTGCTAACTTAGTCAGGCTATGGACTACACTATCCAATTCGGCACGGTCAAATAGAGAACTGGGTTCGTGAATGTGGGAGTTCAAGAACGGGTAGTGGACAACGCTGACTCTGTTCATCCAGGACCACATGGAGAGATTTTGGTCGAATTCCATCTTCAAGTATCTACGAGTCGAGCCCGAGGATCACTTTTTCCTTCTTACTGAACCTGTATGCATACCTCCCTAGCCTCCTCAGTAGCCAGTCTTCAGGCTCGGTCTCCAAGCTAACACCCGTCAGCCATTGAACCCCCCTGAGAACAGAGAGAATACGGCCGAAATATTCTTCGAATCCTTCAACTGTGCCGGCCTTTACATTGCAGTACAGGCAGTTCTCGCCCTAGCAGCGTCCTGGACGTCCTCCAAAGTGCAGGACCGATCCCTCACGGGTACTGTTATTGACTCTGGTGATGGTGTCACTCACGTCATCCCTGTTGCGGAAGGCTATGTGATCGGCTCGTCAATCAAATCGATCCCAATCGCCGGTCGCGACATCACCTATTTTGTCCAGTCCCTACTCCGAGACCGCGGCGAGCCCGATTCGTCCCTCAAGACTGCTCAGGAAATCAAGGAGGAATACTGCTATGTCTGTCCAGACATCGTCAAAGAGTTCTCCCGTTTCGACCGGGATCCCTCGCGCTTTGCCAAGCACACAGTTGCTCAGCCCGGCGGTCGCCGGGTTACTGTCGATGTGGGATACGAGCGATTCCTTGCCCCGGAGATCTTCTTCAACCCGGAAATCTACTCGTCCGACTTCCTCACGCCATTGCCCGTTGTTGTGGACGGGGTGATTCAGTCATCGCCCATCGATGTTCGCCGAGGGCTCTACAAGAACATTGTCCTCTCGGGCGGAAGCACGCTGTATAAGGACTTCGGCCGGAGGTTGCAGCGGGATATCAAACAGCTGGTGGACGCAAGGATTCGGGCCAGTGAGCTCCGCAGCGGTGGTGCGAGGAGCGGCGGTCTCGATGTCTCGGTCATAACCCACAAGAGGCAACGACACGGACCCTGGTTCGGAGGCAGTTTGTTGGGCCAGACACCCGAGTTCCGGTCTTACTGCCATACAAAGGCCGAGGTAAGATTCTCTGTCTGTTACTTACTCCTTTCTTTGCCCAGGGCTGACTCGCTCGATATAGTACCAAGAGTACGGACCGGGGATCGTGCGGCGATTTGCACTGCTGGGCGGTCCTGGTGGATCATAGGCATGCCACGAGAGGAGGCGAGGAAGAGAAGTTGGGACGTCGTGGTAGATATGATTTACAAATTACGAGAGAAGAAAAGGAGGCGTCGATATGGAAGTTCAGCGATAGGAGAAATGCAAAGAGAGACAGCCAGAATTGACGAGCATGCTGAAGAGTGTCATCTGAACCTGTGAGATGCCCTCTCCCGTGCCTCCCGCACCTCCCGCTCTCCAACCCCCTCCCGCCTTGCCTCCAACGATGGAAGGCGCGATTGCAGAGTTGGTTGTTGCGGACAAGTGGAGGATAACCTCGCCATCGAGCAGTCCCTATGAATACGACATATTACGGTTCATGTGAGGCAGGGGTTGGAGGGCGGGGATGTATGCGACTAAGGGCGGGCCGGGGCCCCCGTCTAGCAGAGAACCCTCTTCCGTCTCCCTTCGTCCTTTGCAGGTGGCCTCGATACAGGGGCCGCTTCCGATGGACATGGCCGAACAGGGGTAGATTGGATGATAGGTCGGGAAAGAGAGATATCCGCCAGTTCAACCCTAAGCGTAGAGACTTGAGAGTGGATGATTTTATGCAGATCGCTATAGATACCTGAACAAACGGACAGGTCCGTATTCGGGAATAAGAAGGTTACGACCTAAGATCTTGGGAACCTAGGGGGAATCCCCTTTGCCCGAGTCGACGACATCGAACCAATGGGTACCTTGTCTGACGCGCTGTCTGACGCGATGGGGAAACGAGCTGCAGGCGGAGTCCGTGAGGGGTCAGCGCCGAGATGGTACGACTGCGAGAAACTGCGGCGGGTTCTAGAACATTGGTTGAAATGAAACAACTTTCTGTGAGGTCTGTATCGGGCTAGCCGCGCCGTTTTACTTGGTAGGGACACTCTTAAATCATCTCTGTTGACGTCACGATCGTTACCCCTCAAAATGCTGCTGTGACGGCGATGCCCCCTCAATTGTGCTTCCTCGGCGAGCAGACTGTGCCGATGAGCTGTATCAATCGCAATTACGGAAGTGTCAAGGTCTGGCGATCCAGGTTGTGCGATCAATTGAGCGGGACCGGCCAGGACCAGGGGAAAGGCGGCGGGGGAGGAGATGGAGTAGATACGCGGGATCTGCATTGGAGCATGCTTGTTAGCTGTTTTCTGGGCATCATACGTTTGTCATTTTACACTACACTCGATAGGAATCTCGCAGCTCCGCATCGCCGGACGTCTTGCCACTCACGCCACCAACACACGCAGTTCGGGTACCTAGACCAAGCTTGAATGACGATCCGCTCGACTCGAGAAAGTTGACGACATGTATAAAGGGTGGTGTTTTTTCATGGGGGGCCCCCCTTCCCAGCTCATGTTCCATGACCCCATTCAATTCACATCCCAATCCACATCACCACCCAACTTAACCACCGTGTTCTGCTCCTCCCAAGTAGACCAACTCTTCTGTAAAAGTAGACATCTCAGCACAGAAAATGGCCGGCCCTGATATCCCATCTGAGCAATGGGCGCAGGTCGTCGAGAAGTCCGGATGTAAGTCACCCCCGATCGATATCCCGACTCCCGAGGTCCTCGTCAACTGACCAGCTTCCCCCTTTCTCCTGCAGCGGTTGTGTACAAGAAGATCCCCGTGCAGAAGAACCCGGGCGCCGATGAGGTGCTCGTCAACGTCAAGTACTCGGGCGTGTGCCACACGGACCTCCACGCCATGAACGGCGACTGGCCGCTGGACACCAAGCTCCCGCTGGTGGGCGGGCACGAGGGCGCGGGCGTGGTGGTGGCATGCGGCGAGCTGGTCAAGGACGTGTCGGTGGGCGACCACGTGGGGATCAAGTGGCTGAACGGCAGCTGCCTGGCGTGCGACTTCTGCCAGCAGGCCGACGAACCGCTGTGCCCGCACGCCCTGCTGTCGGGCTACACCGTCGACGGCACCTTCCAGCAGTACGCCATCGCCAAGGCCGCCCACGTCGCCCGCCTGCCCAAGTCGTGCCCGCTCGACGAGGTCGCGCCCGTGCTCTGCGCCGGCATCACCGTCTACAAGGGCCTCAAGGAGTCCGGGGCGAGGCCGGGCCAGTTCGTCGCCATCGTGGGCGCGGGAGGCGGGCTCGGCAGCATGGCGCTGCAGTACGCCGCCGCCATGGGCCTGCGGACGATCGCCATCGACGGCGGCGAGGAGAAGCGGGAGTCGACAAAGGCGCTCGGGGCTGGTGCGTACGTCGACTTCCAGAACACAAAGGACATCGTGGCCGAGGTCAAGGCGGCGACGCCCGACGGCCTGGGCCCGCACGCCGTCATCCTGCTCGCCGTGCAGGAGAAGCCGTTCCACCAGGCCACCGAGTACGTGCGCAGCCGCGGCACCATTGTGTGCATCGGCCTGCCCGCCCACGCGTACCTGCGCGCCCCCGTCTTCGACACCGTCATCCGCATGATCACCATCAAGGGCAGCTACGTCGGCAACCGCAGGGACACGGCCGAGGCCCTCGACTTCTACAACCGCGGCCTCATCCGCGTCCCCAGCAAGACCGTCGGCCTCAGCGAGCTCCAGCAGGTTTACAAGATGATGGAGGAGGGGAAGATTGTCGGCCGCTACGTCGTCGATACTAGCCGCTAGAACGGTGAATCTTTTTCGAGTTGAGGTTTTAGGGAGCGAGCGGCGTTGATGGGAGCGAGTCGGTGGTGGGAAAGTATCATGTTTTTGGGTCGGGGCGAGGAGCCAGTCGGTGGTGGGAGAGTATCATGTTTTTGGGTCGGGGCGAGGAGCGAGTGGCGTTGGTGGGAGAGAGTAAGCGGTTAGGAGGGCATCGTGATTTTGAGTTGGGGGCGAGGAATTATAGGTGAGAGGAAGATTTGGAGGTTGCTGTTGTATTGACGACGGTGCTGGTGGGTTGCATCGTTCTCTCGGGCTTTGTCGTCCTCGACAGAATAGTCACAACAAGATATTAAATATCAACCATCTAGTTGCTGTAATCACGCGCGTTCATCAGGTCGAAATGCGGCTTGTGTGTGAATGTAGCATGGTATGCAACCTCGGCGAGCCCCGACAGATATTCCGGCATCTATCCATCTACCCTGTTCAATATGGCAACACCCTCGACATGTCCTGTCTGAGGGAAGAAGTCGAAACCCCTGAGACTCTCAATCTCGTACCTCGCCCCCTTCTGCTTCTTCCCCTCGCCCTCACCCTCCCCCTCCTCCCCAAGCCCACTGCCGTTCTTCCCCTCCTCCGCGCCGCCGACCTCCCCCCGGACCAGGACCCCGACGTCCCTCGCCTGGGTGTGCACGTTGCAGCTGACGTAGACGACCCTCCTGGGCGCGAAGCTGAGCAGCTGGCGCAGAAAGCCGGCGTCGCAGCCCTTGCGCGGGGGGTCGAGCACGACGACCGTCTCGTCCGGGTCGTAGGCGCTGACGCTGCGGAAGAGCTCGGGCGCGTCCGCCGCGATGAACCGGCACTGCGCCTCGTCGAGCCCGTTGAGTGTCGCGTTGCGCCGCGCGAACGCGATCGACTTGTCCGCGATATCGATCCCCGTGCTGCCGCCGGTGAAGAGAGACGAGAGGGTGATGGTGAAGAGGCCCGAGCCCGAGTAGGCGTCGATGAGGTACTTGATGGGCTTGGGCGGCGTCGCGGTGGTGGAGGGAGGCGGAGGAAGGATGTGTTGCCGGATATAGTCAGTGAAAGGCGGGAGAATCGAGCTGTTATTCTGGAAAAAGGCACCGGCGGGGTTGGTGAAGACGAAGTCATCGATGTATTCTGTTGTCGTCGCGTTGTTGTCTGTTATGCAGGTCTTATAGTCCGTGTAGCTGTCGGTTTCAACTTTGACAGAGTCGGAGGGGATATCATCTGGTGCTGTTGATGTTGTTGTGCTGTTACCCTGGGACGAGGATTTGGGTACGCGCTGGGTATTCTCCCTCAACAACAGCGTTGCTCCGCGCTCGTATTTGCCATACTCAACAGCCATGCGTTCCCGTTCCATCTTCATCCCCTTCCTGACCGCATCGGTCCCGATGGGGCAATCCTCGATGTCCAGAACCTTCGTCGACCCCTTGGGAGTAAATCCTATGGGAGGCATGTGGTCCAGTGCCTTTCTGGGCCCCCGACGACGCATGCCTGGGGGACCGTCGAAATGCGGCGTAAGCTTTGTGCGGTAGCCATACTGCAGGGGGCTCCCAATGGTCTCCTGAATTGCCGGTACTAGCTCGGGTGGTAACTGTGAGAAGTTCTTAAAAGCCTTCTCTACGATCCTCTTCTTGAGTTTCAGTTGCTCGGGATACTCCAGCATCTGGAACTGGCATCCCGAACATCGCCCAAAATACTGGCATTGAATCCGGCTATTATCCCGGAGCGGAGAAGCCTTGGTGACCGAAATGAAGTCTGCGACGGTGTAACCCTGTTCGTCCAAGTGGCGATACACCTTGACTCGGACGGTATCGCCAGGCACCGAGAAGGGAACTGCGTAGATCCGGTCGGAACCTTTTTGTTTCGCGAGGCCGTCCCCCGTCGAGGAGAGCTCGATAACTTCAACATCGATCTCAGAACCCGGTTCAGGGAGCGGCTGTGCCTCATTCTGCTCAGTAGATTCCTCCTGCTCGCCGTCTGAAATCTTTTGAGAGGCCAATAATGATTGGATGTCAGTGAGAAGAACTTCCTCTGCTGATCCCTCTTGGACAGGTTTTTGCTTCCGTTTCTTGAACTTCTTTGGTTTGTCGCCACCGCCATCATGAGCCATCCTTTTTCCATTCATATTCCTTGGCGACTTTGAGTCCGTTGGCCCAAGGTTGTCTTGGACCGGCGCTGGCAGTGTGGTCATGTTGTGAAGGAGACTAGCCCAAGGCCTGGCTAGCTGTGGTTGACGACGTACTGCAAATGATCCGAGTGTTGTCCAAGCTCTGGCGATTCCCAGCCTCATCGACTCTCCTTATTTTTGGTCACACACTTGGCTCGATGAGATACACCTTGGTAGATGGGCAGTGTCCATCCAAAGAGAAATTTCAAGCAAATCGGGAAATAGGAGGCCCGTGATTGGTCGTCGCCGGGAGTCGTCCCTAACCTTATCAGCTTATCGGACTCTATGCACACTAATCGCTTGGCGGTCTTACACCACATCCTTGGTTGAAGCCAACCATACCAGGAGTCGAAGCCGATAACCGAGACTCGAAATGACCTCTTCTCCATCACCGACTCTTCAACTTTGATGATACCAGGCTGGTTTGCTAATATAACCGCTATGCGTAAGTCAGACTATTCTTGTTTGCACTCTGTTGCGCAACGTACTGAACTCTCCAAACCCAGGGCACTCACCATGGGTGCGATGTCTCATTGCCCCTTTTGCCGTGATCGGCCTTGTGACCCAGGCTAGCGGATATCCTCATCAAAATGTTCTGCTTTCAGATCCCGAAGGAACAAGAGGAGCGGTAGCAAGCGAGAGCATAATATGTTCTCAAATCGGTATCAACCTTATGAAGCATGGGGTAAGACTCTTATATCGTCGAGTGAGCGATCTGGAACCACTGTGAACCTCCCTCCTGACATTTATCAACAGGGCAATGCTGCGGATGCTATGGTGGGGACAAACCTGTGCGTTGGTGTAATAGGGATGTATCATTCCGGAATAGGGGGCGGTGGTTTTATGCTGGTCCGGGACCAGCATGGCAGATATGAATCTATCGACTACAGGGAGACCGCCCCTGCAGCGGCTTTCCAGGACATGTACAAGGACAATGTCAATGCGAGCATCTACGGCGGCCTAGCCGCTGGGATTCCGGGTGAGTTGAGGGGGCTGGAGTATCTGCACAATAAATACGGCGTAAGTCTTGCCCTCGTCCGCAGCCATGGAAGGAACTTCGACTGACTAGTCAAACCAGGCTCTCCCTTGGAAAACAGTTGTGAGCCCATCAGTTCGGCTCGCACGGAACGGTTTTAATGGTAGGATACCCGCCGTGATTCCCAGAGAGGTTGCTGACCCCCAGATAGTCACAGAAGACCTCGTGCGGTATATGGCCTTTGCGATATCGGAAAGCTCTGGAAACCGAAATTTCCTGGTTGAGGACCCGATCTGGGCAGAAGATTTTGCCCCTAATGGTAAAATCCGTGGATTCCAGTCTGTCTACATGTCGCTTACTAGAGGAATATAGGTACTTTATTGAAGCTTGGTGATGTTATAACGAGGAAACGCTATGCCGAGTAAGTCTTTTCATGGAGGGGAAGGGAAGTAAACTCGCCAGACTGACAGTACTTCAAAGTACCTTAGAAACTATTGCCAATCATGGGCCGAGCGTGTTTTACGAGGGCGAGATCGGTACGTCGTGAAACATTGATAGCTTCTCCCAGTTGAGTCGCGTTGTGCTAACAGCAAAACAGCCAAGTCGATGATCGATCTCATACAAGCAACGAACGGAACCATGACTCTGGAGGACCTGAAGGGTTACAATGTATCGATAAAGGAGGCGCTCAGAATCGACTATCGTGGTTACAAGCTCTTCACGACAGAGGCCCCGTCTAGCGGGGCCGTCACTCTCAGCCTCCTGAAGACCATGGAGCAGTACCCATTGGAGGACAGCAAGGACGTTGACCTAAGAACCCATCGCTTTGATGAGGCAATGCGATTTGCGTACGGGGCACGCCAGAACCTCGGCGATCCGAATTTTATCAGACACATCGACGAGTATGAGGACGAGATGCTGAGCGAAGCCAGGGCAAAGGAGATCCGCAAGCGCATCAGAGACAACGAGACGCAACCAGTGGAAGCTTATGACCTGAACGGCACCTACTCGACGGAAGGCTTTGGAACCTCCCACATGGTGACCGCCGATAACTCGGGCATGGCCATCTCCTCCACCACGACCATCAACCTTCTGTTCGGCGCCCAGATCATGACCCCCGACACGGGGATCATACTGAACAACGAGATGAACGACTTCTCCATCCCCGGGGTCCGCAACGCCTTCGGCTACGAGCCCTCGCCCAACAACTTCGTGGCGCCGGGGAAGCGGCCGCTCTCGTCGCTCACGCCCGTCGTCGTCGAGCACGCAAACGGGACCTTCTACTTCACGACCGGCGCCGCCGGGGGGTCCCGCATCATCAGTTCGACGGCGCAGACGGTCTGGCACGCCATCGAGCACGGGATGAGCATGCCCGACGCCATCGCCGAGCCCCGCCTGCACGACCAGCTCATGCCGAACGTGATGACGTTCGAGTGGGCCTTCGACAACGGCACCGTGGCGAGCATGGCGGACAAGGGCCACAACGTGACGTGGGTTGGCCCTGGCGGGAGTGCTGTCCAGGCTATCAGACTGTTGTGGAACGGGACATTTGAAGCCGCCCGTGAGACGAGGCAGAAGAACAGTGGCGGTTTGAGTATATAGTGAGCTACCGGACATGAAAAATGTCTGAGCCACGCAAGTGTATATACCGCGGGTTGAATCATATTTGTGTATATCATTTTGTTCATTGAACCTCTCGCATGGGTCTTTCCTGCCGTGGCTTTTCAACTGTGAACGAACAACACTAGAAACGGTAAGACAAACACAGAGAGTGGTTTAGAGGTTAATTTGGTACTCTATCCGGGCCTCAGGTACGTGCACTATGTGAGCTACGTGAGCCATTGACAAGAGCAGTCATAGACAGTCGCTACGATAAGCCAGCTGTAAAAAAGGAAGCCTCGCCTACTCCCCCAAAACCTCGCCCCCCAAATGATGGGTATCCGTGTTGTCTACAGAGGTACTAGGAAATCATGACTTCATTGCGATCAACTTCGCCATTTGCGCCGTCCACTTCTTGGCGAACTCCTCCTCCGTGAACCTCTTCGCTGATAGTCGTGCCCGTTGTCTGACCGCTAAGGGGTTGGGGAGAGACAAAGCTTGCTCGAAGCCCTTGGCGAACTCGCTTGACGTCGAGGCAAGGTAACCTAAATTATCGTGAGTAATTAGTCGCATGAGCCGCAAACCCCGCCATATAGGACTTACCCGTTGGTTCTCCATCCACATCCGCCACGATGTCCAGCTTGGGTCCTCCACTGTTGTGAACAACCGATATCAGGCCAGCGGCTTGGTACTCTACAACGCCGATGCCGAAGTGCTCGTTCCACATGCCATTGACGCCGACAGATGCCCGGCGTAGCCACTGCAGAATCTGGGGCCACGAGGCATCCAGGTGGAAGTCCACCCGATCCTTGATATGCAACTCGTTGACCAGTAGCCGGAGCTCGTACACCCGCTTCGAGTCATGGTCGTCGCGGACGCTTCCGACCAGCACCAGCCGAGCCGACTTGGCCGCACTGCTACCCTTCTTCAAGAACTCCGCAAACGACTGGATAATGAGTTGGTGGTTCTTTTCCGGGCGGAATTGCGCAATGTAGAGGATGACATTTTCGCGCTTCTTTTCACTGGCAGTGGAAACCTCGACCTCATGCTCCAACTCGCGGACGGCAACGGGGGGGTAGACAACGGCAATTGGGTTCCCCATGCGCTTCTCTTCCCGTTTGGGTCCCCAGAGCTCCTGAATATGTGCCTGGGTCCAGGTGGAATTCGTCATGACGACGTCGACCGAGGACCCCACACGAGAATAAAACTGGGCAAATAGCTGCCAGTAGAACTTTTTTGCCGTCCCCTTAAACCCGACCCCTCTACCGGCGTTCACTCCTTGATTTCCCACGAGCGAACGTGGGTCTAGCGAGTCGAGCATATCGGTGGAGATGGTTGGGTAATGGACATAAGCGCCAGTTGGAACGCCGCGGAATAGGAATTTCGAAAGGCCAAGAGCAAATGCATACCCCATAGTGTCGACAAACACATCAGGGACGAGTAGGGAGAAGGCATCCCAGGCAAGCACCATCGAACCAAAGGATTGTCCGGCAAGGGTGAAGTGTGGCCAGGTTGAGGCGAGGACCCAATGCCTTGTCGAGAGATAGAGGAAGGTGACTGTCGGCGCGTGGAGGCGAATGTTGAACCGGTCCTTGAAGCAATCGTTAGAATGTGCGAAATATCTGGTATGGGAGGAACACGCTGGCTCACCTCTACTCTGGCTAGGATTGCTTGCTTGTTGACATCATGATCCCCAGTATACACAACACATTTCGCATTCGGCCACCGGTTCTGTGTCGCTCGGATGGCAGCCCAGAGGACCCTTTCCCCGCCACCTCCGGCATTGCTTGGCTGGTTAGCCTATACGACTTGGGGGACAATGGAAGTCATCTTACCAGAAAGGGTGGAAGAAGCCGACGATGCCGTCCCATTCTCTCTGCCCCCTCTCGCCGTTCCTAGAGCTCGCAACGGCAGAACTGTCGATGTTCTCCCACTCCTCATCGTCGCCCGTTTTCCCGTCATTGCTCTTCTGAAGATATGCCTTCTGATCTGCTTCCATCACTTCGACTATATGGGCTCTCCGGCCCTCTGTTTTATTACGAAGGTAGCATCCTAGCACCCATCCTACTGTGCGCCAGATCAACGGGATGATAACGACGTTCGTAAGGACAATGAGGGGCACGGCGATCAAGGTACGCATTCTGAAGAAGAACGGCGACGAGGCCACAGAAGAAGATACTGCCAAGCTCTGCACTACGGCCACTGCAAGGAACCTAGTAGAACAAGAAACGAAGGACTAAAGTTGGGAGTATCTGGCCTGATCGAGCTGAAGCTGGTCAGGGTCAGGAGCTAGAACCATGCTGGTTGACTGTTGACGTCGGAGAGCATCTGACATGTGGGGAGCCTGGGAGCTTTCCCTTTAAACACGATGCACAGTTGCTTAGGACCGGGATAATGCATGCACATTTTAGCGCCCGCTCGGACCAAGGAGCATACCATGTTTATTCCCTGCAGTTACCTAATCACTGCCTTTCGCAGAATGACATCTCGAAAACAGACCCCTACCTAGCTCTGCATGTGTTGAAAAGATGCGGTCACTAGAACAAAGAGAAATCAAGGCTGCACCATCTATATGATACCTGCAGCTCTCAGTGGTGCCTTGCCATGACCATTGGCACTCGCCTCGGCCCTCACATGGGCAAACCAGCTTGGCAGCTGATCCACGACCGATGGCAAGTTGCTTGCTTCATTGGCCTCAGACCAACAAGTGCGCCATGGAGGCTCACAGCTTTTCCAGCCTCTCCAGGCTCCCCAGGCCGGAGGCATTTCTCCGCAATTCCAGTTCTGGAAACCGCCATCAGTAACACCCAACACCTCATAACGGAGTTTCATCTGACGACTGGAGCTCCCTGGTTCCTCACTATCCCCCTGGTCGCTCTATCCATCAATCTCCTGGCAAGGCTGCCCCTGACTGTTTATACCCAACGCATCCACCAGCGTCGAGCGAAGCTGGCACCATTGCTCCAAGCATGGCATGTCCGTCACAGCAAGGAAGTTGCTCGGCTTCCCGCAATGCCCGCACCCGAGTTTAAGAAGGAGGTCACGTCGAGGTTTGAAAAGACGTCCAAAAGACTCTACAGTGAGTTTGGCGTCCAAGGATGGAAGAACTACATCAGCTTCGCTTCTTTCCCGTTCTGGTTAACGGGCATCGAGGCTCTGAGGCGGTTATGCGGAGGGCCCCGTGGCTTGTTGGGAAGCCTTGTTTTTGGCCGCAAGGAAGAAGGAACGCCGGAACCTGATGCTACAGTAGCAGCAGCAGCTTCAGCCTCATCAAATCCTCCAGACGCCATATCGGTTACGGACGTCATACAAGTCGAGGATCACGCCCTCACGGAGCTATCAAGCAGTTTTCCACCGGGGTCTGACCCCTCCTTAGCAACGGGCGGCTGCCTGTGGTTCCCCGATCTCATGGCCCCTGATCCTCTTCACATCCTTCCCTTCCTCCTCTCCGCCATCTTGGTCCTGAATATTTTGCCTAGGTCGGCATCGGGGATTCAGGCCCTCTTCAATTTCCAGACCAAATCAGAGCAGAAAGCTCCCAAGCCCGGAAACACCGAAGTCACAACTGCTCGGCCGAAAATCCATGGCCGACTTCAAAGGGCGCTGCTGGGGGTGGCCCTGGTTGTCGGCCCCGTGACGATGGACCTGCCGGCTGCGTTGCACCTCTATTGGGTCTCCTCTGCGGCAATAACCTACATCCAGACCGAAGCCATCGGGCGATTCATGAAGATGCCCAAATCTAAAATACGGCAGTGTACAGGGACCGAATCCTTGATCCCTCGACCACGTACTTGAGAGCTTTGATCTCTGTGTATATATGTATCGGCATTGGATTGGAATGTACAGTACATAATAAAGTCATATTTGCTCAAGGAACCCCTGCAACGCCCTCTGGGAGGAAATATCAGAGCGCAGAACCCGGGGGGAAAAAACATAATTACGCTGGGAAGACCGTGTCTCCAGCCTTCCGCTACCCAACGAAGATAGCAAGTAATATAATGGTCAGGATAACCAACAGGACCACTAGCAAGCAGCAAGCTTTGCTCCTTGCATTCTTCTGGTACCGCGCTGCGCTGCGCAATTCGACATCGGCACCCTGAGTGTCGTTCCGGACATTGTAGGCATTGCCTTCGATGGTGTCAAGCTGGTCCCCTTGCTCGGTGACGATCTGCGCAACCTGCTGGAACAGCACGTTCAAGTCGCCGACGCCCTGCTCGATGTTGCGTATCTCCTCCTCGCGCTCAATGATCAGCGCCTCCTGGAAATCGACCTCATCCTGCGGCGCGAGCCGCGCCAGCTCCTGTTGTTGCTCTTGTTCGAGGAGCTGCGGGCTCGATACCCCGCCCTCTGCACCAGCGCCCCCTTCCGAATCGAGAGCGGTCCGCGCCGCGGACACTGATGCCTTCTGCTTTTCGAGCGCCTGTCGTTGCAGATCTTGGAACTCGGAGAGCGAGGTTTGGAGTTCCCGTGAAACCTTCTGTTGCTGATACTTCTGGGTATCCTAGAATCGATGTCAGTGGCAGGTGTGTCAACAGTGACCGGTGCAGTTCATCATACCGTAACATCTTCCCATGTCTGGACCTTCTTGACCCCCTCGCCAACTTCTTTGAACAGGTTCCGCGACTCCTCCAGCAACTCGTGGACCCGTTCTCTGACGCGCGGGGTATCGCGCCGGGTCCCTAGGTGGCCTAGCTCCGACCTCAGCCGTTGGTTGTTGCCGCTCAGTTTGAAGAGCCTGTTCTTCAGCTCTTGCAATAGGCGCTGGAAGTCGGGGTCGTCGGTGTAGCCTGCTCCCCCTCTGCGCCGCCCTTCCTCGAGGGACGATAACTGGTCGAAGGACATTGTGGCGACGCAATAGGAGGTCAATATGCTGTGTCGTAGATTTCGAAATGAAGGACTGAATTCTAGGCAACAAGTGTCAATGGAAAGAGCGAATGCTTGATGGACTGTCGTGATCTGCGGTTGGCTTGGAAGAGTTGCCTCAGAGTAGGTACCTGTGTAGGGGCCTCGTGACGTACGTGCTTAAGTAATGCGGATGGACGGGGGTGAGCCAATCACATCAGTTTTCTACCCACCAGCCACAGTGACTATCTTTGTCATGTGATGATAGCCTTATTGGTGGGGCCAATTGAGGCGCGTGTTACCATCGCAACTCCGTTCGGCCATTTTTTCATTATTTACACCAGGACCACACATCTCTGGTGCTAGAAACAAGTAGGAAGGCGACTCGCTTCCCACAACAATGCAGGAAGATGGCGCCAGCAGCAACAGTCCGACGGGCGCCATATAAAGACTTCCTTCAGCCAGCTCTTCATCGACGATTCTCAACCACCGCTTCCATCTTACTGGCGATAGCCTACCTCGAGGCGGTTCTGTTGGCGAACTGGAATTCATGTTAGTTGACCCTACGTTTACCTCTCTGAACCGCCATAGCTGACCAAACACACAAGACTTCTGGTCTTGGTTTCCCATCGGTCCTGCCGGGATCCGCGCCTTCTTCGTCTCCATATGCGGCCTCTCGATCATTATTCTCCGAATCGCCCAGTATCATGTGGGGCTCCGTACTTCGGATTCTCCTTTCCAGACGTTCTCACAGAATGTCTTCAAGCTCCAAACCCTCGAGGCCCTTGTGACCTATGTGTTTTCCGGATGGCTCTTTAGTCAAGTGTACCTCTGGTCCTATTCTGGAGACAAACTTGACTGGATTACATATTACAGCGGTGACAGGGCGAGGTTGAATGAGAGGCCTCTCTACTTCACATACCACTTCGTCATATTTGGCGTCACAGAGGCGTTCCTCCATCTGCTGAAAGATACCGATCGGCTGTCGCTCGGTGCCGTGAAACCGCAGGATGGAGGCGCTGCCCAAGACGGGAAATATTCGGCAAGCCAGTTCAAGCGGTTCGTAGACGAACTGCCCGGGCTGCTGATAGCTGCGGGCACTCAATCTTTGGCTGCTGTTTTCCTGAGCATATTCATCTACCCTATCTTCATCCGCGGATTTGTTTGGCGCGCAGCCATGTTCTTCCTCCGGCCCTTCTACAACCTGCCGAAGACCAACATGGTACCGAATTCTTTACCATTCAGCTGGTGGCTCCTATGTCAATGTTTGCTGGCGGGTTTTATGCTTTCATTTGTCTGGCTGGCTGGCAACACCGCCTTCTCAATATTCCTAGTCAGGGAGCCTCTGAAGAACGGGAAGCCTCTGACTTCCGAGTCAAAAGACCCCAACGGAAGCTTGCTAAACGGCCTAAAGAGCAAAAAGCTGTCTATTCGGGTAAGAATTTGGCTCTTCTACTTCCATCTACTCCAGTATGTACTAAAAAGCCTAGGGTTTTGCAATGTGGGAATTGGCATTTATCGCTCGAGATTATGAAGCAAGACGGAAAGCCATCTACGAGGACATCGACCGGAAGGACGGACCCATGTGGTCTCAGGTGTATGCAATTTGCCTCGACGTCATCAAGGGCATGGAAGGAAGGATTGACAACTATGCCAAACCTCCAGCCCCTGTTTCGGCGCCCACAGAGGCTGTGGTGGACGAGAAGAAGCGATTATCGCAGCCTCCCAAGCAAGATCAGATTTTTCAATCTGCCCCACAGAGCAAGACGTTCCGAAACGAGGTTGAGAAAGCCGTCACTCAGGTTGCAACAGCCCCTGGGCAGGCTTCTCAACTGAGTCCTTTGGCCAAAAAGGCCATGGCTAACGCGAAGGATAGGCTTTTGCAGATGCAGCGGGAGGCAACGGGATCGGATGATCCGCAAAGCCTATTCAAGAGCGTCGCCCTGGCGTTTTTGAACTCGGTTTTGGGATGGCCATTCCGGCAGGAATTCAACAGGCGCCTGGCGACAGTGGTGCTCGGAACTCCTTACGGAGAGCCCAGCTTCTACATCAACGCTGTCAACGCGCTCAGCCAGCTTGCAGTCCACAGTTTGAAGGAGGACAAGTACGGTAACGTCCAGAGGGACGTCTCGACTATAATACGCGCCCTTACGTCGGTGACGAAGAAGCTTGACGCATTCAAGGCGCAACTCCCGGCGCACTGGACGGACGTGAACAAGGACAAGGAAACCCCGGAGGTGGACACCATCTTGGAGGCGTTAAGGGGCGGCCTGAGCCAACTTATAGAAGGCTTTGGGCCGTATGCGCGGGACCTGCGCCTGAGTTTGACCGATATGCGGCTTGCCAAAGAAGCAGCAGGCTCCGAAAATAGTGATGGGGCCGCTCAAGGGCCGGAGATGAGACAGATCCGGTAGCTGGATCGGCGAAATGCTAGCTTGTATCACCTAGGATGGACGGCCGGTCAGCTTAGATGAAGTGTATATGAACTTGTACAATATTATGACGAACATTCGCCGAGTGCTTTTTGGTATTACCTCTGCTGTTGCTGCGTTATCCCTTGACATTGTACCTCGCAGCCCCTTTTTTATTTAATTTCTATTTCTATTTTTTTCTATCCTTCCCCTTGAAGTCATCATCATCCTTGGTGCTTCCCCCAGGCGTCTCACGTGCCAGATTTCAATGTCTTGGCAAAGTGGTGTTGGCCCGTGCACGAGAGCTCGTCATTCCTATAGATGGAGCTTTCCATGGCTCCCATGACAGTCAACCTGAGCTAGGTTGATAGCTACAATTCGCAATTATGTGCCCTCATCGCCATCCCAGCGGCATCTCTCACACTTTACTTTCCACGCTGTAATAATAGCAGTTGCCCAGCCATGATAGATCTATTCTCTAATTCGCCCTGCGCGCTGTGTCCTCGTCATCCTAGGGGTTGCTGGGCCGGAGTAGCCAGCCCTCGATAGCTCCAGCAGGATGTCCTCAGCATCCCTCGCCTCCCGCATTATTTACAGGTCCCTTTACTTCTTTCTCAACCTCATCCTTGTCCTGCTCCTCCTCCTCATTCCAGCAGACGTCATTCGAAAATCCATCATTCACTCGGAATTCTACAATATCTTGGTCATCACGCTTTGCTACCTCGTAACCATCCTCATTGTCGCTTTCATCTACGCGACCCGACTTTACATCAATCGATCTGTCCTTAGCTCCATTCCGAAGACATGGGTACCAGTCGAAAAGGGCGACGTCAATAAGCATGTACGAAAGATCATAGTCGCCGGCTTGAGTAGGAGCGCCGCTATTGCCTACGCAGCCCGGCCACGCGTCCCTCTGGTCTTCTCCGAACAGAACTCGGAATGTGGAGACGAAGGCGTCAAATCCACCCAGCTTCAAGATGAGGAGAAGTCCCAGCGCATATTCAAGCTCAAGAAAACAGCCACTGTAGAAGATGAGATGGGCATCAGTCTTCCACCGCACAAACCTGTGTGGGGCGAGATTGAACATCCAGGATGGGCATCGCCGACCTCGCCGGACCTTCCCAATCTCCAGTATGAGTCTGTGGTAATGGAATTACCGAACCTTATCGAAGCGAAAGCCCTTACGCTGGCTCCCTCGTATCGCGAACTCCAGAACGACCAACCGACGTTGGACCTTGACGCCGCCTCGCTCTTACAGCGGCCCGAGAGCATGGGGCTGCGCGACTACCTGACACATCTCGCGGAGCTTCATGTCCTGGAGACCACACAAATTGTCCCAGATTTTATCACTAAATACGAGTTTGCGCGTTTCTCAAACCAGCCCATCTCGAATACATGCTTCCGCGACCTGATGCACCTCTTCGCCGAGGTCCTTCGGAGCATGCACCCGCTCGATCCAGCCGTTCTCGATACGCTGGACGAGGACTCCTCATATATTGAAGCGCCATCAGACAGCGACTTCGACAACGACGTACCGCCTGGGGCGAACCCTTCTACGCCACGAACCCGGCCTCGTCAAGGTGGTCGACGGAGCCCTGACAGCAATATCTCCCAGTCCACCAGCTCCACCACAGCCATCTCACGCTCGCACCGCCCGTCTCTACCGGCACGCAACTCGTCCGCAAACACCGGGCTCCAATACCGCACCGCACCCACGACGCCAAAGAGCAGGCAGACGGCACTGTCGCGGTCGTCGAGCGCGAACACCTTTGCGCAGACGAGACATCCGTATCCGATCAGCCAGTCTTCGAGTTCGAGCCTGCGATCAGATGCTTCTGTCATCCGACTGTCGGAGCGAGAAGATTCGACGGATCTGCCGTATGTGCTGGCTCTCACGAATACGCGGTGAGAGGGTCATGTCGGGCGTGGAACGTGCGGGTGATTTGGTCCCCTATGATGACCGTGATGAGGTTACGAATGCACGATAGAGGAGTGAGGGCCAAGGTTGGATGTCAACTATATAAGTGTCCATATTGTTTAACTGTAATTCTACGAAATAATGTAATCCTCCAACCTCCCCCATTTGCAGGCTCGCCGTACTTGTTGCAGAGACCTTGATTCACGAGGACAGGCTGCTTCGATAGGGATCAAGTCTGCCTTGGTTTGAACTCTCCAGAGTCCACATTGCAGAGTAAGTCCGCCTAGCTAAGAATATCGGTCACAGAGATATGCAAATCTCCCAGCGAGTGTACTGTCTGACAGGACGACGCCTTAGACGCCGCGAAGCTCCAGTCCGAAAAAGACGGTCCCTAACTCCTCTGATACTATAGCATCCAAACCCTAGGGTGAATGTAAACCGAACGCCGGTTGCCGGGCTACTCGACCAAAACCGGGTATTTGAACACCGCGTTATGAAGTGACAGGACGAAGGCAAAAAAAAAGGGGGGGGGTATATGTCAAGAGAATGCCAGAAGAGGACAACCAACCGAACAGTGACCATTCGACACACACACTCAGCTCCAGCAATTGTCAAGCTCCGGAGCAGAAAGAAAGGAACCGGAGAACAGTCCTTAGACGCTCTCTCGCGGCGTCACCGGGGTGTGGCCCATGACGCTGACATCATCGTCGTCACCCTCCCGCGCAGCCCTCGAGCTCGCCCTGGAGCTCGCGCGTTCCGGGGCGCCAACCACGGCGCCAGCCCGTGTCGTCGTCGCCACGCTCTCCCCCTCCCCCGCCCCCGCCCCGGTCCCACCCGCGCGCAGCTCCCAGCTGCCCGTCCGCTCGTGCCGCGCGCCGCTCCTAGCATGCGCGACATCGGCGTCGCTGGCCTTCTTCTCGGCGCCCTTGAAGCCGCCGCTGAGCGCCGCGCCGCGTCGCCGCCCGCGATCCGCACGGTAGATCCGCACGCCGCCCGCCAGCGCGGCTGCCGCCGCGGCCAGGCCGAGGACGGCGGTCGCGACCAGCGCCCCGATCACGCCGGCCACCGCCGGCGAGACCCCTCTCCTGCGCTGCTTTGCAGCCTGCGGCGGCGGCGCCGTCCCGCCGCTCGAGTTCTCCGCGAGGGCGGCGCAGAACAAGCTGAGGCTGTCGCAGACATTGCACCACTGCGCCACGCTGGCGACGGAAACGGCCTCCATGGCGGTGGCGAAGTCGGAAAACTTGATGCGGGACTGCGAGTTGCCGTACCCGAACAGCGAGTACTCGACGAACGGCGCGCCGGCCAGATTGTTGTCCCGGTAGAGGAATCGCACCCAGAGGTCGTCTGTCGAGGGATACGAGGACGAGCTGGCGTCTGTGGAGAATAGCTCGAAAACCATGGCCGCGCCCGGGCTAGGCAACGGCTCGAAGTTATCCGCCGACGCCCCGTTGGCGAGGCGGGAGACGGCGAAGAAGGCGACGAAGGGCTCGAAGGAGCCGAACATGAGGTTCAATTTCTTTGAAGATCCCGACGACTGCATGTTCAGCCTGAGCTGGGCGAGGATCTTGGCGGCAAGCATTCGGCCTGCAATGGTGCGAAGTGTGTCGCCCGGGGCAAGGCCGGGAACCTGTGGATTACCGTTGAGGTACCTCTGTTGGGTTGAGGCGAACACTTCGAGCCTAGCAAGGTCCGTCTCCGTGATCTCGGCATGGGTTTTGTTGTCGTGGTTGTACTTATAGGAGGCATACTCATAGAGATCGTAGGCGTTATAAAAATGTGTTGCGTTGAGAGGGAAGGCATCCGAAAATATTTTCCCCCATAGATCCCGATAGAAGGCGAGACTTCGTTGGTAGATCTGGTCCACCATTGGTTCATGAGCGAGGAGTAGACGAGACTCTTGGTACTCGGCGCAGGCTACGTGGCCCTCGATCCTGCGTGGTTCGGCATATGAGTGTCACAACCGCAATGGCAAGTCAACTGTCAGTAACTCACCAGACAGAGTCAGGATCTTGGGCAGACAGAACGTTGATATCGGGATACTGGTATCCATCTAAAGGGTAGTCGACGATGGAGCCATTGGCAAGCTCGGCGGCTCCTATTCCTCCGGCGCCCCTGGCGAAAGTCTCGGTTGTCGGCGGATAGAGAGCTTGCAGAAAAGCGAAAGCACTGGCACTGGTATAGTGGTCGTCAGTTGTGAGGATCGACAGCTGAGACGCGTCCATGGCATTGGCCTCGATGCCTTCGATCAGCACTTGAGTGATGTTCTGATCAGCACCCGAACTGCCATTGTCTATGTATCGAGAGCGGAAGATGGACCCCTGAGCAAACATCTGCTGTGCCCCGAGAGGAGTTAGGCTGCGCGATGTCGAAAGCTGCGAGGGCGTGCGCTCGCCATGGAAGAGATATGCGACAGCGGACCAGACATGCCCGACGGGAACCTGTGCAGAGCTGCTTGGGAGCAGCGCTGCTAAGATTACTAGAGCAAACACAGACATGGCTCAAGGTCAGGTAGACGAGGCGCGACGGCGTCTGCAGGAGCCAAAAAGATGTGGTTAGGAATTACGTCCTATAATACCAGCCGACAAGAGAGAGATATATGGTCTCGCACTGCAAGGGTAACATCCCTCGCATCAAGCAAGGGGAGCCAAGGGGATGGAGAAAGAAGAAGGATGCGCGACGAAGGAAGACGCGGAGGGAGTACGAGGAAGAGAGAGCATGACCACCGGCATGGGGGGGGGAAGGGGGAAGCTTCATTTTGAGGAAGCTAAACCTGAACACTGCAGGATACTACACCATGCCGCAAGCAAGAAGCTCGGCATGCTTGCATCATTGTTGTAGAGCTGTATCTGGGTAGCTCGACTCCTAATACGGAGGAGAGGGGTCAAGCATGCAAAGGTGGGGGATTGCAACGATAAAGCTCAGAGATAAGAGTAAGAGTGGGGCCGATCGTCCATTGTGGAGCAACTCATTGGATCCAATCAGCAGCCTTGGAGTTTAAAGTGCTTGCAACAATAGAGCATCAGCAAGTTGTACACATACTAGGCAGCCTCAACAGCATGGGAAAATACTGAGGTCTGAGGAGCTCATAGTTTAGGAGGAGGGAAACCAACGGTATAATTGGCATTTGCTGGACCCACTATGTTATGACGGGGCCAATTGACCTGAAGTTTGACTCTACATAGCTGCCTTTGCAGGTCGGATTGTGTCACCCTGTCCTCAGAAAGGCTGCCAGTTGGCAAACCCATCCAGGGGCCGCCAGCACGAACCCAAAATATTTTGTACCATCTCTGCACGCGCCGCAGCAAACCAAACATCCAACAAAGTCGACTTTGCCTTCCGCATTGCTGCTGCCCACCATGAGTGTAAGCTGTATTTTTACCCGAGCATTTGCGTCTTCTTCAGCTGACAATGTGGCACAGTTCGTACCCATTAACCCGCGGCCGATGCTGCAGGACCTGTAAGGCACCATTGTCCAGGCTTCGCCTCTGGCTTTCCTCGTTCCAATCCGTGCTCGCAGCCTCAGAGACACTGACAAATCCGGCTATAGGGTCAACAAAGACATACTGGTGCGCTTGAAGTGGGGCGAGACCGAATACAAGGGCAGACTCGTCAGCATCGACAGCTACATGAACATCCAGCTCAGCAACACGGAGGAGTACATCGATGGCAAGAGCACTGGTGCGCTCGGACAGGTGCTGATCAGGTATGCTGGCCTGACCTTCTCTCACTGTCGCTGGAAGCCAAGGGCTGACAATTTGCATTTCAGGTGCAACAATGTGCTATGGATTCGGGGCGCCGACCAAGGGGAGAATGCGGATGTGAGAATGGAAGGGTGAGGAGGCAGGGGCAAGTGGAAGTTATCATCACGCTGCTGCCGCCAGGCTGCGCTTCTGGGATACCCTCAAAAAAGGTTGAAACGGGAGGTGGAGCACTTGTCACTGGTCAGTACGGCGTTCTGGTTCTGGGGTTGTTTGCAAACGCAATCTTCACCATATCAAAGGGTGCTCTTGAAATGCTGGCAGTCCTAGGAAACTACGGCAACGGCCATAGAGGAGGGAGCTAGATGACTGTTCTAAAGATATCTCCCAGATAGCGGAGAAATATGAAAAAGGCTGCCCCCCAAAACCCCCAAACAATGGATGGATCTTGCTTGCTACATCAAACATGCAACCCGCCGACTGCTATGGAGTTCTGAAGCCCCAACCTTGACCCGCGTGTTGGGTCCGACCCAGGTAAACGCCTCAACAATCCATTCATACCATACCCTCGTATCGTCCGTCTGCCGCCACATACTAACCTCCAACTCGGTGTCCTGGGGGAAGTATAGTGGGTTCTGCATCATGGTCAGTAAGATGTCGGCAAGGATATGGGGGCTATGTGCGTGGGGAATCCCACCCTGAGAGGAAAGAAGATGGGGAACCAGGAGATCATGTCCTTGCTCTTGCGGTCGATCTGGTCCGGCACAGTACTCATCTCAACCTTCTCCTTCCCCTCAACCTGCGGCGCGTAGAGGACGGACTCGAAGTAGCCGGCAAGACCGTGAATCACCCCGCCGGAGGGGCACATGAAGGTGAGATGGCAATGCCTTGCGTTGTGCTCGTTGGCCCCTCCAGCGCCGGATATGCTGCTTCCTCCCGCCGGAGAATATTTTGCAGCCATGCCATGTTCTGCTATGACATCGTCCGACCGGGAGACTTCAACGGGATGGGCAAACTCCCACGCTTGCTGAAAGCGGTGGTAGCGGGGCGGCACGCTGCGTGCGACGAAGTCGATCGCAAACAGGCGCACTACCCAGGGAGTCTCGAATGCATTGGGGTCATTGGCCACCCGTGCGCTGAGGTCGGCGAAGATGCGCGGCGTCGCGATGGGGCTGAGATGGGCGGTATACGAGTGGGGGATCGAGATACCATGCGGTCGCGCGATGTGGCGCTGGATGCCGTCCAGACATTCCGGGGACAACTCATTGTCGCCGAACGAGCCAAGCAGCTCGGTCACCAAGATGTCCACCTTGGTAATGACATTATCGTGTCCCCTAGCTTTGGGCCCTTCCCAGCCTCGCATGTCGGTCTTGACAACAGTTACCTGGTCACCCCATTCGCGCTCGTTCTGCCGCAGGAGATAGACATATGCGTTCTGGTTCTTTTCCAGCGCCCAGAGCTGTATCCGGGTTCCGGTGTGCTCAGCGGCTCGGAGGACACGTGTGACTAGTGGTCCACGGCCAGCTCCAGCAACAGCGACCACTAGCTCTGGATCAGAATGCCCCTCGTAGGGCACTGACGACGTTGGCTTCTTTAACTCTTTCCACTCTGCCATTGCCTCGGTGATGGCGAGTTCGTATTGGTCGTATTTGACCGGGTCTCCTTCGAACATCTCGTACGTTGCTGATTCAAGGTTATCCGAGAGCGGCTGGAGTGGCGATTGAAGCCAATCCTGGAAGCTTGTCAAAGTTCCTGTTTCAAGTGCCGAGAACGGTGCTTGCTGCCGTTCAAGATATTTCATGTATGAGGCATGGGCATTCAGGGGTGGTAGGTTGGGCCTCCGGTTCTCCTTCAGAGCCTGGCTGGCCTCGGCCAGAGTTGGAAATTCTGGAGATGTCGAGTGCGGAGAGGTCGAGTCGGGGAGATGAGCGAGAGTCTCAGCATCAGGCCCGACATCGTAGAGGATCATCCATGGTGCATTCTTGAGGCGCATATAGTCATTGACCATGTGTTGATGAGATGGGCTGAGGCATGGATTCCCAGTCCGGTTCATCTGAAAGGTATTCGGTCCAAAGCTAAGGTAGTGCAGAGGTTCCGCAAACCACCGATCCTGTAAGTCTCTCTCGGGCAGGCGCCTGGGTATCCGAAGAGCTATGTATACTTGATTAGTACATGCAAATGACCTGTCCCCGGGATGGCAAAGCCGGTCCCTGAGATAGCTTTCTCATGTCTTTAAGTACTAAGCTTCCGATCATTTTTCGCAGAGCGAATGAAGGTAACTCACCGACAAACAGCCGTGAGGCGTAATCGCAGACGCTTCGTATCGTATGCCAGGTATTCCAGGCACCGAAAAGGTCGACCTCCTTGCTCGAGTCCGAAGGGCCTCCGTTTGAGCTACCGAGGACACTCGACAGGAGTTCAGTCTTCTCTTCCAGACCAGGCTCCCGGTACATGGGCATGTGGATAATGATGTTGGCACGGGTTGCCACGAGAAGGGCCTCCTGGATAGCCCGAGCGTACAGAGCAATGTCCTTTCCATTGTCGTCCCGTCTTGGGCCCGGAATCACAACGCTTCTGACGCCGCAAAAGTTCGCATATGCAACCTCAAGGTTTAAGGCCTGGCGAGATATGCTTGCAATGACTGGATCTGAAGAGCACAGGTCGATCCAGGGACTCGCATATGCGACAAGGCTGCCCATATAAGAGCTGGGAAAGAGAGAGGTATCCTTGTTAGTCAGAGTTGGCACGACAGGTAGTGGCAAGGAGGCGTTGGTCATCTGGCTGGCCGAGAGTCCCCTATCTCGGCTCCATTTTTGCCGTTCTTCAAGATAGCTTTTATACAGGCCAGCAACTCTATGGTGAAAGTGCTGGTTTGTGACAGGAGTTGTCACAAAGTTGAACTGCAACAATTGTTAGTTGGATGCTCTGTCTGGTCAGCCTGGTCATAAGAGGTAACTTACACCGCTGTCCAACACCTGGTCCTGCTGCGCATCTGTGAGTGTCTCCTTCCGAGTGGAATCATGTTGGCCAATGTAGAAGGAAGGCCTGCCCTGCTCGAAGTCTTCAGACTCCGGGTTCATTTCTCCCCTGGAAGACATGGTCGCGTGTGAATATGTGATAGGTTGGTATAACAGCAAATAGAACAAGAAAATGTGGACTTCTGCTAGTTTCGACACGGCGTTCACACCATTTCTTAGATGTTTCTGTGCAGCCAAAAAGAAAATAAATTAGGCTATGGAGGGTACCTAGGTACCTGCCTAATCCTCACCTCAGTGTCGGTCGACTTCTAGAAATCTCCAAGCCCCTAACTGACAAACCGACTTGTCAACATCAAGATCACAAACAACACCCGTGCAGTGAAATTGCTCCTACAAAGCTTCTGTGCACTCGTTTCTTTTCCAAGTTCCCTTTCAAGTTCCTCGAGTCCTTGATAGGGGAGCAGACCCGAACTTGACACGAGTCCCGGTAAGTACCTAATTATTCTCATTATTCAGTTATCAAGCTTATCTGGATAGCAAAACCAGCCTGTCTGTGACCTTCCTATTGGCTAGCATCACCCGAACCGGCGTCGCATTCAAATTTTCAGCCTTGTGCAAAGTTGAAATCTTAAGTAAATATTTTCCCCCATACCACCACTTCCACGCTGCACGGGCTTGTTACACAGCGCATCATAGTCAGCGGTCAGGATGGCTGACGATACTTCCGGCGGTTTCAGGGGGAAGAAGAGGCTCAGTGTGGACGGCGACAGCATGTCTGCTCAAGACGCGAAGCGCCCGAAGACCCAGCGGGACGACGACAAGGACACGAAGCAGGGCGAGAAATACAATCCCTATCTCGCTCATACCTACGAGAACGGGTCAAATGGCTGGAGTTCTTCTATGCAAGACTCGGAGTCGGCCTTCAAGGGCATTGAACGCCAAGCTACCACTGCCAAACAGGCAGAGGGACTCGAGGATGGCGAACTGAATCCCTGGACCGGCCAGCCTCACTCGCAGCAATATTTCCGTATCCTCCAGACAAGGCGAGACCTCCCGGTTCAAAAACAGCGACAGGAGTTCCTCGACATGTACCACAGCACTCAGATCCTTGTCTTCGTCGGAGAGACAGGATCTGGAAAGACGACCCAGATTCCCCAATACGTCCTCTACGACGAGCTACCCCACCTGACTGGGAAGTTGATTGCTTGTACACAGCCCCGGCGAGTTGCGGCCATGTCGGTTGCCCAGCGTGTCGCCAACGAGCTGGATGTGCAGCTTGGTGAAGAGATCGGATACAGCATCCGATTCGAGAACATGACCGGCCCCAAGACGTTGTTGAAGTACATGACGGACGGACAGCTTCTCAGGGAAGCCATGCACGATCATATGATGTCGCGCTACAGCTGTATCATCCTCGATGAAGCCCACGAGCGCACCCTTGCGACCGATATCCTGATGGCTTTGCTCAAGCAGCTATCTGAGCGCAGGAAGGACCTGAAGATCATCATCATGTCCGCCACTCTGGACGCCCAGAAATTCCAGAAATACTTCAACAACGCGCCATTGCTCGCAGTGCCGGGTCGGACCCATCCCGTCGAAATTTTCTACACCCCTGAGGCGGAACGGGACTATGTCGAGGCTGCGGTTCGCACGGTGCTCCAGATCCACGCCAGCGAGCCCGAGGGAGATATCCTACTCTTCCTAACAGGCGAGGAGGAAATCGAAGACGCCTGCCGACGAATCAACCTCGAAGTAGACGAGATGATCCGGGAATCAGATGCCGGCCCTATGGTGGTTTACCCCCTGTACGGCACCCTCCCGCCGGCTCAGCAGCAACGCATCTTTGACAAGCCTCCTGCTGCGTTGAGGAAAGGTGGTCGGCCTGGCCGCAAGTGCATTGTGGCGACGAACATTGCTGAGACGAGTTTGACGATTGACGGCATTGTCTACGTCGTGGACCCTGGCTTCAGCAAGCAGAAGATCTACAATCCACGTTCGCGTGTGGAGTCCTTGCTGGTCTCTCCGATATCCAAGGCCTCGGCTCAGCAAAGGGCCGGTCGTGCTGGTCGTACACGGCCCGGGAAGTGCTTCCGTCTCTATATGGAGAAGGCTTTCAAGAAGGAGCTCATCGAACAGACCTACCCCGAAATCTTGCGGTCGAATCTGTCGAATACGGTGCTGGAGCTGAAGAAGCTGGGCGTGGAGGATCTGGTGCATTTCGATCTAATGGATCCTCCAGCTCCGGAGACCATGATGAGAGCTCTCGAGGAGCTGAACTATCTGGCTTGCCTGGATGACGACGGCGAGTTGACGACGCTCGGCAGCCTGGCCTCCGAGTTCCCTCTCGACCCTGCTCTCGCTGTGATGTTGATCTCGTCGCCGGAGTTCTATTGCTCCAACGAGATGCTCTCAATCACGTCTCTGCTCTCGGTCCCGCAGATCTTCGTTCGGCCCGCCAGCAACCGGAGACGGGCGGACGAGATGAAGCAACAGTTCGCCCACCCGGATGGCGACCATCTAACGTTGCTCAACGCGTACCATGCCTTTAAGGGTGCCGAGAACAGCGGCGAGGACGCGAGGAAGTGGTGCCACGAGCACTTTCTGTCGTTCCGCCACCTCTCCAGCGCGGACAACGTCCGTGCTCAGCTGAAGCGCATCATGGAAACACACGGCGTCGAGCTGCTGAGCACCCCCTTCAACGACAAGAACTACTACGTCAACATCCGCCGAGCCCTGCTCTCGGGCTTTTTCATGCAGGTGGCCATGCGCGAGAGCAGCAGCAGCAAGGTCTACAAGACGATCAAGGACAACCAGCTTGTCATGATCCACCCCAGCACGGTGCTCCAGAACGCCTACGACTGGGTCGTGTACAATGAATTCGTCCTCACGTCGAAGCAATACGTCAGGACTGTCACCAATATCCGACCCGAGTGGCTCTTGGTAAGCACCCATTCCCGGGAAGCGCGTCTGTGGGTCGAGCTTTTTCGCTAACAGTGTTCTTGCAGGAAATCGCACCCACCTACTACGACGTCGACCAGTTCGAGAAGGGCGAGGTCAAGTCTGCACTCACGCGTGTCCAGGAGAAGATTCGGCGCAGACAGGCCATAAAGGATGGCCGCTAGATGATCCCTGTTTCCGGAAAAGGCGCCGGCGGTTGGGAGTTGGGAGAAGGGGGGCCTCCTGTTCACCTGGTAGGCCAGCATCGAGGATGAAGATATCTTGATGTGTGGGGTTTGCTTTATTTGCTACACCACTTGCGAATTGCTAAACGATGACACATGCTGGCCAGGGTTTTGCTGTTGGTAGTTGTGCGCAGGAGATGCATATCTGTACAAAGATAGTGAAGCTTCACTCATCTCCGAGGGCCAACTCACGGCCTTGTTTTGTTAGTCACCTGGACCTGATGCAATAGATAGACAATACACTAGAAATGGTCAGCCGCCGCCGCCGCCGGGCACATTACGAAACGAGCCTCTACGGATATCGTCGACGTTGTCCCCTGTTACACTCTCTCAGGTCGAGATCAAATACTTGCCAAAAGTCCCTCTGGAGGAGGGGTAACCAGTATATCGGTTGGCCTCGCGTCCATCCTCCACAGAAAGAAGAGCGTCGATGCGGTTGACAGCTTTTAGAAATCCCACCCTGCAAACGATGGAGATAACAACAGACCAGCGGACCCCCCCCCCCCCCCCCCCCCTTTTAACCGCCAAGATTCCGGAAGAAACGCCGCGTCTGCAACGACAAGTCAGGTTGCAGCGTGGCTAGTCTCCGACGTCGTTGGCTTGTTTCCTACTCTCCCGCCTCCGCTGGTCCCTGCATGAGGTCTATTTCAGGTGGCTTGCCTAGCCTATCATCGACTCCCGATCTGGTCATATTTTCTTTTTTAAAATTTCTTTTTTTTACAAAGCGTGCATGCCCCCCCCGGTCGTCTTGCGGTGTGGCTGTTGGCAGCTACTGGCGTGCGATCTAGTTGATGCGACTTCGACGGTGAGACTTGTGGTGTGGGCGATAACGTAATAGGGACTCATGAGTCGTGATAATAGGAGGTCGAAAAGGTGGAGAAGACCCGGCGACGGTTGGTCACTCCTGACTAGGTTGCTCTATCACCCTCGAAATAACCTAGCTGCTTGCTTTGATGATGATGACTCGCAGCCTTGTTGGTCGTCGTCGTCGAATAGGCCCGGGCTGCGTATTGATGTGTCCGTGCCGCTCGCGCCCTCCCCCCCCCCCCTTCCCCCCTTTACACCCGCGGCGGAAATACAAGGGAGACAAATGCCACACACACTTTTCACATGTAAGTTATGTCTCCCCCGCGCAATCCTCTCTCCCCTCTGGATAGGGAAGTTGCAAGACCTTCCAACCCGCTTGTGGGTTGGCGAGCTGTCGAACCAAACAGGCCCATGGACCTACGTACGGATTCATCCTTGAACTGGTTCTGCATGAAGGAACAGGTTGGGTGGGGACCCTAGCTCCATACGCGAGGCAATTGACACTCGGCACTCACAAACGAGGCCGGGGCGGAAGACGCATCGACCACTGTTCCCGTGACAGGAGAGGCTCAATTGGGCCGGCTGCATGCATCTGCCCTCCAACCCATTCCGCGATCACGATACGGCCGCCCCCCTGCCTTCAAGGCCCCCCAGACAGGGTAGGGGGCCGTGGGCGGCGCCGTCATCAAAGGCGGGCGAGCCGGCGAGACTGCGGGGTGAGTGAGTGTGACAAAGTGTGCGCCACTTCGGCCGAAGTGCTGGACAGGCCCCTCCCACTCCTTGCTTTGGCATTGGGTATTCCATCCCCATATCCTCGGAGGCCAATGCACTGGTGAGCCAAACTGGACATGGCTGAATAGACGGCATGATTCCGTTCCCATCATTCGGCAAGTGTCGAGTCGCCCCCAAATAATGCGGCCGTAAGAGCATGGTTCAGCTGATTGCAAGACTGCGTAAATTCCGGCCATCTTCCAGCCCAGCCCAGCGCAGACAGCCGGTGGCGGTATGATCAGCCGCACAACGGGAGATGGTAATATAGGAGGGCGGCGAGAAGCCGACAAAAGCTTGCAGTGGCGTAATCACAGTATCACGATTCGTCGGGGGGAGGGCTGTGAGACCCTTCATGCAGTGCGCCACAATCATGAAGACCATGACAGCTCTTGGTGAAAGCCGCTGTTGGAACTCGGACTCGCGTATAAATGCCCCGGTTCGACGAAAGAAGGCGGGTACTCGGGTCACCCCTTGAATCGAGGAATTTGCTTGACCGGCCAGGCTGCTAGTTAGTTCCAACGTCCATGCAGATCGGCGAGGGTGTGGCGGGACCATAACCAATCAAACCTTGTGCGACGTGGTTTTTGAGTTTTGACAAGCGGGTAAGGCAGGGAAAGAACATGAAGCCGGAGTGTGTGTCCAGGGAGTTCTACCTAGGTACACCATAGAGCTCTGGAAGTACCATGTATCTTGTCAGGTCTTCGAGATGGATGGATATAAACGCCAAGCAATGGCTCTTCGAGTCCAACTCCCAGCTTGAAGTATGGTTATGAAGTATGGTTATTTCTTGACATCCCCATTTCCCCTACTGCTTATATTTTGCAAGGATCCACGTTGGAGGTGCAGTGTAGTGCAGTTGCAGCCTGCATCCTGCAGGAGCTCATTTCTTGCTTCCGGTTGGCTGTCAGCATGTTCATGCTTGGAATGTGACAGCCGTACACCCCAAAGCTCGGGACAGGCCATTGAACATCTAAATCCCAATTATCTTGTAAGTCATATCTCGTCATCCATGCGGCGAAACTGGCGCGGTGGAGCCCGTTAGACTAGCGGCCGTCCTGTCTTTGCTTGCTTCTTTCGGCTTTTCTTCATCATGGGTGAAATCCCCTTTGCTTTTTCTGCCGATCATGGCGGCGCTACCCAATGTCTGGTCGACTTTCAGCCTCAACTGGAGCCATCCATCCATCCCCTTGTGTGACCTCGGCAGCACGGTTGGCGGGCATGGTAGCGATGCCTACGGCCCGTCTTTAGCTTGTGTATGGCAGAAGGGGTATCTCCGGGGGTGGCGGGTAAGAGCCTAGCGGGGGGTGAGGTGGAGAGGGGAAGAAGGTCCAGAGCACCCAGGACTGAAGAGAGCAGTGAGCCCCGCCGCCTGGATTGGAAATTCTAAAGGGGGTTGCATCATCTCATGCTAGCGCCTCCTTTTTTGTCTACACCCTTTCACGTGGTACTGAGGCCGGCAGAAGGAGCGACTTTGGCATTCTGTCAGTTATCATTTTTTGCTCCGGCTTCAGCCAATTCTTCCGTCTCCCTGTTGTCCCTTTACGAAATACAATGCTCCGGGAATCAGGTCTCGCAGGCACTTGGCTACCGTCCAATGTATCATCATCATTTGTGTCCGTCCATCGCCGCGAATGGGAAAGCAAAAGACGGAGGAGAATGGCCTTCCCATCTTGAAATCTCCTTGCACCACCCAAACTAAGCTAAATGGATACTTGAGGAGTCCCCAGACGCGGCCCAACCCAGCAGTTACTACATAACTATAAGCTGTCCATCCCCGTGTTGATCTCCTTGCCTTCCCCTTCGCCCGCCATCTCCCCGGTCGACTTAGATGTTCAGTTGGAGCCTCGATAGGGACGCTACATCCACCCCCTGAAGCTTGGCTTTGTCTAAGCATCACAGCCTCTGCCCTCCACCATCCCCACATCGCTTCACTGTCAGCGGACAGGAGCAGGTTTATATCCATCTATATACCACGGTTTAACTTCCCACTGCGATTGATTGCCATCTCAAGATGAGTGGTAGCGGCGGTTTCTACAAGTACAGGTGCAAGTACTTCTACTCACACAACTGCGCCAACTGGGTCTGGGTAAATAACACCCCGTGCGCGACCTGCCTGGTAAGTCCTCTCTTATCATCAGTTTCTCTCTTCCTTCACTGCCGAGCCTCGTCCTCACCAAGACCGAACTAACCAACCAACCCAGGCCGAGGGACGAGATACGGACGAGAGCGCGTCGCGGGCGCAAGCATGGGGCCTGTGTAGGGAGATATACGTGCCCAGGGTCCTCGACGGGACGCTGCATTACACCCTGATGGAGATCGTGGCCACGGGCGAGCCGGGGAACTACTGGACCCTCAGGCTCAAGGCGACGCAGCCGCCTCTAATCCCGATATCTGCCACGACGACCGCCGCCACGCCCGGGATTGTCCTCCCAGCCACCGCCATCCACACCCACTTAGGGTTTTAGGCCGCTTTGCTTAGGCACAGGGAGAGAGGGAGAGAGAGTCACGAGAAGAGAAGAGGCAAGTTGACGGCGTTGATGATGACGAGGTTGACGACACAGTAATGACCTGGACCTGGACCGATGGGTGTGGCCTCCCAAGAAAAAAGGCCCGCGCGATGGCGGGCCAGCGTTTGATGATTGTTTCTTTATCGGCAATTGGGGTGTGGGCGCAAAGTCAAAAGCAGTACCCCCTGGGCGGCAAGATTGTTCCAAAAAGTGACCAGTGGTTTTGGCTTGACTGGGGGGGTTGGGCGGGGGTCTGTCGTCGTATCCCTGTTTAATATTCATCCGTTTTGGTCTGTACGCATGGAGCACGCATGGAGGATACAAGTGCATTATCCGTAGTTAGCTAATACTTAATACCCCTGTATCTGAATGTTTGCCAATAATTTCCCCAGAAACTCCTGCCTCGCAGATTCTGTCTTACCAGGCAGGGGGGTTTGAGGGGGTTTGGTGGGGGAGGGAGGGCCTGAATCCCGAGCCGGCCACGCTGCCACAGAATCTCAAGCAGGCTCCCAGTTTATAGGTTCATGTGAGGGTGTCGCGGAGCCGTAGCCTGTTAACCCACGGTTGTAGGTCCGTACCGAACATACGTGACATGTCACATTTTAGCACTACGAGTCTCGCGGTGATTCTTCTTATTACGAACCACACACAACCCCTGACACAGCTATGAAGGAAAACGCCACAAAGAGACAGAGCAGAGCATTGCATGCACATTGGATTTGACATTAAATTTGACAAACTAAACAGGGTCAACTGAAGAGCTCAGGTACTGACCAGGTAGGAAGATAGGTGCTTAGTGAGAGACGAAAATCGCAAGCTGGTTCGATTTCAAATACAGCCAGCCAGCCATCGCATCCCTCCCTGGTGTGGAGTCCCGAAGTACACTACCATAATCTGTACTCCTGTAAGAGTGAGACCACTTTCCTTCCTCGAGGACAGGTAGATGACGCACACCCAGGCAGATTGGTTGGTCGTCAACTACAACCCTGCCCGCACGAGGCTAGCTGGTTGATAACCTGATTCTCGATTTAGGTGATCCAAAGTCTCGACTAGCCGAAGTGACCGCTAGAGTGACAGCTGTTCTCGACCTTCTGGAAACAAACCGTTGCCTCGCTTGGCGCCAACGCCAAGGCGGACCGTGTAAGAGTGGGGGCTGCATTTCCACGTGGGAGATGGCATGCGCTCAGCCACTGAGGACATGACCTCGAGCGGAATTCCCGTGTCAGCCTCCGCTTTAGTCGTTTCTACTTAGGTAAGTCTAGGAGGATACTAATTGTTAGCGGCTCATAGTCGCAGTGATGTCTTCTCTAGGATGCAACAGTAGCCGTATCTTGTCTGGCAGGTCAATGCCGTTGATTGCCAGGACGAAGATACGGTTAGCGTTGCACTAGAGAAGACGTAGCGGAGGTCGTGGACGTCAAGACCGGCCCGGGCCAAGCTCGAAAGTCAGGGATGATAAGAGGATCTAGAAAACTCTTGTTCGTGGCATCGGATCGGGAGAGGCCTGGACTCGCAAGCTGACCTACCATGCCGCAAAGCCCGTCTCCGTGCGAGCCAATGCTGTGAGAGCGGCATCGATGATGACAGATTTAATCCTAACCTGTTTATGTTAGCATCCATATCAGGAGTCTCGAAAAGAACGGTGTGACTTATCCCCAAATGATGAGGGGTTGCCCTCCCGCCATTTCTGGAGGGAGGACAACCAGGACTACCTCCCAAGAAGCCTGTCCTTCTCCAAACAGGCCGAATGAGAGTAGCCAAAGTCCTCCCCGAGCCACCGAAATTTAAAGCAGCTGAAGGGACAATCAACAGTGCCGGACGAGCACGAAGCTCTGACACCAACTCAAGATGGGTCCCGGCACAGTGTTGTGCCTCCAGCAGTTGTTGTCCGGATAGGTCTGGGTCGGGAGATGGTACAGTCTTCACCGCTGCAGCTCACCAAGACTCGCCACCCAAACAACCGGCAATCGAAGCCGACCATCGTTGATGCAATCAATGTCGAAACCGGCGACCAGAACTGCGACCAAGCATACCAGAACCGCGGTCAATCGAAGCTCTTTCCGTGTGACAGCACTGCCAGCAAAGACTAGTTTTTGTTTCCTCTCCGTCGGGCCCTAACGGGCAGCTAAGGAGGGAATTGCCGCGCGAACAAAAAACGTCCATAAAAATCGAGCTTTCGTCTCCATGCCCGACCGTTTCTGGAGGGGTGGGAGGAATGGGCGTCTTTTACCGCGAGGTAAAGGACGAGGGGGTTGGCGTCCTGCCATGCCCTGGGCAAAACCCAAAGATGGCAAGTTAATGCGCCTGGTCGGATCACATGCTTGCATGACGCGCTAGGCTTGTCGCCGTACGCGGTTTTGGGAGCGGATGGCATCCTCCACGGAGTGGATACTGGGTATTGCTTGCGGAGGAAAGACAAGGTGAAGGGTACTGAAGGCGTGACAGTGCAGCAATTTGAGGTGCAAATCAATCTCGACATTTCCGTATGAAACCCGAAGATCCTCGCTCACTGACGTGATTCCTGCGAGGCGAATCTTGGGCAAAATATAAAATGTCGGCGATTGATCGTCTGTGGCTGAACACTGCGCCCTCCCTTGACACCTGGAGAGATCGGCTCATGGCCGTCGACGTGAGGAAAAGGAACAAGCACCCGCTGTATCTTCCGCCTGAGGATGGGAATCCGCATCGCCAAAACAATCCACCTTGACCAGAGTACGAATTCCAGTGGTACAACCCTGACGAGCGACCTCAGGCCAGAGGCTCTTACCATCGGGACTCATAGTAGCAGACCTTCACGCATCGAATGATGACTGGATGTCCTTACCGCCTTTCCGTTCTCGTCGTCCCCACTCCATCTGCACCACTTTGCAGCGGCAGCTGACGTCGCTGGTAACGAGTCGAACTTAGAGGGCAGATAGGACGACTATGAGCGCAAGACTAGACAGTAAACCAACAAGATACTTAGGGTTAAGTTCCGAAACCCATTCCCCCGACGGGTCTGGCTTTGTCGGCGGGCGACAAAAGCAGCCACAGCACCCCATCCGCGTCAAGCATGATACCTGATACAGGTTCGTAGACGGAATACTGTGACTTTCCAGTTCGTGTCGAGAGGTCTAGATTGACATTCCTTTCGGAAAACGGGTTTCGGAGAACTGTAGGGGAGGCGTCGTGCCAAAGATAATGCTACCCAGGATGGGAGCGAAAGAGCTTCAAAGTTGACCGTGTCCGGCAGCGAGGCAGGCGGAATTCTGGTGTAAATCGGTGAGCCATCGACAATTGACTGCATCTCCAGTTGGCCCTCCGGGTTGTATGGGTTTTGAGAAATGGTAAGAGGGTTGAGCTATTGTAAAAAAAGAACCGTGTCGAGCTTCGGAGCAGGTGTGAAGGGTGCAGAACACGGTGCTGATAGAAATACCCCAGTTGGACGCGTCGAAATTACTCTAGTCCCAAAGCGGAAATGGCACAACGCGAGCGCACGGGACCCTGCTGGTAGTGACAAGCAACCAGATTAGTCAGACGACATCATCATCATCATCAAATTGAAGGAAGAGCGATCCGCAATCTAGGTCGGAAGCACAAATAAATCGCCCAAATATGGGGTGAGGTTGCTTTCTCTTAACGAAGCATAATTGCCGCCTATCAACTACCCATCCATGGATCAACAATCGCAAAAGCAAGCCCGGCAAGAGCTAGTCCAGTCCATAATTGAGCATGGAAGCAAAGCTTTCAGCCCAGAGTCAAGCCCGGACTCCCGGGCTGAGGCGCAGAGGGTATTCAATGACCTAATTCAGAGGTAGGTCTGGCTGTAGTGCTCTCTTTACGTCGTCTGAAACTTTCTCTCAAGGACACGTACGCTCCCACTCATGTCGGCATTGAACCTCTTGATCCGTCCGAATCATTCACCACCATGGCTGCGATCTAGACTGGTGGAGATTCTCACCACTCTGCCCTTGCGTGCTGATGGTGTGCGGGGGACATTGGAATTCGTCTTTGCCGTCCATCCATCTAGTACCGTGAGGACATCAGAAGCAGCAGCTCCGCAGAAGCAAGGAGCGAATATAACTCATGAGGCACTTTCCTTGGCATCTCATCTGCTCTCAAACCCGCCATCGTCAGTGACGCCAGAAACCTGGCTCTCGGACGTCTCGCCGCAGCTCTTGACTCTGTTAGATGGCGAAGATGGCACCGATCTAACCAAAGTAGCGGCCTACGTTATCGGGTTTGGAATCCTTGGTCGCAAAGACCTTGGGGCACCAGGTGGGTAACAAGAAATCCTGAAGCGATGTTTAAGAGACTGAACGTCCGCTACAGGCTCCCCTGGATGGCGATGGCTTGCAGAACCGATGTTGATGCAAATAAACCCATCAATTGGTGCCGGTTGCGGCTCAAGTGATGCGAGTATGGACTCGAATGAGATCATTGACTTGAGCAAAGACCGTATCCTTGTTTCATCCGCCAACTTAGACAGGGCCATTCGCCGGTTACGGTCTCTTATCGTTTCTCACCCTAACCCGGGACTTTGCAAAAGGCTCCTTCGTCCCTTGCTACTTTCTCTCTGGGCGCTTTCCTCCTGGCGGAATGCTGGGAAGCATGCCCAGGAGCAGGTCTGTCAACCAGCAAAGGAGCTCCTAGAAATCTACCTGAAGCTTGCATCTTCGCCAGGAATCTTTGAGCGGATCATCCGAAATATAGCCTATACTGGCGGTGAAGGTAAGGTGAAGCCAACCTGGATGTATCAATCAGCGGCAGATGGTGGACTGCACATTGTGGCAGCCGGTGAAACATCAGGAGCCAATGGATCAACCAAACAGGTTTCGCTGGAAGACTTGGATACTAAAATACCCGCGCTACTTGATCTCCTCGATTCGACCGCTTCTGACCTCGACGTCTCTTCGGTTTTCCTCGACCTCTTCAAACGGTGGCTGAAAGCAGGCCAGCGAGTTGAGACGGACGACATTTTGATCAAGGAAAGGGTTGCCGACGAAGATCTAGATCCGATGGGACAGCTGGCTGAGATCCGAATGCTGCAAAGAATGATTGAGAGATTTCCCAACAAGCTTGTGAGCAGGTCTGATCACGCTCTTGAGCTTGTCAGTCAGGTGCTCGGCAACTCCAGATCTACGACCGAGGACGACGAGAGCACCCCGGTCGCGCTGAGTATATTGAACCTGGTCATCACGGCACCGAGCTTCCGAAAGTCAAAGATGGATGCCGAGGTTATTCGCCGCCTCGAGTCTGCGCTGGATCGGCTCGCGACTGGGGGCGATGGCGACGTGGCCGGAACAGCAAGAAATCTTTCTCTCTTGCTACGATATCGAGACGAGGCTGAAGAGCTGACTGGTAGCACCTCAGCCCCTTCAGACCGCCAGATCGAGGACCGCAAAACATATAACCTTGCGATCTCATATATAACACAGACCGACTCGCCTCCACCAGTACGTTCCGAGGGCTTAAGCCTGATCTCAACACTCGTCCAGGCCCGCAGTCCAGTCCTCGACATACCATCCATTCTCGTTCTCCTGTCGTCTCTTTTGAACGACAGCGAAGACTATATCAACCTCAGAGTCATCAAGATATTCACGCAGCTTGCAAATAATCACCCCACGTCAGTGACCAGGGAATTGATTGATCATTTAGTGGATACGAACGAGATGGCCGCCGTAGACACTCGTCTTCGGTTTGGAGAGGCCTTGGCACAGGTAGTCGAGCGTCTGGGTCAGATCTTTGCCGGAGACATAGCCCAGCAGGTGGGACAGGCCTTGCTCGCCACGGCTGGACGGCGGGGACACCGGCCGAAGACGGAAGCGAAACAGGCCAAAGAAGAACGGCGTCGCAGGATGAAACATCGCGAGGCTGAAGAAGCATGGGAAGGAGAAGTTCCGGACCTCAGCGAAGACGTAACCGAGGAAGAGAGGGCAAGAAACGAGATCTTGGCCAGGATTGTGGAAGGGTGGGAGAGCAAAAGGGGTACCGAGGACGTTCGTATTCGGGTTTCTTCGTTGTCCATCTTTGCAATTGCGATGGAGACGAACATTGGCGGGCTAGGCTCAACGCTGGTATCTTCAGCTGTCGATCTCTGCGTCAACATCCTTACCATGGAATCCGAGATGGAGAAGGGCATACTTCGGCGCGCGGCAATCTTACTGATCCTAGGCTTTGTCAAAGCCCTCGACCAGGCAAGGCAAACGGGCCGCCGTTTGGGATTCGGGTTGACAACCCAGAGCCGAGAAGATATCTTGAGGATATTGAACTATGTGGCCGACACGGACAGCGATGGGCTTGTGAGGCAGTACTCCAGAGATGTCGTTGAGAGCTTAGAGAATTGGGAAATCGCGAATCTCTTGCCAGAGAACCAGACTCAAGGACCAACCCTCACGAGATTGGCCGGCCTGTCGGTCAACCCAGACATCTCGAACAGTTCCGGCATAGGGAACAGGCCGAGGATAGAAGAGATAGAGTAGTGTAAATTGGTTAAATTGACATCCCTTGCCACAATTCCCAGGTACCCAGGAGTCGTTAATTCACAGCTCACACTTGAGGGCCACAGGGCATGGTCCGTGCGCCTTCCCCATTGAGACGCAAACGCGCCTCGCGTCCGACCGCTAATTGAGTTGCTGACTGAACGCGTCGGATTGTGCAACGAGGAACTGAATTGCCGACGACAGAAGGAGCCGATCCAAAACAGTTGATATCCGCTAGGATGGCTCCCAGAAGGGAGATACTGGATTCTGAGGATGATGACGACGACGGCAACTTCAGCCCTGTGAAGAGCCCCGTCAGCCACTGTCTGCCAGGCGAGATCACGCTCACAGTGGATGGCGCACCCAACACGGAAAACACCAGAGAGACCAGGTCAACGGATCCGTCTTTCTTCCAGAGCGTGTATGACGAACAGCAGACTGCGGCAGATGGCAGGATGGCTGCGCCAGAAAGGCAGAACATCATCAATGACGCCACCAGCCTGGGCATGTCTCCCCCTTCCACGGCTAGGTTACGCCATCAAGCTGGGGAGCGTAATTCTTCCTCGCTCACATCAATCACTGATCCACTTCATCGTCGATCGAAGGGGAGCGGAAGGAAAGACGTAATTGATCTTACGCAGGTCACCACTCCTGGAAGACCGAGATTAAGTGATCATACTGACTTATGGGATATTCCCAGCAGTCCTGCCGCGCAAGCGACAGGAAATGCGGGTATGCAACCTTCTCATGCTCTGAGAACGTACGGGAAAAGAAAACGAGGGCAAGGCTCCAGCCCTCACGAACGCGAGGTATTGGGCCGTCCTGTGCCGTCAGTGGCCGAGACTCTCCCCGATGGTTCCCCTAGGGTGGCTAAGAAACGGGGAAAGCGAGACCAACAGACCACACTCTCTCGGCCAAGCCAAGAAGTCGAACTTGTGCTGGTTCCGGGGACCGAGGAGAATCCCCAGGAGGAGGATCCAAGTTGCGGCAACCCTGATGGCATCTCGAGCACCTTTGTGAAAGACACGCTGGATACTTCAGGAGCAGCCTCGCTATACGTTGCCCCAAGCGTTCTGACGGCCAGTCAAAAGCGGCAATATGAATTCGTCAGCCTCTCATCCGAGGGCGATAAGGACGATATGGACATGTCTTTGCTAAGGGGCCTGCAGAGGCCGGAAGCTGCACACGCATCAAGTGGAACAACGACAATCGCATATACTACGCCAAGTCGATATACTTCGTCTGGACACAGAAATTCGACTCTTGAAGACGTCGCTGGACCTCCATCAACTGGTCAACGGAGGGGAAGCAGAGCAGTTATTGAGGACCCGGTAGGTGTCCCTTTTATTTACTAATCTTTGGTGCATAGCTAATTCTCCATAGCCCTCTTCGCCAGATATCATCTCCCAGCCATCCACCATGGCCTCCCGAAAGAGAAAGCGGGGTGCCGCTCGGGCAGATGACTATGCTTCATCGGAACCTAGTGCTCCCAGGGAACCATTGATTTTGACCCAGAGGTCTTCCAGGCGCACTGGCAGGTTTGGGTCTATGCAAGACGAAGTACCCTTGAATCTAGGGTCACAAGGTTACGAACAGGAACGAGATGCGGCGATGCCAAATTCGCCGAGGAGAAGCCGGGCCAGAGCGCCCATCGAGACCAATTCGATGAATGAAGGGCGACCTTCATCCGCTGCTGCTGAGACTGGTCACGGCGGAGGCTCGACAGCGGAGGCTGGGGTGATAGTTGATAGGGATGATATCGAGCCGAACCTGTCCACACACCCGAACCAAGCTGCCGAGGAGCCTTCGGCAATTACTCACGATGAGCCCAAGCCGAAAAAGAGGGGTCGGAAGAAGAAGGAGGTAACCGCCCAAGAACCGGCCGAGGCACAAGGGGCCGGAGTTGGCTCAAACGCAAACTCGACCGAAGACCCAGTACCACCAGCTGATGGTGGAGATGGGATAAGCAAGGTGAAGAGAAAACGAGGACGGCCGCGGAAATCGGAGACAACCAAGCCTCCAGACCATCAGGTCCAGTCTGTCAATGAATCAGAAGGGCCTCACGAACAGCAAGACACACCTGCCGGCAACAGCACGGAGGTTGAGGTTGCTGCTGCGGCTGGTGTCAATACCACACGTGACGAGCCCTCTGTTCAGGATCAACCCTTGAAGGAGATGGATCGGAACTTATGCGGAGCTTCAGAGCAACGGGACGCTGGGCCAGCTGTGGGCAGCGAGGTAATTTCATTGGCGAAGGCGAGCCAGGCAGCTGAGAAGCGCGCGGAGCAGAGGGCTGGGAAAGGGGACGGACAGACCGGGAAAGTGCAGTATCGAGTGGGCCTTAGCAAGAGATCGCGGATTGCGCCGTTGCTCAAGTCCTTGCGCAAATGAACCAAATCCCGACTTTTATCTGACGGCCATTGCCGGTCCTTGGGAAGGAAACCTGTTGCACTGTGGATGCGCGATATCCACCACCGGGCGCATCTGATAAAGGTAGTTAGTTGTTACCTAGCTGCTTATGGCGATATGCTCGCCTCGCTGTACCTCAGCCTTGAGGCCCCTAGGTCGCTGAAAGTCGATGGCAAACAAAATGTCGGACGGTGTCGTTCCCGATTGCTCCTTTGAGTCCAGCCGAAGCCCCGAAAAAAAATACCCAGGCGAAGTTGTTCGACCTTTCGCAACTTTGAAATCACATCCCTGGTCGGAAGGAGAAACGCGAGTCCACAGTTCCCAATCACTGAGAGGCGGTGCGGGAACTAATAGGATCGCCGGCTGAAGAGCACCTGATGCGATCTGGGAACTATGGGCTACCTAGTCAAGGGCGTTGCTTAACCACAAATCACATTTGGAAAGGAATGGCCGAATAGCAGCGCCGGTGCATTTCCACACGAGCTGCAAGGGCGAGAGCGCTTTGCAAGGTACAGAATCGAGTCATAGAAGGCCAGAAACTAAAACGACGGCGCCTTTCTTTTGAGAGACACTTAATTTCCGTTCTCAGCGTTCTCGCCCCAGGATAGCGGAGCATGAGACCTGTAAGTTGGCAAACATGTCCCTGTTGAGGATACCTAGCACTCGGTCAGGAAAAAAAAAAAAAGGCACCGCAAACCACAACACCACTCTAAAATAGCACCATTCTAACTGTAATTGCAGCCCCAAAAATGCTTACCAGGCGCCTTCCAACTTAACACAGCTTTGTGATTGCAATGGGATCGTCTCTACCTATTAAATGATATTTTCCTGGCTTAATCTAACCTAGTATTCCCCAGCTTGCTTGGTCGATACTGTTTGCAGTGCCGGTTTTTTTTTCCAGACCCGAGCCTAGGTACCTATGCAGAAAGGAGGTCTCGTGAGGAATCTAGAGTCCGGGGTGGTGGGGTGTGACAGGGGCCACAGGGCTCTGCAGTGCGGGAAGGTAGACCCTGGGGCCTTGGGGCTGACCCCATGCCTGGAGTAATCTGCCGCCTTCTAGTTAGAGGAGTACCTGGCAGGAAACTACACAGTGCACCATGATTAAGTACCAACTAATTAGTAGTATACCTGGTGGAGCCCCTGAGCTGAGCCCACGATGCGATACCCGCCCCTCACCCTCTAAATTTTGGAAAGCCATGTAATACGTCATCGGCCGTAAAGCTGTGCTTCTAAAAAAGCACGTGGAAATGGTTTTGATATGGAAGCGGTCTCGTGAAGAAGTAGAGCGTGCTTTTGATTGTGCACAACTGCTTCTCACCCAACCTCTCCTGCATGGTAAGCTGCGAGAGCCTCGGGGAACCTTGTTACTTGCGCTGTTTTCACCGTCCGAAGATTCATTGCCTGTTCAGTGCTCCATCATGGTCGATCGCTCTCATTCCTCGGGTGCAGCGACCAGTTGAATTGCTGGTCTGGTGCGGCGGTGGGGGGCCAGCCGCTGGTTCTGGAGCCGGGCACGCCGGGAAGCCGGGTTCATTTCGTATTTTGCCTTCAGTGGATCATTGGGTCCTCTTGCAGTGAGAATCAGGAGAATAAGAGGGGATTCCATCGAGATCCTGGGCGGACTCACTTCTAGGTACTGTGTGAGGACGTACACGACTAGCAATTATGGAGCAGGTCGAGTCAGCTGGCACCTTGGCTGCCAGGTCTCAGTGGCCAATCAGCTTGACGGAGCCGCCGGGTGATTGGTCAGTAGCAGGGAGAAAGCCGCACTTGGGGCCACACCGGCACCAGCGCGCAGCTGCCACTCACCTGACCACTGCACCCGCACGCATCCATACCACGTAGCCGCGCCTGATGAGGGTTTTGAGCAGTCTCTTGAGTCGAGTCCCCCATTTCAACCTAATCGGCTCCCTCGCCGCCTTTTTATTCCTATCCCTTTATTCCCACTTCATTCATTGCAGAAGGGCGCTGCTGCTAATCAGCCCCATCAACGGCCCAAGATTCCTCCCCCAACTTCGGCTCGTCTCCCCTCCAACATCCCCCTTCGCACCTTACCCGCACAACATTCCGGCCAAGACGAACAAGCGACGTCATTACTGGCTGCCAATCACCACCAGCGAGGCCACCCCATTGACCACACCCGATCGTCCTATTCCGAAGACGATTCCGAGTCCTCGTGGACCGACACCGGGGACATTGCAGAGCAGCTCGCCGACGAGGAGGATCCACTTCGGAAGCGGCTCAACGACACTCTCGATGACGAGATCCTCGCCGGCGTCCTAAGAAGGCATCCACGGCAACAGCGCCGCTCCACCAAGCGCGTGCAGTACCAGAAGCAGTCACCCTCCCGAAGCCGCTCGCCGTACAACACTGGCGTCGTTAGTAAGGAGGCAATTGAGATCCCCGAGCCTGCTCCGCGGCGTATAACCAGGGCAGAACGGATACTTGCCGCCATCATGACGGGCGGTACAAGTTCCATCCATGGCCTCACCGGCAAACCCTTGATGTCCGTCGACCGACACATCCTTGCCCTATACACCTCTCAGGTCCGCATTGCTGACACCAGATCCAGATATTTCACTTCTATTTTCGTGTCGTTGGGCGTGTTTCTTTTTGGATATGACCAAGGTGTGATGTCGGGCATTATCACGTATGGCTCCCGTCATTCCTCCTAACCGTCCTCGACTTGCACGAAACCTTGTGGCTAACCAGGCGTTACTAGCGGCCCGCACTTTATAGACTATTTCGACCAGCCCTCCAAGGCTCAGGTGGGTAATATGGTGGCCATTCTCGAAATAGGCGCCTTTATCTCGTCCCTAATGGTCGGTCGGATTGGCGACCTCATCGGCCGCCGAAAAACGATCCTGTATGGGTCGTGCGTCTTTTTCGTTGGGGGTGCTCTGCAGACCCTCGCCACGACGATGGCCCTCATGATGCTAGGTAGAATTATCGCCGGCTTTGGCGTCGGCATGCTGTCGACCATTGTCCCTGTCTACCAGTCCGAGATCTCTCCCCCTCATAACCGTGGCAAGCTCGCCTGCATCGAGTTCTCCGGTAACATCATTGGTTACACCACTTCGGTGTGGGTGGACTACTTCTGTGGATTCATTGAGGGCAACCTCTCGTGGAGGCTTCCTCTTCTCATGCAATGCGTTATGGGGGCCTTACTGGGCTTGGGAAGCTTGATCATTGTCGAGTCGCCGAGGTAGGTCTTGTGCGCATTCGCTTGTGACGGAATTGCATTATTGACTAGAGTTGTAGGTGGCTTCTTGACAACGATCACGACGAGGAAGGCATTGTTGTCATCGCCAACTTATACGGCGGCGGCGACATCCACAACCCACGGGCACGCGAGGAATTCCGGGATATCAAGATGGACGTTCTACTCCAGCGTCAGGAAGGCGAGAGAACCTACAGCGAAATGTTCAAGCGGTATGGCAAGCGAGTCTTCATCGCCATGTCGGCACAGGGCCTCGCCCAACTCAACGGCATCAACGTCATCTCCTACTACGCTCCCTACGTCTTCGAATCCGCCGGATGGATTGGCCACGACGCAATTCTGATGACAGGAATCAACGGCATCACCTACTTCCTCTCAACCATACCTCCTTGGTACATTGTCGATAGTTGGGGACGACGTCCCATTCTGCTCAGTGGTGCAATTGCCATGGCCACCTCGCTGTCTCTTATCTCGTACTTCCTTTACCTCGACATCCCAGCGACACCGGTACTGGTGGTCGTCTTCGTCATGGTCTACAACGCAGCATTCGGGTACTCGTGGGGCCCAATTCCTTGGTTGTACCCTCCCGAGATCCTACCGTTGAAGATACGATCCAAGGGTGCAAGTCTTTCGACAGCAACAAACTGGGCGTTCAACTGGCTGGTCGGATTGATGACGCCTATTCTACAGGAGCTGATCCACTGGCGGCTTTATCTGCTCCATGCCTTTTTCTGCACCGTCAGTTTCGTCGTTGGTAAGCTCGCTCCTTCTTTTGTTCCTAGTCCCTACCGTCTCCTCGAGACTCGCTGCTAATTCACGAGTTAAGTCTACTTCCTCTACCCGGAGACGTGCGGAGTCCGTCTCGAAGACATGGATATACTGTTCGGCGATGCCACCGCCGCGATGGGCACGCCGGCGACCGTGGGGACGCCGTCCATGAGGGCAGAGGTAGATTCCCTCGTACGAGCCGCCTCGCCGGTGCCAACCCTGGACATCCGCGGTCGACCGCAATTCGGTTCGTCGAGCGCCATTCCGGGCCTGGATATCGACCCCCCGTCACTAGGCCCTGCGGGTGCCAAGGCACGCCTGCCGACGGAAGAGCAGGGCTCTCGTTCCCGCGGCCGTGGGTGGTTCTCCAGGTTGATGGGACGGGGCAAGTCGCCAGGTGGATCCGGCGGCGGATATGCCCCGCTCGGGCAAGGGGACGATTAGACGCCCGAGGTGGGAAGAATAGCGGACATACTCGCATGCGCAGAGCATGGAAGCATTTGGTCCCTTGTTTTCTCTCTGCATTGATATAGGATAGATGATCCACGTGGAGCCTCTGGTCGAGGCGGGAGGAACCCATCCACGCTTGGAAACATGCATCTCGGTAGAGGCTTTGGGTAATGCGGAGTGCTTGAGGCCCTCTGTATAGATAATAGAGCGGCTGTATGAAAACTTGTTAACTTATGGATATTTTCGATATTTTGAGTCGTGGTTTTTGGTCAATGAAGTGCATCTGATGGCTACAAGACTTAGAGGCTTGTTCTTTTCGCTCAAGACTCGGTCGAGGTAAGTATCTAAGCTATAATGTATGACATCTGGCCATAGTCGGAAGAGAGGATGTGAAAATACGGATCCGTATGCATGGGCGTAATAAGAGAGTCGGTTTGCATTTGGCGGTTGCTAAAGCGCAGCGCAGCGCTTGGCCCGTGCCCAGTATCCATCCATACAAATCTTGCAAACACCCAACTCCTTTTCTTTGACCTCTATCGCCCATTCCTTTTCTTTTCTTTCTATTTTCTCCCTCCCGTCCCTCCGGCCCCCCCGAAGAGTGCCCCAAAGCCAGCGGCGACCCGATGCCGAACAACCTCGAAGTAGTCCACGCCTACAGGCACCTCCTGCGGGCGGGGCTGCGGGCGGTGCAGTTCTCCAAGCCGGCGCGGTTCGTCGTCCGGGACCAGCTGAGGGAGGGCTTCCGGGAGAAGAAGACACCCGCCGGCGGCGCCGGCGGGTTTGATGCCGGGCGGGTCGGGCGGACGGTGCTGTTCCTGCGGGCCGCGGCGCGCGAGACGGAGCTCGAGCACAGGATCCTCAAGAACCTCGTCCGCGTCGCCGGGGAGCGCCGTCGCGCCCGCCTGCCGTGGCCGCTGCTGCTGACGAAGGAGGGGGCGGCGAGGTCGAAGTGAGTTTGGTTGGGCCCCCCGTGGCGAGCGCTGTGCCTCTTGCCGATGCCGTCTTGTGTGGCTGTTGGTTGATGTCTTTTTGTTTGGGGGAGAGGTCGCTGACGTGAGGTTTTAATGATTGGATAGGGAGCCGGATAGGATCAAGCCTACTGCATACAGGCACTACGAGATGACCGTTGCCATGCTGAACCACAGCATGGGCTTGTGCCTGCGGTGATGTCGGAAATATTCGAGGTTTACTACTCGTGTCTCGCTGTGCCGGTGGAACTGTTCCACATCATATGTGCGGCGGCGTACGATCGTACGACGAGTGGTTGGAGCCTATTACTACCCGTCTTCGTCTTTTAGTGGGTTCACAGATGATTCTACTCTTTGGCGTCTAACAAGTAATTGACATTTTGTCTCCAGGGCAAGGCTGTTTCGAGGCTGCAGGCCGCAAGATGCCAGGTGCAGCGGCGTCAAGCGATGCCCTGCCTACATCTAGCCATCTTACCTACCTCTCTGGCTTGTCGTTGAACTGCTCTGTCGTCAGTAGTCACGGACTGCAATGCACAACCCCACGGAAAAGTTGAGAAGCCCAGGGGGCTTGATACGCTTTTCAAGCGGGCGGGATTGGGGGCTGGGCGGGATTGCCTGCCGAAATATGCGGGAATCTAGCAATTTCCATTGCCCCATCATGCACGGTGACGATGCCGATTGCTCCAGTTGGGCCACTGACACCGAGATTATATGAGGTCTGCGAGACAGGGCGTTTAATCGAGCGTCCCGGCCAAGGTTTGCCATGTACATACATACAATGTTGCTGTTATTTCAGCCATTGACCTGGCGCAGCACACGCCGAGTATGGAGGATGGAATGGTGGTATTGGATCATGCGCAATGACGTCCTGCTAGTTTCGTTTCTCTTTTGGGGTTAGTCGGGGACACGATGGCTCGAAACCTCGGGTTCCGAGGCACGTTTGTGATATCTTAGGTAGAATTGAAATGTCTCCAGTCTCTCTCTGCATTTAGTGCAACGGAGACGAATTGACGATGGGAGACAGAGGTACCTCCGTCAAACGCTTCTCCCAATCGCAACTTCTACCCTAGTGTAAGAGACCGAGAAGCTTGTGATCAAAGCCCCGCGCTAGGCCTGTGAGATCACCGTCATTGTGGGGAAGTTCTTGAGCTCCGGCCAATCCAACTCGACCGTCCACCAGCTTCTTTGACTCCCAACCCCGCAATCGAAAGCTTCCACCAAACCTCCACACACCACGACTGTCTTGCCCCGATAGGCCCCCCTTCCGGCCAGTAACTCAATCGAGCGGTTTCTCCATTACAGCACACCTGACCCTGAATCGAACTCTTTCTCGACAACCCCCTTCGACATCGTTCGATCGATTATCCCCAGCCGCTCCATACCTTGGGGAACCTATCGAGACAAACGAACCCAGGGCGGGGTCTTGATGGACCTTCACCTGCTGGCAACAGGCCGTCTTGCGACCGCGCTGAAGACTCTGGTCTCGGTCTCCCCGTCCGAGATCATTGTCTAGAGGCGGCTGCTTCGAGGGGCCAAATTGCCAGGAGAAATGCCAGTTGATTCCCCGACGACTGTGCAAAATGGTCCCAACCGTCTACCGCTTTCCATCATGCCTTCGCACGGCAGCAGCGACAACAAGAAGAGAGACTCTCCGTCAGGGCCACAAAATGAGAAGCCTCCGCCACAGCGCCTCGTCAAGCGGTACCGCGTCGAGGTCGCGGCGTCCATGTCCAGCGTCCTCTCCACCGCCACCGCCTTCCCGCTTGATAGTGTGAAGACGCGCATGCAGACCTACCAATACTCGGGCTTCCGGGACTGCGTGCGGCACACATATAAGACGGAGAAGCTTAGGGGCTTCTTCAGAGGTAGGCGACACACCCCACTCTCTCTTGTTCTCCTCACCCTGCCTCCTTGCCACTCACGAGCTGCAGTCTTACTGACTTTTGACTAAAATTCCAGGTGTGACCGCTCCAATGGCTAGTGTGACCCTCGTCCGGACGGTTTCCTTCTCAATCTACCAACGATCGAAACACGTTTACAACGACTGGCTCAAGAGGAACTGGGGAGTAGACGTCCTCGGACACGTGAGCACAAAGGGATCATATCCAAACCTCTGGTCCATTGCCACTTTCGGCGCTGCGGGCGCGACCGCCGGCTCCTGCATAACACTAATAGCCTGTGAGTTTGGGGGAACAAGAAGGTGAAACGGATTTCGCTGTCACTGTCGGCTAACGGTGACTCTCGCAGGCCCGTTCGAGTTGACAAAACTGAGCGCACAGGTATCCGTCTTGCTGGCTGATAAGAAGAACTGCCCGGAACCCAAGAGCTATGCAGTAGCCGCCAGCTACCAGAACAAGGGGACTCTGAAGACCCTGGGGAACCTTGTTAAACACCGTGGGTTTACAGGCCTTTACACGGGGTTCAACCTGCACTTATGTAAGTTGAAAGGCCCTTTCGCCGGCAAGGCCCGCCACATTTGTATACTAATGATTCGAGTAGTGCGCGACACCCTCGGGACGGGTCTATACTTCATGACTTATGAGAGCAGTAAACAATTGCTGACCACCTTCGGTGGCGACGGTTCACATTCTAATCCACTGGCCGTCCTCGTTGCTGGGGGTTTGTGCGGTATCGTCTCCTGGGCTATGATCTGTGAGCTCCCCTGCTGTCCTCTTGCTCTTGATGATGGCTTTCCTCCCTTCCTTGGGACCGGCTCGTGACTGACTCGATACTAGACCCGATAGACTCGGCCAAGAGTGTCTATCAGCGAAACTCACTCATGTACACCAAGGGTCAGAAGGTTCAGCCAGTGAAAATTCAGTTCTTCCATCGTCACATGTACCGAGGGCTTGGTGTATCCATGGGGAGGTCGTGTGTGGTGAACGCCATCTTCTTCTCCTCCTTCGAGTTCATCAAGAAGCGAATTAAGGCTATGGATGATTAGGCTCTCTAGGGGAGGGGTCCCGGTCTGCGTTCGGCGGCAGCATCTTGCTGCTTGTTCACATATTCCAAGGCGAAATTGTATAAAACATGGGGAGGGTGCATATACCAAGGGAGAGGCGGCGGCGTTTGTCTGTTTTTTTATATTCATTTTATTTTCAGTGGAGTGACATGGCTGAGACGAATGGAACAAGAGTCGAGGGACATAGTTTCGGTTTCGACAGCCTTTTTCGGTCGAGCGGGTCATCTGCGGTGAATTCGAGGCGACACTTTCATAGTCTCTCCGAACGGTGATTTCCGTGATGGTTGCGACTGAATATGCCGTGGAATCAATGTCTGGCACTCAATTGACATCTGTGCCTTCCACAAAAAAATGCACTGATTAATATCATGAGGTTGTGGTTGGTAGTTGAAGTGTTGAAGATCCATTGTCCATTGAGTTAGTGTATTGGTGTTCTGGCACGCTATTGGTTGAAACCTAGCCAAAGTCCGTCGACCGTCAAAAAAATTGAGACTCACTTCAGAAACGACTGAACAACGACCCGACCTGTCGCGATACCGGATATGATGACTGATGATAAGAAACGATGATGAGCCATCGCATAGACCGTGACGTCTCTGTCATGGTGCAAAAGTTAGAGAATGATTTCAAGAGCAGTGGTCGTCGCCTCACCGTAACCGCTGTCTACGACAGCATCAAAAACTCAAACTCCAGTCTGGCCCGGCAGAAAAAGAGGCCGCTAGAAGATGCCATTGATCGGGTTCTCTCGAAGCGGGCCGAGGAACTCAAGCAGGGCGAGGATTCGGATTCGGACGCCGCGATCGAGGCGGCTGAGGCTGCTGAGGCGAAGCTTGCAAACAAACCCCTTGAACGTAACTCGTACCTCCTCAACAGAAAGATTACCCAGTCGTGGAACTTCTCCACCACCACAAACTCGACATCTCTCGGGGACCAGCAGCAGCCAGAGATGGACAAGGGAAACTCCGAGCGGCAATCAACCGGCGAGCCCAAGCCGAAGCGGAGGAGGACGGAACGGAGCCGGAAGGAGACTGACAGGAGCCCTCCCAGCAGCGTCTCTATCAGGGACGTCGCCGGCCTCGACGAGGCTCTCAATCAGCTGCTCCATTCTGTCTATCTTCCCCTCTCTCAGACTAGCGCCTATGCTCAGCTGGACTACCAGTTTGACAATGCCGTGCTGCTCCACGGCCCCTCAGGGTGCGGGAAGACGACGCTGGCGTATGCGGTCGCTTCGCACTGCGGTCGCCCCATGATACCCGTTTCGGGGCCGTCTCTTGTCGGAGGCACATCCGGGGAGTCGGAGAAGAACATCCGCGCCATATTCGACGAGGCCATCGGCCTCGCCCCGTGCCTCATTTTCATCGACGAGATCGACTCGATAGCCGGCAAGAGAGACAACGCCCAGAAGGCCATGGAGGCCAGGATGGTGACTGAGTTGATCGACGGGATGGACAGGATCGTCCGCGGCATGACCGACGGCAAGAACATCGTCATCCTGGCAGCCACAAGTCGGCCCGAGACGGTCGACCCCGCCATCCGCAGGCGCTTTGGCGTGGAGGTGGCCGTGGGAATGCCCGACGAGAAGGCGCGAAAGTCCATCCTGGAGTGCCTGTCTAGGCGCCTGCCCAGAACCGAGGACATAGATTTTGGTGAACTTGCCAACAAGACGCCCGGCTTTAACGGTGCCGACTTGAAGCACGTCGTCACCGCCGCCCTACACGCCGCGATGAGCGATGAGCTACAGCAGGTCCTGCGAATAGAGCACGCCTCCAGGCCTGAAGCATTCACGGATGCCTCGCCGGCGCTTCGGAACTGGCTCATCCTCCAGGAGAACGGAAACGACTCGATACAAGATGTCAAGGTCACATTCGGCCACTTCAAGACGGCTATCGAGCAGACTCAGCCGGCAGCCAAGAGGGAGGGCTTCAGCACGATCCCCGATACGACATGGGAGCAGATCGGGGCGTTGGAGGACGTCCGCAAGGAACTGATGATGAACATCATCAACCCCATCATGAGGCCGGACGTCTACGCCACGGTGGGCATCAAGCCCGCGGCCGGGATCCTCCTCTGGGGCCCGCCCGGCTGCGGCAAGACGCTGGTCGCCAAGGCGGTGGCCAACGAGTCCAAGGCGAACTTCATCTCGATCAAGGGCCCGGAGCTGCTCAACAAGTACGTGGGCGAGTCGGAGCGGGCGGTGCGGCAGCTCTTCATGCGGGCCAAGACGTCGTCGCCGTGCGTCGTCTTCTTCGACGAGATGGACGCCATCGTGCCGCGGCGCAACGACAACCTCTCCGACGCCAGCGCCCGCGTCGTCAACGCCCTCCTCACCGAGCTCGACGGCGTCTCGGACCGCCGCGGCATCTACGTCATCGGCGCCACCAACCGGCCCGACATCATCGACCCGGCCATCCGCCGCCCGGGCCGTCTCGGCACCAGCGTCTACGTCGGCCTGCCCTCGCCCGAGGGCCGCGCCTCCATCCTCAAGACCATCTACCGCAACACCATCCCGGGCTCCGCCGCCCCGGGGGCCCTGCCCGAGCGCGACCTCGAGCGCGTCGCCCTCGACCCGCGCTGCGGCAACTTCAGCGGCGCCGACCTGGGCAGCCTCATGCAGGAGGCGGCCCGCGCCTGCCTGAGGAGGACCGGCGACGACCCGGCCGTCGAGGTCGACAGGTCCATCACGCCCGACGACTGGGAGGCCGCGCTGTGCAAGGTCAAGGCCAGCGTCAAGGATATCGCAAAGTACGAGGCCCTGCTGGCTCGCCAGGAGAGGTAATAAGTGGCCCCCCTTACACCTACAATGTACTTAGACCATAGATTTCCATGTTCCCCCCCCCCCCCCCCCAAACCTCTTTTGGCCTAGCTGGCTTGCCGGGAGTACGGAATAGAAAATTTTGATTTTCATTATTGTCCGTCTCATTGGTCGTTACCACGGCTATTCCCCCTTGCTAGCTTCCCCACTGCCAAGCGATCGTAGGTGACTGCCCTGGTGTGTCAACAAATCTGCGCAGGTCATCACGGGCATGATTATAGTTGTATACGAATGGAGGAGAGGATATCTTATTTTCGTACGTGCGGGGATCCAAAGGGGATTCGCACAGGGTCGTCTACGTCTATAATACAGTCCACAAGGCCGTCTAATGCAAGAAACACATATATTACACCACAATGCCCGCTTATTTGGTGGCCGCCTTAAGGTGACTGCAGTGACGTTAGCGGGGACGAACTGAGATCTAACTCCGGGGAAGACAACATACGTGATCAAATCGTTCCTGTCCTTATCCTTCTTGAGACCGCCGAACGCCATCTTGGTGCCGGGGATGTACTTCTTGGGGTTCTCGAGGTAGTCGAACTGGGGAGAGCAGGTCAGCATTTTGTCGGCAGTGGATACTCGCCGTCTCTCAGGCGTGGATTGCTACTCACCAGAGTGTTCTCGTCCCAGACGATGCCCTTCTGCTTGTTTGCGTCTGTGTAGGCGAAGCCGTCGACGGAGCCAGTCTTGCGGCCGAAGAGGCCGTGGAGCGCGGGGCCGATCTTGTTGCCACCGCCGGCCTCGAGGGTGTGGCACTGTGCGCACCGGGTCTTGAAGAGGTTGGCACCCTTCTTGGCGTCACCTAGGGAGGGTAAGAGTTAGTGCCGAGTAACTGTGCAAACGATGGCCTGACTGTTGACGAGATCGCGTGCGTGCCCAAGCCCCCCGGGGACAGCATGTATTCCCCTCCAACGTACTCCCTGCGCCACTGGAATGATGATTCGGAGTGAATCGACGACACCGGGCGGCTCTGGTCCCAATGCGCGCCCATCACCGGGCTTTGCGCCGGGGAAATGCCGCAGGGCAGGCCCCAGTCATTCCCAGGCAGTCCCGGCGGCGGTAAACCCCAAGAGCATGGAGTTGTCGACGCCAGAGACGCAGGTGAGGAACTGGGCGTACTGTCGGGAGTGTGGGGGGAATTATGGGGGTTCAATGGCTGGCGAGAGGTGCACGCAGCGGCGGCAAACTTGATGCCGAGGTCTTCCGGGGAGAAGGAAGTTTGGCGACGACGTACCTGCAGCGAAAGGCATTTTTGCGGTTAAGGAGGAAGAGGATGTCTTGAAAACTAGAAATTCTTTCGTAATGATCCAAGGGTTGGAAATACCAAGGCTGTGTTGTGTGTTTAAGTTTGTACGGAGAGAAGAGGAAGAGATTTGACCGCGAAGCAAGTTTGGCCATAAATTTTTATTTCAATGAGCTCAGCGCTCAGCTTGGCAGGTTGCCAAACCAGCCACGTTGGGGCTTGCCTCTCTGAGCGTCATCGTTGCCGATTTTTTTCCCGCCAATGGGAGACGCAGAATTGGTCAGGCCATACTTGACGCCACAATGGGTGCCGGGTAAAACCGGACGAGGCCCGTGAGCCACGTGATGCAGCCATATGAGCTTGCAAAAACTGGGGCATTGACTCCGGCCAGTCAGCTGTGCAGGTGCAATTTTCTTGAGCCGCAAGAACTTCGCTCGGGTTCTTCTCGGCATCGGATCCAGTATGACATGACGGAGAAGCATCACTAAAGCGGACTGTTACAAGCACATTGCCATCATGGCCAGCGCAACGACGTCCATTCCTCGGTTCCTGCTGCCGCAGACGGCGCAGATCTGGCGACGGTACCGCGTTCCAAACGTCGGCGCAACGGGTCATATTCTGGTACGATACGCGTCGACTGGCAAAGGCTCCAAACCCATTGTCTTGGAGAAGCCCGAGAGGTTCAACCCGCCATCCCACGGCTCCAAGCTCCCAAAAAAGACGATCCCTCGACACTACGGCGGCGATCTGAGCGCTGCGGAGGCGACGGTTCAGAAGAAGAAGGACTACCCCGGCCTCATGGCCCCGGAAGGCACCTGGTCGCATTGGTTTTGGCACAGCCGCAGTTTGCATCTGATGGTTACTCTGGTTAGTTCAATGCGGAGGCAGCCATTACCTCAGTCCTCCCCGCCCTTCTACCACAAACACTCGATCAGGTAGTTGCTGACACGAGACTGCCCCTGTCCAGACCACCCTCGCGGGACTGGCGTTCTTCACCTTCATGCAGAACTTCAAGTATAACTCGCCCTTCGCGGACATGATACCCCCGCTTTCCGATTTCTTCTACCACCCCATAACCTCTGGACGAACGATCGTCGAGGTGATCCGCCTGAGCGAGGCGCACAATGCCGCGATCGTGAACGAGAAGCGGAGGCGGCGCGTGGATGACGTTGTGAAGAGGAGCCAGTACAGGAAAGCCCACGGCCTGGACGAACAGACTGGGTTCGGTGGATGGACGGCGAAGACAGACGCCGAGGCTATGGGTCCGGCTCTTCCCAGCAGCGGTGATGGGACGATTCAGGCGGCGCATGGTGATCATGATGCTCATGAGCCGCGGAAGAAGTGGCTGGGTATCTTTTAGACCTATGTCTACCTATCCTTGAGTGTACGATATCGACGATATCAACAGACATGTAGAAACATTCCTCTTGCAACGGCAGATAGCCTGATGCAACTCGAGACATTATAGGCCGGGGATCATGAAATGCTGGTTTAGGCCAAATCCACAGCATCTAGACCATCCAAAACCTCATCTGCAACACCTCCTTTCTCCAGCACCTTTTGGATCAACGCACTCATGACCAGCATCTTAGCCCCTCCTCTTGGAGCCTTCCAGACTCCCTCCACTGCGTCGGTCTCGACAACCCTAGCTTCCAGCTGTTTCTGCACCAGCCCTGCGGCTCCGTATGCGGTGTTGGCCTCATTCGGCACGCCCGGCGGAGTGAGCCGTGACGGGGGATCTATCGTCCTGATCGACAATAACCGTAGAGCGCGGCCTTCTGTTGCCGCGTCGATGTCCATCGCCTCCCGGTCCCCGCTCCGGCTTGCAGTCTCGCCAATTGATACCGCTAGGGCGACGTCCGCCACTGCCAATTCCTCCTTTGCCGGATCGAAGATGATGTTATTGCCCACCGCCATGACGAGCAGCGTGACCGGCGGTCGAGCCGCAGACCTGCCGTCGCTTCTCGGGTATAAATACGCTGAAGCCGCCCAATCGTCGTCGAACAGGGGGTCCTCGTCCCCTTCGGACTTTAGCCTGGGTAATCTCGTCGCCAGCAAAGCTAGGTGTGTGGTCAATGACAGAAGCGGTAGCGGGTATGAAAGCGGTGGCGAGATGAGGAGAATCTGCCGGCGCCTTGTCAGTCCAGGACCACGAAAATACCCCAGCATCGCGAAGACAAGGGGAAACTCACATCGAGGTAAAGCTTCCAATGAAACTTCCGGTTGATCCAAAGTTTATCCGCAAACTCTCCGTCGGCCAGCAGCGCCTCACTCAGCATCGCCGCCAAGAAGACCGTGTTCGCATCGTCGTCCCGGTACCCCGGTATCTCGACCGTCATCTCCACCCAATCGCTGCTGCCCTTGCCCCCGCCGCCTCCCGCCGCCGCCGCCTCCTCCTCACCCTCCTCCTCTGTCTCCTCTCCTTCGAGCGCCGACGTCTCCCCGGGCCGCGCCCTCGTCTTCTCAACCTCGGCCTTGACGCCCACGATCGCCTCGGTGCCGTCGGCGAAGCATATCCTCGCGCTGCCGTTCGTGCCGGGCAGGATCCCCGTCTCGGCGATCAGCGGCCGGAACTGCGTCGGCGAGCGGCCGTCCGGCCGGACCGGCGGCGTGAGGGACAGCGAGGCGTGGAGGTAGGCGAGCTCCGCCGGCGAGAGGAGCACGTGTTGGTTGGAGGCCATGGTGGGCGTGTGTGTGTGTGTGTGTGTGCCGTTGAAAAAGGCACGGGGTGGGGGTGGAAGGGGGAACTCTCCGCGCGCGTCTAGTGTATCAGGGTATGGCTTGACGGTTGACGGGTGACGGGGAGTTGGGATAATTGAGGAATGAGGTAGCTTGAAAGGTTCGAGTTGCAAGGCTGAGGGTAGAAATTTTGATCAATTTCAATTGGCCAAAGTCGTTTCTACATGCAAGGGTGAGATCTGAGGTGGGGTGAGGCTGAAAGTGTGGGGTTCGGAAATATGACTACATTCACCCCGGGGGTAACATCGCATCTTGAACTCCATGCATGATCATTATTCTCTCGAAAAACACCTCTACCTAAGCCAGAAACACCCGATTTCCCCCAACTTCCGTCTTATCGCTATATTTCGTGGTGGGAACTCTACCAGAAATTGAGATACTCCATGACGCTCTCTCTAGGCTTAAGCTGTGTTCTCACCAGACTTGGACAGCTACATCCAAACCTCTACCGCCCAAAGAACGCGAAGTGCCCCGAACTCCAGGAGCTCCAGCACCAATAAGCAGGGGTGGTTTGAAAGAAGTGTTGAATGTATCCACTAGACGGCATTTAAGCCGAGGCAAACCAGAAAGTACTGGCCCTGCTAACCCGGTGGTCATTTCCGTCGTCGAAAGTCGAGGCAGAACTCGCTCATCAGGTCTGGCCCAATTGCCGCAACCAGTTCTGCGATCCTAGATCTCAGAGATCCGAAATCGTCCACTCCTTCGGTATCCCACACAACCAGGTCGGATGCATGGAACAAGGCAGGCGAGTGGTCCGAGACGAGAAGGAGGTCATCCATATCAACCTCGAGCATCTGTTCCAGGGACGGGATTCCTGGCATATCGCTCTTGAGCAAGAACGAGTCTTCCTCGTCGACTTCGCTGTCGTCGCTGCTACTAGTTTCCTGGGCCGAATCGTGTGCAGTCTCGGTGCTCGTGGTTCCATCGAGTCCTAGTCTGCGACGTTCTCTCGACAAACTGACGTAAGGCTGTCTGTCGAAGATTGCCAATGCGTCCTTATCCAGGAGGTCCCAAGTCAGGGCCTCGGGATCCAAGACGTACTGGGGAGAGTAGTCGATCTTGTACCGCATTTTGGCACAGCTATGTATGTAGTAACCCGAATACCACCAGCGATAGCCCGCCTCGGCAGCCAACGCAATCTCCCTCAGAGCGCCGACCTTTCCGGGATTGTGCGTATGGACGGAGTCGTGGTAGAGGAAGTACACAGCACTAACGCAGTTCGGAAGGAGGTCGAGGACTCCAATTGCGACCAGCTGTCCATCGAGACGGTAGCAGTGGTGGAAGGAGCCCAGTTCACGTTTCTTGCCGTCGGTATCGATGAAAGTCTCCCGCCTCAGCGGCGAATTGCACAAGAACTTCTTGAATCCATTACGAGAGATCTTCTCAGGGGGTTCCTTGTGCACGATACGCTGGTAATTCTCAAAGATGGCGTACTTCTCTTCAGTAAACGTGTCTGGTTCTAGCGTGACGGTGAACTGATGTGCCGGCTCCGGGGGAGTCTTCAGCCGTTGGCTCTCCGCCTCGTGGATCCTGTGGACCAGGTCAAACTCGTTGTCACGCTTCCGGACATCTTGGCGCGAGAGGGGATAGAGGCGGGCGGCTTCTTCGGAGTAGGTTTTGCCGAGTACGTATTTGTTGAAACGGTTTATGGCCTGACGTTGGTCCTTGGCGGCTTTGAAGTGGTCCGAATCAAGTCTAAGAGTGTAGTGGGGGCAACAGGAGTTCTTCTGGTTGGGCCTGTACAGGAGAGTCCCGGACCGTCTCCAGCAGCGGTCTATGAGGGTTTGGTAGAATTTGGGGGTCAGCGATGATGCTGATGCGTAGTAGGAGTAGCCTAGGTAGTCGGGACGTAATGTTAGAGATGATCATAGGCCATGGATTTCTGAGGTGGCAGGAGGCTGAGAGGGGCTCTTGCTGCAACCGGTGAAGATGCAGTTGAGACGTGGCATGCAGCAGAGGAGTGTAGATGTTATGAATCATAACGACGGCGGTATATCCCGAGAACCTGGCGCGGGGGAGTAGAAACAAATGACAGGGAAATCTGGCAAGGGTGAAGTGGGTAGTGATTCACGTTTTGGAGACTGACCACTGCGACTGCGGCGGCAGTAGCCACAGGCAGACGAGCTGCTATAGCCTGGTAAACGAAATGGTCAGCATGAATTGGTCGTCTAGAGGTTTGATATGCACAGGAAATCAAAAGTAGGGATGATCGGAAGCCCGTGGAACACACTTGCGACTCCATATCAAATGGATCTGCAGCAATGCAACGCAAGAGTCCAACAAACAGGTGAGGCGACATCGGCTCTGCATCGACTGGAGCTGAAATGGCCTGGCGACACCAACATGAAAATAAAAAATACGTAATCAGGAACGGGCACACAACATAGTCTGACACAGATCTCGTCAGCGGCATCGACACCCCCATGATGCGGAGGAGATGACGAGCAGCCAACGGTAGAGTGTCGATCTTGCACGGGCCCAAATGGTTGGGTGAGGATGAGTGGAACAAGGCCGACTCACCAATTGGGGTTATATAGGAATATGCGACTTCTGCATCGGCTGGGGTCGTCTGCATGGGCTGCATACTGGCGTCTTCCATGTCTGGCGGCGCCTGGCAGCCGGACAGGGCGGGGCAAGGCTAGTGTCCGCGAAGCTGGGAGCCGACACTGGTACCAGTGCGGGCTGAGAAGCTGAAGGACAGCAGCAGAAATATAAGGAGATATTTTAGGCTGATGGCTCGTTGCACAGGGTCAGCCGCCAGTTAGGTGGCGGTGAGGGGCAAGGAGGGGTAGAGGTAGGTTAGGTACCTAGGTATGTAGGTAGATGAGTGAGCACCTTAGGTTAGGTAGGTAGGTAGGGAGGTAAGGTAAGTTCGGGTAGATAGGTAGGTTTCGAGGTTTATTCTCGTGTCTTGGTTGTTTTTTTTACGCCCACGGTGTATTTGGCAAAAGTATGTATTGGATGGGCAGGGGTTGTTGAAGTAGAGGGGTCAGATGTGCAGCACATGCAGTCGAGGTAAGGTAGGTAGGTAGATGCTTGCCTTGGGGGTCACAGATGGCATGGAAGTTGGGGGACCAATTTCCAGGTTGCAAATTGCACGACTTCCGGACCTCCATCTCACCAGCTCATGAGCATACAGTACCTCTACTTACGACTTGTGACGTGGGGCTGCAGTTTAGGCAACAATTTGATTTGCTAGGTATTGAGCAGCCCTGCTACTGTGACTACGGCGATCCGGACAAGCAAGTCAGCATGTTGTTGCCTCCCATCCTCCCATCCAAGGCGCGTAATGCTTTGGCGAAACAGAGGAGCGCATGAATATCACGCTGGTGGTGATGGACAGGTAGGTGGGTGGTACCGCGCGGAATTTCATCGATTAAAAATAGTGCCAGGCCGGCCTAGGCAGTAACCCCGCCTGAGCCCGCCCAAACCGATAGCTAAATCACGCTACACCAACTGGATGCGTGGATGCACCGGCGAACGACCGAACCACCGACTTCCAGCTCGGAAGCAGCCCTGGAACCGTAGACATCCCGCGTATTCATTTTTTTACTGCCTGGTCCATACATAAGCGAAAGTACTAGATACTTTGCCCGGATTCCTCCTTTGCGGCATCTTACGTGGGTTTGCAGCTTCTTTGTCAGTCTGCTTCACCTTGACATAGACCTACTGGTAGAACTACCAGGCCATCATGCAGGGCAGTGAGGGCAACCAGGCAAAGCCAATCAAACGAGCTGCAAACGTGTCCATTTTTTTTGTATATTTTTGGGGCCATCTGGACCCTCGATTCGATTTGTACCGTCACTCCCCCGTTATGGTCAAACCTTGCGAATTTGTTCCCGACTTCCTAGGACGTTCCGCATTTGTGTGCTCAGCTTGAAACCCGGACCCCACGTTAGCACGCAGTAAGTAACACGAATTCCGAGGTGGGGTTTCTTTCCGCTTTCCATGAGTAAGGTACCGCCCATGTCACAACCATTGGATATTTCCGATGCAGTTGGCTACCTTGACCTAGAGTGTAAGTTAGGTACCCTTCTTCGTTAGTTTAGACTTTCCACCGTCCCGGTGGGTTTGGTGATGTTTTAAAATACAATGTAATCAAGGTACGATCTCCGTTGATCCTCAGGGGAACTCGGGTATGGGCTCTACCTACGTACGATGCCTCCTATGATTTCCATCTCGAGTGCAAGTGCAGGGGGCACAATGCATCCTTGTCACTGAATTTGGTGGAGGTGACATGCTGGTGGCATGGATGTATGTATGTACAGTACGGATACATACAAAGGTACCTCCTGGCAAAATTTTAGCTCCCCCCAAATTTCTCCTCTCTTTTTTATATTTTTTTTTCCTGCTTCCACCTGTTCCCGTCATCAACAAGCCTGTGGGATGGGAGGAATAGGGAAAAGGTTCATAAGCTACCCATGCACTAACAAGCGCGCCCACTCGTACAACACACTTTCATGAGCAGGGGACTATTTCGCTAGCTTCCCCATCCGACTCCTTACACCCTTTACGGCGTGATTTTTTCGGAGCATTTTGCTGGTAGTATAAAGACAATTCCATCTCCCCAATGTCCTGCCCCTCCATCCTGTTGTAATGGCACGAGACATGCAAACTGCCCTTCAGCCAGCAGAGAGCTCCCAGCTTCTGCTCATGCTTGCCCCTTTGGCTCACCTCGTGCAGCTCATACTTCTCTCACGTCTCCTCCACTTCTAGTTGTTGCTCCAATTTATATCTCCACTGACCGCCACCGCCTCATCATCCACTCTCTCATTTCCAACCCTTTTTTTTTCTCTCCCCATTGCTTCAAAGTTCCGGCAAGCCCCGCCGCACTGACAACAGAGCACTGCGCCTGGCCCCAGCTCGCCTCGTCTGCGCCCTCTACCTCGAGGCCCTCCTTTCTTTTATCCCCCTTCGAACCCGAACGTCGCCTAGAGACATCTCGGCGGCAAGAAGCTGCACCTCAGAAGAATCTCTTGCCCATCTCCCGGCTGACGTGTGAATCTTCGACGGCAGTGCTGGGCCCCCACATCAAAATCCGCACCCTCGCCTACAACCCCCTTTTTGGGAAGCCACCGTTGTTTCCCTGTAACTCGGATACTCCACCGGCATCCCCGGCCGAATATCAACGTACCTTGTCACCAGTCATCGCTTTGTGGCCAACTGAATCCCATCCAGCAGCTGTACCGACCATGCCGCTCATACCAGTCTAAATTTGGCAAATCCCTTTTTATCCTCCGCCTGCCAGGCACCCCCAGACCCGCGAAATACCCGTTTCCGCGGCACTGTCTCTCTTTCGCACTCCTCCTCATCAACACTTGGATTTCTCGGCCGGTTGCAGGATGGCAGCCAGTAACGGCCATCGTTCGATGGAGTCTCGGACAGGTCGCACCAAGCAACGTGAGTTGATCCCTGAGAACAGAAGCCGACCAAGGAAGAGGGGGGAAAGACAAGCAAGGCTCAGGCTCTAGGATGTGCTTCGGAGAACTGGTGCTCTCTACTTCTTGCACTTTCGGTGAAACTGACTCGGTTGCCCTGCAGGTTACAACACAAAGGGCGAACGGCTGGTTGCTGGGGTTGTTCCCTTGACGGAGGATAAGAAATTTGTCATGCTAATACAGTCCACCCGGCGGAAAGGCTGGGTGTTGCCAAAAGGAGGATGGGAGACAGACGAGGAGTGCACAGAAGCTGCGATCCGTGAGGCATGGGAAGAGGCCGGAATCCTGGTCCAGATCGACTACGATCTGGGCGAAATCACAGAGTCACGGCCCCCCAAGAAAAAGTCGTCATCCTCCAAGGATAAGGAGGCCCACAAGTCGCTCTACCGCTTCTACGAGGCTACCGTCAAAAGTGAGGAGTCGGATTGGCCCGAGAAGGACAAGCGCTTGCGGACGTGGATGACCTACCCCCAGGCGAAAGAAGCCCTCAAAGACCGCCCGGAATTGCAGACCGCTTTGGATAGGTCAACAATGGAAAGGTAGCCGACGTGCATGCTGCGTCGAGGGCCGAGGGTCGAGGTTGTGGAAGTAGCCCCTCGCTCAAGCCGCAGCTCTGCAGACTTTGGAACACTGGGCCACTGTTGAATCCGCTCCCTGTATCATGTAATCCGAGGAGCATCATCCAGAGATATCTTCCTTCCCTGTCGCGGATGAATACCCACATCAGGTTGAGCTCTTAGAATCGGGGCGTCTGCTCTTTGCATCGGCGGTTTATGCTTCGCTTGGGAGTTTGGAAGGTGTTGAGACTCTCGCTACGGTTTTGTTTTATTTCTCCTTGTCACACCTCCCTGCTACAAAAAGCCAGCGGCCGCCAAGCATTCAGCTCCGGAGAGCCTACCTGTCATCGCCATCGGACGAGGAATGGGTGCAGCATGTGGCCGTTCCAGCATTGGACAATATAGCGTCACATGGCTTATTTGCTCTACCCGTCCTGATTCTGTTCAATTAACCGAGACATTCGCGCCGAGTGGGGTGGCTGGCCGGCCGGCGTCTTATAGAAACGGAAAAGCGCGCAGGGCTCTACATGGTTGAAGTTGCGCCTGCTCACGATTGCAACTCCCGTCTTTGGCATTTGATGCTTTATTTTCGTTGCCCGTCAACAGACGGGGTGGGGGATGCTTTGCTCGCTGGCGGCCTGGAGTATAAATGGATAGATAGACCATGTCACAGAACACTAGAAGACTAGGATGAGAAACGATGATAATGACCCCGTCCCCGCCGACCTCGATACATCTCGTCAACTTGCCGTACCTCATACAGTTAAGCTGACGATGGCGTGGTGCTGACTCCAGCTCGGAGGTTAACTGGTCGGTTGTGTTACAGGTTGGGAGTGCAACCCAGGTGGCCGTGGACCTCACGGACAACCACCCCTGAGCTCTTACCTGCGCCCTCTATTTACTAACCTCTAGCACAGCGCTATATCCGCACTCTTGAGGGAGATAAGCTTCTCCCAAGACCGCCAAGCCATGCCACTCGATAGCCAAGCAACAGGCAACAAGCCGCTTCGTCGGGTTGCCCAGTCTGCAGCAAAGGCGCAGCAGTTCCGGCCCAAGATAAACACACGACTTCCCGGGCATATGGCCCGTCTTCCGCCTTCCGTTCTCCCCTCCGCTGCCTCCCACATTGCTGCTACATCCGCCATTCCAACACAAACCAATCAACAGATTAGAGTGCAGGGGAACTCTAAAGGGGTAAACCCATTTCGGGGCTGACTAGAGGCGCCCCACATCCGTTTGTTTGGCCACGGCCTCAGAATACCCAACCCGGCAGGAAGATGCCGGCCCTCCACTTGGCTTTCAACGCCTCTGGCACACCGGACGTCGACGCGGGCAGTATTCCGGCAGTGCTCATCAATACGGCTCTCCTCTGGGAGGACTACATTCCCAAGTATTACTTCCCACATGCGAGTCAGGGTCGAAGAGCCAAATGCCATGGTGTAGATATTCTCATCGATGGCAGGACTCAAAGTCCAGTTCTTAGTTTCTGTAGCTGGCTCATGAGGCCGTAACCGCCGTAACCCTTAGTCTCCGCGGCGGACATGTCAGCATCGCCGCCGCTGCCTTTCTTGGAGGTGTTCCATACATCTGCCTTGTCTCCGTCTCGCCGGGAGGAATGCTCGGCTTCCTTCATCAAGTCCCGGTGTCTGTCCTCAACCATCTTTGCAAGGCTCTCGATGAACCTAGTCCGCCCCTTCTCCTCTGCCGTGCCCTTCCATACCTTGGCAAGATCCTTCAGCTCTTCGATCCGGCGCGCAGCGTCCTCAATCCCCTTGATCGGGTCCTCACGGTTGTCGAGCAGTTGTGAGATCTCGTCCCTCAGCTTCCGCAATACCTGCTGGCCTTTCTCCTCGGTGCTGTGCATCTCCGGTCCCGTGTCCGGGGCAGAGACGGAGAGGAATGATGAGCTGACCGACAACTCCGACGGCGGGAACACAAATTCCATGGAATCGCCAAAGGTCTTGATGACAGAATCCAGTCGGGACCGCACGAGTGTCAGTGTGCGTAGTTGTGTGATGTGGGGCGGCTCATTTGGTGCCATAGCTTGGGAGGGGCCGTCGGATGCTGCCTCGCTCATGGGTGCAGCAGAAACTTGTCTGTGGGATTCGGGACCCCCAGCAGTGCTTGAAGAAGGCTTTGTGTCTAGGCCATTCTGTATACCGCCAGGTACAAACCTGGAAACGTCGGCTTCCAAGCTGTCTGTCAGGGCCTCGGCTAGGCCCAAAGTCTCACCTCGAAGTAGCTCGACCTCGTAAGCCAGGCGGCTCCCACTCCTCATGATATCATCGGTGAGCTGTGTGAGTGTTCCTGTAAGGCGGGTGGTGTGTGCGTTGAGTTGTGACAGCAAAGTCTGGGCCTGAGCCGACAGCTCTGATAAGGGTACAGCTCCTTGGCCTGGGCGACCTGGCGTCTGAAGGGGTGCCAAGGTGGCATTGAGATGCTCAGTAGGGTCGAAGGCCGGATCTACAAATCCTTGCAAGAACGGATCGGCCAGATGTGCTGATTCCACATGTCTGACTTGTCTGGCTTGCCTGGACTGCTGCCGAACATGGAGACCAAGAGTCTTGGAGCCGCCTGCTGTCGAGGAGCTTCTGTTCTCCTGGCTTTGGCCAGCTTTTGCATCCCAGGCCATCACTGCAGAGCTATGTCTGGACCCTGAGCAGAAGAGCCCTCGAAAGATTGTATCTGACTTTGGATGCCACGATGGAAGCCAAAAGCTGGGTTGCTGACATGAGGTTCATCTTTGGAGGCATCTGGTCCGTGCGTTGAGAGAAGCATTGACCAATCAAAGGTGTCATTGAGTAGGTACCTCGGTGCTGTCTTGTTTTCGGGAGGTACGTACCTATGACAAGTCAACACCTGGAAACTCACCTCCTCCGGCAACCTATTACAGGCCGAGATTGGAATCAAGAACTGTCAACTTTTTGGCATTTCATACTGGGTACCTACTTGGGTAGTTTATGATCTTTGCCTGCCACTGCTTAGGCAGCGTCTTGTCCACTTTATCATGCCAACAGCAAGTGAAAAGGTCAAAACCCCAAGCCCAACTTTGCCATCAGCTCTATCGTCTTTGCAATCATGATCTTGTAATCATTCCTACCCGGTGTTGGTGTTGTGAATAGTAGGTCGCCCTTCACAACTGGTTTCCCCAATGTGATGCGCTGGGCCAAATATTCAGATGCTGTGATATTGGGCGAACGCACTCGCAAGCCTCCTAAGAGCAGTTGCGACCTGTTATATTGTTGCTACGAAGGCCTCGAATTTGTGACTGTTGTCGTCAATAATTTGTTTGAGGGCCTAGAAATTAGTAGACACACATACCCAAGTGGGCTAAAGGTAATGTGAGCGTTTCGCTTCAGCTTGTTGCAGGCCAATCTGGGCTATCTGCAGTCAAAGAAGTAGGTCAAATGCTGGTGCATATGGCTGAAGCAATGATTCTCATGCAGTAGTGGAAACTTTCGGCCTTGACTCGTTCTGGGCTAAAGCTCCTGCACTGAGCCTCGAGTCTTGCCTTTTCATGCTCGTTCGCTGTTGCCCATTCACTTCATTGACCTAGGTAGGTACCAACGTACCTTAGGTAGGCACCGGTATCTATCTGCCACCTTCTCGACTCACGCTTCCACTTCCAATACCCCGCCTAGCAACCATCGCAGCCACCATGAACGTCAAGAAATTCAAGGCAGATGTCACCGCAGCTGCTGCCCACTTCAGGGGCGTTGCAGTTGGTGTCCTGGACATTTGCAATGGAGAATCGGAAGGCGAAGTGGTTGTCACTTTTCAACACCCCCATCTTTCAAGTCCTATTCACATTCAGGCCGTTGCCCAAAGCCTCTCCAAGTACCCTCGTGGCAACAGCTATATGCTATTCACTACGTCTCCCGATGTTCCCAATATTGTCATAGACGCCTTGGTTCGGGTTAAGGACTACCTCTTCGGTGCTAGGGTTATGGGAGTGGTCACCATCCTGGCAAAGTCACTGAATGCTGCTCTTGAGCCTTCCTCAGACTCTCTGGAAGCAATCCTGGAGGACTACAAAAGCTGGGACGACAAGGAAGACCAAGAAGATAAAGAAAGTACCGAGAATGTCGACAATGATGATGCCGCCGACGATGATGCCGACAATGACGCCGATAATGACGGCAGCTTTGAAGACTTCAGTGACGACGACTTCGGTGACTTCGGTGACTTCAGTGAAAGCAACTTCAAAGACAGCAACTTTGAGGACTCCAGTGACGATGAGAATTTTGGCCTAAATTCAAGGCCATCTTCTCCACAGCGCGAAGACTTGCTGCCACGGATGAAACATGACCTTCGAGAAGTGAGGGCTGCGGGCTACAAGATTGGCTTGCTAGATGGGCTTGGGCGACATGCAGATGACGGCATCATATCTATCGCCAGACGAGTCAACCAGTTGGAGCTATCTGAAGACGCCCTCAAGGCATGGGACATAAGAGATGCCAACTATGTTGTCCTTCTCATCCGATACGAGGGACACTATCTCCCCCTGGAGACGCTCCTCGAGCATCCAGTGCCTGGCTCCAGAGTTCAGTTTCGAATCGGAATATGCAACCAGTACAAACCATCCACGTCGAGTGCTTTGGCTGCAGTCGCCGACTTGTTCCACGCCACCACGTCAAAGGTTGGAGCGCATCATGCCACCACGTCGAAGACTCCAAGTTCCAAAGCTAGGGATCAACCTTCCAAAGCTGAAGGCGGCGACTTCCAGAACATGTTCTTGTCAAAATCCCTTGACACTTTCATGGGCGAAAGCCTTGTCCCTCTCCTCAAGCTGAGAGAGACAATGGACCTTTCTTGGGATGGAGCTAATGAAACGCTCATCGCCAACAGAGCTTTGTCATTCGAACCCCGTCCACGTCAGCCCCCAGGTACACAGCCACAGCCACAGGGAAGCGGACAAGGAATGGAACAGAGAAAGGCACTGGGAAGCGTGCTACCAAAGGAAAAGGCAGAAGACGAATTCACTGTCCTTGTCAGCGACCACCTTTCCGAATCTGCCACCCAAGAGCGAAGCCTCCCCCTGGTTGCCATGCAATTTGCAATGCACTACTTCGTCAGGTGCCCAGAGTTTTGCCTGAGATGCCACCGAAGGCTTGACGACAAGTTTGACGCCATCATGCCCTACGTCTGCTCCAACTCCCTCTGTCTGTTCCAGTACTTGACTATGGGCCTTGGTCCAAACGTCGAAAACGATATCATCAGAAAACCGGTTGTGGTTGATCTCCTCATAAGCTTATTCTATGCCAGTATCCAACGCCGAGATCAGCTCGCCCGTCTGAAGAAGCATGAGGACCCAGCCATCCGAGACTACCCAGTTGGATTGCAACTTCGAGTGCCAGCGCTGTTCAGCCCTGAGGTTGCCTTGCACAAGCCCATCAAAGTCAAGGTAACAGCCGACCCAACAGTCTTCTTGGTAGAGCAAGCCGGAGACCTTGGTCGCCTATTCGTTAGTCAATGGGTTGCCTTTCAACGCTCTGGCGACAACATCGACTCCAAGGAGAGAATCTCCCATGCCCTCATTATTGGCGTCGACCACGACAAGCTTTCGGTTACTATGCAGGTCATGAGCCACTCTAGTAGTCATCTGTCGATACCAAGCTACACCAAGGACGGCGAAGTTGAGCTATACCCATATGAGCTGGACTGTGACGTGTTGGATGACTCCTCCAAGTCCAGTGCCATGTCCTTATTGCTCGGCACGCTCCCTTCGATACGAGCGATCCGTTCGTACCTCACCAGCCACCCGCATGTCACATTTCGATCCTATAGCAGGCTCTCGCCGGCTGCCGCCACACTTCTCCAATGGATTATATCATCCAACCGATCCTGTATTCAGGAAATCGACTCATCCAGAGCTGAGCGTATATCGGGGATGGGGCCATGGATCCAGTTTCGCTTTCTAAGCGACAAAGAGGTGCGGTTCAGTCGAGCCCTCCAGCAGGTTGCGGCAAGCGGGAAGCTTGGTGCGACTCCTACCATCTTCGCCTGGCACGGAAGCCCCCTTGAAAACTGGCATAGCATTCTCCGAAATGGTCTAAACTACAGGGATACTCGACACGGCCGCGCCCATGGTCACGGGGTGTACTTCTCTGACCGCTTCAACGTGAGCACATTGTACACCAACGAACACGACCGGACATGGCCAAACTCGGAGATCAACATGAGTTCGGCCGTGAGCCTGAACGAAATCATCAATAGTCCACAGGGGTTTCTTTGCCAAAAACCTTGCTACGTGATCCCCCAGCTCGACTGGCATCAATGTCGTTATTTGTTCGTAAGATCAAACAGGCTCGATTCTCAGGGGGACGCAGATGATCCCCCGCCCAACGTGCCGATCCTCGAGCAGGCTCCTGGCCTGGAAGTTACTGGACCTGAGAATAGCCACATACAGATCCCAGTAGCAGCCATGCCGCTACGGAGTGTTCCCGCACTTGGTCAGACGTGGTCGAGGAAAACGGTGGTCCGCAGCCTAGCCGAGCACAGTGAAGACGAGGATAGCGAGGATCTGGAGTTCATCATGGACGAGGAGAAGCAGCCAACCTCCGAGGACCAACAGGCACACGAATCAAGTGCTAAGACAGCCCTTACTGGCTTTAAACCCGGCGACCTGGACCTTGCCACTCTTCCCCGCCTGGAACCACCTGCGTGGGCTACAGCCACGGCCACTAGGGTCATGGGACGCGAGGTCAAGAGGTTGCAGAAGTTGCAAGCAGGGACACCCCTTCACGAGCTGGGATGGTACATCGACTTCGACAAGTTGACAAACATGTTCCAGTGGATTGTCCAGTTCCACAGCTTCGACCTCGCCTTGCCACTGGCCCGGGACATGGAGGAGGCCGGCGTCACCTCCGTCGTCATGGAGGTCCGTTTCGGCAAGGAGCATCCCCTGACTCCGCCATTCATCCGCGTGGTGCGCCCCCGCTTCCTCCCCTTCCTCCAGGGCGGCGGCGGCCACGTCACCGCCGGAGGAGCCATGTGCATGGAGCTCCTCACCAACACGGGCTGGACGCCGGCGAACAGCATGGAGAGCGTGCTCTTGCAGGTGCGCATGGCACTGTGCAACCTCGATCCTCAACCCGCCCGGCTGAATCAGGACATTGGGAGAGGGGACCAGAACGAGGACTACGGCATGGGCGAGGCCATCGAGGCATATGTTCGCGCCGCAAGAGCTCATGGATGGGAGGTCCCGCGTGGCCTGATGGCTTCTATTGGGTATCCACGGTAGCCCGACACCGGGCGCTGAGATTGGATGAGCAAGGAGAGACTGCGAATACGGCAGTGTTGGCGCCTTTTGCTTCGTGATGAGGTTGGAAACCGGCGACACCTTTCCAAGTAGAGAAGGCTTGCTTTGCGGTTTTGCGCGCCATGGATTCATCAGCCTCGTCAAGGACGGGGCATTAATCATGATGGACAATGACATGAATGTCGTAATGATAAACGACTGTAAAAGTTTAGATCAAGAACCTAGACACAATACTCTTATTCGCAAAGAAAGGACCATATGATGCTGTCGAACCCTGCAGGGGTTGAGTTGTGATGAATTTGATGTGGCACAAACGTCATGCAGGAACCAACCAGTGGTGACAATAATAAGGGGCATTCGGAAGATATGACGGGCGGCTACCCGAGACGAGACGACTATAATGTTAACATCAAAACCCAACAACAATTCCCCCACGCCCCTCAAAGCCTCAGATATCCATGCTCCGCTCATCTCTCCCCGTGAACACCTTATGCAGCCGCTTGCTGAGGGCCTGCCCGACGCGCCTATCGCTAAACGCGCCGTCCTTGTTCGCGCTCTTGCGCAGCTCCTCGAGGGCGAGGGGCCCCCTCTCCCCGAGGCCGCGGACGAGGGCCGGGACGGAGGGGAACTCGGCGGCGATGCCGTGGGCGACGGGGGCGGTGACGCGGGCGACCTCCTGCAGCAGGCGCAGGTACGTGTCCCCGGCGCCGTCGCCGGCCCGCACCTGGCCCGTCTCCATGCAGAAGGCGGCCGAAGCGGCGTTGGCCGAATCGCGCTGCCGCCGGTAGGGGGCCGTCGAGACGTGCTGCGTCAGTATGGCTATCTGGCGGGCCGTCTCGAGCGCGAGGGACGTGTGGTGGATGAGCGCGCCGTGGATGACCTGGAGGTCTAGGAGCGCGTCCTCGATGGCGTCCTCGTCGACGTAGGCGGCGGCGGAGCTGGGTTTCTTCTTGCGGCGCGAAGGTGCCGGTGGCTGCTGGCTGCTGCTGGGTGGGCCGGCGGAGGAGGAGGAGCAGGAGGAGGGAGTATCCTCTGAGAGGCCGCTGCGGACAGCCGAGACGAACTGGCGGTTGCGGATCGTGCGGTTCTTGCGCATCCAGGGCGTGAGGCCTTCGATCAGGTAGATGAGAACATGATCACGGAAGTGCTGCCGCATGCCGAGGACATGGGCCTTGACGTCGGTGCCATCCTCCTTGAGAACGAGCTTTACGAACTCGGCCGCGTGGAGGATGACAATTACATGATTTTCAGGCTCAACCCGCAAGGGAACGGGCTCCCAGTGATCCAGTTCCTCGTTATATATGGATTTGACCTTCCGGCTCCATTTGACGACGTTGTCCACAGGGCTCGTCCATGACTGGTACTCCACATCCAGATCCTTGAGCAGCGTCTCCGCTTGTAAAGTGGTGGCATGAGGAAGGCTGGCCGGGAGATGAACTAACATCTCCTTTGAGGAAAGTCGCTTATCTGTCCGGACTTTGTTAACTTCGGCCAGCGCGGCGGCTCTTTCCTTCTCGACGGCCCGTTGTTGTTTCTCCTGCTCTTTCTCTTTTTTCTTTCGCTCCTTTTCGGCTTCCCGTGCTTCTTTCTCCTTTGCTCTCTCCTCAGCACTCTTCTTGGGCCCGGATGGGGCTTTTGGGGCTCTCTTTGTCTTGGGCATTGATCCCCGAATGAGATTGGGGTTTTGCCTTCGGGTTCTGACCTTGGTGATATCGGGGAACTCGTCTTCCGAGACCGAGGTGCCATCCTCACTTGAATCGTCGAGCGTAATGACGTCCGACACGGTTCGACGCAGTCCGCGAGGAGGACTATCAGTTGGGCCATTGTCATACCCTTGTTGTGGCGCAGAACTGGATATGGGATCCCACAATGCCGACCGTTTTGGTGATCGAGCAAGCTGAGGTTGATGGTCGTCGTCGCGGAGGGTATTCGTCACGAGTTTAGAAGCAGCATCTTCGGTTCGCCTATTGCCCCTGTGTGCTGGCGATGAACTGGCAAAGAGACTGCTGTCCAGGAAATCTAGAGACTTGTTGGCGGGTTTTGCCCCTATGACGGGAGGATCCGAAAACTCGATGGGGTCCAGGTCGGCGACGGAGTTCAGTCTCCTCAAAGGACCTGGTTGAGAAGTGTTCCTGATAGTGGGAAGCTCCGTTGATGACAAGATGTCTTGGCCCTTTGAGAGCCGAGGCTTCTTCCTCGCACGCGAGTCAAACATAAAGGAGTCATTATCCCCATCAAGATCCCCAGTCGTATCAAAATCGTCTGATAGAAACAAGGCGCTGACCCTTGTTGAATCCAATTGGCCCTTTCGGTTGGTTGCCTGTACTCGTCCCCTGGCTATGGGTTGGTTCCAAGAGTCCCGATCCAGAGTCTCGTCTGTGAGATCAACGAAGTTAAGATCTGGAACCCGACTGTTTCCCCCAATTTCGACTTTCCTTGACTGAGATAGTGAATCTTGCGGCCATGATTGAGCCGCATAAAGGGGACTGGACAGAAGATCAATAACTTCAACGGGCATCGTTTGATGGGCTTAGGTGACGAAGTTCGCGGCTAACGGGCAGAGGAATGCGAACGGATGAGCCCCAATTGCTGTCTACTCCCGCTCCAACATGGCCGTATGGCACGAGTATGATTGGCGGTTCCTTTGACAGGTAAATTGGGTTTCCAGCGCGACGCGGGCTCACGCGCCAGGCTTTAACCAACAGGCGCCAAGTGGACGGGTTCTCATGTGATACCCTCGTGCCATCCACGTGACATGATGAATAAGTTGGTAGTTCCCGTCTCGCTCTCCAGTCTTGCTCTAGTCCCCACTCCAGTCTCGCAGCTCTTCACATCTCGCTCTTAAGCGCCCGTTCAGTTTGGTCCTGATAGAGAATTTGCATAATTTGGCAACCCGTTCTCTCTCGCCACCCTTGGAGGAGAGAAGCGATGCATTTTTTGTGGCACCGATATAGCCGGCATCCACCCTGTACTCTGTACCAAGGCTGGTTGAAACGTGCTGGCTTCACGCCACCTCTTGACTAGCCAGGCGTCCACATCTTGTTCGTTTCTTGGATGCGCACTGATGGAAACGGTGGAAATAGACAAGGATGGAAGTCTCGGAGGTTGCCTACAAATCAGGATGCAGAGGACATACCGACCATACTCCGTACAAATATCGAATGGCGGGGACCGCGGGGTATGTTCATGCATGTGGCAAGGGAATGCCTCCAATCCTCGAGCAGTGTGTGTAGCTGTCCGGAGATAGAGTTACCCTTTTTAACGGTAATGTGACCGTCTACTGCGTATTGGTCCACGACCCATGTAGGACAATTGTCATGGCGTGCAGCGGAGCAAGCGGAAGTCTGAACAATCGCAGACTGAACCAAGTTCATGCCTCTACATACACGATTAATAGATATGAGGCTCGTGCGGCCAGCCTCAGCAGCTTGGTTTCTTGCGACCGCCGTTATTTGAAGGTTTCGGGGCCATGCTGTCTGCCGGACATGGTCGAGATCATGCCTTGTGCTTGCAGGATGTTTGGTCCTCTTGTTGAACGTGATGGTGGGTCATGCTCCCCACTTAAAAGAATCCAGGATGAAAGGTTCCTTGGTCGGGCGAGAAGGGGCGAGACCTCAAGAATCCGGAGTTCGTTTTCGAGCTTCTAGTTCACTGCCGCCGCCGTTGAGCGATCGGTTTGCCTCTACGCCGTCACAAAACATGCACCTGGACGCTCCTTCCAACTGCTGAACCCAGCCTGCAGCACCGACGCCAGAGTTCTCCTCTTGTCCAACATGGCAATCAATGTGATAAGACCCGGGGATTGTATATGAGAGTGGCTTGGAGTCGATGGATGAGATAACTCTCATGTCAGGTCTTGGGATATATAATTGCCGTGTCGCTCTGTTGGGCCAGAGACGCGGTCAGATATGTTATCAGAGGCTGAATGAAGCCTTGAAGAACCATCTCGATCGATATGTCGTGCAACGATGTGTCACGCGAATGCAACGCTCGGACAGATCACAACAAGCCAAAGTGGCGAAGACACATGGCTCTGCCGATCCTTGGCTACTAACACAGATCAAGCCAAGCCCGCTCTTCGTCTGATGTCTCGGACTACAGAGGATTCGGGCGGCCCGGAGGCCGTTGAGGGAGTCAAGAGTTGACCATCGATGTGCCGGCAAGAGTGTGACTCTCGACTAAATATCACAAGTGTCAGCTCAGGACTGGAGGAAGGATGACCCCCATACGCAGTAGCCAGTGTAACCAGCTGCATGGGTTGTAATCGATCAGCCCTCTCCCGACCATTGATGGCTTCTTCTGGTTGGGGCTGAGAATACTAGAAGGTCTATCGGGAGTCAATACGCTTCATGTTCCTCCTGGTTCTGGGGCGTAAATAGGTATGGCACTGGGAAGCCTGACTTTGTTTCTCCCTCGCTGCGGGAGAATTGCTGCGTACAACCTCCCGTCGTTGAGAACTGTATCCAATGGTCTCCTTTGCTCCTTTGTGGGTGTGCCGTTCAGCAGAGTTGAAGTCAAAGCGCGCCTGCGAAGAAAGACTGTTGGACACATGGATGGAACCATGGGTCCCCATGATGAGGTACTCTAATGTATCTCTATTGCTCTCCTAATGCCTGTAATGCCAGCCAACTGGGAGGTACCTCTAAGTACTACAGAGCACAAGGATGATGCCTGCTTATAGGCGCTAGCCCCTTTATGTTCTTAGGTACGGATCCGTACCTAGCTAGGTATATCAAGATGGAAGATCCGACCTGCCCTGGCTCATTGGACAGGGAGGCTCCAATGACCTCTCGCCTCATCTACTCCTTTTTCTGAACTCCTTTTTCCGCCCTTTTTTTTTTTTATATGTCCCCCCTCACCCCTTTTCCTCTCTCCCCAACCCCTCTTTCTCTCGTAGTAGTACCTTGGTAGTGACTGTGTGTCTCACCCTGTTGCTCAGATCTCCAACTTTTTGGGACCCTAAGGTAGGTAACTTCAGGACTCGAGTGGTGAGTAGAGTAGGTGGTTAATTGCAATTGTGGGAAGTGGTTTATACTTGGGTACCTACCGTGGTGGTGTACTATACTTGCATCTTTGCACGGGCATGCAAAGGTTCAACATTAGGTACCTTTCCTGGCTGCGCAGAGCCCGCCTTCGAAGCTAAGGTGGTATGTTCCGCCTTGGTGTCATTGCACGGCCTTTTCTCTTTTTTTCTCCCTCATGGCCGAGCACCTGAGGTGCTTTCTTCTATTTGTATCTGCCCCGGCCTCTTTGCTTTCTCTTTTTAGCTTTTCGTCAGATGTTGTGGGCCAACGTCTGGCACAGTTCGTCCCACTTTTGTCTCCCTCTCTCCCTCGCGCCGACCCGACCAGTAAACTTGACATTTTAGGACCTGAACTAGTCTCCTCTGAGAGGGGCCTTATCCTTCAGGGACGCGTTTGTAATTTGCGGGACCCCTGTCAGCGCAATCAAATAAACACGCAAAATCCCAAACACTGGGGGCCACCCAGCATTTTCCCCAAAAATACCCGCGCGACGAGACACGACTATTCTCCATTCTGGAACCCATATGCCGCTGGCGGGAGCATAATCCCTCTCGCGGGGCCCTTTAATTCCGCATACAGCACACATCAATACAGCATCCTATCCAGCCTGTTTGGCCTACCCGTCATTGTTTTGCCTGCCACTGTGCTACAAGCCGGCCCGTTCCCGCGATTCCAGTTCCCAGTTTCCAGTTTCCAGTCCTGACAGTCACCCGCTTTTGCTCTTAAGGAGGTGCTGCCCCCTTTCCCGCCCTCCATGGCAGGCTCTCCGCCAGAATCGCCGGGGACACTACCTCCGCGACCACTAAGCGCCATGGTGAGGGCCGCGCCGAGGAGTAACAGTCGGATGAGCATGAACAGCAAGGCCGGTGGAGGAAGCAGGGCCTCGGATGAAGATGCCAGGACTTCGGTTAGAGTTGGTGAGTGCCCGCCTCGCTTTCCCCCGCCTGTACTGCCGAAGAGGGCACCTGGAATCCTGACAATCTATTTCCAGCCGTTCGCGTTCGGCCGCCACTGAATCCCGAAGACCCCGGCTACGATCTCATCCCCCAGCGATTCCAGCGGTCTATGGTCCAGGTCACGTCGAGTACAAATCTGGCAATCGACGCACCACAAGGGAAGAAGCTCTTCGTCTTCGATAGGGTTTTTGGGCCCGATGTGGATCAGGAGGGCATTTGGGAATACCTCAACGACTGTGTCAACTCGTTTACCCAGGGATACAATGTTTCTCTCCTCGCTTACGGCCAGTCGGGCGCGGGGAAGTCGTATACTATGGGCACGTCTGGCCCTGCCGAGCAGGGAGATCTGGAGGTTATGGGTACGTGGCTTTGCACTTGCTCGCAGCATTTGGTGCTGCCAGCTAGGGCTTCCAGTTGCAGAGAAAAGGCTAACCATATCGTGCTGTCTAGGTGTTATCCCGCGTGCGGCCACGGCACTTTTCGAGAGGCTTGATGGGCCGAAAGGCAACCCCAACCGTAATTCCATGTCTCAGCTGCGGACCCCAGCGAGATATTCTATGCAACCTGCAAGCCTGAAGGGAGAGAAGAACTGGACTCTGAAGGCGACATATGTTGAAATCTACAACGAGCAGCTCCGGGACCTCTTGATTCCGGACCATATCCCGTCGCATGAGCGAGGCAGCGTGACGATTCGCGAAGATGTTAAGGGCAACATCATCCTCACTGGTTTGCGACAAGTCGAGATCAATTCGGTGGACGACTTGATGAATGCGCTGAATTTCGGCTCGACGCTGCGGCAGACGGACGCGACTGCTATTAACGCAAGGTCGTCGCGATCGCATGCCGTCTTCAGTCTCAATCTGGTGCAGCGGAAGAACAAGCTGCAAACGACGCAGGGCCCCGAAAAACGCTTTTCGGTACCTCTCGAGGCCATGTCGGGGACCGAAACATGGGTAACCACGGACAGCAAGCTGCATTTCGTGGATTTAGCCGGCAGCGAGCGTCTCAAAAACACCGGGGCGCAGGGTGAGCGGGCCAAAGAGGGCATCTCAATCAACGCGGGCTTGGCAGCGCTCGGAAAAGTCATCTCGCAGCTTTCGTCGCGCCAGGCCGGCTCGCACGTGTCATACCGAGATTCCAAGTTGACACGCCTCCTCCAGGACTCCCTCGGCGGCAATGCGATTACCTACATGATCGCCTGCGTGACGCCGCCGGAATTCCACCTCAGCGAGACGCTCAACACGGTGCAATATGCCCAGAGGGCCCGAGCCATCCAGAGCAAGCCGCGGATCCAGCAGGTCGAGGAGGGTGACAAGCAAGCCATAATTGATCGGCTGAAGGCCGAGGTGGCCTTCCTGCGTGAGCAGATCCGGAGTGCGGAACGTGGCGGGGGTGACAGACGCATGCTTGCCGCAGGCGAGAGGTCCGAGCGGCAGAACGAGCGGGAGGTTGAGCTCCAGAACCAGTTACTGGACTCGCAGGAAAATTACACCACGCTAAGTCAGCGCCATGCGAAACTCATTGCCGAGATGGCTAAGGCTCGGGATAATGAGCTCGCCGAAAACGAGCAGCTCGAGCACTCCCTGGGCGATAGCGCAACGGAGCGGTTAAATCGGTCCAACAGCTTCGCCCAGGCCGTCGAGCAGGTCGTCCTGGAATATGAAAAGACTATCCAGTCTCTGGAACAGTCGCTGTCCAGCACCCGTACCACCCTGTCCAACACTGAGACGTCGCTTCTCGAGAAGGAAACTAAGTGTGCCTATACCGAGACCATCAACTCACAGCTCCAGGCGCGACTGCAGAAGCTTATGGACCGCGAGGCCAGTACCGAGAACTATCTTCACGACCTGGAATCAAAGTTGGATGGCCATACGTCCGGCGAGGAGAAGAATGCCACCATTATCTTGGAGTTGCGCAAGGAGATTGCGCGCGTACGAGAGAATGAGGCCACCTGCGAGGACTACATCTCCACGTTGGAGGAGCGGCTCGCCGAGGCTGACCAGGATGCTGAACTGATGCAACGCGAAATCGACCGCTTGGAGCAGGTTGTGGAACGACAGCGCAGCCTCGGGAAGCTGGATTCACTGTTGTACGAGCTCGACCATATCCAGCAGGACGCCAAGGCGCCCGAAGCCGAGCCTGAGCTCAATAACGGCACTACCCGACAGCGAGGTAACAGTCGGGGCACGGCAGACCATTCGCGCAGCCAGAGTCATGTCAGCCGTCACTCCCACAAAGAAGATGTCATCCTCGAGGGTGACGAGAGTGACGACGTGGACGAGGACACGACGCCGCTGGCTGAGGATGAGAGGGCCGCGAGAGAAGCGACACCGCAGCCGTCGCTGGAGACACTTGACGCGAGCCCAGAGGCTCCCGAGGACTACCCCGCAAGCCCTGCGCAATCCAGGTTCGTAGCCGACAAGCTTGAGACGATGACCCAGGAGCTTGTCCACCTCAGGGTCGAACATGAGACCACGCTCAACGAGTTCGATCTGCTCCATGCCAAGTATGACGAGGCTCTTCGAGCCCTCGCCGAGCTTCAGGACTCCATCGACGAGGCGCGCCATCCTAACCGCCAGCGCGATTCGATGCTGTCCGTGACATCCCCGACACAGACAAGACCCCCGTCCTACCTGTCCGACGCAAGATCGAGCGAAACAAAGGATGGAGGCCGCTACTCGTCATCGCGGTCGCTTTCTTCCGAGTTGTCATCAGCCATGGAATCCCCTGCTACCATGCTCGACAGTTCCGACGCCGAGACGGCCGTGCCCAACAGCTCGAACGAACATGACGCGAATGGCGGCGACCTAGCGGCAGAACTGAGTCGGTTGAAGTCAATGGCTGCGGCAAAGGAGTCGGCGGAGCAAGAGCTGGTCGAGAAGTATGCCGAACTGGAAAGAAAACACCACGAGACACTCGACGTCGTGGAGGAACTCAAGACCGAGGTTGCCAAAGCCCAGGCTGCTACTACAGAAGCCTCGTCGCCGAGGGGCAGTACCCCCGTAATCCGCCGCAAATCGAGCCAGAACGTCATGATCATCGACCGCGCACACCGATCCTTCGCATCTCTCCGCAACATTGCGAGCGAGAATTTCGAGGACCAACCCGATGTGATGCAGAACTTCGAACTCAACCTGAACGCTGCGATGCATGAGCTCCACGCCCGCTCGGAGAGGATACAGGAGCTCGAGGCAGACGTTGCGTCAGCCAGGAAGGAGATGGAGACAAAGATGACAATCATCTCGGGCCTGACTCGGGAACGCTCGAGCCTGAAAGCGTCTCCCATGGATATGGCGGTGGTGTCCAATTTGAGAGAGCAGCTTGAGAAGAATGAGAAGCAACTCCAGGAGATCCAAGAAGCCCGCGCCGCCCGCGAGAGAGAACTGGAGCTCGAAGTTAGCGAGTTGCGGAAATCATTGAACAAGTCGGCCGAACCCCTCGAAGGACAAGTCAACGACGGGACAGCCCGTGATCTGCCCCAGCAATACGAGGCCCACGAGAAGAAAATAGCCGAGCTCGAGTCAGAGCTTGCCAGCTGGGAAGCGAAGCACCAAACGGCATTGGAGAACATGCGTGCCGCCGAGACGGAAACGAGAAAGACGATTGAGGAACTCGAAGCCCAGCTCGCCCAGCTTTCCGAGTCCAAGGATAAGATGAAGAAGGATGGCGATGATGCCGAGGAGATGGAGACCAAGCACCAGAAGCTCGTCGGTTTCTTACGCAGCGAGATCGACGAGTACAAGGCCACCATCAACAGCAACGTCTTGAAGCTCGCCGAAGTTGAAGAACAGCATGCTGCAGCCAGGAATCTGCTCGACGCCGCATCTCGGGACCGGGATGCAGCTGCTGGCGACCTGGAGACCCAGAGACAGCTTGTCTCGTCGTTGCAGAACCAGATTGCTAGCCACGAAGAGGTTATCAAGACGCACCACGACAGCCTCGAAGAGCTCCGGGCCGCGCACGCGCACGAGATCGCCGAGATCGAGGCGTCTACGAAGCAAGAATACGACTCTCAATTGGCGACCATCATGTCTGAGCATGCCGAGAACGTGAGGGCGCTCGAGAGCGAGCTCACCGAAACCCGCGAAGATCTGATGAAGGTTGCCACTCAAGTCGCGTTCGCCCTGGGTCTCGATGTCAGCGTCGAAATGATCACGGAGCGCATTGACGACCTGATCGCTGACCAGAAAGCACTCAGCCAAGAGCAGAGGATGCGGGCAGAGCTCGAGGGGCATGTGAACGACTTGACAAATATCAATGACACCATCATGCGGGATTTGGAGGCCGTCAAGTCGGCCATGACGGAAATAATGTCGTCCGACGGCGAGCAGCTGAAGAGCCCATACCCGTCTGTAACGGAGCAGTTCTTGGTTGTGAAGAAGAAGCTGGTCGATCTGGAGACGAAGAACAAGAAGAACTCGCGCCTCGTCGAGGAGCTTGAAGACCAACTCCAGACCAACTTTGACCAGACACAGATGACCAACAACCGCTTGTCCACCCTGCAGACGGAGCGCAACGCCCAGCTCGATGAAGCAAACGCGGCTAGGTCGAAGCTTCAGTCGGAACTGGACACCATCAAAGAGGAATATGCCTCGCTCCAGGTATGTGCCATACGTGTCCCTTGGGTAGACTTTCCAAAAGACACCATGCTGACGCTCAGAAGGCCAAGTTTGAAAGCAGTAATTCGGTCGACGGGCCCCAACGTACCAACTCGATGAACTCGCATCTTCGCAAGAGCGCATCGGTCGCCTCCCTCCCATCTCCCCCGCCCGCCATCCCTCTTCCTCCTCTGCCCAGCACTTCAGGTGGCGCGCCGGCCGGCGTTTCAGGCCAGCCAGGTTCACCCACGGGCCGACCGGGAAGCAAGGACATCGCCATCTCCCAGATCCAGGAGGACCAGGAAGCACGCATCCGCACCATCGAGAAGCACCTGCATGCTGAGAAGCAGCTGACCCAGACTCTTGAGGAGGCCCTCACGGACCTGGAACACCAGCAGAACAAGATCAAGGCAGACTGTGACGCATGGCGCCGCCGATGCACTGATCTCGAGACCGAACTGAAGGACCTGAAGGAGAAGCCGCAGGATCAGCGGTGGAGCTTGCACCAGGTCGAAGAGGAGCGCAAGAAGCGCCGGGATGCGGAGATCGCGAGGGCACACCTCGAGGAACGCATGAATGCCATCTCGAAGAAGAAGAAGAAGGGCAGCCTCAACTGCTTCTAGAGGGGCGCTGGTTGGAAACCTTTTTGCTTCTGGTGTTGGGGCGGTCGTTTTTGGCTTTTGTGGTCGAAACTTGTCGACGGTTGCGTCTGGATTTTTCGGAATATCCCCTCCGGCCCATCTGCCACGGGCAGTTTTCTTGGCTTCTGATACCTACCATCCCAAAGCAGCAGCACGGCACGCGCGAATGGAGTTGATGGACCCTCCCTTTGTTTATTGAAAAAAGGCCACGAACACTTCTCAGACACGTGCGGGAGCATCACATACCGCTGGTTGGCAGCGTTTTCTTTCTTCACTACACGCATTTCGATTCTATTTTAATTCAGAGCAGACGAGCATGCTGACGACATACGGGGAACGAGAATGACGATGAGAGTGACGAGGAGGGAGACATGCTTTCGGCTACGAGAAGTGTCTGGAAGATCAACCAACCGGGCCGGACACATTCTCCCTTGTCGGCAATCTCATGACGTATCATATAAAAACCCCTTCCCCCCTTCCTTTCTTTGTGGCTAGTTTTGTGTGTTATAGGATACAGCACGGTCTCTTGCCCCTCGGCTGCGAGGCCCTATACTTTTTTATTCCGTTTGTCCCTTGAGGAGGAAAGTTCATGGCCATCGAGTTGAGGTGGAATACCTCTGGGTTGAGCTGGTTCGAGTGTCGGAAGATGAGAACGATCTGAAACAGGTTTATTTCTTAGAGCAGGCCAATTTCTAATGCCGAATTCTATGACCCAACGTGCCCATTCAATTGTGTCTTGATCCAAGTGACACGAGTTCAGCGCATTTAAGAAGTGCCTTCTCTAACCCCAAGTTCACATTATACGGATCCGTACTGGGAGACCAATGGAGATCATCAATCTATGGGAGAATATAGGTGCGTATTCAGATATAATGAATAGGTAGTGGATATCTCGAAGAAATGCTATGCTATGCTATGCTATCGAAGCTACCTAGAGGAACTATGTTCAGAGAATGCGGAGCCATGCTGTTAAAAACCTCCCACCCCGAACTCCTTGCTTGCTTGGTATGGTCGTCGCCTTCATTACTATTATCAGGACCGTGTTCATAACGGCGACTGGTTTGGCCCAGCCAACTCTTGGGGATCAACCCACCCCCCCCCCCCCCTGCGGAACGTCCGCTAGCCTGGCCTACTCAGAGGCCAGTTCTGGGCCTTCCCGGGCGACGGGCTATTCTTACTTATTGCCCCAAAGGGGCTCACCGTCCCGGCCCGCAGCCACGTGTCCAGGCTGGGAGGCAGGAACTTGGAAACCCGCTTTTCTCCCGGGCCCGCTGTATCGTCGTCACCGCCGCCGCCGCCGTCGGGGCTCGTCCCCCGCGACCCCCCCGCGAGGAACTCGTCCTTGTCCCGCGGGAAGAGGGTGAATTTCCCCCTCGGCGGCGTCCGGAGATGGAACCCCGCCCCACCGTCACCGCCGGGGCTACCGCTAGTGGCGTAGCCGATGGCGGTCGGGGCGACGCTGACCCTCGAGGCGGCCGGCACGGCCGTGGGCAGGGGCTCCTTGACGTCGGCGCCGAATCCGTCGCCGGCACGGGTCTCGTAGGCTCCCGGCTCGTAATAGTTCGCGCCCGAGGAAGACCCGGCGAAGGCGGGGTAGCCGATGGTGGTGGCCCTGCGGGAGAGCGCCGAGCGCCTGCGCTTACGGTTGCGCTTGTACCGGAGGACCAGCACGACGGCGCCGATGGTGAGGAGCGAGGAGCCGACGGTCGCGCCCACGACAGCCACGGCTGCCTGGGTCACCGACACGGCGGTGCCTTGGGCTTGGAGGATCTTGTTGTCTGCTTCGGCCTTTGGAGGTGTGGGTTAGTGAGAGGCAGCTCTTTGGGGCGGGGGAAGGGGGGGGGGGAGTCTCACCCTGACAGCCGTGGCGTCGGCCTTGGCCGCCTGCACCATGCTGGCGGCCGTGTCCATGATGCTCTGAGCGGAGACGCTCGCGGCGGCGATGATGCCAGCGGCGCTGGCGCCGGCGCTGCTGGTGGCGCTGGCCACGGCCGAGGCCATGGCCTGGCTGGCGCTGCTCTGGGCGGAGAGGACGGCCGCGTCGGCGGAGCGCGACGCCTGGTCGCGGTCCTGGCGCGCCGACTCGGCGCCGCGGCTGGCGGCGTCGGCGTCGGCGCGCGCGCTCGCGAGCTGCTGCTGCGTCTGGCTGAGCTGCTGCTGCACCTGCTGGAGGGACTGCGACAGCTGCTGCGAGGACTGCGACAGCTGCTGCGACGCCTGGCTGACCTGCCGCGACGCATCCGATATGGACCGGATCTGGGCCGACAGTTGCGCGATCTGGCCGTCGTCCTGCCGCCTGAGGACGGGTGCTGGTGTTATCTGGGCGAGGGGCGCTCGCGCGGCGAGGTGGGCAGGCGATGCATCGTCCTGCTGCCGCCGCGGGCGGTGATGGCTGTTCTCTCTACTCCCTTCCTCCCGCTTAACCTCCTCTGAGCTCAACGTCCACCATAGTGACACGGGTTCTGATCTCGCCTCTCCCACACCTCTCGGCACCGTCTCCCCGCGTGGTTGTTGTTGTTCGCCGTGCCTCGATCCGCCATTCGCCCAAGCACAGCTTGAGGAAAGAAGCAAAAGTAAGGAAATCTGGATTAAACGTTTCCTAGCCATGGCTCGGAGTCGCCGACTGGTTGGCTTGCTGCTACCTGCGGCGGGAAAATGAAAGAGAGTTTAGGTTGGAGATCATCTTTCAGCCAGCGGCAGCGAGAGAATAGGCAGAATCGGGAAAACAAAAAAGACAAACAGAGGAGAACGCGTAGTGGGCAGGTCCGGTCCATAAAAGAAGATCTTTCCAGCGCAGTCCTGGTAGGGAAAGGGATAAAGGGGGCGCCCACGATCGATCTCCCCCAAACCCATGGTTGTCTATGCCGGGGGTTTCTGACAGCCGGCTGGCGAGTGATCATGCTACCTTGCCTGGGGTTCCTGTCATGACATGAACTTCGCGCTTGTCCATCCAAATACCAGGGGAAGGGACGCGGAAGGCATGGTAAGCTGGAGGCCCAGAGTTGTAAGAGGTCGGCAGATCCGGCAGAAACGTCCGTGTGTTTGTCGGGCATTCCGGGCTGCAGAGTCTCCGGACCAGGTTGCGGGCCCCTGCTGCCCTCTGGCGGGACGATCCGAATTTTTGATTTGGCCAAACCGGGTTGTTGGCGCAACAACGAGCTTGTCTCACAAACTGAGTGCGAAACGCACGACTTCATGCGCTGCTCACCCAACCTTGGATTGGCTGCGCTGCCAAACAGGGCCTGTTTGTCTCATCACCTCTTTTCAGCCATGCGCGAACAAGGCCGATAACCTGGGTTTGAAGCCCCAGGAGCCGATGCCAAAGATTTTCGACTTCGCTTGAAGGTTGTTGATTTGACGCGCCACTGAAACTTTAAGATGCCAGACTGTGGTGCTGGACTGTTTCCTAGAGTGATCTCTTAAAAATAATCTCGCATCCCTTTCCTGCAACTAGAAATAGCCCAGGAATCTCTCTGATGTCCGATGTCCCTTGCTATATGATCAGGCATTGATGTTGGTCGAAGACACAGAGCTCCTCGGTCCTCTCCGTCATGCACCCTGCAGTTCACTTGACACGCCTAACTCTGTGGTGTCGCACCTGTCAGACTGGAAACCAGCCTGGAGGAAAAAGGTCCTTGCTTTACAATTGGGTAATTCTCGAACGTGTGTTATATACAGTCAAATTGTTGTCGGAAGTCCACACTTACTTAAAGTCTTGTCTTTCATGCCAAAACAGACCTGCCTACTCCGTTCCCAACGCCAGCTATGCACCCCCCACGTTCCAGTGCTAGCTCAAAAGGATGGCCGACCCGACCCCCAAGCTTTTCCTCTTAGCCCATTAAACACTGATGAAACCGGAAAACAGCCATCGTGAACGTGGACGATGGCGGACTTTGAGCACGTGGTGCGCGGCGCCACCTCTATCCCCACACCACCTCCGCCGCAGGATTGACGAGTTCGTTGTTGACAGGCTTGTGGCCCTCGACAAGCCCAAACCGCAAACGCTTGGACATCCCTAAACCGGGAGCTTGAACTTCTGGCCCTTGAGCACCTTGTTGTAGTAGATCCAGAAGAAATCGCTGTACAAGATGGTCTGGATGATGCCTGCCGTAACAGCGATGTAGTCCACCTTGTGATTCGGCTCGGTGACGTAGCGATAGATCCAGTTGGGGATGTAAAGGGCGCGATACAGGCCCAGGGCGAAAAGGTAGTGTGTCGTGATGGTCTCGGCCTCACCAGTGCGCTGGAGCATGAACAGCTGCGGGAGGATGGCTACAGCCTCGAGCCAGATGGAGAAGGCCCACATGATTTCCGAGACGGTGTACTTGTAGGGGAACAGCACGGCGAAGACAGCGGCTCCGGCGAGGAGGTATTGGATGCGGAAGGTATCGAGATTGGGGTCATTGGTCGGCTTGTAGGCATTTGTCATGAGATAGATGATGTAACCTTGCGAGCTGATGAACATGATCTTGAACACGATGTTGTACACGCTCTCGGTTGTGAATAGGTCTGCGCCAATGGTTCGGTTAGTTCCTGCGACAGGGATAGCTAGCATGAAGCACCGGAGACGTACCAAGATATCTTGTGACGTAGACCAGGAGATAGAGTGCTTGGGACTTGAACGAGATCCCGGAACAGCTCTGCATATGGTCAGCAGGTGGCCTTAGATCGAGAACTAGGCCTTGAACACGAACTTTGAGCTGAGTCATCTTATGGAGGAGGATGGCAATGGACCCCAAGTGGGAGAAGTCCCCTGTAAAAGTTGGCTAGGTCAATACGAGAAGAGAAGCTATCCCAACCGCGCAATGGATCCATACCCAGGACTCTGAAGATGTTCAACATGGCGATAGATCAGGGGGCCGTAGTTTGAGCTTGGAAAGACAAAATACGGCTGTAGAAGCACCGACGATAGCCTGTCAAAGCACGTTGCGATTGGCGATATTGTGGCGACGAATGTTGAGAGAATGAGAGACTCTTCAGAAACGACGAAAGGACACGATACGCGATTTGGCATGGTGGATCCCTGTCACGGAAGTTAGTTCAGAGCCGCCCATTTGCCGGGCCGTAGTGGTCCGAGCGCCTCTCGCACTAACATAATAAAGCGTAAGGCTGTTGCAGCTGCAAAACTCGTCTTCACCTGACGACGAGGACTCCATAGTAAATCCTCTCTGAAAGAGACTCGAGCTTGCAAGCAGCAAGCGGCTCTCGTACCCTCATCATGCCTTGGGGGACCTTATTTACGACGCTCAATAGCGATAGTGGCAGGATATACAGATCAATTTTGCAAAGGCGCGTACATTAATGAAGGAGGACGTATTCAATGATTGTACTCGACCTCACGACGGATATGACAAATGGTGGTATTTTGTTTTCCATTGTGACCCTATAAGCCTTCCGTTCCTATGCCGATTGGTCTACCAGCTGGAAAATGTGCACTTCCATCGGTCATGGATGCAGCCTCCACCAACAAGGCCGCCATCATATGAGCAAGCAAGCAAAACCCTGCCAACACCAGCCCAGAAGCCGAATGCATTCCATGCGCAAACCGTCCTTCGCCCGAGATTTTCATCATCGTCCACTGGCCTCGCCTCCCACACGCCTCTACTTGTGCAGCTTGCGCTGGTAGAAAGCGAGCTCCTCACCCTCCAGAATGTAGCCATCGCAGCGGCCGGACTGGCCGGGCCTGCTCGAGATGACGGCGTACAGCCGACCGGCCTCGAACTGCTTCTCGACGGCGGGCTCAATCTTGCCGGTGGCGGCAAAACGAACAGCCTGCTTCTTCTCGACCGAGTTGCTCTTCTTGACCTCCTCGATGGTGGCACCCTGCTTCTGCTGACGGCGGCGGCCGAGCGGCTGGCCGTAGTGAGCCTCGTACCACTGGCGGAAGGGAGCGGCGTCGATCTGGACGACGGCGGACTTGGTTAGGGTGTTGGTGCGGACCAGCTCGTTGTTGCTAGGGTGGTAGGCGACGACGATGATACGGGTCTTGCGGGTGCAGCCCTCGGATGGCCAGGCAAAATTGCCAGCCTCGAGTCGAAGAGCTCGGTACTTGTGGTTGCCACCGCGAGTCCGGACAACGTGGATTCGCTTGGCGCCGATACGAGTGTTAGCAGGCTGGCGGCCTGCCTCGAAAGCTCTCTTCTTCCCTGTTGACAAAGGTCAGAACGCAATCTGGGAGGACCCTAAAGGTCACCAGAAGCGGGCTTTCGATATATTCAAATGGGACGCGAGGACGCACGGTAAAAGGAGCGCTTCGCTCCGGAAGCAGAGCGCTTCCCGCGGCTCGACCTGGTGATACCCATGATTTAAGCGTCTCGAGGGATCGGGGTTTCTGGAAGATGAGGAACGGTCAGCAGGCAGTCATTGTAACGGAGGGGTCAGGTGGGAAAATTGAGCATTGTCGAGTTTAGGAGAGCGAGGCATTCAATGCAAAAAGAGACAGATAATAGTCAGAATGGCAACAAGACAAATCATATAACTCACCTAGTCGACGCTGTTGTTGAGGTCCGTCTCGGGTGGTGATGCAGTCAAACAATTTTCTAGTCGTGCGAATTTTGAAGCCCTAGGATGCAATTGCCCGTTTCGTGTGTGCGTGAACTTTTACCGGCAGCAGGTTTTTCCGGAAATTATTCATGTCACGTGGCTGTCTCGTGAGGTCCAGTGTATCTAGTACCTAGGTACCTTAGCTAAGCCGGTGAGATACTGCCTGAGCCCCTTCCATCCGATCCTACCTACAACCTATGGGTGAGGGTTCGGTATGATAACAATCGGCTGGGAATGAACCACTGCTGTGGTGGACAGGTTGAGAGACTGCGGTATCTTTGGGTTAATAGCTGAGGACAACTATTATTGGGAGGAAACAGTCGCTGACTTAGGGATGTCGATTCTAATCCTGGGGCTAATCCTGGGAATAGGAAGCGACAACTCCTCAGGGTCATGATGATAATGTTATTGGTTCTTTTGTTAGACCAGGTTTTAGTGACTGAGGCTTCTCCCAAAGACTGGGAACGGTTTACTAGGTTCCATCTTCTGACCGAGCCTCGGCTCTTGCTACCCCACACTCATCCCTCCAACTCTGCTCCAAGCTCCAAGCTCCAAGCTCCAGCACGGCAGGTCTTACATATAATCCCCAGACTGCAACGAAAGGATGCTCTTGCGCTCCAGAGCTCGCTTTCAACGATTCCAAAGTCATCACAATGTCTGATTCCGCCAAGAGACGCCTCGAAGCCATCGGCAACCAGCTCTCCCCAGCTGGAACCAACTCGAGCTTCGAAGGTATCCCCTTGATCAAGAAAGTCGCTCCAGACTCCAATGGCCCGCGAGTTCAGGGGAAGGTCGTCATAATAACCGGTATATATCCAAGCCCACTGCCAGCCTGCCCCCTAATCCCGCGTTCCCCCATCTCCTAACCGCCCCCCAAAGGCGCGAACTCGATCCTCGGCATCGGACGCGCAGCAGCCCACCAGTTCGCCCAAAACGGTGCCCGGGCTGTCTACGTGTGCGATTTCGACGCCGCAAACCTCGAGACGCACAAGCGCGAGATCAAGGCCTCGTGGCCGGATGTCGACGTGCACACCCGCCGCTTCGACGCCGCCGACGAGGGCGCCGTGAAGGAGGTGGTCGACGACGCCCTCCGGCGCTACGGCAGGCTGGATGTCTTCTTCGCCAACGCCGGGACCATCGGGCCCCACGCGCTATTCACCGACATCGGGGCCGACGACTTCATGGAGACGCTGAGGGTGAACACCCTAGGGTAAGTCTGGGGGGGGGGGGGGGGGGGGGGGGGGGGGGGGGGGGGGGGGCGGGGGGGGGGGGCGGGGGGGGGGGGGGGGGGGGGGGGGGCGGGGCGCGGGGC